CTTCGGTTTATTAACCCAAGTTTGAGGTTAGCTCATGTTTCGGCTCTGAATCCTCAGTGGCTGATAAAGGGAAATTTTGGAACGCTTGGCGATCACGTCTGCTGAGCACATGAAGAACAGCAAAGGAATAAATTTGTGAATCCCCCTACAGTAAGGGAGTACCTCGCAAAAATTATCAGAACACCGGCGTGGTTCAACAAACCAAAACTGCCTACTTCGTGGGTGGAATTCGATTGAAAACATGTGAACGAATAACTGCTACGTTGCATTCCGGATTATAATTGCGGATTTTGTTGGAAGTGAAAAATTATACTTTATTAGTTCCCTTGATTTATATGTATAAAAATTCGGAACATTCGGAGTCTTCGTGCGAACACAACGCCAAGAAGGTCGGGTGTAATGCATGATCTTGTGAATACGATCCCGCCATAAACACTGGATATCCACACCGATTAAGACCATACGTTGCGCCGGTCGCAAGGATTGACGACATTCTTTGACGGTTTAACAAGGCCTTTGTGGCCCATACTACGGTGAAATGGGCCGTTTCTTGATTATAAAATTGTGCATCGACCATAAACGGCTCATGTTCATCTTCTGGTAGTGCTGAATGCTCTTGAACATAGCGCTGCAAGTCAAGATCCGTGAAAGGCCTCCTCTGATTAATTTTGCGCTTGAGGCGTTGGTGTAGACTTTGAATTTGGGTCAATCTAGGAATTTCTTCGGAAGTATTGTCTCTCTGAAGATGCAATTCATGAATATAAGGACAAAATGGTGAAAATAAAAAAAAATGCAATTTACGCGAAAAAACGTCGAAAATGTATGGTTTTTATCATCCTGGTGTGCAAAAAACAACGATTAAAGCCATGAGTAAAACTTTTGCACATGTGCTTTTCGCTTTTGGGCTGTCGCTCGCACTCCGATTTTTTTCGCACAGTGTAAACGCCAAAATCACTCCAGCGACTTTCCGGGCTTGCGGCATCAAAATATTAGCATTTTCATAAAGTGGATGGACTTTTCGTCGCTCGCCGCACTGTGCAAGAAAAAGGTCGACTGCACAGTGCAATTTGATTTCTGAAACAAGATCGCTGCGACACAAGCTTTTTTCCATTGCACCGCCGCGAAACTTGAGACAATTGCACCGTGCAAAAATTTTTTGAAAAGTATCGTGTTGCGCGGAGGAAGCGAAATGCACAGTGCAAATACTAGTCCGTCCGGAAAGTCGCCGGACGGAAATCGGCGACATGCACTCTGCGAAATCGAAAGTTCACTTTGCACTGTGCAATTTTTGGCTTTTTGCACTGTGCAATAAGCTTTTTCGAGCTGTCGCTCGCACCCTGAGTTTTTTCTCACAGTGCATGTCGCCGATTTCCGTCCGGCGACTTTCCGGACGGACTAGTACTAGTCCTTCCGGAAAGTCGCCGGACGGAAATCAGCGACATGCACTCCGCGAAATCGAAAGTTCACTTTGCACTGTGCAATTTCTTGCCTTTTGCACCATGCAATAGGGTTTTTTGGGATGTCGCTCGCACCCTGACTTTTTTCGCACAGTGCAAACCCCAAAAATCAGTCCGGCGACTTTCCGGAAGGACTAGTACTAGTCGCGGAAAAAAGTCCTGGGATTTTCTCGCGCCCCCCAAATTCCGTCGCGCCCCGAAAAGTTGATTTGTCGCGGGAATCGCGCGCGACAATAAGGCAAAATCAACAAAATTGCACTGTGCAAAAGCACTTTTCGGGTTCATGCACAATGCAGAGTCGCAGAAAAATCCCAGGATTTTTTCCGCGACTAGTATCCATGCACTTTATGAAAATGCTAATAATATAATTATGTCAGGACTGCCACGATTGGCATTTGCTGATATGCATCTCCGCGATGTCATTTGAACAGCCAGTTTTTTGCGGGCTTAATCTACCTTGTCCGTCAGCGTACGCAATTTTAATTAAATTCAATTCATTCCACTGCCAGCCGGATATAGATACAGATCTATCCGACTGCATCGTGGTTTTCACAGATTTCCTTCCGGGGGAACGGCTTTTACCGTGTTTCCGGACGGAACCGAAGTAGCTGAACCTGTTCGGAAAGGTACAGTAGCTTTTAGTGATCTAGTACAGTGTTCGTCCAACCATTTAATGTTGCGGGATTTTTTGATTTAAGGAAAGGTGGCTCGGCCCATTTCTAATTTTCTCTAATGCTAATGCCCAGACATACATACGTGTGCGCCAACTTGTGTTTTGTATTTTTGTGCTCAAACCCACCTGTAAAAGTGGCTAATCGCCGCTTTGCAGCAGCAATAATTTTTTCACGCTTTTTTCTTCGAGCCGATTTTTGCTGCGACGACCCCTCACTATTTTTTCGACAGATTAATCGTTCATTCAGTAGCTTCCTGTCCATCATTTTTGAGGTGAGTAAATCGACGAAAAGACTCAAGCCACAGCTCCAATGCTACGGGATATTCAAGGGCTCCGAGCTGTTGCGGTAACCTTTGTCATCCTTTTTCATCTATGGCCAACGACATTTGAGGCTGGATTTCTCGGCGTGGATATGTAAGCGACCAGTTTTGTTAACAGGGCACAGTGTTCTACAATTTTTTGCAATGAATCGGACACCGATTTTTCGATTTTTTTAGTGGTCGACATTTACGCGGGTCTAGCGAGCGCATGCTATCAGATTGACACGTGAAATTTACAGCGAATATAGAGCAAAGAGAAGTCTTTCCAGCAATGTCACTTTCAACAAGTTTTATATAGCACTGAATTTGTAATCAAAGCTGAGCAATTGCAGCCTTTTCCTTCTCTTTGACTTATAGTCAATCTTATAGCATCGCTAGACCATTTTTTTAAATGTCGACCCCTAAAGAAATTCGAAAAAATCGGTGTCCGATTCATTCCAAAAAAAGTGCAGAACGCTGTGCAGGGGAAGTACCTCAAATGCGACTTCCGGATTTCCATGAAACGTGGCGTAGATTTTGAATATTTTTTTCTAAAACGCGTTTGAGACTCCTAGCTTGCGCTCTGCAGGAATTACCGACATTTTCGTGACCGAACGTTGTCAAAAATGACGTTGTCAAAAATGAATTTTGCGAATTTTGTCACGAAAAGTTTTGTGCCTATTTCTACCGTAGAGGGTAATGTTTCCACAAAAAAATCATCGATTTCCATGCGAGACTGGCAAAGATATGGCCAAAAATTGTTTTGTTTCTGACTGCGCTACGTCTTTCGCCTATTCTCTCGGCGGCAAAGATTGTTGATTATCTCGGCTGCGCCCGCAAAGTACGAGCCAAAACTTTGAGGAGTTGATATTTGGCCTATGCCCAAAGAATGGGCAGAATGTATAGAAAATCTGAGTGTCGCACTTGCGGGTGCTTCCCCTGTTAATTCAAGGCGTAAACTACGTTTTCTCGGTTAAGGTTTTTTGTCATCTCCGGATTTTTGATGCACAAAATCCTCTCGTCGAAGCCATGCAACATCCCCACGGTAGCCGACTTCTATTTCCGTCGATTTCGTCGGATCCTGCCGACTTATTTGTTTATCCTACTCATAACAACAGTCGCAGCACATTTTCTCTTTATCCCATCACAATACCCGACTGTTCTCCGAGAGCTGATCGCTGCGGTTACACTCACATCCAATCTGTTTAGTCTTCCGGACCAAGGGTATTTCGACCACAACAACGCGTATCCATTGTTTCTGCATACGTGGTCGTTGTCGGTGGAGCTGCAATTCTACGTGGTTGTGCCGATTATATTCTGGATTTATTCAAGCTTTAATAGATGGAGAAGGTCGGCTGGAGTGGGTTTTATTGTTGCTTGGATCACTATCAGCCTTGGATTTCAACTGCTATTTAGGGAAGGTGAGAAAGTTCACAGCTCTATGGTACCAGGGACCAAAAATTATAATAAAATATAAATTAAAAAAGGGGTTTTCAGTGGTCTGTCGGGAAAATAATGTGGACTTGTCGCGCCTTGGAATCACCCATTGTCTGCGACGGCTAGCCGCGGCTGGCGCGCGACTGCGACAAAACGAGATTTTTTAAATCCACATTATTTTCCCGACAGACTGATATTTTTTTGCGACCTGAGGACGACTGATTATAGTTTTGTTAAAAATGTCTTTTATAAAGTTGTTGCTCGCGCTTTCAAGTAATCAAGATGTTTCAATCGGGAATGAGCTGTTTGTCAAAAGATACTAGGAGTATCTCTAACTTATAAGGAGGTTCTCTTTACTTAGACGCACTAATGTGTAAATAAGACTAAATCAGTCTCGGGAAAATAATGTGGATTTATAGCGCCTCGGAATCGCCCATCATCGCGTTGTGACGGCTAGCTGGAGATTTGTGCGCCACTAGAGCGTATTAATTTTTCTATGACAAATCCACATTATTTTCCCGACCGACAGATATATACGATTTGTTAATTTCAGATGTCAACATCTCCCATATGAATACGCTCTCCAGAATTTGGCAATTTATGTGCGGTTTCTTGACGGACGCACTGAAACCGTCAATTGTTTTACCAAAAAATTCTACGGAATCTCGTCCGGAAAGCGCACAACTAATGGGTTCGAAAGACCCTATGCAATTGTTTAAAAACATATATGAAACAAATGCACACTTCAAGAAGCGATTACTCAACATTCTATTAGTAATCCAGCTCGCCATCAAGCTAACCGAACACATCTGGATCAATCGCATCCTATGCACAGCGACAACATCCATTTTTATCTTTGTCAACGGCAAAAGCTTTATCGAAAACGATGCGTTCGTCTTTATTGGCGATATTTCGTACTCAATCTACCTTGCACACTGGCCAATCATAATATTCGCGAGGTATTTGGGCGTTGATGCGGTTTCGGATGGGATTTTAATGGTCCAGATGTTTGTCTTACTCAGTTATCTTGTTGAAAACGCATTCCGCCAACTGTCAAAGCAGCTGCAAACTTGGAGAAAGCTTTTGTCATCGCTGGTCTTACTGTATCTCCTAATACTTACCATAAGTTATCATATGGCCATTGTGACTGAAAGCGGTCCGCTGCCTGGGAAGCTACCGGTCTCAAAGGATCTGGATTTCTATTCAAAGTCCGAGAGGCTGTTTGAAAAGCGAAATGAAAATATCTCAGCAACAGAAGCTGTGGCTCTGAACGATGAGAGCATAAAGTTCATCAACACCTTCACCGTAGAACACACAATTAACAACGAAAGAAGAGATCATCACCGAACTTATTTTGATCAAGTTGAGGTGCGACAAAGATATAACGACACTAACAATCTGTCGGGTAAATAATGGTCGCATCGAAAATCGCATCGCCGCCGAGAAAACAAGTTGTGTAGCGGCAAAATCAAATTGCTTTTCACTTCAGCGACGCCGTCGGCGCAGCGACATTGTGCTCATTATCTTCCCGACAGAATGATCCGCTGATTTTGATATATGAATCAGTGGAACCATTATTTCCCCGACAAACTGGAAATATCAAGACAATAAAGTGGAGTTCTTTTCAGGGAAACGGAACAAAAGAAATTGTTGTAATTGGCAACAGTCTGGCCAGAGATTTGTATTTCGGAGTGAGAAGCCGGATGAGAAACGTCTACAAACGGCTGACCTTGTTTTACATCTCCGGAATACTGCCCTTTCAAAATAATACACGCCGAAACACATCGCCAAAGGACTTTACGGACTTTGTTAAGAATATGAACTGCACTATTGACATTTTGGTCACGGGGCAAGCGTAGGTTTTCAATGCATAGTTGAGATAAACAGAGGGTTTTTACAGCTACAAAGCGGTTACAGTTCCGCCCGACGATGACTATATTCGAAGCCAAATGCTCGGGGATCTCCAAAATTACTATGATCAATTGGCTGGATTGGACGTAAAATTACTTGTGATACCATATGCCGAACATGTTATCGACTTTACCATCGAAAAATACAATCAGGCTGTATTGCTGGGGACACAGCGTCAATTGAATTACAAACACACCGTAAGATTACTATAACTCCTGATATATCAGTCTGTCGGGAAAATAATGTGGATCCGTTGCGAGAATTTGGAATAACCAAACATCGCACCACTTGTGGCGGCTGGAGACTTGATGCGCGATTTCGAGGAGCAGAGTAGTTTTTCGTACGACAAATCCACGTGATTTTCTCGACAGGCTGATATATGAACTATATTTTATTTTTTCGTATTTTAGCAAGTACACAGTCTCCACACAGAAGCCATAAACAAGGTCATTGACAAAATAAAATGCAAAAACTGCGTCAAAATTGACTTCTACAACTCGCTTTGTGATCCAGTTGAAGACCACTGCTATGTTGGACAAGAAAATGGACTGGCAATCTACCGGGACAAAGCGCACACAACAATCTTTGGGTCGATTTATTTTGCTGATGCTTTATCGGATAGGCTAAAACTTTCAGGAGTTGTTGAATAATACAAACTCAAAAAAAAGTGATTTACAAAGTGAGAAAGTGAGTCACAATAATGGCAGAGACAACCCGGCCGTAAAAATTGAAATTTTACAACAGATAGGGAGGGACTCAAAAATTCTTTCTTTTGTAGTTCTTTATGTGCTCGGCAGATGTAATCGCCAAGCGTTCCAAAATTTCTCTTTATCAGCCACTGAGAATTCAGAGCCGAAACATGAGCTAACCTCAAACTTGGGTTAATAAACCGGAGAATTAGTCCTTCGTCCGGATCTCCCTTACTTCGCGTTGACTCTTTCGAGCGGGGAACTGGCTCTTTCTGGAGTTAATTCTCTTCTCTGGCGCCCTCGCATTCTCAACTCGGTGCGCTCGCAGACAATTCGTGTCACTCTTTTTCTCTGACCCTCCGAGAAAGGCCGTCTATCTCGCTTGTGCGTACGGCCCCTTTTTTCTCGCGGCTTCTCCTTTCTTCTCTCCGACAATTCGTGTAACTCTTTTTCTCTGAGTCTACGAGAGAAGCGGTCTATCTCGCTTGTGCGTTTTCCTCGGCTTTCACATAAGGTCCCTTCTTCTTTTCTTCGAACCATCACCACTGAAGAAAGAAGGCAGAGCGTGTACGCCCATAGCCCTTTGAAAGCACGCCATCCCGTCCGATCTGGCAAGTTAAGCAACGGTGCGCTTGATTAGTACTTGGATCGGAGACGTCCTTGGAATCTCAAGTGGCGTACGCCTTTTGGCGTTTTCCACAAATTTAATGAAGAACAGCAGTATCATTTTTGTCTGTATTTAAATAGTCTAAAATCGCCGAAGAAAGTCAGAAGTAGTAGATGTTTTGATAAAAAAAATCCGTTGAACTCTATTTGTCAAGTTGCATGTCAACTTTTGTGTCTGGAAACCGCAAGTTCCAAAGTTTATGCGTTTTTCTCGTAAAAAATTCTTCTCTTGAGTAAAAGCAATGTGAAATTTGGCTTATGCCTAATAAAGCTGTAATGATGAGGTATGATGGAGGCAGAACAACCAATTGTATTTGTGGTAGGGACCCCAATGGTGGTCCTTTAGGAATAAACATCCATTCAACTTCGGCTTTAGTAGGGTGAGTCAGAAAGTTAGGGGGACTTCAACAAAGTTTTTCATAAAGATTTGGAGTACAAGCTTTGAGAGATAACCCTCTAAATCCCCTAAAAACGGTAGTCCCAGGTTCACGGCGTTCTTGGATTGGCGACCTCCTTGGAATCTCAAGTTGCATACGCCTTTTTGGCGTTAGCTGGAGGGACACGTCAAGATGTTCCAAAATTTCTCTTTATCAGCCACTGAGAATGCAGAGCCGAAACATGAGCTAACCTCAAACTTGGGTTAATAAACCGAAGAAGGTGTTCTCTATTTGGCTTGTCAAAGTCTACAAACGAAACTTTTAACTGGGAAAGGGGCTATTCGTGGAGACAATTCGTCACTATGAAGGTCTTCCCTCTTCCCCAATATTTTTTCACCTGCCTATTTCTCTAACGTCCTTCTGTGTATACGCAACGCGTGCGAAGGCGCCCGATTTTAAATCGTAATGTACACCTTTCCACTCGGAGGCGCAGAGAAAAAGAGCGCAAAGAAGAGAGTGCTAATGGATGGACAGGTAATAAGAGGGCCCGAGAGCAGCGAATTAACTCCCAAAAGATGCGGTTCCCCAGAATAAAAGCGAAAGGGAAGGCGCTCAAGGGGCGAATGGAAGAGAAATTCTTCGGTTTATTAACCCAAGTTTGAGGTTAGCTCATGTTTCGGCTCTGAATTCTCAGTGGCTGATAAAGAGAAATTTTGGAACGCTTGGCGATTACATCCGCCGAGCACATAAAAACTTTAAACGGGATGGTCTTGCGGTGGTCTGCATCGTTTCTATGTTTGAATTCCACGTTCTTCTTTCTCTCGTATTGCTTATTGCAGCCGGTAAGCGGCATAACATACGCTAGCGAGAGAATTGAGAAAAAAAGCTCAACAATCCCTCCGTTATCAATGTGAAAAAGCAGAGGGCGCTAGAGAAGCGAATTGCCTCCCAAAAAATGGAGTTCCCCATTCCAAGAGAAACGAATGAAATAGAGAAAGCCATAGCGAAGGGAGAAGTCTTCGGTTTATTAACCCAAGTTTGAGGTTAGCTCATGTTTCGGCTCTGAATTCTCAGTGGCTGGTAAAGAGAAATTTTGGAACGCTTGGCGGTTACATCTGCCGAGCACATAAGGCGCGTAAAGCTCTGAAAACTTACGGATAGCACTTTGTAAAATACGCTTCGGGGTCTTGCTGCACAATGTTTAAAAAACTTTCAGAGCATTACAAATTCTTTCTTTTGTATTTGACATTGCCTTTCGGCTATTTATTCCATCTCTAAAGCCCTCAAAATCAGATGGCTTCATTGTTAAAACTCCATAGTTTTGCTGGTTGTAACTTTATTACAAAATAAAATTGTTGAAAAATTCAAAAAAAAAAAAAAAAAAATAGACTTGATAAGGCACACACGTTTGTTCAAAAAACCATTTTTCACTTATTCAATAATATTAGCACCATTGACATAAGAAAAACGTTGGCAAAGACGCATAAAGTGTCGACAACACTGCTACGAAAAGCACCATTCCAAGGTTTCTATGCGTTTTTGGTAAAAAAAACACTAGTCCGTTCGTAAAGTCGCTGGAGTGATTTCGGCAACATGCACTGTGCGAAAATAAAGGTTCACTTTGCACTGTGCAATTTTTTGCGTTTTGCACCGTGCAGCTTTTTTGGGGTGTCGCTCGCACCCTGACTTTTTTGCACAGTGCAAAAAATGATGTCAGTCCGGCGACATGCACTGTGCGAAAACGAAAGTTCACTTTGCACTGTGCAATGTGCTCTTTTGGGCTGTCGCTCGCACCCTGACTTTTTTCGCACAGTGCAAACGCCAAAAAATCATTCAGCTTATTACACGAACGGACAAGTGAAAAAATAATAAAAAAGAGAGTATAAAATTGAAGATTTGCGTTAAAAAAAGACCCGCAATGACAAAGATTTTTTCTCATCAAAAAAAAAATTCTTTGAAAATTCAAAAAAAAAATCAAAAAATCTCTAAAAAAATTTTTTTGACGACAAAAATTCTGACTGGAAAAACGGCTGAGGCGTCCGTCGAAAGAGGGTTCTGAAGACAAAATGCACATTTATATTCGAATATAACATTAATACTACGCGATTCGGTCGTTATTTGAGCAACAATTCATTCAGTCCATGGGTTGTGTACATAAGGTGAGGGGCATTTTGGGGGCTTCAGGCCGAAGGCCGGTTCGTTGTGAGTTCGTTGAAGCGGCGTTGGAGGTCCTGAAAATTTTCAAAAGTATTTTTTTTTTTTGGGAAAAATGAGATTCTGGCCAAATTTGAGAAAATATCAGTAGATTAGAAGGCAAAATTCACAGAATTGCAAGGGTAATTTCACTCTGATTTTGATGAAAATTGGCAGGAATTTAACCTAGATTTTTTTTCAAAAATAATATGCCTGATTTTTAGTCCGCACTTTGCAGAAACCCTCAAGATTTTTCGTGCGGAAAAATAAAAAAAAATAGAAAATTTTTAACGAACTTCTACGTTGAATATCTCGGCTCTTTCTGCGAAGTATGAGCTAAAATTCTCACAACTTATTATTCGCTCTAGACAGATTATGCACGCAAAATTTAACAAAAATCTTGAGAATTGCATTCGAGAGATTTCTTTTTTAAGAAAGTGAACTGAAATCCTCAAAATTTTCGAAAAACCCCCTCTGGCCCACTCTTGACATACTTTTTTTATTTGAAATTCCTTCCCCAGCCATGCTAAAAGATTGGATCCATAGAGGGCACCTTGGCGAAGAAGGCACGTTGAAGAAAAAAGCTGCGATAAGGGGGACCAAGGCGGATTTTTAAGAATGACTTTTTTAGTTTGCCAAAAAATGATATGGTAAGGGAGGACCAAGGAAAATTTTTTCGAATGATTTCACTGGCAACCCAATAAAATCATTCTTAAAAAATCCGCCTTGGTCGCCTCTTACCATATCATTTTTTTGGCAAACCAAAAAAAATTCTTAAAAAATCCGTCGTGGTCTCCTTTACCGCATCTTTTTTCCTCAAGATGCCCTCTTCGCAAAGATCCCCTCTACGGATCCAACATTTTAGCACGGCTGGGAAAGAAACTTAAAATGAAAAAAGTATGTCAAGAGTGGAACAGAGTAGGCATGGCTCCGGGCCGGGCTTTCCAAAATTTCCCGGCCCGGGCCGGGCCGACTAATTTCTCGGCCCGACCCCGGGCTTCGATTTTCAGGCCCGGCCCGGGCCGGCCCGGTTTTTTATGAAATCTGAGTTTTGCCCGGAAAAAAAGGAAAAAATAAGCTTTTTTCGATAAAATTTTTCATTTTTTCGAACACAATGCTGATAGCGAACGTAAAATGACCTTATTTACCACTCGCCCAAATGAAAAAATAATTTTCAAGTCAATTTGAAAAAAAAATTCAGAAATTCTTAAGTGCGACCTCATAGTTAATTCGCTGGCAAAAAAAAACAAAAGGAAAAATTTTCAAAAATACGCAATACGCTTGTAGGTTTTTTCAAATTCAATAAAAGATCTGTGATAAAACATTTTTGCTAAAATTTGGGTGACTATACACAAAATTTTATGATTTTTTGTAACCAGATGGTAAGACAATTTATGGCGACTTAGTAATTTATAAAAATAGTCAAGCGGCAATTGAACTATGTATATGTTTTGCTAAATTATCTTTTACATTTTGCGAATTTTCCTTTCATTTCCTGCTTTGTTTCTTTCCAGCGTAGTACAAAAATTTTCCGGGCCGAACCGGGCCGGGCTTTCCAAATTTTACAAGCCCGGGCCCGGGCCGGGCTTGGAGATTTAGGCCCGGCCCGCAGGCCCGGGCCGGGCTGGCCCGGTTTGCAGCCATGCTTAGAACAGAGGGGGTTTTTCGAAAATTTTGAGGATTTCAGTTCACTTTCTTACAAAACAAATTTCTCAAATTTAATTCTCAATATTTTTGTTAAATTTTGTGTGCATAATCTGTCTAGAGCGGAAAATAATTTGTGAGAATTTTGGCTCACATTTTGAAGAAAGAGCCGAGATATTCAAGCTCAAGTTCTAACCTTTTAGCCATGGCTGGGGAAGAAATTCCGAATGAAAAAAAGTCAAGATTGGTTCCTCATCCCAAATCCTGCTACAACCCACGAAACAAAATTTCCGACCTCCTTTTTCTCTCCCTCCACCCCATTTTTCAACCAAAAATTAGCTCAAAACTCAACTCCGAAGCACTCCGCGTTACGCGAACAAATCCAAACTCAAAACTGTTAACCAAACGTTGCAGAAAATGGTCAAAAAATTACCGAGTGTGTTTAGAAAGCCAAAAGAATGCCGGAGGGCGGTGCCAAGCGCCGTTTCAGCGCTTGTGCGGTGCCGTTAAAGAGTGCGTTGTGGGTTTTAGGGGTTCCCGGCGTTTTCGGAGGCTCTAAATTGGAATCGTTGATTAATTTCGGGGTGTTACATGGATCTAGCCGTCTACGGGAAGCTTCAGACATGCCGTGCGGACAGATGGCAGGCAACAAAAAAAGGTGTGGACAGTGAGGAAAATCAGACTTTATTTGGGGAAATCATATTTCACAAGGACTTTTATGGAAGAGAGGTGAATTCACAGGGGGTATTATTAATATAGACAACAAATTCGATTTCTAATAGTGCTATAGGGCATGTGCAATAATAATATGCCACAATTTAGCCAAACACATCGTCATGACGTCATAAAAATTCGAAAATTTCCAAAAATCTGGGAAAAATCAAAAAAATTCCAAAAACCGGTCATGATGACGCATTCCGCAGTGCCAGCTAATGATAAGCAAACTGTGCCAGGTTTACCTTCAGCGAGTCCATTCCCATTTGCACAGCGCGCGGGATTCGCGAAGGGGAGGGCGCCGAACGGCGTTCCAACGGCGCGGACTTGGAGTCCAAATTTGAGACATTTCCTTTCAAGGAGTCGAAGCGGATGGTGCGGATTAGGTCCGCAAAACGTAGAAGGGCATCAATGTCGTTTGGATGGGCTAAAACATCATTTTTCATAACTTTTTCATGAAAAAATTGGCAAAAGTTATGTTATCCTTTGCCAAACTGATTGAATCCTTTTGAAACTCCCTAAAAATCACAAAAAACAAACCAAAACCGTACCTTCACAATACGTTCTAGCCATATTCATGTCAACATCCTTCAAAACATGAAGTCCATCGGTCGAATTCTCCGATATTCTCTTTGCTAGCTGGGCTTTGAGGTGCTGGATTGGAGATGGATTTTCATTCTCTTCCGATGAGTTTTCTGTCGCCCCATTGTTTGGGGAGGGTAGAGGGGGACTTGGAACAGGTGTTGGATGACCATTCTGGGATGGGGTGTCTTCTGATTCCGAGGCACGAAGAGATTCGCTTCCCAGGCCTTTCGAGGTATGGTGAAGATCGCCGTTGAGAGATAGAACCGAATTCGACAGGGATGTGGAGTCAAAGTTCTGCTAAAAGACATAGAATGTCAAATGCAAACCAATTCCGGTGTATCAATCTAAATTCAAGACAAAAAATAAATGAACTTACACTCATGGACATCAGCTGAAGTTCCAGAGCATTGCACCGTGCGAGACATAGCTCGTAATCCTTTTGAAGCTCGGAATATTCAAAGTCCTTGGCTCTAAAACGCAATTCAATAATTTTACAGTTCAAAAAAGTAAGAACCTTCAAATTTTTCAGACAATTTTTTACCTGCAGGTCTCTTCAAGTTTTGTCGCCATATTTTCAGCAATCCGAACTCGCTCATGTAAATTATTCACTTCTTTCTCCAACTGATGAATCCTCTGTCGATATAAAGTCGATGCCGAGTCGTCTTCTTTTCGACGCTGAAAGAAATCGTTAAATATAGGATTTGATACCTAAATTATCTAGTGCAATATAAAAAGTTTGTAAAAATTGGTCAGAAAATTGAAATACTAGGGAGCCCTACCATCAGAGACTTGAGAAATCCGACCATCACAATTTTTGCGGAGAAAAAATGAATTTCCCATCGAAACTTGAGAAAAAGTTGAAAATTTCTGATGTTGAACTTCAAAAACTTACATCACGTTCCGTCTCCAGCTTCCTTATCTCTGCTTTGAGCTTGTATCGTTCCATTTCGAATTTCTGTCGGTCTTGGGTGTTCGCTACATTGAGCTCTTTGAGTTTCATATCATTTAGCTCATTTGTCTCTTTTTCCAGCTCATATCTACAAACATAGACCTCAAACATTGTTTAAAACGTCACCCAAAGTGTCTACAAGCCCTTAAACACCAAATTTTTAACAACCGCCAGCTTTTAGAACGATTTTTCAACCTTTCGATACCTAAACACCAAGTGCGATATAATTGAGAAAATCACTCACAATTCTTTATAATAATTGAGCTCCTGTTCCAGTTTGGAGACACGATCCGCTGTCATTGTGACTGTGACCTCCACTTCGACCCTCTTCTTCTACTTTAGCGCCAGTAATTTGCAATTCCCCAGCAATCGTGTTGTTAGAGGATAAATCAAAGAAAATTATCCGTGTCGGAACGTCTGAAAGATAAATGAATCAAAATCCATAATAAATATCAAATTTATGAGCTTCTGAACGGATTTTATTTATTTTCCATTCGAAGGGAAAGCAAACACTAACGAATTACGCGGATCCAAGAGGAGATTCAAGGATAATATCGGAAACGGAAAAAGATTTGAAAAATGACTTGCGGCTGGACAAATATCGAAAGTTTAGAGAATATAGAGTATCCGGAAATTAGAATTGACCAAGACTTACTACAATATCGGCAAATTTTTCCAACTCTAAAAATTAAAAAAATTTCCGGAAAAAAGATAAAAAACTGATCGAAAGGTAGTTTTGAACAAACAAACTGTCTCAATTCTGCAGAAACAAGAGGAATTCGTTTGGTCGCGACTCAGAGATCAATCAAAAAACGAAAGAACTGCGAAAAATTGATAAAACTCGTCCCGAAAAAGTTCCCCAAGTTCAAAAAATAGATGTCCTTGCATATTATAGTCGTAAAAACGAATTGGAATTGCTATTCTCCTTGCAATTCACATAAAACTTTACACGAACGCGAGAAACTTCGGCCGGAAATTTATGCGGACGAGTCGGTGGAAGAGTCGACGCAAAAGCGGAAGACCTGACACAAAAGTCAGGAGATGCCGTTATAAACACAGATTGACGCCCGGGACGGGGCAACGAAGTGAAAAAAAAAGTTGAAAAAGGATTTTTTGGCCAATCTATTCTTTTTCCGCACTCTTATATCCGCCTCATTTTACTTTACACATCAGCTCGAAAAATTTTTTGTTACAGTAATCCGCAAAGTCACTGTTGTACGGGGTGTTTGTTAACACAGCACTCCACCACCCTTATCGCAGCTTTTTCAAAGGTAAACACGCAAAATTCTCGAAATTGGGGCATAAAATTTTTGCGCTGAAATTCCAAAGGCGAAAAATGGGTGTTGCTCTCGAAAAACGGGGAATTTTTTGTGGTGGGGTAAAAATTCTTGGAGAAAAAGTGCTTGAAAAGAGAGAATGGAATGTGTGTTTGTGCATAAAGTCAATGGAAGAGACAATACACAAAAGATGGGGTCAATTTTTCCGAGATGATCCGACATTGAAAGCCATCGAAAGAGACCCCGAGTTGAAAGAGACCCCGAGTTGAAAGAGACCCCGCCTCGAAAGAGACCCCGAGTTGAAAGAGACCCCGAGTTGAAAGAGACCCCGAGTTGAAAGAGACCCCGAAGGGTAATCGATGGCGTAGATTCCAAAAATCATATTCGTTTTTTCTGATTCTTACTTTTTTGCTTTACTACTTAAAAGTAGTAATTTTAAAAAGTAATTTTTTGAATTTTTCTAAAAATAGTCGATTTAGGGGTTTTCGAGGGTGCTGATTTCGAAAATCATGTTAGCTTTCCTCTTTATAGTACTACCTGGTACTATACAGTACGAGGTGAAAATATGGATTTTGGCGTTAATGGTGTTGTTTTGATGCTTAGTACTCCTCAAAAACACGTTTTAAATAACTGGTACTGTTTAGTACTGTCTGGTACTATGTAGTACACGGTAAAAATTTGGCCTTTAGGCGTTAGTAGTGTTGTTCTGTTGCTTAGTACTCTTATTTTCACCTCGTACTACGTAGTACCAGACAGTACTAAACAGTACCAGTTATTTAAAACGTGTTTTTGAGCGTAGTGGACGATTTGTCCCAGTTTTGTCCCCAAGACGGTTTTGTCCCCAGGACGTTTTTGTCCCCACTTCTTTTATTTTTTTGTCCCCAGGACGTTTTTGTCCCCAAGCTGGATAGTACGATTAAAAATTATGCATTCAGATGTTAATGCTGTTGGTTTGGTGCACAGTACTGCTCAAACAACTTGTTCTTAGCGCTTGGTACTGTATAGTACGAGGTGGTACTATATAGTACGAGGTAAAAATTAGGCCGTAACACCTCAATGCTATGGGTTTGAAGCCCAGTACTTCTCAAAAATGTGTTTTAGCACATGGTACTATATAGCACGAATTTGTTTTTGCACAAAATGAACGTCTGATCAGTACTGCATACCAAAACAACTTCATTCACGCGTTGTAGCTTAATTTTTACCTCGTGCTATATAGTACCACCTGGTACTATACAGTACCAAGTGCTAAAAACACATTTTTTGAGAAGTGCAGGGCTTCAAACCAACACCATTAACGCCAAAATCCATATTTTCACCTCGTACTGTATAGTACCAGATAGTACTATAAAGAGGAAAGCTAACATGATTTTCGAAATCAGCACCCTCGAAAACCCCTAAATCGACTATTTTTAGAAAAAATTCAAAAAATTACTTTTTAACATTACTACTTAACAAAAAAAGTAAGAATCCGAAAAAACGAGTATGATTTTTGGAATCTACGCCATCGATTACCCTATTTTTGACCTTTTCGGCCATTTCGGGGAAACATCCAAAGAGACCCCCGATTCCGGGGTCTCTTTCAACTCGGGGTCTCTTTCAACTCGGGGTCTCTTTCAACTCGGGGTCTCTTTCGAGGAAAACCTCCGACATTACACTAGGTGATGAAGAAGAAGATAGAACTCAAAAATTTAGGTGTAGATTTCGTTAAAATTGGGCACGATTACTCCTAGTGGGGTGTACTTCAACTGCTGAAAATATCAGCTGAATATCTCTACGGGTTCACGTTATATGGAACAAAGTTCTCGAGGTGATCCAAGATTACACTAGGTGATGAAGAAGAAGATAGAACTCAAAAGTGTAGGCGTCAATTTCTTTAAAATTTGGCGTGGTTACTCTTAATGGTATGTATTTTAACTGCTAAAAATATTAGCTCAATATCTCTGTCGGTTCACCTTATATGGAACAAAAAGTTTTTGGATGACTAAATTTTTACGTTCTCTAAGAAGCTACATAAAACTGTCGTAAAAAGCTACAACAGGCCTTGACAGCGCTCTACACACCCTGATTCTCAATCACGGCTCATTTACAGCCGATATGATGGGAATTTTAACGCGATAATATCTCTCCATTATATTATACAAGGGACATTTCACTCTTGCATAACCTTCAATCTCCCCACTTCCAGTTCTCCTACGATAAATCCTTGTAAAAGAGGAATGCGAAAACAAAAGGTATCCCGCTGATCGTAGGAAAATGGAAGACGTAATTCGCTAATGAATGACTTGATTGGAATGATTTGTTTTCACTAAAACAACATTAGTCTAAGTAAGAGGGAGAGTTTGTTGCGAATGGACGGTTTAAACCTTACGGGATGTGGTGTACAGATGGAACTTTATGTTTTGACGGGGAATTAGTGGTTTTGTAAGTAAATTTTTAAATGGAATTTTAAAAGTTTTAGAATCTGGAGATATTGCCAAAAGATGACAATTAGTTGCAAAAAAAGGATAGAAAATGCTTCAATAAGAGTCACAGTAAAATTTAAGATCAAGTAGCGGGAGATTACAGGCATAAAAATGTCATAACAAATAGTTTTTATAACTCTTTTCGGCTTGAATCAAGAATTCAAAAAATCCCATTTTTTGCCCAAGTAGTCGCAAAAAATCACCATAAATAATTTCAAGCTTCATAAAAACCGATAAGTCAACAAAATTTACAGTAAATCTAACTTAAAAAATATCAAAATGACGGATTTTCTCAGTTTTCCTTGCCAAAACTCCCAAAAATTCAATTTTTTCCCTCAGAATTCTCTCAAAAACTGGCAAAACCGAAAATAATAACCCGAAAATCCCCTCCGGCCACTTCATCCTTCTTTTCTAACCTCCCCCTCCCCTTATGGTCCATATTGCGGACATTATTTTTGTTCTAATCAAGGAGCTCTTGAAGCTATTCTAATATCAAGAATCTTGTTCGTTCGAGTGGGTCTCGATCAAAAGGCTTTCCGTGTTTCGTCTTCCGCGCGCTCCAAGGGACGAAATAAAGCGGAAAAGTAATCAAACAAAACAGAAACATGAAAGATGGAGGGGATATTCCAACTCTAGTGCAGCTAATTCAAAGTTAGTGCAGTTGGCGGGGGGAAATACGGGCTAATATGGGGAACGAAGTGAGGTTGGAGAAAAAACAGTGGCTCTGAGTTTGTTTTGTATTATAAATTTGTCGGGAAAATAATGAGCACAATGTCACTGCGTCGATCGCGAAGTGAAAAGCAACTTGATTTTGCCGCGGCACAAATTATTTTCTCGGCAGCAATGCGATATTTGATGCGACAGGGTGCTCATTATTTTCCCGACAGACTGGAATTGTTGCAAAAATATCCTGATAATTTATAAACTGTTTTTTTTGTTGTTTTATGTAACAGTAACTTGCCCAACAAAGGCTTGTTTTACAGTAAAAACACTAAAAATTTAGCTTGGAAGTGCAAAAGTCATCGTTTCTTGCAATTTTAGTCGAAAACCCGCTGAGAAAGCGTCAAAAACACTTACTATCAGTCTGTCGGGAAAATAATGAGCACTCTGTCGTATCGAAAATCGCAACGCTTGCTACGACAAATCCACATTATTTTTCCGACAGAGTGATAGAACATATACATATGCACACTGGAACCTCTGTACAACGTACATCTGTACATCCCATACAACGAAACCGGTGTATAACGAATTATTACAAAGGTCCCGAGAGCCGATTTTAGGACAAAATAAGCCTCCCTATAACAAAGCAACTCTATCAGTCCGTCTGGAAAATAATGAGCACTCTGACGCATCGAAAATCGCATCGCCCGCCGAGGAAATGATTTGTGTCGCGGCAAAATCAAATTTCTTTTTTTTCAGTGGCGCAATCGGCGCAGCGACATTTCGCACACTATTTTCCCGACAGACTGATAAAATAATAAAAAATGAAAGACTTCCTCATCACTCTTCCTCTCCAACTTGAACTCCAGCCCCTCCGATTTTCCTCCAGAAAGTCTTGCAAGTAATGAAAATGGCATTGCGCGAGAGCGAAACTTACTCTGAGAACAATTGACCTACTTAGTCAGACATCCAAATGTGAGAATGCGGCTAAATGAAACCAATTCTTTCTGGATTATATTTATGCAGATGAGCAAATAGAGGGGAATAATTGGGATTGACGTGTGGGTCAGTTAAGAAAAACAATAAAAAATATTGGACAAACAAATGAAGATTATTGGGAAAGGAATTATTAGGAAGGATTATGAATATTAGAGGCAGATCAGTTTGTCGGGAAAATAATGTGGATTTGTCGCGGCTAAATGGTCGCCTCGTCGCAATCGCGCACGATATCTCCAGCCGCTGCTAGCCGTCGCAAAGCGATGATAGGCGATTTCAAGAGGCCATGGATCCACATCATGTTCCTGCGGAATGATACAAACGAAAAAGGTCAACACATAGTTATGCATCTTCAATCAAGTGGAATTTAAACTGCCTTCATTAAAAATTCAAACCCATTTTCGTAGGCGTCGTTAAAAGCAATCAAACGTCAAGGATGATTTGCAAATTGAAACATTAAACTTTATTGCAGCGGATAAAGGGGGCTGGGAACAAACTTGAGGTTTGTTTGGAGCTTCAAAATTCGTTTTGATACCGTGGAACCTCTGTACAACAAAACCGGTTTTTATCAGTCTGTCGGGGAAATAATGAGCACACTATCGCTGCGTCGATCGCGTCGCTGAAGTGAAAAGCAATTTAATTGCTCCGCGACACAACTCATGTTTGATGCGACAGAGGGCTCACTACTTTCCCGACAGACTGATAACAAATCATTTCAGAGATCACATGAGTCTATTTCAAAGCAAAAGACCTTAGAACTTACGACGAAACCCGTTTATGACAAGTGTTACCCTGTCGGGAAAGTAATGAGCACTCTGTCGCATCGAAAATCGCGAGAAATTGTATTGTGTCGCGGCAAAATCAAATTGCTTTTAACCTTAGCGACGTGATTGGCGCAAACAGAAGTGAAATAAAAAACCCCAAAAAATGATGACAAAATATAAGTTGCAGTAGCCCTTTTGATAATAGTAAAAGCAAAAACTTCCTCAGAACAACGGACTGAAAAGCCTCGGCTCCCGTTGAACTTATAATCGGGTCTCCGGCTCACTACTTCCAAAAAAAACATCGTCTAGTGAGTCACAACTCTCCCTCTCTCGCTTCAAATCATCAGTCTCACGGCCTGACTAGAAGTCAAGGCCCAATAAATTAAACAATCAGTGAATTTGCTTGAGAAGATTGATTTTAGTACTAATGGGAAAGGAAAAACGAAAAAATAAGATGTTGTTCAGAAGCAAATCACGGCTGAGAAACAGCAATGTCGTAAATCAAGAAAAAAGCTTGATTGTTACAGGTCCAAGACAACAACTACCAGGCTGTCGGGGAAATAATGAGCAAACTGTCGCATAAAATGCTGGAGAGAATGAACTGTGTCGCGATGAAGTCAAATTGCTTTCCATGTTCAAAAAAGTCCACCATATATTATTATATCAGTTTGTCGGGAAAATAAAGTGGATTGGTCGCAGCTTGGAATCGCTTACGATTGCTTTGCTGAGCCGCTGAAAATTTGGTGCGCGACTGCGACGAGACGAGCCATTTTGCTGCGACAAATCCACATTATTTTCCCGACGGACTGATAATCAAATGACTACAAAGTTTCGTCATGCTAATCACACCACACCCTTCTCTTATATCCTTTCCCAATGACGCAGTTCTTTTCGGAACTTCTCTTCAATCTATTTATGTTCACTCATCTTTTCCGATAGCTCCATCTACAGAAAAAAATTCGTTTCCATTCTTCAGAAAGCGACAAAAAATGGCCGTCGAATAGAAAGAGACAGGTTTTTGGGCGACTGAAAAAGCTTGAATACTTGGGAAGTTGTGTCCAACTTTCGACATAAAAAAATAGACAGTTAGTGTGAAACGCAAGTCAAGAGTCTTAGCCAATCCTTAAAAAAAGCGAAATCTTGGTTTTATCCTAGTTTCATCAATCTGTCGGGAAAATAATGAGCACTCTGTCGCATCGAAAATCGGGATCGCCGCCGGGAAAATCAGTTGTATCGCAACAAAATCATTTTTTTTTTTCACTTCAGCGACGCGATCGGCGCAGCGACAGAGTCCTCATTATTTTCCCGACAGACAGGACTCATCGCAAAAAAATCTTGATAGTTTATCGCGGCCCCGGATAAAAAATAGTTTTGTTGCGCTCTGAAAAAAAGTTTTTTGTCGCTGCGAAAAAATGGGAATCGCGCGCGACATAATGCAAAAAATCGGAAATGCACTGTGCAAGTGGTGTTTTGGGTCAAAGGACTGTGCAGAGCACATTTTTTCGCGATTTTCCAAGCGAAAACAAGCAATAAATGCTCAAATTATCACGGCTCTTTGTGCCGGATAGTATCCAAATCTAAGGCTAACAATTTCACCAAAAATGACGTCATTTTCTTTTATCTTTCCTAAAAAATCTCAAAAAAAGCCTCTGGAATTTCCCAAAAACCTCCAAACCACAAGGTTTTTGAATAATCAAACTCCGAAAGACCCCTGAAAATGAATTCAATCCCCCACCCCACAAAGATCACTCTCCAAATCCCCGTTCAACGGAAAAAAGTTCGCACGAGACCCAACTTTGAATAACAAACTTCCCAAAGCGCCCAAGAAAAAGTCGTCTCAGCGAGTTAAAACGTATAAAAAGACCTCCATAAAAAATAACAACATCGCCGGGGAACCGAGGCGAAAACCAAAAACAAGCCGGCTTTTGCCAAGGTTTGTAAACGGATACTCTTTGGGATTGGGTTTCGCCGCTTAAACCCTGAAATAATCGGTATTTCTTTGCAGGGATTATGGTGTAAACTGAGAGGATTATGAAGGCATTTTTGGTGCTTTTGGAAACATTTTTTGGTTGCGACATGTTGCCGATTATAAGTCGGTTGAGAAAATAATGTGGATTTGTCGCAGCAAAATGCCTCGCCCAGTGGATACCCAGTCGCCGCTAGCCGCTGCAAAGGAATGATGGGCGATTCTAAGGCGCCGAATACACATTATTTTCCCGACAAACAGATATAAAAGCCAAACTACTCATAGCGTTTTCTTTTCTCGTATACATCAGTCTGTCGGGAAAATAATGTGGATTTGTTGCGCTTTGGAATCGCCCATCATAGCTTTGCGCCGGCTAGCCGCGGCTGGCCTAGACGTTTTGCCACGACAAGTCCACATTATTTTCCCGACAGACTGACACTAGTGCCTTGGAAAGTAGTTCTGTAAATTTAAACGGCCTTTTCTATAATTCTGGTTGCCCCTACGTCAAACACTTCCCTTGTAAGTTATTTATCAGACATCCATGAGCAAGAAAATCTGAGAGTAGATGAGTATCTAAAAAGACCGAAAAGAAAAGTAAGGTGGACGCAGAAAGGTGGGAGGGTAACGTGATTATCCTTGGGATGAAAGTTTGCTACAAAGAAGCTGTTTGAACAGTGTAAAATTACCAAAAGTTTACGTGAACTTTGACGAATTCTAGGCGAGTCAGTAAATAGATTTGAAACACTTTTAGTGAGGTGAAAATGGCGTCTAACCGTAAAGGAAATCAACAAAAGGTCAGCGGAGTTTCATTGGGACTCAAGTTCGGTAAATGCACAGTGCAACCCTCTAAAGTCGTGAAGTCCGCACGGTGCAAAGCTGTCGCGCCGAATTTGTCGCAAAATTGATTGAATGTTGCGATAAGCGTCTGCGACATGAAATTTGTCGCAAGATTGAAAAAGATTGATTGAATGTCGCCGCGATTTGAACTCGCGACCTCGAGTCTGTCGCAAAGATCTCCCGAAGTCGCCGCGATTTGGGGGGCGACCTCAGATTTGTCGCAGAATGATTGAATGTCGCTGCGAACTGGAGCTGGGATTCAGGACTGGGAAACGTTGCGACAGGCAAGAGAGTGTGAAATGAAGGGAGCGAGGGAGAGAAAGAAATGAAACGAGGGCTGATTCTTGGTGATTGAAGGAAGTGCACAGTGCAGTTGAAAACCTGGAAAATGGAATTGCACTGTGCAGTGGAAGCCACAGGAAAATGGAATTGCACTGTGCAGTGGAGAATGGGATTGCACTGTGCAGAGGAGAATGGAATTGCACTGTGCAGTGGAAAATGGGATTGCACTGTGCGGTGGAGAATGGGATTGCACTGTGCGGTGGAAAATGGGATTGCACTGTGCAGTCGAAAATGGAATCGCACGGTGCAGTGGAAAGATTGCACTGTGCAGTGGGATCAGAAATTGCACTGTGCAGTGGAAAATGAACTTGCTCTGTGCGGTCAAACACGAGGAGAATTGTGATGCGCCAACGACAAGCTTTTCCCAATAAGGTAAACACACACCCTATCTACTTTTTACTACACCACAAGCCCTTGCTATTGATCCCCTATCCAACAACAACATCCCCAAAGCCCTTACGAAACAGTTCAAGTCATATGTTCGCTGAGGTTCGGAAAAAAGAAGATTTAAACCGCCTTTGACGTTCGAGCCGTCTCTCCCACACAAACAATTGACAATTCGCCCTCTGACAATCACTTGACGGCTAAAAATAATTCATCTTTTTTTCGCCAAAACCCCCCAAGACTTTTTGCGGAAAACGGTTTAAAAACTTTACGCTTTTTTTAAAAGAAAAGTGCGAGGTAAGTGCTTGAGAACTGTATGAATCATTGGTATAGTCCTTGAACAGAAATCTGTTGGGTAAATACAAACTCGCGCGTTTTATAACGCCGCGATAAGACGGGGGAAAATTCATAAAATTGGTGAGAAAAGAGGGGTTTAGCAGAGAAGGAGAAAATGGTTGCAGTCATGACTAAAATATTCAAAGATTAATCGTGTCTTCGTCATCGCAAAATTGTGTTCAACACACTAATTCAATGAAATGACGCGACCTCATTGTTGTGATGCAAAGGGCAATAAAAATATCAATGAAAAAATTATTATTATGGCAGAAGACAGCTATAAATTCCTACTTCAAAAGACTTTATTTCAAACAATCTGTCGGCAGAATCATATTTTTATAGGCTATTTGAGAGGAAGGAGGACTTGAGCCGTAATCAAATTCGGTTAATTCCTGAATCTCCGGTTACATTATCAGTCTGTCAGGAAAATAATGAGCACAATGTCGCTGCAGCAATCGAACTACCATTCGACTTTACCGCGACACAATTTATTTTTTCGGCCGCGTTCCCGATTTTGAATGCGACAGAATGCTCATTATTTCCCCGACAAACTGATAGTATATATTTTCATAAAGTGCATGGACATTTGTTCTTTTTCATACAGTGCATCTTGAACTTTTTCCCACGCTTGTCGCCAAGTGCATTTTGGTCTGTCGGGAAAATAATGAGCATTTTGTCGCATCGAAAATCACATCACCATCAAGAAAATGAATTGTGTCGCGGCAAAATCAAATTGCTTTTCATTTCAGCGACGCCATCGGTCAGAGACAGTGTGCTCATTAATTTCCCGACAGGCTGATATGCCGTGTTTTACCACATTACAATTCGAGAAACCGAATGAATTTTCAGACCCTCAAAATTCGCAGCGCACAGATTCCAAAAACACCGTCAAAACATTCCCAAAAAAGGCAAAAGTCCATTAAATAGCATGACGAAAGCCTCCAGCTCTCCCCAAGGAACGAGTTTGACCCCAAAAGAAAATTGAAAAAGCCCTCGGACGGAAATGCCACGGAGGGCTTTTTCTTTTCAACACACGCATATCCAACTCATTCATCTTCTTCACTCGTTTCAGTTTCTATTCTGGACATAAATTCGGACGAAATAATTAAAAACTGGCGGAAAAACATTGGAGAAAAAAGTCTCGAAAATGAGCGCTTTCGGACTTGAGGATATCGGCTTGAAAAAAGACAAAGCAAATCCCCGGCCGCTGAAGTGTTTTTCGGAGAGAGTTTGTGACACAAGAAGAAGGGCGTCTAACATAAAAAACGTCGAAATATAAATCTGTCGGGAAAATAATGAGCGCAATGTCGCTGCCTCAATCGCGCCGCTGAAGTAAAAAGCAATTTGATTTTGCCCCGACACAATTCATTTTCTCGACGACAATGTGATTTTCGTTGCGACAGAGTGCTCATCATTTTCTCGACAGAATGATAGTATTTTCATAAAGTGCATGGACATTTTTCCGCGTCCCGACATTTCGGGTCAGGGACAACTCGGGTCGCGACAACTCGGGTCAACGACAACTCGGGTCAACGACACTTCGGGTCAACGACACCTCGGGTCAACGACATTTCGGGTCAACGTTGCCGTTTAATATTTTCGCTTCGGGACTGGGAAAAAAGAATTTTTTGGTGAATTTGAGAAATTTTTGAAATGTTTTCGCTTCGGGACTTGGAAAAAAGAATTTTTTGGTGAATTTGAGAAATTTTTGAAATGTTTTCGCTTCGGGACTTGGAAAAAAGAATTTTTTGGTGAATTTGAGAAATTTTTGAAATGTTTTCGCTTCGGGACTTGGAAAAAAGAATTTTTTGGTGAATTTGAGAAATTTTTGAAATGTTTTCGCTTTGGGACTTGGAAAAAAGTATTTTTTGGTGAGTTTGGACAAATTTTTGAAATGTTTTCGCTTCGGGACTGGGAAAAGGATTTTTTTGTTCTGAATGTTACAATTTATTTTTTCATAAGGTACGAATGTTATTTCTTTAATTTTTTAAATAAATAGTTATTTTACGGGTAATTGAGGTATATTTTAAAAATTTTTTGGGAAAATGGTGTTTATAAGCGACGAACAAATAAAAAAATCGTTATGTGCATACAATCATTACGACTATATTCTTACTCCACTCTTTGGCACTGTCTGCGTTTAAATCCCGTGCTCCCAGTTAAAAACATGGGAAATGGTTACGATTTTCTTATTTGCTCGTCGCTTATACACTATTTCCCTAAAGAATTTAAAAAATAAACCTCAATTCTTCAAAAAATTCTTTTTCCCCAGTCCCGAAGCGAAAACATTTAAAAATTTTGTTCAAATTCTTCAAAAAATTCTTTTTTCCAAGTCCCGAAGCGAAAACATTTCAAAAATTTCTCAAATTCACCAAAAAATTCTTTTTTCCCAGTCCCGAAGCGAAAATATTTAAAAATTTTGTTCAAATTCTTCAAAAAATTCTTTTTTCCAAGTCCCGAAGCGAAAACATTTCAAAAATTTCTCAAATTCACCAAAAAATTCTTTTTCCCAGTCCCGAAGCGAAAATATTAAACGGCATCGTTGACCCGAAATGTCGTTGACCCGAGGTGTCGTTGACCCGAAGTGTCGTTGACCCGAGTTGTCGTTGACCCGAGTTGTCGCGACCCGAGTTGTCCCTGACCCGAAATGTCGTAGCGCCCATTTTTCCCCCTTCGCACAGTGCGTATCAAACGTTTTTCCACGCTTTCGCCAACGCACAGTGCATTTTCTTTTTTGGCGCAGCGCGACAAATGTCTGTGCACTTTATCAGTCTGTCGGGAAAATAACGGCGGTTCGTCGCCCCTCCGAATCGCCCATCATCGCTTTGCGACGGATTTGGCGCCCGAAAGCGGCAAGGCGAGACATTTTGCTGCGACGATCCGCCGTTATTTTCCCGACAGACTGATATGAAAAATCTACTAGTTTTTCCACAAAGTGCTCTTCTCACAAAGTTTTTTGCACTGTGCGAAAAGAAAAAATTGCACTGTGCGAAGCGCGACAAATGTCCATGCACTTTATGAAAATCGCAATAGAAGCCTCAACAAAATTTCATCCCATTTTCTTCCACGACAAAGAACGCATTGAGCCCGAATTTCTTCTTTCAAAATAAAAAACATCCCAAATTGTTATCATTCCACCCGCTTGGCGCCTTTTTTATCACTCACCGCCGCGCTAATTGGAAATGAAAGAATAAAGTGTGCGATCACCGGAAGGTGGTATAATTAACCTACTATTTCGAAACATTTCCACCTGTTAGTCATTGTAGGTGGCAAACACAAATAGGGTCGCCGGAAATTGATGATGAAACTGTATTGTAAAGACTGGAAAAAAATAACGAGCGATTTTTGAAAGGGGTGGAATGTAGACAAGTTTAGGTGGAAACGAACAAGTGATGATGTAAATTAAGCTGATATATTCAACGGTCATTGTGGCCGAGAGAGTACGCAAAGAGCGGAGAGCGGTTCGAGAGAAAAACATTTTTTGGCCATATCTTTGCCAGTTTCGCTGGGAAAAAGCTGATCTTTTGTGGAAACATTATCCTCTACGGTAGAAATAGGTAAGACACCTTTGATGCCAAAAATTCGCAAAAAAATTTCATATTTTTATCAAATTCCGACCAAAAAATGTCGGGAGTTTCCACAACACAATTGATGGAAATCATGAACATGATTTATCAAACAATTTATCTAAATTTGGGCCAAGTTTCGACAAAATCTGACCGCCTCACTTGGAGTTCTTGCCCTGTGAACATAACAAGCGGGCTTTCCAAAAATTGAACATACAATATGCCATTGGACTGATTGAAGTTCCTCATCATGAGGAGAGCAAATCAGTTGACACGAACCAATTCTCTGATAACGGCTTGAACAAGGAACGAAGCTGCAAAACAGGTATTATTTACTGGTTGGAAAAGGAGTTGAATTTGATTATAATGTTTGTCGAGTAAACGTGGTTTTCATGTGAATCATTTACTTTGCCGTCTTAGCTGTATGAAGGCCCACTTAGTACAATATTTTGCAAATTGAATCGCTTAAGAAAGCAAAAGGATTCGACGAAAACCTACGCTAATCTGATCAACTTGAATTTTTTCAACCAATATTTGATAGAATGCAGATTAATCAGTCATTAACCCTTTCCGGACAAGTCGGCACGTACTGGTAAAAATGAAAGAGGGTACCCTACTGAGTAGCGGCATAATAGTGGTTCAGCCCATCGAAGCGTTATTTGGGACTTATGACAAAAAATGTCCTAAAAAGTACCCCCATTTGACATATCACTTTTAAAATTTTTGCGACAAGCTGTAGATCGGAAACTACCCCTAAATTAAAGTCGAGGAGTCCTAGTATCGTTACATCCAAGAACTGTCCAAATCGGAGCACTATGGGATTTGTTATCGATTTTTGGAAATTGAATTTTTAATTTTGGTCAATTTTGGACCTAAAATCAAGTATATCTTCCGCCGGTATCAACCATTTCGATCAAAATGTGGTTTTTCCGAATCTATTGTGATGCTAGCTTCTTCCTAGAATATTTCCAGAAAAACCCTACGAGGCGTATTTCTGTAAAACGCGGAAACGTTGAAAGTTTAAAGGTTTGATCGTATAAAATGTCGCCGCGAGCCGCGAAGGGGCGGGCGCAGCTTGAAACGAGAAAATAATAATTTTTTCTTCGAGAAATATTATTTTAGTGTCGAAAAGCTGATTTCAACACGAAATACAGGCAGAAATAGCACGCAAACATTACATAAATGTCATTTTTATATTTTTACTCTGTTTTCAGGCAATTTCAATCGATTTTAATTTGGTTTCACGCTAAAATCAAACTTCCCGAAAAATTTAAAAATATTTTCTGGTTTCGAGCTGCGCCCGTCCCTTCTCGGCTCGCGGCGACATTTTATACGATCAAACCTTTACACTTTCAACATTTCCGCATTTTACAGAAATATGCCTCGTAGGTTTTTTCTGGAAATATTCTAGTAAGAAGCTAGCATCACAATAGATTCGGAAAAACCACATTTGGAACGAAATGGTTGATACCGGCGGAAGATATACTTGATTTTAGGTCCAAAATTGACCAAAATTAAAAATTCAATTTCCAAAAATCGATAACAAATCCCATAGTGCTTCGATTTGGACAGTTCTTGGATGTAACAATACTATGACTCCTCGACCTTAATTTAGGGGTAGTTTCCGATCTATAGCTTGTCGCAAAAATTTTAAAAGTGATATGTCAAATGGGGGTACTTTTAGGACATTTTTTGTCATAAGTCCCAAATAACGCTTCGATGGGCTGAACCACTATTATGCCGCTACTCAGTAGGGTACCCTCTTTCATTTTTACCAGTACGTGCCGACTCGTCCGGAAAGGGTTAATATTCATCAATTGGCGTACCGCTGACTTGTAATCAATTGAAAACTTCAGCTTCAACAGCTAGGCGATTTTGAAAATCCGAAAAATTATTGTGCTGTGGACAGCGTTGAAATGTCCAGACTACCTCATAAAAAAACACACAAATTTTGGGTCAAGGAGCCTGCAGCCACAATCGACTTTCGCCGATATACATCTCCGCCAACGTCAAGGCGCTGTTTCAAATTAAATAGATTCGTCGCCAAAGTAGTGATTCAGGGAAATAGAAAATCAGATATAGATAAATCTACGAAAAAGCCAATTCACATTTCAACCATCAGCTTCTAATTATAATTGCAGACATTTCATAAGAGGGAATCGGATTTCATTGGAATGTCTTCAGTGGAGGAGAGCTTCACTGTGGTTCTAGACCGATCCGATGAAACTGAAGAATGTCAAAAAGGTAGGGTAGCTTTTAGTGACCTATGTGCAAAGTAGGGGAGTTGAAAAAGGCTATGAAGGTCTATAAGTAAAGTCAAAATGCAGATCTCTTTCTATTTTTAAACTATTTCCTGCATGACTGTTTTTTCGGTAATGGCTTGAGTATAGCTTTCTAGGACCATACCTGGTACTAGTTGTTGGCGACTTCACTGAAACCGCCAATTCTTTTCCCCGAATTTGCATAGAATCAAAGGACAAAGTCTTCATAAGATCAATTTGCCCTTTTCTCAGAAGTCGGCGTCTCTATCCTCTTGAGCGGTTGTATTGCGATTCTCGTGTCTTGCCCAATAAACCCTATTGTGTCTTCTATCGTCTACATTCGTTATACTAGTCCTTCCGGAAAGTCACCGTACTGAAATCGTCGACTGTGAGAAAACTTTGTTTTTTTATCAATCAAAGAATAGAAATTGAGTATTTATATACATCAGTCTGTCTGTCGGGAAAATAATAAGCTCTTTGAAGCGTCTTTCGAAGAGCAAAGTAATTTTTCGAACTCGATAATTCTGTGGCACTTTGCAGACAATCAAGGATCCGAGATTCCTTGTTTTTTCAGTTTTCCGAAAAATTTTTTTGACATGCAACACCGCAGGTCATGCAACTTTTAAAGGGACGCCCTTGCGGCGGCAAATCTATTTTTCAAGCGACAGCCCAAAGCCCTATTGCGCTGCCGAAAAGGCCAAAAAAATAAAAATTTTACACAGTGCAAAGTAAACTCTTGGTTTCGCATAAGCCACGTTTCCGTGGGATGTTCCTAGGAATTTGCATAAATAATTTGTATAAATGTAATGGACCAATCGCTTTTCGTTCAGCCGTTTGGCTTTTCCTCCCGAGTAAACTTCATTTTCCCCCGCCCCCGTCTGATCGTGATTCCCCAAAGTAGACTCAATTATAGTGAGTCCATTGTCAGTGCCGTCTACTTCAGCTAGGACGTTGTTGGTTATTAGGGGCTAGCTATTCGTGTAGACAAGCTAGGGGCCTTCATTCCTCGACCTGGTCTTGACACACAGTGAATGCCGCTAAAATCACTCCAGCGACTTTTCGAACGGATTAGTCGCAGAAATCGAAATTTTTGAATTACATTATTGACGAGAGAATTTGAAATTTAATAGGAGCTTAAAAATCAAACAGTAAAAGCGTCGGTTCAAGTAAACAAACTGATCTTTAGTGGAATTTCCCGCCCATAATAACATGCTGTTTGACATACAAGGGCTACGTTGCATCGCCGTTCTCTATGTCGTTTTGTTTCATCTATGGCCAAAGTTTTTCCCTGCTGGATATCTTGGAGTGGACATGTAAGTAGCGGAATCCGGCGACGTGCTATTATGTTGCTTATAGCTCCAAGTGCGACGCTCTGATTTTGAAAAAAACTTGGCACAAGTTTAAGGCAATTTTTTGTAAGGCATATGCGAGACTGGTAGCTCGCGTTTTGCAGAAATGCTCTTTTGATCGAAAAGAAGCTCGTTCAATATCACGGCTGCCCCTGTAGAGCGCGAGCTAAAACTTTTAGGAAATTGATGTGGTTTATTCCCGACAAAAAATTTGAAGAAAATAGGAGCGATCTGAGCGTCGCACTTGAAACCCTTCCCTCTTTAGATTTTTCGTCATCTCCGGCTACTTGATGCATTACATTCTCTACCCCAAAAGTCTCGACGTTCCAACAATAAAGGACTTTTATTTCCGACGCATTGGCCGAATTGTCCCGGAATACTTATTTATCGTCTTGGCTACAATGACGGCCGTAGTGTTTATATACTCACCATCCGACCTCCCGACAGTAACCCAGGAAATGCTGGCTGCTTCGACCTTCTCCTCAAACATGCTGGCTCTTCCGAAGACGGGATATTTCGACATAAACAACGCGTTCCCACCATTTCTTCATACATGGTCGTTGTCGGCGGAGCTTCAGTTTTATGTGGTCGTGCCGTTTATTTTCTTGGCCTACCGAAAATTGCGAAACGTTAGCGGCTTTTTGGGAACAAGTTTTCTACTCTCGATTCTGGCAGGCAGTATGGCATTTCAAGTTTTGATGAGAGAAGGTAAGAAATAGAGTAAAACCTCGATACAACGGGCCCCATATACCTGTTCAGAGGACATTAGTCTGCCGGGAAATATTAAGCACACTGTCGCATCGAAAATCGCATCGCCGCTGAGAAAATCAATTGTGTCGCGAAAAATAAAACTGCCTTTAACTTCGGTGACGCGATCGGCAAAGCGACACTGTGCTCATTATCAGCCTGTCGGAAAAATAACGGCGGATCGTCGCAGCAAAATGTCTCGCCTCGCCGCTATCGCGCACCAAATCCCAAGTCGCGGCTTGCAGTCGCAAAGCGATGATGAGCGACTCCGAGGCGCGACGATCCGCCGTTGTTTTCCCGACAGACCGATATTTTCCTAACAGACTGATCCTGGTCGCGCCCTTATGTCCATAGAATTTTTTTGCAGACGCCGCGGGGTGCGCTCGCAGAAACATTGCTAGTGCAAAAACGAAATGTCGAAGCGGCGCATACAAAAAAAGAAGCAAACACACCCCGGAAATTTCTAGGTGCTTTATGACGCGACTAGTATCAGTCTGTCGGGAAAATAATGAGCACAGTGTCGTTTTGCCTATCTCGTCACTGAAGTGAAAAGCGATCTGATTTTGCGGCGACATAATTTATTTTCTCGGCTGCGATGCGACTGTATGCTTATTATTTTCCCGACAGACTGATACAGTTATTCTTTTTAAAAATTGTTACATTTATTTAGACACCAATCTCTCCTACATGAATCTCCTCTCACGAATTTGGCAATTTATCGCCGGCTTCTTGGTCAGCAATTACAGTAACGGAAAGGTCAGCGATGAGAGGGTTTCGCTGATGAATTCAAAGAATTTCATGATGATTTGGTTGCTCATCCAGTTATTCGTCCCGGTGACAAATACGATTTGGATTGATCGGATTATCTGCACCTTCTCCGCGGCATTGTTCATTTTCATACGGGAGACGAGTGTAATAGAGCATCCGTGCGCCGTCTACATTGGTGGAATCTCGTACTCGATATATTTGATTCATTGGCCAATCATAACGATTTACAAATACATGGAGGTGACTCCGAGTATCTCACTTCCGGGTAAGCGAACCTTTATTATTATTGTTGTACGATAGTTTTTGTCCCCTAAGTACGTAGACTTTTTGTTGCTGGAAAATGCAGTTTCATTTCATTTTGTTTAATCTTTTCACTCAGTAATTGTATTGAGGAGAATAGGTATGCTACGAGGTATGTGCTACACAATGAGGATTCGTTGGTGTACACTTGGGTGATCAGATTTTAAGACCATCTTCGAAAAAATCTGATCAGCATTACAAACTTAGCGCTTCCCATACGGGTCTCATCCAGGGGATACCGTTTCTCGCGCAACCGAGTCGTGATGAGATGCTCCCCAATACTTCAGGCTAGGTCGGCGCAAAGGTTAACCAAGCATCCGATTTGCCATAGTCTCCATGCATTCAGCAGGTCCCATTCCTTTCATTCGAAAGCGCCTGGTGGCCTGATTCTGCCGCGACACAATTCGTTTTCTTGGCGGCGATGCGATTTTCGATGCGACGGAGTGCCCATTATCAGTCTGTCGGGAAAATAACGGCGGATCGTCGCAGCAAAATGTCTCGCCCCGCCGCTATCGCGCACCAAATCCCAAGCCGCGGCTTGCAGTCGCAAAGCGATGATGTGCGATTCCAAAGCGCGACGACCCGCCGTTATTTTCCCGACAGACTGATATTTTCCCGGCGGACCGATGCTATAACCCTTTTCCCTGGCCTCGACCGTATGCTTATTAAACAACGTTTCAGCTGGAATTCTCATCATCCAAGGCTGCATTCTGCTCAGTGTTGTGGTTGAAGACCTCTTCAAACAGGTTCGATCCCTTACAACAACCACCGCTCGACTAACTCTCGTCATATTCATCTTGTACTTGTCGATTGCGGCGGTAACACTTAGTGCGCCAAGGGCCATTCAGCGAAAAGAAAATATCAGTTTGGAGAACTACGAGGAAATTATTCTGGACACCATGCGAGCCTTCGACAACCGCCAGAATTTGGAGATGACGAAAGATGAGCTGGTTCAGTTTAACAAACGGATTTACGACTTTGCGCATGATTTCTCTCGTAAAGAAAGGACTAATGGAACAATTAATCATCAAGTTGAGGTAAGAACAACCGTTATTACTAGTCCGTTCGGAAAATCTCTCTAGCGACTTTGCGAAGGGGCTCACATGCTATGCAGGCTTTATTTTAGGGCAACGGGAATCTAGAAATCGTCGTGGTTGGGAACAGCATCTCCCGCGAGCTTTATTTCGGGATATGGGGGCGACTGAAGAACAAATTCAAGCGCCTGACCCTGTACTTCAAGGGAGGTATGACGCCGTTTCACGCCGACAAGGATGGAGATCATCCCACCGCTTTCTTGGGAATGCTGGCTTCATTCGACAGGCCGATTGATATTTTAGTGGTTAGACATACGTAAGTCGTTAAACACGTTGTGGTCTGTTGGCAAAGTCGCCAGAGCGATTTTTGGCGCTTGCACGCTGCAAAAAACAAAAAAATCCCAAGTGTAAAGTGAACTTTTTTTTGTCTCATCGTGCATGTCGTCGAATTCACGGTGGCGACTTTAGTAATTTCAGTCTGTCGAGAAAATAACGGCGGGTCGTCGAAGAGAAATGTCTCGCCTCGCCGCTATCGCGCACCAAATCACAAGCCACGGCCTGCAGTAGCAAAGCGATGATGAGCGATTCCGAGGCGCGACTAGACATGGCTCCCGGGCCGGCCTGTGCCGTGGGCCGGGCCGAAGCAAATTTAAAACGGGCCGGGCCGGGCCGACGGAAAATTTGAAACGGGCCGGCCGGAACCCTTCAGGCCGACGGGCCGGGCCGAGATTTTTGGCCCGGGCCGGCCGACGAGCCATGTCTAGGCGCGACGAACCGCCGTTATTTTCCCGACAGATTGATACATCCGCCAATCGAGAAAATAGTGGCCGGCCATCGCAGCAAAATGTTTCGCCTGGTCGAAAACAGGGGTCCAAACCTCAGCTGCGGCTACCCGCCGAAAAGCGGTGATGGGCGATTCACGTCAAACTGAGACAGTGTAAAACGGTCCGGTGAATGGATTGACAATTCGCCAAAAAAAAAGACGCGAAAAAACTTTTTGTCGTGGAAGAAATGGGGAACTTTTGGGGCGAGAGAGTACCTTTTTGCGCGTCTTTTTCTCTGACTTCTCTGTGAAATCAAAACGAAGTGTAAAAAACCGATAGCGAAGAGTCTATTCCGGCCTCCGGACCCCTCAGTTTGACGTGCGATTCCAATGCGCGATGATCTGCCTCTGTTCTCCGGACAGACTGGTAGTACACTCTAGACAACAACTTCATCGACTTATCTGTTAGTTGCATCAACAGAATGTTTGCTTTTTCCGAAGCAAAGTCCAAATGCAACAACTGATGAGAAAAATCATCTTCAACAAAAATGTTGAGCATCTCCTTCGCGTTACATTCGTAAAATACGACATTCCGTTGTTTTAGCTATCATCGACTCAGAAGCCACAAAGAATACATAGAGAACGACATGAAAAATGAGATGGAGAAATTCTATGGCCGTATTAGTTCCATGCCGATCAAGAATATTGTGATATCACTAACCGAATACGAGAGCAGTTTTAACCATCAGCAATTTATCAGGACGTTGGAAACAAGCGATCTCAAAGCACTGGAGAAATTCAATTTTCCGTTGACAGTAAGTCGCTTTGCCATGATACAGTGAGGACCTGATCCAGTGGCAAAAAACGTATCCTTTTGCTTCCGGGAAGTATGAAAAATGTGGCAAAATGCTTCCCTCTCCAAGTGAAAAAACTCCGATTTCAAAAGCGTCGTTTCCCTCACACAAAGAGCGGACGCGCAAAACGGACCTTTTTGGTTGGAGAGGGAAGCATTTTGCCACATTTTTGAAACTTCCCAAATGCAAAATGGTATGTTTTTTTGCCACTGGATCAGGTCCCACATTGTACCTCCCTCTCCTAGCGAAAAAACACCAATTTCGAAAGCCGCTCTTTGTAATGGAAAGGGCCCTTCAAAAACGAGTTTTTTTCGCTTTGAGAAGCATTTTGCCACATTTTTGATACTTCCCGGATATAAAATGGTTACAAAAAACCACTGTAAGGGAAGTACCCCAAGTGCACCGCTCAGATTCTCCTTAAAGTCTGACGATACTCCCGGGGTCTTTCCATACTAAAAAGAAAGTTTCCTTCCAGAAGACCGAAAATGCAAACCTGCTGCTAGACAAGACTATTATGAGTATAAACTGCCCGAAATGCCATTTCGTCGACACATTTCGACGACTTTGCGACCCAACGCGCGATCGATGTGTTGCTGTGGATGAACGAGGAGTGGCGAACTACAACGACGGTCATCATGCCACGTTGTTTGGGTCGTTTCATATTGTTGACGAATTTATTGTTAGCCTGGAAAGAGCCGGGATTTTATAATAATAATAAAAATAATTTACAAACCATCATTATATGTACTACCCGGTACATATAATGATGGCATTGTGCATTTCTCACGAAGATGCAAAATGCACCGTGCAATACCCCACAGAGTGGGAAGTCGTGCAATTGTCCTGTGTCAATCAATGTATAGGTTCTTTTCAGCAGTATGAAGGCTCGTTTTCATTGAAATATTTTCCAACTTCAATCGTATATTGAAATCAAAAAGATTTTGCCGAAAATCTCAGCTAATCTGATCAACTTGAATGTTTCGTCCGCCAAATTGACAGATTAATCAGCCAATAATTCCCGCCAATCAGCCATTAATGTTCATTAAATGGCTTACCGCTGACTTGCAACCAATTGAAAACTTCAACTTCATCAGCAAAGTGATTTTGGAAATACGAAAAAATTATTGTGATGAGGACAAGGTTGAAATGTCCAGGCCGCAACATCAAAATGCACCCATATTTTGAGTCTAGAACCCAACAGCCGCAATTGCCTTTCGCTGATACACATCTCCGCCGGCTACGAGGAACAGCCGGTTTTCACAGCCTTAATCTATGATATGCGCCTGTGTGTGCAATCCGAATTAAATTCAATTCCTAAGTCGCAAACCAGAGATAGATAAATCTACGAAAAAGCCAAAAAAAAAAGATTTCAACTATCAACTTATATATACATCCTTGCGAGGACTTCATAATTGGGAATCGGATGTCAATTGAATGCCTTCGGAGGGAAAGATTACCACGGTGTTCCTAGGCGCAGCCGAATCAACTGAGACTTGTCAAAAAGGTAGAGTTCTTAATTGTGATCCACGGATATGTATCAGTCTGTCGGGGAAATAGTGAGCGCTTAGTCGCATCGAAAATCGCATCGCCGCCGAGACAATAAATTATGTCGCACCGGCATCTGTACTTTTGGGACACAGCCGGTCTCCCCGAATTTTTTCTGTTTTTTCAAAGTTGACCTCCTTCTTTAATTCATTGCTCGCTAGCTGTTAAAGCTAGAGGCTTGAAAATTGGCACGAATACAGAGCAAAGGCTCCGCTTTCAGAATCTGTAAATATTGTAATGAACCCCGCGCTGTAAGCTCCGCAATAACATGCCAAAATATGGCATTCTTCGTTAAAATTGGGTTAAAACCTTCCGTGCAGGGAACGAACTATCAATCTGTCTGAAAAATAATGCGGATTTGTCACGATTTGAAATCGTACATTATTGCTTCACAACGTCTAGCTGCGAATTCAATTTTGCGCGCGACTGCGACGAGGCGAGAGATTTTGCGGCGATAGTCCCACATTATTTTCCAGACAGACTGATAAAAGAGATCGTGAATTCCTACCACTTCTACCGCTACTTTGTTCTTATTCAGACCGAAGTCGACCGGTACAAAGCATGATGCGAAAGGATATACAAGGATTACGTTGTCTGGCAGTTGTCGGTGTCGTTTTATTCCACATATGGCCGCAGTCATTCAGGAATGGCTACCTTGGCGTTGATATGTAAGTGGATATCAAATGTGGCAAAGAAAGTGCGGAGAGGTCTGCCTTTAGTCCCACTACGATGACAATTGTACTGTCAGTCTGTCGGAAAAATAATGTGGACTTGTCGCAGCAGGACTGCACGCCAAATCCACTGCGCCGATCGCGTCGCGAAAGTGAAAAGAAATTTAATTTTGTTGCGACACAATTAATTTTCACGGCGGCGATTTTTGATGCGACAGAGTGCTCATTATTCTCCCGACAGGCTAATAATTGGTAACCTTCCCCGCTTTCAGTTTCTTCGTCATCTCCGGCTACTTGATGTGCATGTTAATGTCACGCCGACCTCTCAGCACAGAGTCCGCCTTAGACTTTTACTTTCGGCGTCTGAGAAGGATCGTCCCTCAATACCTCTTCATACTGATCTTGATTCTCTTGGCAGCAACTTATTTTATGGCCCCATCTGAGCTTTACAACGTAATACGAAAAGGACTTTACTCTTCTGTATTCGTCTCGAATATATTTGGCCTGCCAACCCGCGGGTATTTCGGAGCCTCGACCAGTTTCGATCTATTCTTACACACATGGTCGCTAAGCGTGGAGTTGCAATTTTATTTGATCGTTCCGCTGATATTTTACATTACCTGTAGGCTACAAAGCATTCGTAAGACAGTGGATCTAGTATTTATTGGACTGCTTGGAGCGATCAGCTGTTTTTTGCAATTCCATTTTGACCATGGTAAGTGAACATGATCCAGAATATCAGTCCGTCGGGAAAATAATGAGCATTCTGTGGTATCAAAAATGGCGTCAAAAATCAGACATGGTTGATGGAGCCTGGATAAGATATTTTCAAAATTTCCGAGTCCCGGCCCGGTCCGATTCCACCTTCGAATAGAAAAGAAATAAACGAGATGGCTTGTGGTCTTGCGGTGGTTTCAGCAGTTGATTACTTCAAACACCTTCTACCTGAAATTACTTGGCCTTTCAAGTGTAAGGTTGCTGATGCGGAAAGCGGGTAATCGATGCGACTTTATTATTACCAACACAACCGGCCGTCTTCATACCGTTTTCTGGCGTCGCGACACTTGCGGGCAACCGCTTTGCGGGCAACCAGTTTGCGGGCAAATTTTTTGCGGGCAACCACTTTGCGGGCAAAATTTGGGGGATCACATTTGCGGGCAGCTGAAACATTTTCGGGCAGCTGAGACACTTGCGGGCAGCCTGGGACACTTGCGGGCAGCCGACATTTGGGCAACAGGAAAAAACAATCACACAGACTGTATTGGTACTTTTGGAACTGTTGCCCGCAAATGTCGGCTGCCCGCAAGTGTCGGCTGCCCGCAAATGTCGGAAAACTTCTAAAATATCGAAGTAATTTTTCCACCTCCACCTTGTTATCCTCAAGTGCCGGTTGCCCGCAAATGTCGGCTGCCCGCAAATGTCGGCAAAATTCCAAAATATCATAGTAATTTTTCCACGTCCACCCTGTTACCCTCACAATCAGGTGTCCGGTTGCCCGCAAATGTCGGCTGCCCGCAAATCTTCCAGGCTGCCCGCAACTGTCGACCCTGCCCGCAAATGTCCCAGGCTGCCCGCAAATGCCGGTGCTGGCCGCAAATGTCGGCTGCCCGCAAAGTGGCTGCCCGCAAGTGTGCGCCCGCCCGTTTTCTTCTCACTCCTCGATCTTCGGTCGAGGCGCTAGGACTTGGATTTAGATAAGCGCGGTCACTCCGCCTCTAACTTACGTCGTTAGCGTCGCTGGCCGCGACACGGGCCTGAAATTTTCTGAACCCCAAAGCCGGCCTCAAAAAACAACTCCGGATCGGGCCCGGCTCCTTTCAAAACTTCCAGCACTCAGCAAAGCACAACCCGGCGCTCAGCCATGTCAGGAGAAAATGAATTCTGTCGCGGCAAAATCAAATTGTTTTTCACTCCAACGCCGCGGCGCGCCGCGATTGGCGCAGCGACATTTTGCTCGTTATTTTCACGACAGACTGATAACACAAATTTAGATCAAAACATTGCTCATATGGCCTTGTACTGCCGGATTTGGCAATTTATCTGTGGCTTCCTTGCTTTTCGTGCTTATAGCACTTTCAAGACATCAGATTCAACTAAATCATCGCAAAAGCTAACAATTGCCGGCTCAATTTTCCTTTTTGTGCTATCATTTACACTGACGTTTGACATCATCGACAGCAAGCAATCCTCGAGATTCTTCGTTACCGTGTTGGCTACAATTCTGATAGCCATTCCGAAAGAAAACGAGATCTTGAGTTTGCGGCCGATCGTCCATATTGGAGACATTTCATATTCAATCTATTTGCTTCACTGGCCTTTAATCAAAATTGCTCATTATACTTATTACGACGATTACAGGGCAAGCGCAGGACTGCCGTTGGATGGTAAGAATATAAATTAGTCAAATTGAAAAATATCTCAGCGGCCCCTGCCAAGTGCAAGCTAAATGTTTCATGAATTATTAAGGCGCTTATCCAAAATTCAGGTGCAAAATCTAAGGAAAATATGAGGCTCCTATATACGCGCTACGCTCTTCTTGTAAACAGCTTGTATAAAGATGTTAGCTTTTGCGGACAGCCGCTTCATATGATCTCTAAATTGCTTATATTGGAAGGCGGCCGGCGGATTTGTTCTGCAGTCTGTCGGGAAAATAATGAACACAATTTTGCTACGCCAATCGCGTCGCTGAAGTGAAAACCTGTTTGACTTTGCCGCCACACAATTTATGTTCGCGATGAGATTTTCGATGCGGAAGAGTGCTCATTATTTGCCCGACATCCTGATAGGCTGTATCGGTTTATTAAAAATTGAATCTAACAAAAATCGAAGTCTTTTGCAATAGCTCAAAAAATGCCTCAATTACATGCCTTTCAGTGCTCGTGATCTTGTTATTATTTATCTGTTACGCGGCCTCATACGCCGTTGAAACATTATTCCATTATGTAACGTTCCACATGAAACGATGGAAGGATCTCCTCTTCACTCTTACGATACTTTACGCTGTTTTATTTGGAGCCGCAGTATTTGCATATAACATTTCCTCCGCGTCCAGCGACATTTTCCGAAAACGGAACTTCACACTTGAGGAATTAGTGTATGATTTACATTTGCACGGCAATAAATCATGGCCATATAATCGTCTGGAGACAATGGAGCTGAATAATCGAATGTATCAAGAGGGAACGCTCGAGTGGTCGGTGTGCAAGGACAAAAGGAAATATTTGAAAACGAAGACAAAGTTTGATCTTCATTTTGCAATGTGGATGTGCCACACTAAAGTAGGTTCAGCATAATAACTAGGCTGGGCTTCTTTGAGCCCAAAGCTCTGATAAAAAAAACCGACTTGGTTAGGGCAGGCCCGGGTAATATTTGGCAGGTCGACTAGGGGCTGGCCTGGTTAGGGACAGGCCCGGTTAGAGAAAGGCCCGTTTATAAGCAGGCCAGTTTTGGGAGATGCCCAATAAAGGACAGCCCGTGTTGGCGATAATGCCAAATTTGAATAATGAAACATCCCATAAAAGCCACAAAAATCCTTTTTGTGGTCTCATTCTTTTTCCATGCTCCGCGTCGAATAAATACTCTCTCTTTTGACCGGTCTATTCTCGTCTATCAACTCCCGATCTCCTCTTTTCCGTGCCTACCCAGTACATGAGGTGCACGAGCCAACAGTGAAACGGACCTCAAAGTATTCCCGTCAGGGTGTTCGACCCTTTGAATTTTGAGCCCCGATCCCACAAGAGGCCCCGTTCGAGGCTATCAATAAAACAAGCGGTAATCTTGGCCTTCTTATTGCCCTAGATACAAATTCTAGGAAATTCCCCAACAGTAATCCAAGACTTTCCATTCCCCTTCACCCGTCTTTTCCCGAGTTTATCGTTTTCGAAGTGAATCTTTCCCTCTACTATAGAGATGGTTATGAGGCAGATTCGATGGGATAAAGATTCGTATCTTTCAAAGCTCCGTCTAGTAGGCATTCTACTCTATCCTACCGAAGAAATAACGGCATAATTCCAGGGAAAAGGATCGAAAGAAGTTGTGGTTTTCGGGAACAGTCTGGCAAGAGATCTCCAATATGGAGTTAGCACAATCTTCAACGACGTCATTGGCAATTTATCGGTTATTGCCGCGGGCCACTGCTCTCCGTACATGGCCAAATATGCGCAAAAAACGCTTTTCTGTGACGAAAAATGTCTAAAACACTGCTTTGATTATGAGCGACAGATTCTCAACATCTTGAAGGAATGGCCAACGCCAATAGATATTATAATTGTTCAGCATTCGTAAGTCAAAATAATCATATTTATACGCAGTTGTATCTCGAAACAGTCTGTATATTTTTATTTTAGATACGGCGAGTTCAAGAGATTACCGTACAATCCCAACGATGAGCCACAACAAATTATTCAGAACTTTTATTCGCAATTAGAAAGCATCGCAAGAGAAGCAGTAATCCTTCCGTATGCTGAAGTGTGGGCCCCATCCGAGTTTACAGTTTACATGAAACGACTAGCTTTTCTAGATGGAGTAATTTCTAGCTCCGACAAGGTAGGTTTGAAATACTATCAGTCTGTCGGGAAAATAACGAGCGCAACGTCGCATTAAAAATCGCATCGTTGTCGAGAAAATGAACTGTGTCGCGACAGAATCGAATTACCTTTCAATTCGCGCAGCGACCTTGTGCTGATTATTTTCCCGACAGACTATTACGAGTTTCTTAACTCCTCTTATTTTAGCGTCAGAGAAACGAAACAGAAATTATAAACAAGAGAATAGAGGATATCAAATGCCGGAAATGTATTAAAATCGATTATTCAAAATTAGTTTGCCACAAAAATGGAAGATGCAATTTCTCAAGTCCAAACGGAACGCTGTATTATGTTGATCATTTGCACACGACAATGTATCATAGTCTCACTTACGCAGAAAGAATTCGGCAACGATATGACGAATTTTTAATGAATAATGAGTAATAAACGTATAGATTTAACCGGATACGAGACTCTTGCCTTGCGCTTTGCCGAAGCGACCGAGAGTTTTAGGCGGAAAATCGGAAGAAATGTGATAAGCAAACGATAATTTCACGGTGCAAAATGGTTAAAAATGGCCCGCGAAACATGCTATGCAAAGGCAAAAGTTAACGATCGTCCAACATCCGCTCCGATTCCATTGAGAAAAGCCTGTGTCGCTGCGATATTGCACTTGCACGGTGAAATGCTCCAGGCAAAAAGAGGCTTTGTGCACAGCGTAGCCCACGGCAAAACGTAAACGTCTACTATGCTGCTAGTCTTCCCAGAAAGGGAAAGAAGAGAGGTGGAAGGGCGAAAAATTGATAAAATAAAAAAAAAGTTTCAAGTTTTCGGACTCAAAGTAACATCAGAAATTCGCCCAGACCGACTTGAAAAAATCAGCTTTGCCAAGGGCGACAATGAAATGGCCGTCAGCCGTGAGGCCATTGACTTCATCTTCAACGAGACGAATGTTGAGAGCTTTGCACTTAAAGCACTGCCTCTAATTTTCTCAACTCTGACCTCTACACGTCAAACTGAGAAGCCAAAACTATGAATGGATTGGCAATTCGCCAAAAAAAGATGCGAAAAAATTTTTTGTTGGGGAAGAAATGGGGAGTTTTTGGGGCGAAAGAGTACGGTTTTGCGCGTCTTTCTCTGTCTTCTCTGTAAAACCAAGACGAAGTGTAAAAAACCGATCTTATTTCGGCCACCGGAGAAAAATAATTCGCTTTTTTCAAAAATGCGTTGTGCATTTTGCGTTTTCTTTGCGTGCGCAAGTCGCCGTTTTGCCCCGTGCAATTGTCTGTCGCTTATCACACTTCCGCCGATTTTCGACCTAAAACTATTGATCTTTAAAAGATCAGGAGCCTGAAGTCTCATATCCGGTTTTACACATGTACACGTTTATTACTCCTTATCACATTTCTTCCGATTTTCTACCTAAAACTCTCGGTCGTTTCGGCAAGGCGCAAGGCAAGACTTTCCGGTTAAATCTACACGTTTATTACTCATTATTCATTAAAAATTCGTCATATCGTTGCCGAATTCTTTCTGCGTAAGTGAGACTATGATACATTGTCGTGTGCAAATGATCAACATAATACAGCGTTCCGGTTGGACTTGAGAAGTTGCATCTTCCATTTTTGTGGCAAATCAATTTTGAATAATCAATTTTAATACATTTCCGGCATTTGATATCCTCTATTCTTTTGTTAATAATTGCTGTTCCGTTTCTCTCCCACTAAAATAAGGAGTTAAGAAACTGGTAATAGTCTGTCGGGAAAATAATGAGTACGCAGCGCACTTAATGTAAAGAGCCATTTGACTTTGCCGCGGCAAAATTAATTTTCTCGACAACGAAGCGATTTTTGACGCGACGTTGCGCTCATTATTTCCCCGACGGACTGATAGTATTTCAAACCTACCTTCTCGGAGCTAGAAATAACTCCATTTAGAAAAGCTAGTCGTTTCATGTAAACTGTAAACTCGGATGGGGCCCACACTTCAGCATACGGTAGGATTACTGCTTCTCTTGCGACGCTTTCTAATTGCGAATAAAAGTTCTGAATAATTTGTTGTGGCTCATCGTTGGGATTGTACGGTAATTTCTTGAACTCGCCGTATCTGAAATGAAAATGTACAGACTATTACGAGATCCAACTGCGTGTGAAAAGGATTATTTTGACTTACGAATGCTGAACAATTATAATATCTATCGGCGTTGGCCATTCCTTCAAGATGTTGAGAATCTGTCGCTCGTAGTCGAAGCAATGCTTTAGACATTTTTCGCCACAGAAAGGCGTTTTTTGCGCATATTTGGCCATGTAAGGAGAGCAGTGGCCCGCGGCAATAACCGTTAAATTGCCAATGACGTCGTTGAAGATTGTGCTAACCCCGTATTAGAGATCTCTGGCCAGACTGTTGCCGAAAACCACAACTTCTTTTGCTCCTTTTCCCTGGAATTATGCCGTTATTTCATAGGTAGTATAGAGCAGCATGGCTACTAGTCGAAGGTTTGAAAGATACGACGCTTTATCCCACCAAACCTTCCTCTTACCATTTCTATACTGGCTAGAGGAACGGATTCACTTCGAAAACGATTAACTCGGGGGTAAGATGGGTGAAGGGGAATGGAAAGTCTAGGATTACTGTAGGGGAATTTCCTAGAACTTGTATCTAGGGTCACAATTGCCAATTGTTCTACTGATAACATGGGCGTCTTGTGGGATCGGGGCTCGAAATTCAAAGGGGCGAGCACACTGCAAGGGTGACGCGAAAAGGACGAAGACGGGAAGGCTTACCGTACGTTGAGGTCCGTTATTCAAATTTGGCATTACCGCCAACAAGGTTTATCGGGCATCTCCCAAAAACCAAGCCAGCCCGTAGTCGTCCTGTTTTTATCCGGGCAAGTCTACCCCTACCGCGCCTTCCCCAAAACTGGACGGGGGTTACGCTTTATTTTTAGGACTGCGGACATGGGCACAAGTCCCCGCACTTTGTTTCCTTGATCCGGGCCTGCCACTATCCGACCTGCCATTTACCAGGCCTGTCGAGACATGGCTCGGAAGCCGGAAGAGGTCGGCCCGGCCCCGGGGGCTTTCAAACTCGCTCGGCCCGGCCCACTAGACAGGCCTGTCCTTAGCCGCGCCTGTCTCCAACCTGTAACAAAACCGGGTCTTCCCTTAACCGGTTGTGTCCTCACCCTAACCGACGTGTTACCATTCAGGTCTGTCTCCAACTGGGGTCGTCCCAAACCGGCTTTGCCCCCAAACCGGGTTTGCCTTGATCCGGGTCTGCCACTAACCGGCTTTAGGGCCGCAGACTTCGGAACAAGTAGTCGCTTTTTGGAGTAGACCCTGTTCTATTGGTTGCAAGGAGATCCGGCATATGTCTGATGCTAAACCTACTTTAGTGTGGCACATCCACATTGCAAAGTCGAGATCAAACTTTGTCGTCGTATTCAAATATTTCCCTTTGTCCTTGCACACCGACCACTCGAGCGTTCCCTCTTGATACATTTGATTATTCAGCTCCATTGTCTCCAGACGATTATATGGCCATAATTTATTGCCGTGCAAATGCAAATCGTACACTAATTCCTCAAGTGTTAAGTTCCGTTGTCGGAAAATGTCGCTGGACGCGGAGGAAATGTTATATGCAAATACTGCGGCTCCAAATAAAACAGCGTAAAATATCGTAAGAGTGAAGAGGAGATCCTTCCATCGTTTTATGTGGGACGTTACATGATGAAATAATGTTTCAACGGCGTATGAAGCCGTATAACAGATAAATAATAACGAGATCACGAGCGCTGAAAAGGGTACAATTGAGACATTGTTTGAGCTATTGCAAAAGACTTCGATTTTTGTTAGATTCGATTTTTAATAAACCGACACAGCCTATCACGGGCATAATGAGCACTCTTCCGCATCGAAAATCTCATCGCGAACATAAATTGTGTGCCGGCGAAGTCAAATGGCTTTCCAATTCAGCGACGTTGGCACATCGAAATTGTGGTCATTATTTTCCCGACAGACTGGTAGATAAATCCGCCGGCCGCCTTTCAATGTAAGCGATCTTGGAAGTCATATGAAGCGGCTGCCCGTAAAAGCTAACGTCTCTATTCAAGCCGTTCACAAGACAAGCGTTCCGCGTATGTAGGGGCCTAATATTTTCTTTAGATTTTGTGCCCGAATTTTGGATAAGCACCTTATTAATTTCTAAAACATTTAGCTTGCATTTGGCAGAGGCAGCTGAAATATTTGACGATTTTATAAATTTATATCCTTACCATCCAACGGCAGTCCTGCGCTTGCCCTATACTTCTCGTAGTAAGTATAATGAACAATTTTGATTAAAGGCCAGTGAAGCAAATAGATTGAATATGAAATGTCTCCGATATGGACGATCGGTCGCAAACTCAAGATCTCGTTTTCTTTCGGAATGGCTATCAGAATTGTAGCCAACACGGTAACGAAGAATCTGGAGGATTGCTTGCTGTCGATGATGTCAAACGCCAGTGTAAATGATATCACAAAAAGGAAAATTGAGCCGGCAATTGTAAGCTTTTGCGATGATTTAGTTGAATCTGGTGTCTTGAAAGAGATATAAGCACGAAAAGCAAGGAAGCCACAGATAAATTGCCATATACGGCAGTAGAAGGCCATATGAGCAATGTTTTGATCTAAATTTGTGTTATCAGTCTAACGGGAAAATAATGAGCGTAATGTCGCATCGAAAATCGCATCACAGCCGAGAAAATGAACTTGATTTTTCCGCGACACAATTCATTTTCTCTTGACATGGCTGAGGGCCGGGTTGGGCTGAGTATTGGATGTTTCGCAAGGAGCCGGGCCGGATCCGGGGGGTTTTTTTTGAGGCCGGCTTCGGGGTTTAGAAAATTTAAATCTCAGGCCCGCCTCCCTTCATATAATTTAAAGGGCCGGGGTTCTAGATTTGTCAACTCGATGGAATTTATGGAGAGAGAGAGAGAGATGTCCCTCCGTGTCAACTGTTTCGCCAGCTGTTTCCCCCGATGTTCGAAAATGTTCGATGCAGATATCCCGAAGCGGAGCGCCTGAATCACGGCACCGTAACCTTCTCTCAGGTTTTATCCCATCTTGATTGATCAGTTGCGAGTGTTGTTGTAGTAGAGTGAAGTTGTGTAGTTGTTGTGGTCGTGAGGTGTTGTATTCTGGATGTTGTTGTAGAGTTGTGTTTTATTATCGTATTGGTGTTATTCTACTTTCATTGTAATTGTTACTCTTCTTGATAAATTCATTTATTCGAGTCAATTGTCATTTATTTCTCGTGTTGATCCAAAGCGGAACGAGTTGCATCGATTACCCGCTTTCCACATCAGCAACCTTACACTTGGAGGCCAAGTAATTTCAGGTAGAAGGTGTTGGAAGTAATCAACTGCAGAAACCACCGCAAGACCACAAGCCATCTCGTTTATTTCTTTTCTATTCGAAGGTGGAATCGGACAGGGCCGGGATTGGAAATTTTGAAGATGGCCGATCCAGGCCCCATCAACGATGTCTGATTATTGACGCCATCTTTGATACCACAGAGAGAAAATTATTTTCCCGACAGGCGTGAAAAACGATTCTGGTAAATGTTCACTTACCGTAGTCAAAATAGAATTGCAGAAAACAGCTGATCACCCCAAGTAATCCAATAAATATTAGATCCATTGTCTTTCGAATGCTTTGTAGTTTACAGATAATGTAAAATATCAGCGGAACGATCAAATAAAATTGCAACTCCACACTTAACGACCAAGTGTGCAAGAATAGATCGAAACTGTTCGAGACCCCGAAGTACCCGCGAGTTGGCAGGCCAAATATATTCGAGACGAATACAGAAGAGTAAAGTCCTTTTCGTATAACGTTGTAAAGCTCAGATGGGGCCATAAAATAAGTTGCTGCCAAGAGAATCAAGATCAGTATGAAGAGGTATTGAGGGACGATCCTTCTCAGACGCCGAAAGTAAAAGTCTAAGGCGGACTCTGTGCTGAGAGGTCGGCGTGACATTAACATGCACATCAAGTAGCCGGAGATGACGAAGAAACTGAAAGCGGAACAGGTTACCAATTATAAGCCTGTCGGTGACACTCTGTATGTAGTATCGAAAATCGCCGCCGTGAAAAATAATTGTGTCGCAACAAAATTAAATTTCTTTTCACTTCAGCGACGCGATTTGGTGAGCGATCCCGGCAAGGCGAGACATTTCCGCGACAAATCCACATAATTTTTCCCGACAGACGACAATTGCCATCGGAGTGGGTGGCATTAGAGGCGGACCTCTCCGTACTTTCTTTCTTTGCCACCACTTACACATCAACTCCAAGGTAGCCATTCCTGAACCACCGCGGCCATATGTGGAATAAAACGACACCGACGACTGCCAGACAACGTAATCCTTGTATGTCCTTTCGCATCATGCTTTGTACCGGTCGTCTGGCTCTGAAAAGAGCAAAATAGCGGTAGAAAAGGTGTGAGTTCTGCATTCAGACCCATTTTTTTTTTTTTTTTTACGGTCGGGAAAATAATGTGGATCTGCTGTCTCGCCTCGTTGCAGCCGCGCACAAAAATTGCATCGGCAGCAAGCCGTTGTGAAGCGATGATGGACCATTTCAAATCGCGAGAAATCCACATTATTTTCCCGACAGACTGATAGTAAGCTACCTGCCCGGAGGGCTAAAATAAATCTTGGGCAAAGTAAAGGATTGCACTAAGCTTAAGCCGAACGACACTAAGCCTAAATTAAGCACCAGTGCTACTTCAACGAGCTAATTGTAACCAATAATCGACGAAGTTCGACGGGCCGGCATGTCAAGCGCAAGCTAAGAAAACTACTGAATATTCTTAGAGAAAAAAGTCAAGGATTCGGTGCGGCACAAACACATAGTTTAAGATAAAATCGGGAAAAATAGGCGGTAATTATGTTGAAAAGCCTTGCGGAAAATAAAGGTCACTTATTTTCAACAAGGCGGTTTTTTGTTTCAAATGTGCAATTTTAATTAGATTTTAGATGTTTATCGACGGAATTGCGGAAGAAAAAAAATTCTGGAGTCGGAAACGTATTCATCGCAGCCTCGTTTACCAAAGAACGGAATTGTTTTCCCAGCCCTTCCCGGAAGTGGATGATATTAAATAATTTCAAGTATTAATTTCGAGTGCATGCAGTTAGTTAAAATTTTTATGATGCTTATAGGTGTAAAAGATGACGGTTTCAATAGTACCAAACATTATACGGTTAATTCATTTAAACCTGCGAGACGAGTCTTTAATTCTAAAACTCAAAAATACACAAGACTTATGGGTTTGATTTTCACGCGACACAGCTAATTTTCTCGACTGCGGTGCGATTCTCGATGTGACGGAATGCTGATAATTTTCCCGACAGGCTGATATATTACAATAGATTCCAATCGTCCAGCGCGAGTAGCTCACTCCGCTGCTTCTTCGCCAATTGTCCACACACTCCGATGGTCAACCGCTCGTTCAGGCTGCGAGTTACTGATCTTACTTTTCTTTCCAAATCTCGGAACCAGGCTGACCGGTTAGAGTATCGGCCCGGATAAAGGACACATCCGGTGAAGGGAAGACCCGGTTTGGTAAAGGGCAGGTTGGGGACAGGCGTGGTTAAGGAGAGGCCCGTATAAGTGGTATATAGGCCGGTTAAGAGCACTCCCGATAGGGGCAGGCCGCTGGGCGCAACCCTGCTCAGTGGCAAGCTCGGTAGGATAAATCTTCGTGTCTGCCGAATTTTGGCCTAGTAGCCATCCTACTCCATACTACCTCTGAAATAACGGCATAATTCTAGGGAAAAGGAGCCAAAGAAGTTGTTGTATTTGGCAAGATTGCGCTCTTTATTTTTGCCATAGCCTTATACTTGTCATAAGGCGATTATTTATGCAGTTAAATTTTGAATATCTTATATTAAAGGTTTAGAGATTAGAGCACATCAAACTGAGGAGTCCGGTGACCGAAATAGTATCGGTTTTTTATGCTTCGTCTTAATTTCACAGAGAAGACAGAGAAAAGACGCGCAAAAACGTACTCTCTCGCCCCAAAAACTCCCCATTTCTTCCCCGACAAAAAGTTTTTTCGCGTCTTTTTTTGGCGAGTTGACACTCCTCCATTCATAGTTTTGGCTTCTCAGTTTGACGTGTAGAGCTCAGAGTTGAGAAAATTAGAGGGAATGAAGTGTAATGTCCAACATTTTCTACATAGAGTGGCTTTAAACACAGCAATAACTCTTTCGCACGGCAAAACAACAAACATAACGAAAATCAATGGATAACCGAAATTTTCAGAGAGGTCCTCAAGCTCTGCATCGTCCAGTGTTGTGGTATCTTACCTGAAATGCAATTATTATAAAGATTTTTACTTAAAAGTCTGTAAACACGTTTTTTTCACCTTACATGCGGCAACTCTTCGTAGAACTGTTTATCCAGCGATTTTTCATCAAACGGCTGTATGTATGTTCGATTATACAACGATTCCAGCTCACAAACAATGGGATTAAAATCGAAACTGGGCATCAGTTTGTTGATATTGATGTAGGGCGTGTTATGAACATGGTCCCGCAAGTCCTCAACGCCATATATGCAGATGCGATGGCGGAATTTTTTGCTATTACATCTCGATTTTTCCCCGAAATTCGATCTTCGTGTTATGTAAGGGTTCATTTTGCGGTATTCAACGCATTCTTGAGTGTAATGACCGGGAACGTTGAGTTCCGGCATGGATAATATGGTCGGGAAGACAAGCTCGTCGACCCCGAAAACTCCGGGTCGATTGATCTTGTGGACAAAACTTTCAACATTCATCTCGTTGAAGATGAAGTCAATGGCCTCTCGACTGACCGCCATTTCGTTGTCGCCTTTGGCAAAGCTGATTTTCAAGTCGTTTTGAGCGAATTTCTGATGGTACTTTGAGTCTGAAAAATTGAAGGATTTTTTTATTTTATCAATTTTTCTTGATCGCCCTTCCACCGGCTATGCTTATCAGTGGGTCGGGAAAATAATGAGCACTCTGTCGCATTGAAAATCTCACCGAGAAAATAAAGTATTACGGCAAAAATCAATTTTTGTTCACTTCAGCGACGCGATCAGTGCAGCGACACCGTGCTCATTATTTTCCCGACAGACTGATATTTTGAATTGAAAAAAATACCGTTTTTGAAGACCGGAATCCTGTTCACAGTCCATGTCAAATTCCAATCGACTCGGTGTTCGAATCCCTTCGTAATGCTGATATCATTCGTGCCATTTAGCCACTTGAATATCTGGACCATTTCTCGGTTGGTTTTGGTCGGGAAATCGTGATTCTGAAGAACGTTAAACAATTCCTCGCAAAAAAGGTGTAATTTTTGTTTTCACTAGGTAGGCTGGCCAGAAAAGTCTTGATGTCTTTATTTTCCCGACTTCGCTTTTTGCAGCAATATCAGTCTGTCGGGAAAATAACGGCGGATTGTCGCAGCAAAATGTCTCGCCTCGCCGCCATCGCGCACCAAATCACCAGCCGCGTCTTCCAGTCACAGAGCGATGATGGGCGATTCCAAGGCGCGACGACCGGCCGTTATTTTCCCGACAGACTGATAAATCGTTGTTTTTCAGAGTGCGACAGAAGTTGAGGGCCGCAATCAATTCGCGGGACTTTTTTCCGTCTGTCGGGAAAATAATGGGCACTCTAGCGTATCGCATCGCCGCCGAGAAAACGAATTGTGTCGCGGCAAAATCGAGTTTCTTTTCACTTCAGTGACGCGATCGGCGCAGCAACATTGTGCTCATTATTTCACCGACAGGCTAAAAAAAAGTCCCGCGAATTGATAGTACTCGTCGCCATGCGGCAAATTTCTTTGGCCCGGCTACAAAGTACAATTCTGAAGTTTTTTCAAAAGCATTTCTACCTGAATCAACCTACCTGCAGAACCATCACGTATTTCCATTGTCGACTTCCTCCTCTCAACGCCTTTAGGCAATCAATGTTTGCCAAGTCCAAATTGTACCCACTGCTAAACAGCGGCCTAGTGTTATTCGATATGACAACATTTGGGAAGCATTTTGCCAAAGATTCAAATCGCCGTCGAAACAGCGAACCAGCCTTTCCATCAATCGTAAAGCAATAGAAATTTTGAGGCTGGTACAACGCCGCCAACACAAGCTCATGGTAATAGTAATCACGATAAACTTGACGACTTATTGCAATTGGGAAATCCCTCTCTTCAACGCTGGTGGGATCCGTTGCAAATCGATGACGCGATCGTATGGACTCACAGTCCATCGGGAGATCCAATTTGTCATCGGTAAAGGTGGATCTGTTCTCTTTCAAGTGGTCAACATACGAAGGGTGTTTGCCATCAAATATCCAGGAGCATTTAAGGTGTTCTGTGTCCGCAGGGCGTCTGAATAAGTTGTTGGAGGCTGATGGGGCATCACGCATTTTTTCAGACTTCTGGGACATTGAGGTGCAAAGAAAGATGATGATAAGGAAAGTGAGGCCAACAATATACAAAAAAAATTTGTTCTGATGTTGTGTTCTGGCCCCGTTGTCAGCATCTTGCGCTGAAAAGTGTTTATGAAAGCCTGGCGTGTATACTAGTCATGGCAGGAAAAGCCTGCGATGAAAAAATGTTTTTTTTTTTATATCTCTGTGCTTAGGCGAGTCATGCAAGTTTTCCAAAAATTGGAGGGCAAAACTTTCTGAGCACCTAAACTAAGTGAAGTTTTCTCGGTCAGAAACAAGTATCTGCCTGTCGGTAAAGTAATGTGGATTTGTCGTAGAAAAATGCCTAGGCTCGTCGCAGCCGCGCACCAAATCTGCAGCCGCGGCTAGCCTTCTCAGCGTGATGATGGGCGATTTCAAGGCGCGGCAGATCCAGACGGACTGGTGAAATCAAGAAAAACACCATCTACGGGAGACAGGCTGATACATATATATGAATATAGGTAGATCTTATATCTACCTTTACCTTGAATATTAAAAGCCATACCTTGTTTTGGAATCAAAGGCGTTGCTTCCATTCAGCTCACAATATTGCTACAGTATCCTTAAGTCCGAATCACTTGAAAAAATCTTTGTTCTGGGAGGATGACACTTGATGAAGATACTAGCTGCAACTCAGCCGTTACATGCTTGGAGGATGGGCAAATCTGATGAAGCGATAATGTCTTATTTTGAATGACGAATCTTGACTTAATCGAGTTTTATTCATGTTTGGAGTCGAGTCGCCGCGAAAAAGTTGAACCCAACGTCGCATTCATGGAATGACGAATTATTTCCCCTCAGGATTCCGTTAATCTGCCGGACATTGTTGAGATGCTATCGTAAAGATAGCCAGCCATCCGACTCACAGATGAAATCGTAAAGTTTGTTGACAATAAGAGTTTGTGCCACGCCGAGGCGAGGTTTTTTTTTCAAAAATGCTTCTAGATATTCAAGGCCTTCGATGTGTGGCCGTTATTTCTGTTGTGCTTTTCCATCTATGGCCAAGGTACCTTTCCGCCGGATATCTTGGGGTCGACATGTAAGTTTTTGAAGAGGGCAGTAAACTGAAGAGGGCACCTCGAAGAAAAAGTGATATGGTGAAGGGGGACCAAGGCGCATATCTTACAAGGAAAGTACCTCTATAGGGAATGGAGTTACAGATCAAAGATATATCAAAAAAAAATGTAAAATTTTTCTGATTCAGAATATGTAAAAATTAGCTGTCTAATTTTGATTTGTAAGGGCGAAAAAATCCTCAGAACTTTTCTCGCAACACCACATAAATGCCCTTTTCTATATTGGGACTATTAATTAAGGTGTAGTATTAATCAAGTTTGATATTTCAAGGCTTGCCAAGATGCCAGGGTCCACTTTAGCTCAAAACAAAGCTTTTGATTTGGTAAAAACTTGATCAAAATATGTATATAAACTTTACGCTTTTCCAGAGTTTTGTTTTATACAAAATGCTCCCTGGCCCCCCATTAGTTTACCATATCTTCATTCCCCATCGAAATGCTCTCTCCGTCGAGGTGTCCTCATCGCTAAGGTGTCCTCTGCCCTTTTCCCTCAGGTGCCCTTTTCGCCAATATACCCTGTTCGAATCCAACAGCACATTTAAAAATTTCGCATCTACCTTTCAGATTCTTCGTCATCTCCGGCTACCTCATGCATCATATCCTCAGCTCCAAATCCTTTGATTTCGCAGCTGTTTACACCTTTTACTTCCGTCGAGTCGGTCGAATTGTTCCAGAATACCTTCTCATCTTACTGCTGACGATGCTAGCTGTTGTCCTCACATATTCTGCTTCCGAGTTAAAGACAGTGATGCATGAGCTGTTGGCGGCTGCAACGTTTACCTCGAACACATTCGCCCTGCCAAAAACGGGCTATTTTGACGTGAATAACGAATACCCGCCGTTTCTGCACACATGGTCGTTGGCGGCGGAGCTCCAGTTTTACTTGATTGTGCCGTTTATTTTCTACATGTATCGGAAGTTTGGTGATGTTCATGAGTGGATTGGGACGGTATTTGTCTTGGTTATGGCGGCAGTCAGTGTGACGTTTCAAGTGCTGACCAGCTATGGTAAGATGCAACGGGTTAGAGGATTGTCTACAAAGCCTTTTTTTGATCATCCTGTCGGGAAAATAATGTGGATTTGTCGCAGCAAAATGTCTCACCGAACCAAATGTTCAGCCGCAGTTCGCCGTCACAAAGCGATGCTGGGCAATTTCAAGGCGCAACAAATCCACATTATTTTCCCGACAGACCACTATACTGGTTGACAAAATTTTCTTTCCACCTCGTATCTCTGGAACGGCTGGGCCTAGAACCTCCAAATTCGGCATAGAAACATCCTAGGACAATGGAACACCATGCCCAAAAAATCATATCATTTGATGCACTTTCAATGCACTTTTTATGCAAAAGGCAAAAAACCGGATGACAAAATTTTCTTTCCACCTTAGAAAAAACGTTTGTAACGCATAAGCCAGAGGGTGTTAGGGCATGATTGTGGTATCGTTGTGATTGCGAAGAACTGCTCTCTCGATTGGTGTCACAACTTTACAGGGGTTTTCGTTTCTTCGCCCTTGGGCGTCGGCTCATCATTGCCTTGTCCATTTTCTGCCAAATTCATGGCCAGAGGAGCTCGCATAAAGTATAAGGAGATGAAAATGCTCTTAAAAAATTTAGCATTCATGGTTGCAACATTGTTTACTCCGGCAGTAGAATTAGATTTAATTTAAGTGCGCTTCAGGGGAAAATGCGCGCTTCCAGGGTTCTCGTTACCAAAAAATTAAGTTATTATGGGAACACTGCAGATAATTCAAGTAACTTTTCCTGCTTATATATTTTCTATGAAACTACAGACTTAAAAAATAGTGACGATTTTAGTCTCTGATGTCGCGCTTAGGTGTGAGCAGAAGAAAGGTTCCACATGTCCCATGTGCAAAATTTGCAACTCTAAGCTTTCTGCGCAAGCTATTCGTCGTGGAAAAAAACGTTGAAGGCCTATCAATGTCAATGTATTGAAGTAGTCTGAAAGCCAAAAGTCCCAATATACCAAGCTTAAGTAATGCCAATGCCTAGTGCACCAACCTGCGGTACTGGAGACGACATAGACCAGAGGGGGGTAAGATAAGCTGGTAAACTTCAACACATGCTGTCGTATAAGCCCTAAAATACGCCGTATGTATAGCAAATGGATGTAATTTGGACGTTTCCATTCTGTACAGAAGTGATTCTTCGGGTTTGCGGGCCCTGGTAGGGCGCATTTTTCCCTGCAGCGCACTTAAATGAAATCTAATTCTACTGCCGGAGTAAACAATGTTGCAACCATGAATGCTAAATTTTTTAAGAGCATTTTCATCTCCTTATACTTTATGCGAGCTCCTCTGGCCATGAATTTGGCAGAAAATGGACAAGGCAATGATGAGCCGACGCCCAAGGGCGAAGAAACGAAAACCCCAGTAAAGTTGTGACACCAATCGAGAGATCAGTTCTTCGCAATCACAACGATACCACAATCATGCCTTAACACCCTCTGGCTTATGCGTTACAAACGTTTTTTCTAAGGTGGAAAGAAAATTTTGTCATCCGGTTTTTTGCCTTTTGCATAAAAAGTGCATTGAAAGTGCATCAAATGATATGATTTTTTGGGCATGGTGTTCCATTGTCCTAGGATGTTTCTATGCCGAATTTGGAGGTTCTAGGCCCAGCCGTTCCAGAGATACGAGGTGGAAAGAAAATTTTGTCAACCAGTATATGTACATTTTTGTTCCGATCTTAAACTGTACGCCCCGACTATGCATTGCGGTCATTCTCCATCTCTAACTACTGCTTCTTGCATGCGACATTTAGATTCATTGCAATTTTAGACCCCAATCTTTCTTACATGAGCTTGCCTTCGAGAATCTGGCAATTTATGATTGGATTTCTCGTCAACTCGTTGCATATGGCTGCAGACAAAAAATTAACTGGCTATGACAATCTAACATCAGTGATCCAGCCAGAGGACAGCGTCAGCAAAGAGCCTATTTTCGCTGCAACCACCGTTACAAACGAAGCAGTTGAACTGCCAAAGACCGAGAGCCAAATTGCAAGACAATTAGCCCACCTGAACGTAAAAAATCTCATTGCGATTCTGTTTTTAATCCAACTCTCCGTGCCGATCACAGGCTACGAGGCGGTCAACCGAATAGCCTGCACACTCACCGCGGCCGCATTTATTTATGTAAGGCACAACAGTTTCTTGGAAAATGAATGGATGGTTTATATGGGCGGGATCTCGTATTCCGTTTACCTGATTCACTGGCCGATCATCACGCTGTATAACTACAAAAACGTCAGCCGCGAAAACGCGATGACATTTGCGGGTAAGATTTCGAAAAAAACTCAAATGATCGATTCCAGTCTGTCGGGAAAATAATGAGCACACTGTGGCTGCACCGCTCGCGCCGCTAGAATGAAAAGTAACTTGGGTTTGCCCCCGAAGACAATTCATTTTCTCGGCGGCGATGCGATTCTCGATGCTCATTATTTTCCCGACAAACTGATAAAACTAGGGTCAAAATAAAAGATTTCAATTTCTTAAGACCTTGCTAAGGCTCGTTGCTTCCCCTGAACAGGTATTCGGGGCTCGTTGTATCGAGGTTTTACTCTATTTCTTACCTTCTATCAACAAAACTTGAAAGACCCTACTACCTGCTGGAATTGAGGGTTGAAAACTTTCCCTTAAAAAGCCGCTAACATTTCGCAATTTTCCAATGTTTCAGCTGGTTTTCTCATTGCACAAAGCTGCATCCTCTTGAGCGTCCTTGTTGAGGATTGGTTTCAACGGCTCCGCGCGATAACAACCACCTTTTTACGGCTTCTCGTTGTCATTGTCGGATTGTACGCTGCACTAATTGTCGTGTTCGCCCTCTCTCCGAGGGTTCCGCCGCCGGCGAGTTTGGTGGACATCTCCCTGGACAATTACGATGAGTTTATCACCTATTCGATGAGGGAATTCGACAATCGACAAAACTTACGGCTGACGCGCGACGAGCTAATCGAACTGAACGAGAAGATCAGCGACTTCTCTTTTTATTTTTCGAAAAACAACAGGCTCCATAACAGAACAATGACGACTAGGCCGAAAGTTTTGCATCAAGTCGAGGTTTGTTTTCAAAAAAAAAAAACGAAAAGATCAGTATTTTTTGTTAGTCTGTCGATAAAATAACGTGGATTGCTCGCGCCTTGGCCCATTATCGCTTGGCGGCCCCGGCCGGAGATTTGGTGTCGGATTGCGACGAGGCGAGACATTTTACTGCGACAAATCCACATTATTTTCCCGACAGACTGGTATTTTAAATCGTCGCGTCACAAATAAGTTTTAACGACGTCGCAACGTCGGCGCACCGTGCAAACGGTTTTTTTCGAAGTGTACGAAAAGGAAAAAAAAATATTAATTTTCAGGGAACCGGAGAGCTGGAAATTTTGATAACTGGCAACAGCGTCGCTGGGGATTTGTACTTTGGAGTGTGGGGCCGATTGAAGCACAGGTTCAGAAGGCTCACTCTGTATTTTGCCACCGGAATCACTCCGTTCTTCAAGGACGAGGACGGCAATCATGCTGCGGATTTTGTCGATTTTATCGCCAATTTTGACCGACCAATCGATGTCGTGGTTTTTCGATACACGTATGTTCGAAAGCCTTCTGATTATTATATATCAGTTCTATATCAGTCTGTCGGGAAAATAATGTGCACGTTTTTCTGCGACAAAACCACATTATTTTCCCGACACACTCATATATTCGTTGTGCTGATGCACAGGCCGATATGAATTTTTGAAATTTCAGACACAACCGAGTCCGAGGAAACCACAAATACGTAGAAAATATGATGAGGATGGACGCCCAAAATCTTTTCCAAAAAGTCAGCAATTTGTCGCCAAAACAGATCATTATAGCGACAGCGGAGTACGAAGCGAACTTCAGTCATCAAAAGTTCGCCAAATCGCTTCAGAGCAAAGCCGACAACATGACGTTTGATGAATTCAATTTTTCGCTTAAAGTAATGATGTCACCTGTGTTTTCTTTCATCTCTGGACTATATCAGTCTGTCGGGAAAATAATGTTTTTTTTTCCCGACAGACTGATAAATTCATTTTTGAGAAAGCGTTGTACCCACCTTCCTGTCAACGTCAAGTTTCGTTTTTCCAGGAGATCGAGCAACGAAATTTGGAGCTGGACAAAGCCACCATGGGAATAGATTGCGAAAAATGTCACTTTGTAGACCTTTATCGACGGCTTTGCGATCCAACTGAGGACAAGTGTATGGCCGTTGACAAACACGGCTTTGCAAACTACAAAGACGGGCATCACTCAACAATGTTTGGGTCATTTCACTTTGCCCACGAGCTTATACTCTTCATGAGCAGACTCGGCATTTTATAGCGGTCATATAACTTTACAGTACTGCAGCATAAACATTTGGATCGGTCTGAATGCGAAGAGTCACCTTGTATCACTCTGTCGGGAAGATAATGTGGATTTGTCGCAGCAAGACTCTTCGCCTTTCCGCAGCCTCGCATCAAATCACTAGCCACGGCAGGCCGTCGCACAGCGATGATGTATGATTCCAAGGTGCGACAAATCCACATTATTTTCCCCACAGACTCATGACACTGATTTTATTGTCAAATTACCGGGGCTTTTGCCGGCCCACCCCAGTTCTTCTTCCAGATTAATCCGCGCACTCCCGCTTCTCCGCAGCTTGATTCGGGTAAAAGATTATTGGTTATCGGCGGAAAACTCGACGAAATGAGGTCGAGTTCCCTCTATTTGAGTTACGAAGCCCCGAAACGCGTCATCAATTAAATTTTCGTATAACAAACCTCTTCAATCTCTCATTATTAACCGGAACGCGCTTCCTAATAAACTTGGGGTTGATGCCACACTTGCAGTCATAATGTGTTGGTGGCCGGCTTGCGGTTAGAAAGTTTTCAAGCAAGACGACCGTTAATAGCAGTTGGCAGCTTACCGGTCCACTCCGTGCGTCTCAAAGCGTTTGTGGGGCGGAAATATATCTAACACCGGTTGTCCTAATACACTGCCCTAGAAAAGCTCACTCAAACCAGAACAATTACCAATCACCTCTTTATCCTCCAAAATATCACAACACACGACGGCCGAGTATGTATATGCCCGCAATACGCACAATAGAGACGGATAAATTCTAGCGCAAGTAGCTGACCGCTCACCATGCTGCTTCTTCGCCAATTGTCCACACGCTCTGATGGCCAATCACTCGTTCAGGCTGCGACTTCCAAACTAATCTTCCTTTCTTTCTGTAGAGAAGAAGAACGACCGATCTCCATTACAATTATTCTGTCTTTTATGTAAATTGTCTTTACTTGTGGGCTGCTCCTATATAAGGGTGAAATTAAGTCACTTTATGTCGAATCTTTGTGTTGGCGGTTTAGTAGTTAGTGGGACTTCAACACTTTCCAAATCCACGTCCCGGCCGGTTGCGACGGAATGCCAATGTCCTTTCGGGTTCCGTTGCCACGAATTTGCATATTCCCACGGAATGACCGAAAAATTGGTATAAAAGGAAGAGAAATCGCCAATTATTATGATTATTTTGTGTTTGTTTTCCCGGTTGATGTTTGCAATAAATTGTATTTACTATTTGTCTATTAGTATTGTGTCTATGGTCTCTTGTGTTGTTGGAGTCAAGCATCGTGAGTTCATTTGTGAAGTTGTTGCCTAGGGCATAATTAGTTATATTGTCGCTTGTTTCTGCTGTCGTTGTATTCGCATAGGGCTAGGTATCTTAGGTAGAACTAGATTAGGGTCCCTTACTACTTGACCTATACCAAGGTCTTGACACCGTGCCGGGATGCAGCAAGGGGTTGAATTCTGTTGCGGTGGCTGTATCCTCTAACATGAAAGAAGCTTGGAGATGGCCAAGGACTTACCCTGCTTGTTTTGTCGACCAAATTCATACAACTACGATATTAATCGCACCGCCTTATTCCTTTGGCTTTGGTGTTCATTCTACTGGGTCTTATCCTTACCCTAAAGTGGATTCCCTGAGAATAGCGATTGGCCAAGAAACCTGACCCTCATTTCTGCCGACTCCAATCAACAGCTATTGTCAAATTAAGATCTGAAATAATAGATAATGCGTTGCTTTGTGTATGATTGTGTAACGCAGTGTGCAGCTTAACCACTAAACACAGCCTGAAAATACGGCGTCGGAAGGAAGCTTCAAAAAATCGCCAAAAAGATTGTAATCGGTCCCGATAGATCCCAAGAATTAGGTGGATTGCCTTTTATCTATACTTAATCGGCCAAAGCCGAAAGAATTCGATCTTCGCGCAAAATCTCCGCCATATATCCGAGTTTTTTTGCTCCCAACACTACTTGTCTCATGCAAGGACCTCTTTTTAAAAGACGATTTTTGGCTCGCTGCGTCAGCGGTGGACATAGGAAAAAATCGATTTTGAGTTTTTTGCACAAAAATGACCGTCGACATGTGCTAAGGAAAAGCGAACCACAGTTTTTCTTAATTCTGCCCGGAAGGCATAAATTTGCTTAAATTTGTCTTTTTTGGAATTTTCGACCTGGTGACGTCATAGAAAGAGCAAATCACCCAAAGCTTTGCTTGTATACGTTTTCGACCATTGGGAATTCATTTTTTTGAAAATCAAGTCTCTCAGATTACTGTAACATAGGCATATTGTAATCCGGTCGATAAAAATCGACCGTAACTCCTTCGTATCAAAAAACCCACAAGATTTTATTTAAGATTCGGAATCAGCATGAAATTCTGCATAGTATACACATAATGTGAGGTCATAACTCCAGGGGGGAGATCGTGTAGTATATTGGATTTTGGCAAAAATTACGTTTGAAAGGTCGCGGGTTCGATCCCCGCTTGGTGCAAATATTGAAAACACGGCGGAAATCGCGTTTAATGGACACGTCAGGGTTATGTGAGATACACTAAGCAATTTTAAACATTAATTCATATCTAATTGCGATTAAAAATGATTTTATATAACTGAATATGCAAAAAATGAAACTGCTTCAAACCGCTTGAAATTGGCAACACTTATTCTAGGGACAATTGTAAGAAACTTTCCCGTTAACTTTTTTTGGTAGATCACCGTACCATGGATTACTGTAGAATTAAACGTGTCCTGATTAACAGCAATTTTCTTCAAAATTCTTACATAAAATATTAAATCGTTTTAATTAGTGGCTTTAGATAGCGAAAAGATGCACCTTCTATATATGAAAGAAAATTCGCCCTTAATTGCAACGCGTCTTGACGTCGTAATCAATCGGTGAAAGTGCGTCAAATAACTCGGCCGTTCCAAACGGTACAGCCATAAAAATTTTCTTGTACACAGGAAAACTCTCTCTTAACCATTCTGAGCACAATCACGGCAATCCGACTTCTCTGCGCCATGTGGTACAGGAAAAACCAAATCAGGTTTAATGTTACAGTAATCATGGTACGGTGATCTACCAAAAAAAGTTAACGGAAAAGTTTCTTACAATTGTCCCTAGAATAAGTGTTGACAATTTCAAGCGGTTTGAAGCAGTTTTATTTTTTGCCTATTCAGTCTCCAAAAATTATATAAAATCAGTTTTAATCGCAATTAGTATGAATTAATCTTTAAAATTGCTTAGTGTATCTCACATAATCCTGAGGTGTCCATTAAACGTGATTTCCGCCGTGTTTTCAATATTTGCACCAAGCGGGGATCGAACCCGCGACCTTTCAAACGTAATTTTTGCCAAAATCCAATATACTACACGATCTCCCCCCTGGAGTTATGACCTCACATTATGTGTATACTATGCAGAATTTTATGCTGATTCCGAATCTGAAATAAAATCCTGTGGGGTTTTTGATACGAAGGAGTTACGGTCGATTTTTATCGACCGGGTTACAATATGCCTATGTTACAGTAATCTGAGAGACTTGATTTTCAAAAAAATGAATTGCCAATGGCCGAAAACGTATACAAGCAAAAGTTTGGGTGTTTTGCTCTTTCTATGACGTCACCAGGTCGAAAATTCCCAAAAAGACAAATTTAAGCAAATTTATGCCTTCCGGGCAGAATTGAGAAAAACTGTGGTTCGCTTTTCTTTAGCACATGTCGACGGTCATTTTTGTGCAAAAAACTCAAAATCGATTTTTTCCTATGTCCCGGGTCCATTACGGGCTGACGCAGCGAGCCAAAAATCGTCTTTTAAGATTCGCTGCGCCCAGATTGGGTTCAAAGATTCTGTGGGCGTTTTCTTCGTTGCCGAGGCTAGAGAATTTAAAGGTGGAGAAGTATCTCCATTTTCTCGGATTTAGTTGCTTGGAGCTTCATCCTCGATTACGATGCTTAGCCTAAGCGTAAGAAACAAGCTGCCGCTTTTTTTGATTACTGTAAGCAGTAAGAAAGGACAAATAAAATTACGCCACTTTCATCTTTTCGTCATTGTTGTGTATGGGAGAGGCTATGACTGTTCGGATCGTTTCATTTTGTTGACGAGTTTATTGTTAGCCTGGAGAAAGCCGGGATTTTATAAATTATTTACAAGCCATCAGTATATTATAACTGGCAAGTTCGTAAAGTCGCTTTTCTCGCAAGTTATCGCGTCGTATACTCCTTAGAGACCTTACTCCGTTGATGGTTTAAAAGCCTCTATTCCATTTTGCACCGTGCATCGAAATACCGGATAAATAATGAGCACAATGTCAGTGCGATGACAGCGTCGTCGCAGTCAGAAACAAATTGAGTTTGCCGGAACACAATTCATTTTCCCGACAGCGATGCGGTTATCAATGTGACAAAGCGCCCACTATTTTTCCCACAGACACACTTGTGCATCGATGTTGTTAGAACAAATATATCGCTCTTTGAAGGACCCATTCGACACCAACTTGCTCCGGATTTGCATTTCAATTTTTGTGACAAAACGTTCCGCTCTACAGTGAGTGGTATTAGGCCTTAAAAAAGGCAAAATTTTGTGCCCGCGCCAGTGCTACACACAGAAGAGGGAATTACACACGACTCGAAGGGTCGTTATTTTTTAAAACTGTGGTAGGATCATGTTTAAGCTGCTGCCTAAGGGCAATGAGGATGAGGTGAAGCAAAGTAAGTGTCATTTCTGGATTAATCCATCTTTTAAATTATCCCCCATTGTCACCACTCTTGGTGGTACGCCCTTCCCATATCATATTTACCACAGGGTCGCCTCTTAGTTCAACTGCCCTGTCCGAATCCAACCTTATCCACCAGTCATGTCTTTCGCGCTTTGAGCTTGATTACTTTCAGATCCGGCGCTTATCGTGTTCGATACTGTATCATGTCTCCGATCTCGGCGGACCTACCTTTTTTGCGTCCTCCTTTTCTTTATTATGTTTCTTTACGCCTCCACAGTAATGAACCCCATCAAAACACAGCTACAAATCTCCAATTCCAACTATTTCAAAAAGCCTCCCGGCACAGAGGACCTGAATTGTGCATGGGTTTTGGACGGGAACCACCCGGAATACATTAAAATGTTGGCAGCAAATAGGACAGTCTACAACGATCCTGCTGACGAATCCGAACTTCCCATGGACTGTGAATCCATCTATGAGAGGCATCGGTTCGTAACGGCTCCCACAAGCAATGAGGAAGAGGACTTCCCCATAGCGATTAGTCGCCTGGTTTATCGCGATTATTTCTATCATGAGATGGTATTGGCCGCGCTGTATCAGCCGCAGAATCATTACTGTTTTTCGGTCGACAGAAAGACAACTCCGCTCTTCCGAAAGCGATTCGAATCCCTGGCGAAATGCTTCCCCAATGTGATTATATCGAATAACAGCAGAGAGTTGTACAGTTCCGGGTATAACCTCGACTGGGCCAATATTGATTGCCTGGCGGCGTTGAAGGCGGACAATCGCAGGTGGAAATACGTTATGGTGTTACAGGTAAGCACCCTTTGTCGGTTTTCGAAGACACAGCCCAGGCCCTCAGTGGGGAAATTGATGTGAATCCGCAGATGTGGATTACCAGACTTCATCGTTAATATAACATTTTTGCAGAACCATGACTTCCCTTCCAAGACAAACCGAGAAATTGTTCAGATCTTCAAATGGCTTAACGGAACCACTGATATTTCGATAACGCACGGATTTGAACATAGAGTGAACTGGAACCTCACGTGGACCGTGAATAGTATCGGGCTTTTTCGGAACGGTAATTTGCAGCGCGAAAAGTCTCACCACTTCTTTCCTCTAGTAATAGGATAAAAATTTCTTGTTATTTTTATCAGTCTGTTGGGAAAATAAAGACCTCAATGTCGATGCGCCAATCGCATCACTGAAGTGAAAAACAACTTCATCTTTCCGAGAGGCAACTTCTCGGCAGCGATGCGATTTTGAGGTGCGACAGAGTGGCCATTCTTCTCCCGACAGACTCGTATATAAATCCGAATTGCAGATTCTAAATTCAAACGGAAGTATGACGAGCAGGACGTTAAGCTCGTCTTCGCCAAAGGCGACAATGAAATGAGTGCTAGTCGAGGAGCAATTGACTACATTTTCGATGAGATGAATATAACCGAATTCGTCTCGCGGATCAATCGAGAAGGCGTCTTCGGAGTTGATGAAATCGTGTTTCCAACCCTAATGTCGATGCCGGAACTGAACGTTCCCGGCCATTACACTCAGGAGTGCACCGTATATCGCAAAATGAATACGTACATAACCCGACGGTCCAATTTTGGGAACAAATCAAAATGTTACAGTAAGAATTTCCGCCATGGGATCTGCATTTACGGCGTGGAAGATTTGCGGGATCATGTGCATAACACGCCGTTCATCAACATCAACAAATTGATCCCGAGTTTCGACTTCAACGCAGTTGTCTGCGAACTGGAAGCGCTGCATAATCGGACGTTCTTAGTTCCGTTCGAAGAAGGCAACTTGAACAAAACGTACTACGATAATTTACGACAGGTGAGCTAAAAACTGAAAAAAGTTTTTATAAGAGCGCCGTAGTTTTAGCTTTCTTAATTTTTGCGTGCGCAATGCGCTAGAGCACACATCAAACCTGCAGTATTATCAATCCGTCAGGGAAATAAAGAGCATGGGGTTGCATCCGAAATCGCATTGCCGCCGAGATAATGAATTGTGCCGCGACAGAATCAATTTATTTTTCACTTCAGCGTTGTGGTTGGCGCAGCGACATTGGGTATAGCAGGTGGAAATTTGTAAAAAAAAAAGATATTTTCCACGGTTATGAAAAAGGAAATCTGAACTTTGCGGCGTCAAAACTAGGTCGCTACTTTCATTTTTCCCATCAGCAAGCCTAACCATATAATTTCAGGTAAAATACCGTAAGACAGGAAAATGCTAAATTCGGATCTCAATATCTGCCAGGAAAATAAACCTATCCTAGTTCGGACTAAACTACGTTGTAGTTCTATGGTGTTTTTACAGCCATAATAAAGAGTTTGAAAAAATGTTAAATCTGTGTACGGTTGTGCAGGGAATTCTTTGCAGAACGGAGGTAAGAACGTCAAATTATGCAGCGCTTACAGCTCGCAAACAACTGCGTTGAAGTCGAAACTCGGGGTCAATTTGTTGATGTTGATGAAGTTCAAACTATGGCGTTGAAGTTATGGACATGATCCCGCAAATCTTCAACGCCATCGATGCAGATCCCATGGCGGAAATTCTTACCGCAGCATCTTTGTTTGTTCCCAAAATTGGCCCATCGAGTTACGTACGAGTTTCCAAGAAGTTTAAATTGATTTTAAAATGATGGTTGGGTTAAGTGGCTTCATTTCGTCATGCTGGGCTCAACACCGATACTGCATTTTTTGCATTACATTTCCGGAAAAAGTCTGGAAAAATTGTAGCGAAATGACTTCAAATTTCCGGGCTTTCTTTTTTGCGTTTTTAAATAGATAGATACGACCTCCGCTACTTCCTCGGAGATTGCTTGCCCCGAGACATAGATAAGATGCCGATTTAACTGAAAAAGCGGTATTTAAAATAGCCCGTCATCATCGCGCGAAAACATTGACTAGTTTAACTGCTAACTCCTTTAACTTCCCTGAATGATTTTAATCTTCTTGGCGAAGTTAGCGCGGCGGATGTTGAACATGCCAAAATAGAAACTCCTCGTGAAGTCTCTGTCAACCCAGCAATACCTTACGGTCAATCCATTGTGGAAGGCCATGAGCAAAGCAAAACGGGACGATCTGCAAGTGCTGCGATTTGTCGCGATCTCATCGGTGCTGTTGTTCCATTTGTGGCCTCAGACTTTCGCAAATGGCTACCTTGGAGTTGATATGTAGGTGTGGTAAGAGTGCTTATCGTTAGCATTTTTTTTATCTTTTCTTAGTTTCAACGTTTAGGTTCTTCACGCTCTCCGGCTTCCTGATGTTCAAAATCCTCTCCTCCAAAGAACTCAATGCATCCACAATTCGCACCTTCTACTTTCGCCGGCTAAAACGCATCTTACCGGCCCATTTCATCATCGTGCAGCTTACTCTCCTCGCCGGCTACATGTGCTTTACCCGCACCGAGTACAAGGGACTCTTGAGGCAGTCTACAAGCGCTGTGACTTTAACTTCGAACATGTTCAACTTGCCGGAATTTGGCTACTCGGTGCAGAATGATGACTATAATTTGTTCCTGCACACTTGGTCGTTGTCGGTGGAAGTTCAATTTTATCTGATTTGCCCAATGATTCTGGCTTGCTTGAGCGCCTTGAAATCGAAAAATGAGAAAGCTCCAGTGGCCTTCGTGTTATCTGGAATAGTGGCTTCTTTTTCCTACCAATGCTGGAACAGAAATGGTAATTCTTTGCTGCAAATGGGCACAATACCGGTGCGCCGGCTTGAAAAAAGACAAAGCAAATCCCCGGTCGCCGAAGTGTTTTTTAGAGAGTCTGTCACACAAGAAGAAAGGCATCTAACTTAAAAAAAGTCGAAATATCAGTCTGTCGGGAAAATAATGAGCGCAATGTCGCTGAGCCAATCGCGTCGCTGAAGTGAGAAGCAATTTGATTTTCTCGCGACACAATTCACTTTTTTAGCCGCGATGCTATTTTCGATGCGACATTATTTTCCCGACAGACTGATATGTTTTTTTGATCTAGTTATGTATATGATTGCACAAGAGAGAAAATTTTTTTTTCACAAGTTTGCTTCGCAGCGACATCGATAAGATAACAATAATAAACACAAATCTTCAGACCCCAACATATCCCACATGTCATCCATCTCGCGAATTTGGCAGTTTCTTTTCGGATTCTTAGCCGGGATTGCAGCGACTTCCCCGGTGCCAAATTCCTTACAAATAACATCAAATTCGACACTCAAACTTTTACTGTTCATTGCCCTTACCGTAATCGGAATGACAAATATTTCTTTGTCGAAAGAAATTATGCGATTTTTGACCGCAATTGCAACCACATTATTCATCGTTGTTGACAGTCATTTTGTGCCCTCCACACTAATGGTGAGTATTGGAGACGACTCGTACTCAGCATATCTCGTCCACTGGAGTCTGATAAAGCTGACGGAGTACACGAGGATTTCCACCCGTTTGCACAAAATGGGATTCACAGGTAAGTTGTTGCGCTGGTTATGCCCGCGTTAAAACTGCATACTGTCAATCTGTCGGGAAAATAACGGCGGGTCGTCGCATCAAAAGGTCTCGCCTCACCACATCGCGCACCAAATCTCCAGCTTCGGCAGCCGTCGCAAAGGCGAGACGATCCGTCGTTATTTTCCCGGCAGATTGATAGTCGCGCCATAAATTCCTGACACATTTATAGCGGGTGTCGCGCAAGAAGATTGAAGTGTGCGAAAGTGCATGTCGCTAATGCAAAAAACGGGGAATTGCCGCGACGGGTCCGAAAGAAACCCAAAAACGCACCGTGCAAATATGTCAGGACTTTACGTCGCGATTCCCATTCGGACGGTGCGTAGGCATGAGAAGGCTTTCTGACCCACCCAAATCAGTCTGTCGGAAAAACAATATGGATTTGTCGCAGCAAAATATTTAGTCTCTAGTTTTTTGCTGCGGTGAGCTCTTGTAAGGCGATGCTGGGCGATTCCAAAGCGCGACTAATCCATATTATTTTCTCGAGAGAGTGATATATGTACATGTACATATATAGCAAAAGTCTCAATTCTAGAATGCCTTCTTCTCCTCTTGGCATCTCTGCAAATCGGTGCTCTAATGGAGAAGGCAATGGCCAAAATATCCACCTGGATCACTTGCTGGCAACGATTACTCTCGCTCCTTGGAATCTTTGCCATTTCAATTTCTCTCACCTATTTCTACATTTACGACCAACTTCCCGGGCGCCACGAGGGAATGAGTCGACGTGTTCTGAGTTACCAAAATCCATCGTATTTGAAGCGCATTCACTCGATTTACGAGAACCGAACCCAACCGCTGAACATGACCTCATCCGAGCTGATACGGTTTCACAGAGAAATGTCGTATTACATCGACAAATACGTTCCAAAATGCAAGGAACGATACGTTCAACGGTTTGGAAAGTCGAATATCACGCAGCGTTTTGAATACGTCTGTATGGAAGAGGTGAGGGAATAGAGACAATCCTGCGCGTACTATCATTTTTAAATACGGTGAAACCTCTGTACAAGTACAAGTTTTTTTTGGTCTTATGTTATTTGTTGTCCAGAGATTTCAGCGTTGCCTTTTTCGCGCATAGCCCGTATAATTCTTCGATGACTCTCGCAAAAAAGTGCATTTCGCCAAAACTGGAAGTCATAGCGGCACTCGCGAAAGAAAATATCGGTCTGTCGGAAAAAAACGGCGGATCGTCGCGCCTCGGAGTCGCTCATCATTGCTTTGCGACTGCAAGCCGCGGCTTGGAATTTGGTGCGCGATAGCGGCGAGGCGAGACATTTTGCTGCGACAATCCGCCGTTATTTTTCCGACAGACTGATAGCATACTGTGCAAAATTCTACGGGCTTTAGTACACATATTTCGACCAGCTTGTCGAAAAAATGAGCACTCTGTCGCATTGAAAATCGCATTGCCACCAAGAAAATTAATTGTGCCGCGGCAAACGTCAAATTGCTTTTCACTTCAGCGACATGATCGGCGCAGCGACATTGTGCTCATTATTTTCCCGACATAATGATCCGCTGATTTTGATATTTGAATCAGTTGAAGGTCAAAAATAAATGAGTAAAAATTCATTGCAGGGCGAAGGTACCAAAGAAGTTGTCCTCATCGGAAATTCGTTAGCCAGAGATCTGTTCTTTGGAATGAAAGACCAATGGCGGCATTTGTATCGACGCCTCACCTTGATCGCACATCCTCGCGACATTCCCTTCCAGCACTTGGATGGGCGAAACGAGGAAATCCTCGACATTCTGCGCAGTTGGGAACGACCAATCCAAATTTTGATCGTCCAACATTCGTAAGATTATGCGAGGTCAAAAATGATGCAAAAAAATGTGTTTTAGCTATAAAAAAGACCGCATCACCCCTGAATACATTGCCAACGCAATGCAGCAAGAGATGCAGCAGTTCTACGATCAGCTAGACGGCATTGTAGAGGAGACAGTGTTGTTCGGATACCCGGAAAATTTTGCCGAAATGAATTCTCAAACCTTGTTTATGGTCTTCGAAAATCATCTGCCATACAATAGTCTGGATTTTCGACGAAAGGTAAGATTTTGGGTCGACGGTCGTTGAAGAATTTGCCGCATTTCTCGAGTGTTTATTGTAGTCGACGATCGCTAAGGACGTTGACTAAAGCATTTGTCGCATTTTACATATATTTCGTTGTATCTATCAGTCAGCCGGGAAAAAAGTGAGAGCAATGTTGCTGCGCCAATCGCGCTAAAATAAAAATAAATTTGATTTCAAGTAACTTTCTCGGCGGCGATGCAATTTTCGATGCGACTTTGCGGTCACTATTTTCCCGACAGACTGATAAACCTTTTCAGCAACCGGAACAGACCACACTTTCCCGACGTATAGCCGACAACATTCGTTGCAAGAAATGTGTTCGCGTCGACTTTTCCAGCGTGTTATGTAATCGGATCAACGACAAATGCCACGTAGTCCTGCCGAATGGCTTGACAATATATCGAGATCGATTGCATACAACGTTATTCGGCTCGTTATTGATTAGCCGCGAGTTTCTGGACTCGTATCGCAGACACAGCGCAATTCTCATGTAAATAAATATAAGAGTGTATATTATATATTATTGTGCTATATAATTGTATGCTAATACGGCATTTCAAACGCGTTTAAGAAACAAAGAAAGGGTGTTTGAAGCTCCGTGGAAGTTTTAATGCAACTTTTCACCAATGATTTTTTGGTGGAAACGTTGCTCTCTGCGGTAAAAATAAGTAAATAGCGTTTCAAGCCAAAGCTTCTTATATTTTTTACAAAAAAAAATGAATCTAAATTTGTGATAAGCTTCATCAAAATCTGAGCCCTGCACTTGAGGCACCTCCTCTGTCAGCTGAAAGTCTGAGAAAAGACTTTCAGCCGTATCCTGGAATGAAAGACCAATGGCGGCATTTGTATCGACGCTTCGCCCTGATCGCGCACTCTCGTGACACTGTTTGCCAGCACTTGGACGGCAGAAACGTGGAGAACCTTGGCATTCTGAGCTGAGAGCGACCAATCAGAAGTTTCATCGCCAGGTCAAACAAGATGAAAAAAGATCCGTTTTTAGCTATGAAAAATATCGATAAAGCGGCATGTTCATGGCTCGATCTTGATCGTCTGGTATCGCAAGCTTACTATGAGTATACATAGCTAGCTAGCATACAAGACAACCCTAGAAGTCTCATTAATCTCCGACTTCCCGCTTTTGTATTCTTTTCCTTTTCGAAACCTAGTATGCGATTTATAATTTACATGTTACAGTTCTGGCATCGGAAAACCGAAAACCTTATAGTCATAATAATAAATATTAACGAGTATTTTCAACAGATCCGGCCTTGAATACAGCCTATTCGCATAAAACGATCTTGCGGATGCTCCAGCAGTTGAATGCGGGGAAGTGCTTCCGTTGATAGAAGACATGACGTTGTCAATCAAATCTTCCGACACCTTCCTCTGTCGGAGAAGCCCTTTAAATTCATGAAGGAAGTTGTTGTACTCGGGAGACGGTTGCTTGGAGTACCGGAAGAATTTATTCTTCTCCAAATACCGTTCCATTTCGCAGTTCCTAAAATTTGATTACAGTTCACCTTGTTCGCTGCAATAACTTCGCGTAGACGACATTTGCGAGCGGCCGAGGTCTACGAGCAGAGGGGAATTTTACAGCCAACGTGAGAGTGTGTGGCGCTCAGACTTCAACGAATAACCAGCTGACGAATCCCTAGGCAGGCTAAAATTCTTTTGGGAAATCAGCCAAAATTTGCTTGCAACAAGATCGCAAGTGTCGCTACACCAATCCCTCACCTAACTTAGTGAAACCTGAGCACAACTTTAGGCAACTCTAAGCCTAAGCTTAAGCCTAAACAAGCACAAAAAGGCCTAAGCAAGCCTACGCAAGCCTAAGCAAACCTAAGCAAGCCTAAACAGGCCTACGCAAGCCTAAGCAAACCTAAGCAAGCCTAAACAGGCCTAAGCAAGCCTACGCAAGCCTACGCAAGCCTACGCAAGCCTAAGCAAGCCTACGTAAACCTAAGCCTTTCCCTGAATTCTCAGCTCGCGCTTGGATTGCACAAGGTGACAAATAAAAAAGTACACAGTATGTAAATATCATTCATTCGCCGCGGAAGACGCCGCCTTCAAACTGGCTGGCAGCAGAAATCTTGCCCGGCTCCCCGTCAATGCCAAATCACTTACCATGTCTGTGGCATGACATGAACATCCATAGCCGACAACTTTTTTTCTTTTCTTTTAACAAAGTCCCACATTCTCTTTTCCAACTTTTTGATAAAGCATTCCAAATCGTCGCCGCAGCCAACCTCAACACACATGTTGTTCGGAACCGGCTTTCTTGGCTCACTTAAAACGTGATTGTGAACTATAATATCATAGGCCTTGACTTACTAATAGCACTTGTCGGTGAATGCTGACAAGAAGCGCTCAATTGGATCTCTGACAACGGTGAATATTTTATAAGAATTGTCTTGGTTCTCTTTCTTTTCGAACTCTTTCATTGTCTTGTATTCGATTTCTTTGCCGCAGAACCTAAAAGTAGCAATACAAAGTGTTGTTGTTTGGACGGCCTATTATCAGTGTGTCGGGAAAATAATGGGCACAATGTCGCTGCGCCCATCGCATCGCTGAAGTGAGAAGAAGTTCGATTTTGTTGCAATACAATTCATTCGGCGATGCGATTTTTGAGGCGGTAGAGTGCTCATTATTTTCCCGACAGACTGATAATTTCATAAAGCGACCCTTAATATGCCTTTGTGACAAAAAGGGAAAAAAGTTTACGAACTTTATAAAAATAACAATATCACTCTGTCGGAAAAATAATGTGGGCTCGTCACGCCTTAAAATCGTCCATCACAGATTCGGTGAAATGAAAAGCGAGATATTTTGCTGCGACGAACCCATTTATTTTTCCGACAGACTGATAGCTTTTAATTTACCTCTCTTTCCACATCTCATTCTGGATTTTCCTTCCGGATTCATCAAATTCCGTTGTGTTCTGGAGATAACAAAGTACTGCGGTCATGCTGGTCGACATTATCTTTGGAATCAGGCAGGCGCCGAGCTTGTACTTTTCTGAAAACTACATTCACTGTATTTCAGTGGCACGGTAAGTTCCTCGGCTGGCAAAGAAAATAATTTTGAAAACGTAAAAATTGCCTCACAGACGAAGAATTCTCCAAGTGCGACGCTCGGATTTTGATGAAGCTTGAAATAAGTTTAGAAAAATTTTTTCTAACGATAAGGCATATGCCAGTCGCCTAGCTTGCATCCGAGATTTTAAGGTCGAAAGTGGAGAAATTCTTGCACTTTTTTTGCGAATTTCGACAATAAAAATGTTATGCCTATTTCTACAGTACAGTGTAATGCTTCCACAAAAAATCTGTTTTTTCCGCATGCAACTGGCAAAGATATATCAAAACGTGTTTTTCTCTCTGACTGCTCTCCCATTTTGCGTACTCTCTCGGCCGTAAAATGCCGTTGAATACCTCGGCTGCGCCTGCAAAGCGCGAGCTAGAACCTTGAGGGCTTCGTATGTGGACTATGCTCGAAGTGTGTGCAGAATATAAAAAAATCTGAGAGTCGCACTTTTGGTACTTCTATTGTCAATTCCAGCCAAAACAATTTTTTTTGGCCAAAAAATTTCTCCAAAGCTTCTTGACGAATGCTCACGAAAAGGCATCGTATAATTATGAAGAACTTACCACCATTTGGCTGAAGGAGTACAGGAACGGCGGAAGAGGTCCTTCGGCATTCACGTCTGTCCGAGGTAAGATTGTTGAATTCGAAATTTCCAATCTCTCCAGTTCACGACGACCCCTTACATTCAACATGTTTACAACATCTGAAAAGAGGAAATATACAAGCAACAAAAACTTACATTCATCATCGACTGATCTGGTAGTTGCATCAACAGGATTTTTATTTGTCCGGAGTAAAGACCAACCATACATACAGCAACTGATGAGAAAAATGATTTTCAACAACAATGTTGAGCTTTTCCTTCGCATTACATTTGTAAAATACGACATGCTGTTGTTGCTGAACAGTGGAGTGTAAAAGTTTATTGAACGAGAAATTCCGGCACGGCGATTTCCAGATTAATTTCGTTAAAGATGGAGAAACTTAAGATAAGTTTAAAGCCGCTTTTGCCGTTTAACTCCGCGGAAAAAACTGATTTTTTTATGCTGACCTTACTTACCCTACAAAATGAGAATGATACTATCCATGTTGAAATAAAAAAATACTGTATTTTTTGCGACTATAAAATCTCGGCGTTTCGGTTCTTATCAATATGTCGGGAAAATAATGAGCACTCTGTCGCATCACCGCCAAGAAAATGAATTGTGTCGAGGCAAGATCAAACTGCTTTTCAATTCAGCCATGAGATTGGCGTGAAGACATTGTCCACATTGCTTTCCCGGCAGACTGAAATGCCCCTGGATCAGAAAATCCTGATAATTTATCACGGCCTCGGTTCCGTCTCAATTAGAGGTGGCAATCGGGCCGGGCCGGGCCGAATTTTGCGGCCCGGCCCGCGGGCCGAAGTGACCAGGCCGGCCCTGGGCTTTTTCAAATTCGCTCAGGCCCGGCCCGGCCCGGCCCGGTGAAAGCCCAGGCCGGCCCGGCCCGGCCCTGTTTGGCCCGCTACTGCAAAAAGGTTGGATAAAACTCTATGCACTCTCTATTGGAACTTTTTATGCTTTCCAGCGGGGTTTTACGTCTATGTGAGTGGAATTAAAACGTCTAGTCGGCTGACTGGAACAGCCGAACAGGTAACTAAAACCTAGCCAAAAAAGTTGGATTGTGTCGATTTTTTTTTATCCTATAGGAAGTTAGCTATGTAAAAATATGGACGTTATGAGGTTACATGTTTAATCAAAAACTGCGTAGATGCGTTCATTTACATGAAGGAACCAAATTACAGTGAAATGTTTAAGTTTATCATCAAAAATTCGAAGATTTGCCCGGTCCTTGCATATTTGGGTGGGATTCTACACATACATAATCACGGATTTTAAATAGTTTGAAAAAGTGGTAAAACAGTATATAAGTCAAAAAGGTTTAATTTAATATCCATTCATAAATTCTGCTAAGCATTTGTGCTTTATTTTGCTGGTTCAGTATTAATTTTTTTTCACTTATCCACCTTCCGGGCCGGGCCGGGCCGAAAGTCTCGGCCCGGCCGACGGGCCGAAGCGGTCAGGCCGGCCCTGGGCTTTTTCAAATCTGCTTAGGCCCGGCCCGGCCCGATTGCCACCTCTAGTCTCAATGCCTTTTTACTAAAAAAACCAATGTATAATATGTAAATTATGCCAAATCTTATCAAAATCTGAGCCTCGCACTTGGGGCTACTTGTCTGTCAGCTTCATTCCATTGCGCCTTCGGCGAATTTATCATGCATATTTGAATCTTCACTCGGATTTAAAACGCTTTACTCCGGACCCGGTAAATATCTTAATTCAAATGAAACTTGAATTCCCGACATCTTCCCCACTTATCTGATGCCTGTTTTTTCAGATAATTTGGGGGTTCGTTTTTCGACGTACACAGATTGGCAGTCATAACTACTAGTCTTTTAATATTCCTTCCGAGTTCCTGAATCGGAAAGTGACAACGTATGCGGTCGAGTTACATCAGGCTACCGGTTATCGCCTGGTTCGCCGTATTTCCATCAGTATTGTCGCAAATTCTACATCAAAGAGCAACTTCTGCTCAAGATGATGCCCCATCTAATACTACCAAAGTAATTTTGATCACAGCGACACGAGATCGGCCGCAGAGGGCGGCTGATTTCAATATGTAAGTTGTCTGACTGAATTATGAGACTGTGTAGAATATAGGCTGGTTCAAACAATCCGACATCTTGAAAATGTCTTCTGGATTGTCGTTGAAGGCGATGCAGAAAAGAATCTTTATATGAAACAACTTCTTGTCCGCTCAAAAGTTCCTCACGTGTATTTGGATCGACCAGATACTGAACTATGTAAGGCTATTCACACCAACTTAAACGACCTGCTAAAAGTTTCACAATGTGCATGGAATTTATTCCCTTCAACACGGCGCATTTTAAACTTTTGCCCATTTCAGGTAACGGCTGGGCTTTGCACAACGAAGCCTTGGACTATATCCGTCGAAACGATGACCTCTTTCCGGACGATTCCGTGGTCTATTTCGCCGGTGATGAAGATAGTTTCGATCTCCGGCTCTTCGAGGAATATGTGAGGAATGTCAAAGAAATTGGCGTCTGGGCAGCCGGTAGGTGCTATTGCCTCTCAGGGCTTACTATGCCCTTTTTATCTTATGTTTTATTAACTTCAGGATCCGGTTATGTGAGTGCCGAATCGCCGATGGTGTTGCACGGGAAAGTCATTGGTTGGAATGTGGCGTGGAGACCAAAGCGAAAATTTGCCTTAACATTCCATAGTTTCGCATTGAAGACTGGCCTTATTAAGAAATCAAGGTGTGGTTTACTTATCTCTTCTTTTACTCACTCAGCAAAATTCCTCGCCTCATCGTGGCCGCGTACCAAATCTCTAGCCGCGGCCAGTCGTCGCAGAGCAATGACCGGCGACTTCAAGACGCGAAAAAGGCACACTATTTTCTCGACAGACTGATATAAACCGTTTACAGAGCCGCGTTCGACATGAGATGCGCCGGTAAAGCGCCTGAAGACTGTTTCCTCCGACAACTGGACATCAACCAAAGCTCAATTGTCCCATTCGGTCATGAGGGAACTTCGAAGAATATTTTTGTCTACCATAGACGTGTGGACAACAAGGGATTCTTCAATGAACTCCCAAGTGCCGGGTTCTTCGTTGACTACGAATCCATTGAGACGCCCAAGTGCATGATGGTTCGAGTCAAATTCCCCGATATCGCTGCAAGTCATGCTCAAGATATCGCAAATAGGAAGTATGTTGCAATGCCAAGAATGTAAATATGTATGTAATAAAAGGATTTATCCGCCTGTCGGGAAAATAGCGAGCGTGATGTCGCTGCGACAAAAGAGCATGGTGAGACACGGAAGGAGGGCCGGGCTCTTGGAAATTTTGAAAAGGGCCGGGCCATTTATTTGGGATGTATGTATATTGTACCCCCAATACAGAAAGATGACACATGTTGTTTTCGACGTTGTGGATAGGCCAGTCCGATTGTTTGACGATAAAGATGTCGAAACTGTGTGTATGACATTATTACCTCGTTATTCTGACTTTTAGGCCGAAAGTCTGATCAATTCAGCCTTGGCAGCAATGCCAGTGTCTTCGACGTCGGTAAGAATGCCAAATCCCTCACAAGAACGGCGGACATCCATAAAAATGTGTTGAAGAGGACGAAGTCAACGAATTCTCTGATTATATCAACACATCATTGGAGACGACGTCGAATTGCCAGTATTGGAATTCTGGAAGAAGTATGAATGCCGTCTTCCGAAGATCTTCCAACTTGCACGCCGCATGGAGCGATGCAGTAGAGCTTTTGGTGTCACGAACAAGATATGGGATGTATGATATACAAACGATAAATTTTGACTGATTTTGTTATATTTGTTGCTGGTTTTGAATAAAATGAAAAGAAATCGGATTGTCGTAAAGAAAAATCCAACTGCAATTATTTGTAAGGAATACGAAGTCAAGAGTATTTTTCCGACAAACCGATATTGTATCGTTTTTATTCGCCGCAGCTTATTTATCACTCAAATTTCTGAGAGTATGCGTCAATAAATTCTCGCGAAATCAACATCGAGCCAATTAAAGTTGTGTGCAAACTGTCGCGGAATATTGTCAGGCCATTTGGCAGCATTGAGAAGCATTCGTCGTCGATGTGAGTGCAAAAGGCCTTTGTAAAATCAACGCGGATGCATTTTGGGCAATCCGGGCGCGCTATCATCCGTTGAATTCTCAAATTTCTTTTGGAATGGTCCTAAAAGAAGCTTTGCAAAGGCGATGAAACTTGGCTTACAACTCGAGGAAAATTTAAAGTTGGATAAGGAAGATCCTCGTTGAAGACTTTTGAAATCTCTGAGCGGTCAGACCTCTTTTCCGGATACCCCAGCAAAATTGCTTTTGATGCGATGTCACGAAGCGCCGAATAAAACGATGTCATATCGTTCGCCATGTTCGATACGTATTCATCGCTCAGCAGGTTAAAACTAAATAAATAGCGGTCAGTTGCTGTACTACCAGTCTGTCAGGAAAATAATGAGCACAATTTCGCTACACAGTGAAGTGACAGGCAATTTGATTTTGCCGAGACTCAATTCATTTTTTCGGCGGCGATGCAATTTTTGATGCGACAGAGTGCTCATTTTCCCGAGACACTGCGATAAACTTACGAGTGCTGAATAACGATCACATCAATCGGTCTGTCCCAATTTAGCAAAGCATTTAGGTAAAGACTTCTTGAGCTGTTCTGAAATGGCGCTCCGTCTTTGTTCGAAATCAAAGATATCCGGCTGTAAGTGTCTTTCCACTGATAAGCCAGGCCAAGGAACACGTCGTGAGCTAGGCTGTCGCCGATCACAACCACTTCGAGCTTTCCTGATCCCTAAATTAATAGATAAAAATTGGTAGAAAACCCGGAAGACCGCTCAACAATGAGTAGGTGAGAGGGTACCAAATTGGAAATTGGTATTATACTACCAATGACATTCAGGGAAGAGCACGCCCGCCCCGGAGATCGCTTCAGGCCAACCAATGGAGAAGAACAGGTGGTCTCCGGTTGTCATGACTTTGCATGCGAATTTGCATATTCTCAAGGAAGCAGACAAAGTGGTATAAAAGAAATGGAAACCTTCCAATCAAGTGTGAATTATTTTTTTTCTTTTCCCGCTGCGGCGGTTGTGCTATTCTTCAAATAAAGTGTATTCCTATTGTGTCTACTGTGTTGCTTTCTACTGTATGGTCAACTCGGCGCATCCATTGCGTCCGGAGAGACATTGTGAGTTGACCGTTGATATTGTCGCCCTCCAGGAGTGGCTACGCCCCTGTCGCCCTCACAAGGCAGTGCCTTCGAGCTAGGGCCTATTTTTAGTTTGTCATTGCGTTGTATAATCGTCTTTGGGCTTGGGATGTTAGATAGAACCTAGACTATGAACCTTTCCATGTGCTCCAGGCCAATTCGTGACAGAGACAAAGTGCAAAAGAAAGTACTACAAGTGACCCTGAGATGCCACTAATATCACTCCATCGACTTTCCGAACGGAGTCGTACTCTCTGCAGCAACGACCGTTCAATAGTCCGGCCGTCTCTGCAAAACACAGCTAAGATTTTCAGAACCCTATGCATGGCCTATGGCTGATGTATGCGCAAAATTTAAAGAAACTTGTACATAAGCTGACCTTTAGGAAATAGACCCTAAGTTACTTCAAAACCTGACAATTGGTGCAGACGAAGATTCCTACTTTTTCCGAGCAAAAGTAGTCCATCCTTTCCACCAACGGCATTTGCCCATTATGCCCTCTGCAGTTCTCGAGCGCCGTTTCCACATAAATTTCCATCTGATTGTGAAGATATTTCAACTCAAGATTGGTCATGTTCAAAGGCTGGGCTCTGCGATTGTACAAGCTTGCGGCATACTCAATAAACAATGGATTCGTATGATCCAATCGAGCTCCGTCGAATTTTGGTTCCTCTTGCGGCAGAATTGTGTAGATGGCAGATTGTAGGCCCGCAATGGCCGACAGAAAAAGTGTTGCAACTATAAGCAGTCGGCGTTTAGATTTTATCCATTTAGCGAGAGTTGATGAAAGCGCCTCAAGAAGACTGCCGGCTTGGATTGCGGCAAAGAAGAGCAGGGCTTTGTCTGAAAATGGACAGCAAATTGATGAATTATCAGTCTGTCTGGAAAATAATGGGCGCAATTTCGCTTCGCGGATCGCGTCGTTGATGCGAAAAACAAGTTGATTTTCTCGCGACACAATTAATTTTCTCGGCGGCAATCCGATTTGCCGCCGACTGCAAAGTGCTCATTATTTTCCCGACAGGCTGGTACCTTACAATCGCTTTTGTGCCAACATAAGCCACAAATAAAATTAAACAAAAATATGCTTACCTAGGAAAGTTTGGACGTGATAGCTGTCTGATTGCATTGCATATTCAGAATACCTGAGCAACGGCCAAAACACAAGGTAAATGGACAGAGAATTGTCACCGAGCCAAGTCAGCGCTGGCACGTAAAAATCTCCCTTGTTGGCAATGTACAAAGCAATGACGGCACAATACAACGAGCCTGTTAAAGAGAACGACCAGTCCAAGGCCGCTAAAAAGCCAAAAAGTCCCAACAAAAGGAGCTGCAAATTCACCGGACTGGCACGTTGCAATCTATTAACCGTTGAATGTCCAACAGTCTTCGAATTAAAGTGTTTGGTTATCGTATTGATCACTGGACATAGCGCAATTATTATGGACATAATAACAAGGTTGTAGAAGTGTTTGTAAGGTCCATCAAGTGAGAAATTATTTGTGCCCATAGGCAGAAACAACAGAGTCTTATAGTCTTTCCTGTCAACAACCACATAGCCCATTAGAATTGTCATCAATAGAATTAAATAGTAAGTCGTAAGTAGTCGTTTCGCCCGTCGAAACCAATAACTTTCCCGATTTTCCTCTTTTTCCAAAGATTTACAAGTAAAATATCCTGCCAGGATGACAAAACTGGAAAATATAAATAATGAATAATCAACCTTTCAAATCCATTAAACAAAAAAAACAACTTACGTAAGATTGCCAAGCCATCCATTTGGCAACAGATTTGGCCATAGATAGCCCAGTGTAATACTGAGAACAGCGAGACCTCTGAGAGTCTGCAGATCTCTTCTTTTTTCCATGACTGAATAAAAAATTGGTTAAATTTATAAAGATGTTAGCAGAAACTCAGCAAACTGCCTTGAGTTAGTCGGCGAAAATGTCCGCCGACTAATCTGGATGAATCAGATTGGAAATTAAAAACTTGAGCGAGAGTTAAGGCTAGGGCTCTAGCATGTTTAGGCTTACCTTTTTCTATTTGGTGTGGTTTTTATTGGAGATTTGTTAAATGTATGATGTGTCCTTAAAAAACACTGTTGTCATATGTCCTAATATTAGTGGCGCCATAAAGTCGGTAGAATTTTTTTCGTCGACGCCGCGGTTGCCCAAAAGTTCATGTCGCTTGTACGAAAACGGGAAGTCGCAACGGAACGGGCAAAAAAACACGCTGTGCAAATTCTACAGACTGTACGTCGCGACTAGTAGGTGTCTGGAAAGTAACTACTGCTTTCAGTATGTGATATCAGCCAGTTGGGAAAAGAATGTGGATAGAAGGTATAGCACGTCAAAACAATTCTTTCAGAAAATTGAAAAAACAAGGAATCTCGGATCATTGATTTTTTGCGAAGTGCCACAGAATTATCGAGCTTGAAAAATTGTTTTCCTCTTCGAAAAAACATTTTTCTCGAAATTCTCTGGGAAAGTTTTCTTTTGTGACTCGATAATTCAGCGACATTTCGTCAAAAATCAATGATCCGAGGTTCTTTGTTTTTTCACTTTTATTTTGACGTGTATATTAAAATCTCTTGCTTCGTCACAGTCACACACCAAATCTCTAGCCGCGACAAGTCGTCGCAAAGCGATGATAGGCGATTTCAAGGGCAACAAAAACACATTATTTTCCCGACAGGCTGATGTCACATATTATAGTGTTCTAGATCCTATCTTCTTACTTCAAGCTGCAAAATCTTGGTTTATTCCTCAAACTTGATCATGGTTTAACGTCAACTTTAACTTGCGCCAATTAATCCAAGATGTAGATGAAGATCAACGATTTCACTTTAACATGCTTATTGAAACTTGTTTTACTGCCAATGCGGTGCCGGTTCGGTCTGTCACTTACAATATTCTTTGTTGCTTTGGGGCTTATCTTTGTTTTATACAACACTTTCAGAAGTTCTAGATACGTCTGCAGCCAGCCACGGTAAGATTGGACAAGTATAGGGGTGATATATTATACATGGATTATTTCAGAGCTTATACTCGCAAGGATCAATGTGTTATCGCTGATGTGCTGAGCTGCGGACTTGAAGATCCTAGCCGAGTATCTTTGGTGCTGCATATGAGTGCGGATCGTTTCGATGCTGAGCAGATAAGGAAGCAGGTAATTGCGTTAAGTAAGCGGCAAATAATTTGGTTTATGTTTAGTTACAAAACTGGAAAGGACCAATTTCTTTGGGCATCGCGTTCCCAAGATGGACAAAGTTTGGGTCGCCACAGCTGCTACGAGTTTGGAGGGAGGTACGAATTGACTCTCAATACCACTCACGGCAAGACGCCCTGGCAATCGCGATTGCCAGGGCGCAAAATCGTACGACCCGTTGCATTATCTGTCTGTAGGGGAAATAATGAGCATTATGTAGCATCAAAAATCACATTAATTTTTTTCAACGGTCTGATAAATTTTCTTATCACATCCCTTTTGCAGCTCGAAGCACTGCAAACTGAAGTTGCAAATTCAAAATGGAGCTTATCCGTTCATTTCCTTCTGACTCGATACACAAATTGCAACGATGGCGACGTTGAGGTGATCAAGAGGAGACTCAAAACTCCCAGTGTGCTTTCTGGCACATGGCCTCGTTCGAAGCCTCGGTTCTCGGCCTGCAAAGGCTCTTGTGTGAAAACGAATGCCCATATGATGCATTCTTATCCTGTGAATACGATAAGAAACATCGCTAGAGAGGTAAGGAAAGCTGCATTTTTAACAAAAGAGCTATATGAGTCTGAAGGGAAAATAATGTGAGTCTGTCGCAGCGCCGATTGCGTCGCCGAAGTGAAAATCAATTGATTTTGCCGCGACACAACTCATTTTCTCGCCGGCGATGCGATTTCCGATGCGACAGAATGCTTATTATTTTCCCGACAGGCTCACGCATGGAGCTGGGTCCATGAGAAAAATAAATAATATCACTATTTTAGAACAGCAAAACCGACTTTATTCTCATCGGCGATATGGAACATTACTTTTCCGACGGCTTCGAAAAGAAAATGGCCAAACTTGCAGGGGAAACTTTTGCGAATGATCCGAAAACCGTCTTGGTTTACCGGATATTTGAAGTAGAAGAAGCTCCAATAGAACCTCCTCTGTCAAATGACGACCTTTTCCGAATGTTTCGCGCGCGAACAGCAACAGTATTTCATACCGAACATGACGGGCACAAAATCGACGGGTTGGCTGAATGGTTCGCCCATTCAAATGAAACGGCGGATATCCAGCTGTACCTACCGTAAGTAGAATGCGCTTACAAGAGAAGCCCCCACTGTGGAACAATATTCATGCCTACCTTCCCGTTAACCATTCTTCCTTTGACCTTAGCCTGGAGGTAGCCCCTGATCCCCTTAATTACGACCCCGGTACCTTATCTTGACAGTATGACGCTTAATATCTGCAACTTTTTATGATATGACCCTCAAAGAATTTCAGGTATGACAGAAGAGAATGGGAGCCTCAATTTGTCTCCAGGAGGGATATTCCCTTACACGATGAGACCTTTTCCTATCCGCAGCGCGATAATACGGTATTGGTAAGTGTAATAGCGGTAACTGTCAGACTGTCGGGAAAATAATGTGGATTTGCCGCAGCATGTCTCGCTTCGTCGCTAAAGCGCACCAAACGTCCAGCTAGCCGTTGCAATACGATCAAGATTGATTCCAAGGCGCGACGAATCCGCATTATTTTCCCGACAGACGGATAGTAGAGATCATGCAAAATATAGGCCATTGTTTCGCAACTTATCATATATTTCAGCGCTGGGAAATGTGCCGAGCCGGCTACAAATGGGCCGTTGTTCATGACGTTTTTATGTATCACCCTGTGGCAAAAGTGAAGAAAGTCAACAATCCCTTGGAAGTGGCGAGAGAATTGTCGCTAAAAACCTATGATGACAAACTGTCCGCCTTTCTCAATCGCATGGACAGACTCTATCCCGAAACTTACCACAAATGCCCGCAAGTCGCGTCGGCTAGCGAGATTGACCTGACGATTCGGTCTTATTAGTTGTTGCGGTAATAAATATAGGTCTAATCGAACGATGGTTAAATTTTTGTTATAATTTACATCTATCAGTCAGTCGGGAAAATAATGAACACAATGTCGCTGCGCCGATCGCGTGGCTGAAGCGAAAGCAATTTTATTTCGCCGTGACACAATTTATTTTTTCGGCAAAAAATTGGACTTTTTATGGCTAAATTTTATTATCACCTTTTCTGCCAGCAGGTACATTTACAAGTTCTATCTATAATTTGTGAGATTGACACACGTCCGCGATGGTATCGAGTACTCCTCAACGTCATAATGTAACACCTTTCTGCCTTTGTTCTCCGCCACATAGCTGCAGACTTTACACATCGCCAAATAAAATGGACTAAAAGATCTCTCACTCTCGTATTTCCAGAGAAGATGTTGTATGTAAGCGGTGTCATTTGTCATTAGATGTTGAATATACTTGGCGAGATGAGACAACGACCTAAATAAAAAATATGGGTTTGTCGGGAAAATAATGAGCACAATGTTTTAGCACGCGCTTTTCAGGCCCAGCCGAGATATTCAACGATATTCGTCACAAGTTTCGCGCCAAAAATCGAAAAAAATTTTAATTTTTTCCCATATTTTTCGGTCTAAAAATCTTGGTCTTTTCTGCAAATCGTGAGCTAGAAATCTCGCGTATGTTTCAGAATAAATTTGTCTAAATTTGTATAAACTTTTCATCAAAATCTGAGCGTCGCACTTGGGGTACTTCCTCTGTGATACCTAGCTAGCTTAAAACGCGTTAGCTTACCGAAAATCGTCGACCGCAATAAACGAGTCTTGAGGAAGATGTTTGTAGAACTTCCTTGACATAACGATCGGGACCAGCGAGTTGAATTGATAAAACTTCTCGGTGGAATAGTAATCACATAGCGAGTTCTCAAATGCCAAGTAGAATCGATACTTTTCTTTGTTCTCTTTGAAGCACTCTTTATCGCAGGTCATATTCCCGCACTTCCCGTATAAATCAATTGGCATGTACCTGAAGATAGTGAGGGTATTGCCAAAAAATCAGAGGCAAAAGAAATCCAAAAAATGCAGTCAAGTCTCTGCACAGCGAATAAAAAGGGCCAAAAAGATTTTTCAATTGTATCTGTCAGTCGGGAAAATAACGTGGATTTGTCGCGTTTTGGAATCGCATTATCGTTTTGCGACGACTAGCCGTGGCTGGGGATTTGTTGCGCAACTGTGACTAGGCGGGGCACGGCAACCCAGGGAGTCTCCCGCCTCGTTTCGGCGCTTCGCCCACCTAGTATCGGTTGAATTCAAACGAAATGTCAAAAATGAATTTTTCATGTGGTTTTCGGACCGAAAAATATTTTTCTCGGAATTATTTTATTTCTTTTGGGAATTTTGACACTTCGTTTGGACGAAATTCAAAAGTGGGCGGGAGACATTTTTGTTCTATTTTGGGTTGCCGTGCGGGGCATTGAATCGCTATGACAAATCCACATTCATTTCCCGACAGACTGATGGCCAAAAGTGACTTTCGGACCATTGGAATTACGCTTTTGGCTGGCTTGGCTGTTTTTGAGTTCGTTGCACAGAGGTTTCAATATATCCATCTGTCAGGAAAATAATGAGCACACTGTAGCATCAAAAATCGCATTGCCGCCAAGAAAATGAAATCAAGTCGTTTTTCAATTCGGCAACGCGGTTGGCGTAGCGATCATTATTTCCTCGACAGACTGAGATTTCAAGAAAACGCATCAAAAACACTACCTTTGCATTTCACTGATGAGATTTTCTCGACGGCTTTGGGTCTTACAATGCGAGAAAACTTTGTAAACTCCCTTCGTCCGGCTTTTTACTGACTCCAGTAGATCAGCTTTGAATTCTTCCATCTAAAATGTGTTAAGCGCCTTGTCAAGTCGTGCTTACTGTTTTAGACGTGCCTATCTTAGAGTACGTTCCATACGGCATCGGGACATCAGCATATGGAAGGTAATTTACCGTGATATTGAAGTAATTCTTGGGGAACCTAAAAATCACCGGAAAGCTGCAGATCAGTCTGTCGGGAAAACCGTGAGCGCAATGTCGCGGAAGTGAAAAGCAATTTGATTTTGCCGTAATTATTTTTTCTCGGCGGCGATGCGAGTTTCGATGCGACAGAGCGCTCACTATTTTCTTGACAGTTTGTTAAGTACGTCAATTTTTGTTCCTTACACAACATGCTTTTGATGATACCGCGCTGGCGCTTCCCTCTCGAAGAAAATGAAAACCTCGTCGTCGCTGAGCCGCGCGGGATACTGTTGATGATTTACATCTGAAAAAAAATTGTATTATCTATGCGATGTCCATAAACCGCTTACGCATATAATACGGATGAAACAAGATTGCGTCGGCGTCATTGCGGAGCGTCCTGTCTAGAGTGAGCTCACAAACATTACCACAGGAATTGTGGACATCTCGTATAAAGGCCGTTTCAACTTCCAAGTTGCTTCGTGGCGTCCACACTAATATTCGGGTCCGGTGATTTTCAGAGGAGTCTGTTTGGAAGGTCTAAAATATTGCGCATTACTTTCTAGCACCTTCCCGCTGTACTCCAGACAGTCAAATCTTCAAAAAAAATATGGGATGGGACCAAAAATGGGGCAAAGTCTATTGATTTTATGAAAATTAGAATATCAAAAAAGCATCTACAACTTACCCGATAGAAAGCCCAAAATGCAAAAACTGTAAAAAATGGTGCAAGTATGCGTCTTAGTCGCGGAAAATCCACATAAAGCAGTTTAATAGTGCGCATTGGATAACTTACGTCGCGGAAAACCTCGCAGTATTCTTTTACTCCCCCAAATCTTGATTTGAACTCAACGTTTGCGTTGGGAGATTTAAATGACGATTATTGTCGGGTAAACTCGCGGAATAACATTTTAGCATTTCCGTTTCTTTATTAAAATTTTGAATGATTTGTCGAGAGGTCCGGGAGACAACCACACGATAAGACGAGAAGCTCGAGTTCAAGTGATTTTTTGAGTGAAAAGCGGCCCTTATATAGGGAAACCCCACGTAAAAACAAATTTGAATAATAAATGATGATTTCCGTGCGAATTCGGGCTCGAAGTTCGGTCGTTCCACCTCACATGATTATTTTTGCATTGCCGACTACTTTAGTCTCCTTTATTTTGATAAAAAACAATATGCCGAGGTATTTGACGTGGACATACGATAGGCTAGGAGACCGTATTCTTCAATGATTTTAATGAAAATGTACATACTTTTTGATGCAGAAGTAAATATCAGATGCAAAGAATAAGCTTTTTTGTTGTTATACTGCTGGCTTCTTTCGAATTTCCCCAATAAATTTCGGCGGAAAGTTTTATCTTAAAACTTTAACTAATCTCGTAAAAATCAGCATTCATTTGCAAGGGGATTGAAGATTACCCGCAATTTCGCCGTCTGACTTTAGCATCATGAGAAACCGGCGCCTTTTTGCAGTTATAATTTTAGCTGTCTAGGGAATAACGTTCATAGGGTTGGTAAGTCGAAACATGGTCAACATGTTGAACTGTAGGCGGCAGAGGAACTTTAGGATGCCTTGTGTTGACTTCTAAACATTTAGAGATCATGTTTAGTACATCTGAGTTCTATCGATCTGTCGGGAAAATAATGGGCATTCTGTCGCATTGAAAATAGCGTCGTCGCTGAGAAAATGAATTGTGTCGCGGCAAAATCAAACTGCTTTTTATAATACTTCAGCAACGCGATTGGCGCAGCGACATTGTGCTCACTATTTTCCCGACAGACTGACAATTGCATCTTTTTAGGGTCTCTATGAGAAACCCTCAGAACTCACCGTTACGGATACCCGTAACAGAACAAAAGTGTTATTATGGACGCCGCGAAATACTGGGGACAGGTTTAAGTTCATGAAAGCGCTTGAAAGGAATTGCGGGTCAACCTGCGACTTCACCATGGACAGAGCACAATACAACTCCTCGAACGGGGTCGTCTTTTTCCCGTATTATATGCGTGAGTGTTACATTCAAATAGAAACATGGCATTCCAGTATTTGGAGTGTTTCATAACTCATATTTTAGCCTATTTCCACGCGACTTATCCCAAACGATACAGCGAGGATCAAGTGTTCGTTATGTGCGAGAGAGAACCGCCAACCAAAGACCTCCGAATGGAGTGAGAATTTCTAAACTTTTATCGTTTTCTATTGATTAGTTTTATATTTTCACAAATTGCATGGAGATCCTCTTATGAAAATAGTATACTTTTAGATTGCCTAACGATTACTTCAACGCAACCTCCACTTTTCTGGCACATTCGGACATTCCGTTCCCATATGGACATTACGAGAAAAAGGGAGATACAGGAACGGTAAGCAACAAAAACTTTGTAGGTATATACTTATATCAATCTGTCGAAAAAATAACGTGGATTTGTCGCGCTCTGAAATCACCCATCATTGCTTTGCTACGGCTAGTCGCGGCTGGAGATTTGGCGCGCGACTGTGGCAAGGCTTGACACATTTGGTACAACAAATCCACATTATTTTCCCGACAGACTGATAGTCCCGCTTGGTCAAAAAGTAATTTCAGAGGATAGCATTCTACAGAAACTTGATGGCAGAGATCAAAACAAAGACCAAAGGCGTTTTCAAAGTCTTTTCCCACTGCTATACACCAAGCCGCAGAGAGAACATCATAACGGAGCTGCAAAAGTAAGACCCGCCTTTTGGGACCTGAGTTTGTCCTTAAGTCATGTTTAAAATACATGAACTTTGTTTAAAAAACATGACTTTGTAAAGGGTACAAGCCGCTGAAAAGTGCGGCCATATAAGCGAGCGAAGATCAAAAATCACTGTATGCTGTTTTCAGCCACATGGAGATCGACCTGTTTGGACGCTGCAGCAACCGGACCTGCGACAAGGCCTGTTTCGCCGAGAACACGAAAAAATACCGCTTCTATTTGGCGTTTGAGAACTCGAACTGTGTTGATTACATTACCGAGAAGTTCTTTCAGTTCGACAATTTGGTTCCGGTGGTGCTGAAGAAAGAGTACTATCAGCAATTCCCGGCCAAGTCATACATCGCTGTGGACGATTTTATGTGCGTTTCAGGTCATTAGCATTTTTTTGGGAATGGTGATGGGACGCGAAAAAATGTCCATGCACTTTGTAAAAATACCATTAGTTTGTCGGAAAAGTAATGAGAACCCTGTTGCTGCGTAATTGCTTCGCTAAAGTGAAAAACAACTTCATTTTGCCGCGACACAATTCATTCTCGCGTGCGATTTTCGCTGCGACAGAGTGATCATTATTTTCCCGACAGACTGAAAAGATTTAGCTTTGCAATAGAATTGGGCAAATTTGAGCTGAAAACTTTCGAACCGACATCTTTTAGAAATTTGAAAAGTCTGGCCACATACCTCACCTATCTCATGGAAAACGACGACGCCTACGCCCAACATCTGATGTGGAAGTACGAGTATCGCAGGAAAATGGTCGACCCAAGCGAAAGGATTTGCGCAATTTGCGATTACATTGCGCAGAACCGAGTCAAGAAGTCCTATAAAAACATGAAGGAGTACTGGAATCACGCGACAACTTGTGATATTTTCTTCACTGAAAATGTACTGAAAAGAAATGAAGCTTTGACATAACGCCGAACTGTCATTTATTTGTGTGTTGCAAAAAATTTTTGCTGTTTTAACCACATCTGAGAGCTATATGTGGTATTTTATGAGGCACGGCCCCTCCCAGGGAGTCTCCCGCCTGGCTTCGGCACTTCGCCCACCTATACTGGTCGACAAAATTTTCTTTCCACCTCGTATCTCGAGAACCGCTGGGCCTAGAACCTCCAAATTCGGCGTAGAAACATCCAGGGACAATCTAACACCATACACTGCAGGTTGACGCCAAGTTTTTCCCTGATGTGTCAAGTTTCTCTCTCCTGAAAATAATTATTTTTATTTTCTTCACATATTGTGCAGCCTGTTTCTCCATGAAGATGGACTGAAAAGTGGTCAAGTAAGTTATTATTAGCAAGAGGAGGTGTTCTTCTTTCATTTTATTCCAAAAATGTTGATTTTGTTTCAGGGAAACATACAGAATTCATCCAATTCGCAGAGCTACTTTTTAATGACCATAGATAATGTAAGTCCACTTATTTCGTTTTTTCGACGTTGAGTTACAAATACAAGCTTATCTAAGACTTAGAGGAGACGTCACTCTTTCGGGTTGTTATGTTTTCCATGCATAAGATCCTTCAAATGTTTCGCTATAATCAGTTTAGGTAAAATTGACCAAAATAGGTGTCATGGAGAAGATAATAAAGGCGAAAAGGTCAGGAAAAAGGCGAAAAGAGGACATTTTGGAACTAATGGAGAGGCTGGAGATGTTCTAACAATGCAAAATAGGCCATGTGGAGACGGTTTTAAAGTTGGAAGTGGACGTCACGGAGAAGATAAAAATGTAAAAATTGGCAAGAATAGGGCCCCATATGTCGTCATTAAAGCAGGAAAAGACCAAACACGGCATGAAAATCGCATTCAGAGCTTTGGTCAAGCTCCAGGGACATCTGAAATTCAGCAAGTTCAAAATGGTCAACAAAGACTTCATGGAGAAGATAGAAATGGACGCAGTGGACATGGTCGGCCCTCGTTTACACCCTCTGAATGGGGTAATCAAGTTTGGAATGAGATGTATTAGCCATTTGTTTGAATTTGCCGTGTGAATGTCTGTTGATTGAGTTATGTTATATTCGTTTTTTGTTGGAAAATATCGCATTTAAAACAATTTGCACTTGGCATCCATTATTCCTGACCTTCTTCAAGACTTATAACTTTATCAATGAACCTCTGAAAATCGACAGTCGCGTCTTACTGCTCGAATCACTGGCGTTGATCAAGGAACAATGTGGCTTTATCTCGTCAAAACACTAATCTGATTATAGCGAAACATTTGAAGGATCTTATGCATGGAAAACATAACAACCCGAAAGAGTGACGTCTCCTCTAAGTCTTAGATAAGCTTGTATTTGTAACTCCACGTCGAAAAAACGAAATAAGTGGACTTACATTATCTATGGTCATTAAAAAGTAGCTCTGCGAATTGGATGAATTCTGTATGTTTCCCTGAAACAAAATCAACATTTTTGGAATAAAACGAAAGAAGAACACCTCCTCTTGCTAATAATAACTTACTTGACCACTTTTCAGTCCATCTTCATGGAGAAACAGGCTGCACAATATGTGAAGAAAATAAAAATAATTATTTTCAGGAGAGAGAAACTTGACACATCAGGGAAAGACTTGGCGTCAACCTGCAGTGCCATACCCAAAAAATCATATCATTTGATGCACTTTACATGCACTTTTTATGCAAAAGGCAAAAAACGGGATGACGAAATTTTCTTTCTACTTTGGAAAAACGTTTGTAGATCATAAGCCAGAATTGGGAACGCAGTTGGGTCCTTCCTCCAGCCGATTCCAGGTCCCTACTACTTCCGCCGATGCCAGTGGGACAACCTCCCAACTGATCAATCTCCAAACGCCGAATCCAACAGTTACAATCGATAGTTTATTGATAGGCCGCGAGTACAATACAAATGAGATACCAATAGATCAAATATTCCCGCGGGGCAAACGCACGACCGCTTTCCAACCTCACATTCCAACCAACTCTCCTCATTCCCGTCCTTCCGTCCACGTTGCTCTCTCACATTAGGCTGCTTGTTATCGTTGCGGGACCAATTGAGGGCCCAGATGCGGCTGGCTCCACACGCCCCTCCCATATGTTGACGGCGTCCTCGACGTCACGTTGAGTTGACGTTGCTCGGTGCTGATTGTCACTGGCTTGATCTGACTTGAACTGGTTGGACCGGGCTCGAACTGGCGGGAAATGGCTTGACTGGGCTTGATGTGACTTGAACTGGCGCGACGGGTGTTGACATGAAACGAGAGTAAAGTTAATGTAAAAGTCCCTAAAATCCCTAAAATATCCTAAATACCCCATGGCTCCCCCCTCAATAACTAAACGACGTCCCGGCGTTTTCAGAAAGCTTTTTCGCATTCCTGAAACTGGCCAACATGTTATCAGAGTTGACTTTTTACCGAAACGTAATAAATAAATAGAGAATTTTTGAATCAAAAACAGAAATACCTTCAAAATATTACACCAAATTACAATAAAATACGGTATTTTCACAATAAAATAGCAATTTACAATACATTTTGCCATACAGGTCCACATAATCTCGAAAAGTTTGAACTTTGTGCCTTTTCCTTTGATTTTCTGGTAAGGTGACGTGATATCTGTCTCAGAGTTTGAGTTTTTAGTCTTTTCATTCCTTTCCAGATCACTAGAATTCATAATTTTGCCGTTTGAGAAATCTTCGTAACCAAAATTTTCGAATATCTCCTTAAACTTGCATCCTTTCCCTTCGATTCGCGAGTAATTTGATACCAAGTTTCGTTGATCCAATACATCATTCAAACATTGGTTGTCTTGAGAAAATTTAAATTTACATCCTTTGGCGGGTAGAAACGAGCTAGAAAAGCGATTGTACTTTTCGTAATTTTCCGAAATGTGAATATTCTGGTCAAGGATTAGACTTGACATCCACTCGAAGACACATGATTCTTCTAAATTCTCCAAATCATTCTGAACCTTACATTTCTCAACATTAACATCAACTTCTGAGCATTTCTTTCTTATAGGGTCATCTTTTATCCACTCATGATAGAGAGAATCATCCACAATTTCTGTAAAATCAGTACTCTCTTTAGTTTTCTCTTTACTCCAGGTCATAAACACGCTTTTCGATAATTCTGAAGTATAATCGGTCTGATAATTGACTTTTGTGTGCGATAATGGTGCTTCTGGTTCGTAAAACAGCTCTTCGAAATCTCCATTTTCAAATCCTGAACACTCTTCACCTTTCTCTTCGATGTTTCTACCGGATTCACAAGCTTTTTTACTTTGGTATGGCTCATTAGTGGCCGTAAACTTCTCATTGTCTAGCTTCATGATGGTTCTTACCCCAGTATTTCTTTTATTTTTTCCCAATAGCTGCTGATAGCATCGTAAAAGTTCGTTAAAGTTTTCGTCGTAAGAATCCATTGGATCAGTAATTTCTTCTGGATCACTGCTGAATGTTAAATTTGGGTGGTCATCATGAACGATAGGTGATGAGTTGTTCAGATCAGACTGAGAAAGGTCACTTTGACGCTGCTCTTGAGATTCTGGAAGGACTTTTGAAGACAAAACACATTCTCGTTTCTTCTTGAAGCAACTCTTTTCGAGATGATTCGGTTTTCCACAGAAGTTACAATGTAAATCGAGTTTTTTGATGTCCGATGAGTGCTGTTTCTGAAGTTGGAATGCATTATAGGCCTCGTCTTGAGATGGTAGAGGGTCACGAATCAAAATTTGATCATAACAAGGAAATGTTGAGAAGTAATCTACTGCAATGTCTTTCTCGTACCCGAATTCTTCCATGAGTGGATCCATAATGTCTCCGAAATAATCCGTACTCTTGTCCAAAGCTTGATAGAACTCCAAGATTCTTCCTCGAAGTCGTTTCTCCAACACTTTGCAGCGATGTTCAAGGTCTAGCTCTTCTGTGACAACGAAGATGTTATGTAGAATGTCATAGATGAACTCTTCTTTCTCTTCACCGGTGATATAAGACATTCGCCCGTTCCTCAAGAGGTAAGTTTGTTCAAATGTTAATGTATTCATGATGTGTGTGTCTGATAATGCTTTCTTGATGCTTTCTCGATAGAACTCGGTCTTTTCTACTCGCGAATCACAATCAGAATAATTTTGGTGAGGCAAGGAAGGAATAGAGGGCAATTTTGGCGAGAGATTCGACATTTCTCGAAGATTTTTCTGCATTTTAGGTACCAAATTCTCTAAATCAAGGTCGGTCACACCACTTTCGCTCTTATTCACCTGCATTCTCGTTCACCTAAAACAATATCCAAAGATCGTAAATTTCTCAATTTCTCGTCAAAATTCTTCAAACACAGGGTCGTAATAGCTTATTCTCGCTATAAATAGTCTCACCTCACTCAATAATCAGGAATATTGTGAGTGTATGGCCGCAAAAGTATCAATTATATTATACTTGGCCAGGAGTCGAAATTTTCCAAATTCTTGCGGAAATTCGCTCCAAAAACGGGGGAATTATTCAGATCTTTTGTTTCTTGAGATCTACAGTCGTTTGTCCGCAATTCTTAGGCTCAAACGCTGTTCCTTCAGAGTACTGCCTCTTCTTAGGGACTCTTCAGGTCTGGAGTTTCACAAGTGAAAAACCAGTGTCAATCTCAACCTTATTCTTACGGAAGAGATCGACCCAGATTTGTCCGTTAGTTCTTTAGGATCAAATCTGATTTTCCGGGAATTTCTTCGCTTTCCTCGGAAAATATTCCACGCAGTCGGTTCCACGATTTTTCAGCTGTGGCCTCCTGGGTGGTTCAGATTGGCCGTTAGTTCTTTAGGCTCAAATCTGAGTTTCTTTGGAAGTTCTACTTTCCTCCGAAACTAACCTAAAATTCGAACAAAACAAAGAAAAACCACCAAAAATCCAATGCAGATCGAGTCCAACGTCCCCGAAGTGTCGTCGTTCCGTAGTGGTCGCCAATTGGGAACTCAGTTGGGTCCTTCCTCCAGCCGATTCCAGGTCCCTACTACTTCCGCCGATGCCAGTGGGACAACCTCCCAACTGATCAATCTCCAAACGCCGAATCCAACAGTTACAATCGATAGTTTATTGATAGGCCGCGAGTACAATACAAATGAGATACCAATAGATCAAATATTCCCGCGGGGCCAAACGCACGACCGCTTTCCAACCTCACATTCCAACCAACTCTCCTCATTCCCGTCCTTCCGTCCACGTTGCTCTCTCACATTAGGCTGCTTGTTATCGTTGCGGGACCAATTGAGGGCCCAGATGCGGCTGGCTCCACACAGAGGGTGTTAAGGCATGATTGTGGTATCGTTGTGATTGCGAAGAACTCCTCTCTCGATTGGTGTCACAACTTTACAGGGGTTTTCGTTTCTTCGCCCTTGGGCGTCGGCTCATCGTTGCCTTGTCCATTTTAAGCCAAATTCGTCGGAGTTGGACGATTGGGGAAAAAGACGATTGGGGAAAGGGACGATTGGGGAAAAAGACGATTGGGGAAAAGTACGATTGGGGAAACCGGAAAGTATTATTTTTCTTCCATGCAAATGTCGAAGTTAGGATAATCGAGGGTGCTCATTTCAAAAATGACATTCATTTTTTTGATCCTTACTTTTTTCCTTAAGTAGTACTGTAAAGTAGTAATTTTTGATTTTTTTTCATAAATACTCGATTTAGGGGTTTTCGAGAGTGCTGATTTCGAAAATCAAGTAAATTTTTCCTCTAGTACTGCATAGTACGATTCTGATACTATATAGTACGAAGTGAAAATATCACTTTTGACGTTAATGGTGCTGTTTTGATGCTTAGTACTCTTCAAAAACACGTTTTAAAGACTTGGTGCTATATAGTACTGTTTGATACTATGTAGTACGAAGTAAAAATAGGCGTACTAAGCATCAGAACAACACCACGAACGCCTAAAGGCCAACTTTACACCTCGTACCACATAGTATCAGGTAGTACTATATAGCACCAAGTCTTTAAAACGTGTTTTTGAAGAGTACTAAGCATCAAAACAACACCATTAACGTCAAAAGCCATATTTTGACCTCGTACTATATAGTATCACAATAGTACTATATAGTACTAGAGGAAAAATGAACATGATTTTCGAAACCAGCACCTTCGAAATCCCCTAAATCCAGTATTTTTCGAAAATTTTAAAAAAATTAGTACTTAACAGTACTACTTAAGGAAAACTAGTAATGTTCAGAAAAAATAAACCCGATATTCCAAATCAGCACCCTCGAAAACCCCTATATCGAGTATTTATGAAAAAAAGCAAAAATTACTACTTTACAGTACTACTTAAGGAAAAAAGTAAGAATCAAAAAAATGAATGTCATTTTCGAAATGAGCACCCTCTATTATCCTAACTTCGACATTTGCATGGAAGAAAAATAATACTTTTCGGTTTCCCCAATCGTACTTTTCCCCAATCGTCTTTTTCCCCAATCGTCCCTTTCCCCAATCGTCTTTTTCCCCAATCGTCCCAGTTCCCAAATTCGTGGCCAGAGAAGCTCGCAAAATGCATAAGGAGATGAAAAGTGCCCTTAAAAAATCTGGAATTCATGGTTGCAACATTGTCTACTCTAGACTTGGCTCTCGGGCCGGCCCGGGCCGAAAATCGCGGCCCGGCCCGCGGGCCGGAAGAGGTCGGCCCGGCCCCATTTTTAAAGCAAAAAATTGGTTACCAACCCATTGCCTATCAAAAATTAATCAAAAAATTTCCGAGATCAGTTTTCAGACGCTACTGCCAAGCGGCATTTCCATCCGTAGATCTCCAAGTGGATACAGTATAATAGAATACAAAATTTAGGCATAAAGTAATCGATTATAAAGGAATTTTTATTATTAGATTTAATTTACTCTCCAAATGTCTATACAATCAACATACATATGTTATGCAAAAAAGAATATTTGGCATATCGAATGTATGTTTTTAAAGGACCAGGAAAGGTATTTTTTGAACCGATTTTTTTATCGGCGTAATCAGGCAATTTCGTGGCGGGACCATCAAGGTATGTATGTGTTCTCGATTTTTAGAATGGAGAATAAACTTCTCCAGTGGATTTCAAATGGCCGATTGGCCCAGAAACCTTGATATACGTGCTGAATAAGATGTGCAGTCTCAGGAATTCAATCGAAAATCCTCATATAAGTGCGAAAATGATGTTGTACTTCATGAATTTTCAATTTTAGGTATCTCTTTCCATCGATTTACTCTGAACAAGGCGTCAAGTGCCTTGACGAATTCAAACACTATTCATAGAGCATAATAACAAGATTTATTGCTTATTGCCAAGGTTAGATTGAAATATTGATGGAAAAAAGAATCAACGATCGTGAGGCGATAATTGTCCGTAGTGATGGCTGTGGTTCTAGTCTCCAGCATCGTAGTCTTTTCCCGACGTACCAGGAACCTGAAATAAAATGAATACAAACAATCTATTGCCAAAAAGTTCAAGATTATTACCCAAAAAGCAAGTTTTAGCCAAAATTTTGATATTATCCATGGCAAAAGTGCATACTTCTGATAAAAACGGAGTAAAAACATGCTCTGTCCTGTAAAACGTGCATCAACGCCTGGACTACTCCATACAGTTCTTAACTAAAGTTCGGGCCCTAATTTCACTGATAAAAATTATATTATCCATGATCCCGGTCTAAAAAACAAACAAAAATGTAAAACTCTCACCTGTTCACCACGTTTCCCTCGACCATACCCTTCCACAGGTCCCGGATGCACAATCTAATCGATTCTAATTGTCCAATCTTTATTGCTCATGGAGAGATACCTAAAAAAGTAACTGAAGGGCAAAAAACAACTTACATGAACGGTTTTGATGTTTTTCATCGAGTTCCTGGAATGACCCAGCTCATTCAACATGTGACGCAATGTTTTTGGGCCAATCGGCCATTAAAAATTCACAGGAGAAGTTTATTCTCCATTCTAAAAATCGAGAACACATCCATCCCTTGATGGTCCCGCCGCGAAATTGCCTGATTACGCCGATAAAAAAATCGGTTCAAAAAATACCTTTTCTGGTCCTTTAAATAGTCTTCAATTAATGGCGGACGGTCCGGCAGAGTTGAAGGCGAGACCGGCGATCATCATATGCCAACGAAGCCTTATTTATCAAATTTCTCAGTAATATAGTGATAATAATGAGCACAATGTTGCAACGCCAATCACGTCGCTGAAGCAAAACGCAATTTTATTTTGCCGCAACACAGTTCATTTTCTCGGCGCGATTTTCGCAGCGACAGGGTGCTCATTATTTTCCGGACAGACCCATAGTTACATATAAAGGTGGTCATATAAGAATTCAAATTTTTCCCAAATCGCGATTTTGGGTGCACAAAGAAGTCTGCGCCCAAATCGAAGAATTGGCGCCGACATAGGCACCCAATTCCGAAATCCGGCGTTGTGATGTTTGTTATACCATGGATAATGTAAGCCGATTTCCCTATTTTCGTTTGTGCTGTTTGAAAACCAAATTATGGCTAAACCAGGAACATCGAACCAGAAACATCGAGTTTCACCAAATTTTTATGTTATACTTGCTTCACGTATTTGGCCCCTCGGTCAAGCTGCTATTCTTTTAAATTGTTCCTATTTTCACGGTATAATTAACCTAGTGGCCAGTCCTAAACCTATGTCTGTCCATTTTTGACGAGTTTGCACAAAAAATAGGAAAATCGACTTATATTATCCATGGTATAACAAACATCACAACATACCAAAATTTGGTGCTTTATCCGAGCAGAAAACGGGAAATCTAGATATCAAATCGAACTGGGCAGCCTGCTCTTGGTAAGAATTCCCTTTTTGGACTAATTCCATCTTGTCTTCATTCAAAAAATGTATAAGGCGCGTGCGTTCTACTTCTCTTCGGACTTCCTCGCAGAAAACCCGCATTTCTTGTCTGTGGGCCCGCTAGACAAGAAACGCGCAATTCTTGTCTAAAATTGCGTAACATTGCGCAATATTGCGCAATTTTCTGCTCTCTCCCCGTGAAGATTTTTTTCTTTTTTTCTCTGCTCAGCCAAGAATTGCGCATTTCTTGTCTAGCGGGCCCACAGACAAGAAATGCGGGTTTTCTGCGAGGAAGTCCGAAGAGAAGTAGAACGCACGCGCCTTATATCTTGAAGATTGGCGAAAACCAAAAAAAAATTCTTCTCGAGCAGGAATATAAAATGGGTCAACTGTTCCCCCTAAAAGCTAAGTCGGCATCGAAGGCTCAACACCGAATTCCGGAATTTGGTGCACACTTTAAAAATTTTGGAATTGGGTGCCGATTTAAAATCGGGGTCTTAAGTCGACGTCAATTTTTCGATTTGGGCGTCGACTTCTTTGTGCACCGAAAATTTGGGGAATCTTTATATATATGTAACTAGAATAACGCAACAATAATTAACAAGTAAGGCTGAACGAGTCGTTTCCAAAGTCACATCGAATCACCGAAAATGTCTTTCCGAGCCGAATAAACCGTCTATCCCTGGCCTTCTTCACTTTCTTAACGAAGTCCGGCCCGCTTCCCCATTCGTCGACAAGCTCAAGCGCCTGCGCTCCTCTGCGTATAGGGTCGAACAAGTAGCTAAGGTGAATAAAATTCCAGACATTCTGATCGAATCGATGACAGTTCTCGCCCAACCTGTTATTAATCCAATCCGTAGTGGAGCTTAAATAACAGTACGGTGACGCTGCCGGCGGTGATATGCAGTCCTCAGTCAGAGCGCACAACATGAACCATTTGATTGCGCGTCGAGTGAAAGGCGAGTCGGACACGAACAGAAGACTTTGATATTCTTTTGCAAGCACTATTTGATGAGGTAGTGGAAGATAGTCGTACATCCCTAAACATTCATTTGTGTTAGTTAACGGATTGAACTGCCCGCAATTCATATTCAGTTAGTCTGTCGGAAAAATGATAAGTGCAATGCTGGTGAACCCATGGCGTCGTTGAAGTGAAAAGTAATTTTATTCTACCGCGACGCAATTCATGTTCTTGGCAGTGATGCGAGTTTCGATGCAACAGAGTGCTCATTATTTTCCCGACAGACTGATAGGCGGGCCAAAAGTCTTGAAACCTCTGCATAGTGCGCTATCATGCGAAAAACTTGTCACGCATCAGCAGCGTAGCCAAAGCAATGTGCCCTTTCATGGGTTCCGAGAAAAGCCCTAACGTTGCCCAGGGGCGTAGCTGACGAACACCTTGATCCTCCCGGCCCCCTCCATTACCATTTTTTTCCTTCGACCCCGGCCTCGGGGTACCCTCCCTCTCTCCTTAGCTCCGCCCCTAACGTTGCGCATACACATGTGTTCCTTTTCGCATGGTGCATTTTGAATTTTTCCCACGCTTGTCGCCGACGCATAGTGGAGTTTCCCTTTGCACACCATGCGAACTCCAAAAAAATGCCGTTTGGACTGTGCAGACCAGCGGCATTTCACCGCAAAAACCAAAAAAATATTAATTGCACGGTGCAAAATGGAGGATCTTGTGCACCATGCGGGGCGCGACAAATCTCCATGAGCTTTGTGCAAATTCTAATACGCCTTTTTCATTGCTTTACCTTCCTGTGTAACCGCATAAACACTGTGTGGAGCGGCGTTGTAGTTCATGAATGGCGGTGATCGCCCGGCTTTCACTGCTTCTGGTATAATTTTATGGGCGTCATTCTTAAGTCGGACGCTACTGTCGTAGTAGAAAAAGTTCTTCTCCGTTTGCAAAACCTCCGCGATGATCGCTTTGAAGGCGTAGTTTCTGAGGTTTCGGAAGTGCTCGGGATATTGTTCGAAGACGAAGAACCGGTATTCAACGTTGCACCAGGATTTCACTTCCTCAATCTAAAAATCAAAAGCTATGAAAGTTATGAAATATCGCTGCGACGTATGCCTTTTTGAACTGCGTCGTCGCGGTTTTGCTGAAGACTTTGCACTGTGCAATTTTTTGTGGTTTGCACTGTGCGAAAAATGAAAAAAGCACTGGCGGCAAGCGTGGGGAAAAGTTCAACATGCACTGTACAAAAGCGAGGAAATTTCTATCAGTCTGTCGGGAAAATAACGGCGGATCGTCGCCCCTCGGAATCGCCCATCAGCGCTTCGCGAAATCAGTTTCGCGACAGACTGATAGTTTGGAAAACGAATACCTGAGTGCTGTTCAGTCCGAGGTCGTAGACGATAATTCGCGGGTTCTGAATTCTTTGCCGTATATTTTTGACCAATCCGACCATTTCGCGGAAATGATCCTCCGAGCATCCACTAACAAACACCGGTTGCCAGTCCTCGTTGATTTCTTCAATAGCGTTCGGAGCTGTTCTGCTTTCTGCTTCAGTGAGGTCGAATCTCTTCAAATATCGATAATGGTCGCATGGGAAGGGCCGACCAAATTTTCGGCGTAAATTCTCGTCCACTCCGGGGAAACAGAACTGAAAAATCGACCAAAAGATGCCGTTATGAAAAAGCTGCGCTCTTACGTTTTCGCCATTACATTCGCACTCAGCCGGATACGAATCTTCAGCGTATTTGCGTATCACATGGAGCACAATTAGCAGTGGGATGGTGGCGAGGACCCCGCATCCCAGCTTGATGTAATGCCGCATTCGAAAAGTTTGGAAAAAATTCAAAAGATCGGAGTTCTGGATTTTAAAATAGCATATTTAATTTAACTCCGCAATCATTTGCGATTATTACGATAAGATGGAGAGATGCCGCGGGGAACTGGATTGCGCGGCGGAGTTTTAGCTTGTTAAATTTGAGCGCAAATCCGGAATTACATGCTATATCGGTCTGTTGGGGAAATAATGAGCGCTTTGTCGCATCGAAAACCGCATTGTCGCCTAGAAAACAAATTACGTAGCGGCAAAATCAAATTGCTTTACACTTCAACGAAGCGATTGGCATAGCGACATTGTGCTCTTTATTTTCCCGACAGACTGATATCCTTTGAAAAAAAAGATTTGTCGCTGCCAAAAATGGGAATCGCCGCAATGTAGGGCAAAAATCCAAAACCGCACTGTGCAAATTGCTCAAAACTCACTTCCTCGACGTCGATGCGATTTTCGGTGCTACAGAGTGCTCATTATTTTCCCGACAGACTGATATTCCAAAAGATGAGACGTTAAAATCAAAGGGGTGAACCTTGAGCAGTCTCTCGGTAAGCAAAATCTCCTTTGCACGATAGACAAACGACCGGCAAATTTTCCCTTAAAAACAATCATCCGAGTTGCTCAATTTCTAATGCTTTATTTGTACTACAACTCCACAAATGGAGGAAACGTTTCGCGGTTTCGTATCAAGTTTTGGCTGGAACATTGTTGACTCTTCAACACTTCGTAAGATGCTGTAATGTTTTGCTCTTCAATACCATACTGGGCACAGGGGTAGGGCGTGCCATTTGAATCGCAGGGAGTGGTTTTGGCCAGCGACTGAAATTATGAATTTTTCTGCGACGGTGGTATGTAAAACCTCTGTACAACAAATTGCAAATGACCAAAAAATTAATCCTTTGAAGAGGGGTTCTGTTGTGCCAAATGTCATTTTTTCATGAATTAAAAAAAAAATTTCTCCCGCCAATGGACGAAATGTCGCCATTAACAAAGCAAATAAAATGAGTCCCAAAAAAATTTTCCACCGAAAGATCCCCGAAAAAGTTTTTATAACATTTTGTTTGATTTCAGTCGATACAAAGAAGGGAATCGTCAAAAAAGAAGCAGTCAGGAAACACGTCGCACGTCAAATTGAGAGTCCAGTGACCGTAATAGATTATTCGCTATAGGGTTTTTTACATTTCATCTTGTACTCTCTCGCCCCCAAAATTCCTCATTTCTTCGCAGACAAAGAGTTTTTTTGCGTCTTTTTTTAGCGAATTGCCAATCCATTCACCTGACAGTTTTAGCGGGTGCCTGGCTGAATATGAACTGACTGAATATGAAGGACTAAATATGAAGGACTGAATATGAAAAGGACTGAATACGAACTGTGGTGCTGACTGAATATGAAATTCGGCAAATTTGGACTATTTCAAGGGCTATATAGTACCAAGTGCTATAAATGTGTTTTTGGGCTGCACTAAGCACCAAACCAGCACCATTACCGGCCAAATGTTCATCTCGTACTAAATAGTACCAGGTACTATTTAGCAACATGTGTTAAAAATGTTTTTTTAAGCAGTACTAGACACCAAAACAACACCATTAACGTGTAAAGGTGTTATAAGTCGAAAATTCAAAAAGAGTCCTTAATCGGGACCGAGGTAGCAACAGTAACATAAACCCGGTTTTCATTTTCAGTCAGTTCATATTCGGTCCTTCATATTCAGTCAGCACCCCAGTTCATATTCAGTCAGTTCATATTCAGTCTCCCTTCGGTTTTGGCTTATCTCAGTTTGACGTGCCTAGGGTCCCTTCTACGGGGGTTCATTAGGGTTAAATCCCCACATCTCTGGGTTAAATCCTCTCCATACGGGTTAGACCCCGGCTCAGCCCTGTGGTGGAACGCAGACGTAGATCGGTAGTAGGGGCGCTCGGACCACCGCTCTAAGAATAGACACACACAGGTTTTGGAATAAGATTTATTGAGAAGACCACACCGAGTAAGAGAAAATGAGATTATGTTCTATAATTGGTGACGAGACGTTGCTTTTATATGAGGTGGTTTATGCAAATTTGCTTGGGAATTATGGAGACCTTTCAGGCTTCACAACACTTACATTATAACCCAAATTAAGGGAGTCAAGCAAAGCTACGCCGGTGTTTTGCCGAATCAATCCTGTGTATAACACATCCTCCAAGGAGATGAACTCCACCGTTGCTGTTGCAGCCAATAATCGTTTAATTGCTGCTTGCGTCACGACGTAAGTGCAGCCTTGGCAAAAGCGAGGGTAGAATTTGTGGGGATACGTTGTTTTTGGCATGTAGCTAAGTCCATAAAGATCATTGGTATGTTATCTTACTACTTCTGCATCCTACTCCGTTTCGGCCGGCTCTTCCGATAGACAGAGCAGAACATAAACTCATTATTGGCTTTAAGATACGAATTGTAAAATTTTCCGATGAAATAGTTGAGCCGTTTGAGGTCTAAAACCGTGTCGTCGTCAGTCTTCACCAAGTACTTGGCTTTCGGACAAAAGTAATTGGCAAAGGAATATGCCGCGTGCACTTTTAAAGGGAGCAGATCGTACCTAAAACTTGAACATAACCGCGTCAAAGAACTCACTTATCCTCGGCATTGTATATGACGATATCTTTGTGCTTTCGAACCTCCTCTTGGATTCGGTCCGTCTCGAGTTCCAAAGACGTAAGGCCGAGAAGAAATTTAGTGGAGAAGTTGCGCGGATTGTTCTAAAAAAACTACCACAGTTTATCAGCAGACCTGCGAGTCATTATGCTTGCAAAAAAACCAAATTATTTTCCACTGATAATCCAGTTTGGTCTTACGGGAATTTGTTGTAGCTCCACTTTTTTGATCTTAAACCTACAGCGTCATACAGCCAGCTGTCGCGAATCATCTGCCTTCTTCCAAAATTTCCCGGCTTGGAAAGGACGAGAACGACAACATCCGATCCTTGGCAAACCGAACCACCGGTTTCAGTGAAGCGATATGTGAAGGAAATATTCTTGAAGATTGCAGTGAAATCGACCGATAGAAGGGGCCGAACGGCTATGTAGAGACTGATCATCAAAAAAACTAAAAAACAAAAGTATGTTGATTTGGCTATGGGCTTACACGCTAGCATAGGGAAATACCGTTTCTTCATCTGTAGATCGATTTTGCTCATCTTTAGTGCCTTTTGAAAGCGACCGTAGCTCAAGTCCCATTTCTTCATTTGGCGAAACTCGGTTTACCGCTGAACCCTTCGCTCCGATGGTTGGATTCGAAGGCACAACAAATTGATTCTGTTGTGCCGTTCGCTGCGAGGAGACAAGTGTCGCCGCTTTTTCGTTAAGCTCTAGATTATTTTGATTTCAGCAAGTGGAAAGCAAGGCGGATTCAAGATATCAAGATATGTTTAGCACGCCGAAAACTTTAAGACTTAAGATAAAAACCACGGCGAGATTAAATTTTGGTTTCCTTCGAAAGAGACCCCGAGTTGAAAGAGACCCCGGAATCGGGGGTCTCTTTCGATGTTTGCCCGAAATGGCCGAAAAGGTCAAAAGTAGGGTAATCGATGGCGTAGATTCCAAAAATCATATTCGTTTTTTCCGATTCTTACTTTTTTGCTTAGGTAGTAATGTTAAAAAGTAATTTTTTGAAAATTTTCTAAAAATAGTCGATTTAGGGGTTTTCGAGGTTGCTGATTTCGAAAATCATGTTAGCTTTCCTCTTTATAGTACTATCTGGTACTATACAGTACGAGGTGAAAATATGGCTGTTGGCGTTAATGGTATTGTTTTGATGCTTGGTACTCCTCAAAAACACGTTTTAAATAATTGGTACTGTTTAGTACTGTTGTACTATGTCGTACAAGGTAAAAATCTGGCCTTTAGGCGTTAGTGGTGTTGTTCTGTTGCTTAGTACTCCTATTTTCACTTTGTTAGAATAATTTTTGAGAATACTCCTAACTCGCGCTTTACAGAAATGGCCAAGAGCCGAAATACGACAGTTTTTTGTAAATTTTGGCATGAAAAGTTCCAAATTTGCCATCAAACAATATGCGAAATTTTGATGGGAAGACAGAAAAAATATTTGCCTCAGTTAGTAACCGGAGACAAACAATAAATCAAGCTTTAACAACGATCAAAGCCATCTGAATGATCAATTTTTATGTTGTTTTATGGCCACGCCAGAATGTAAAAAAACTGGCCAAGGACACGCTAGAACAGCTGAGGTGAAAGCTCCTAGTCGCTAGACGCCGCATTTTCAGATTAACACTCGCTTCAACCAATGAGACCCGACCTGAGGCAACAACGTTTCGCTGAATACAAAAAATGGAAAAATTGGCCCGATGACTAAATTCGTTTTCACTGATGGTATAATAATTAAATAAACTTTAATGTAAAATTTTTTGTTTTGATGAAGATTGTCGACCCAAGAAAACGGCGGAGTCATACTTTTAGAACTAATAAAGTATAGATATGAATTAATTTGCCGTTTTCTGTGGTTACCCTGTGTAGACTTCATCTCCGAATCCCAAACGCAGGGAGTCTCGACATGTTTTGCGGAGATATTCAGAAGGCTTGCTTCATTAAAAAAGATAAAATCAGGATATTGAAAGATTAGATGTCGTTAAATTCAAAAAACGACCTGAGGATCTAATTGGAAGATATTTGTAGACGACTTCTGCGCAATTTTAAGGGAATGGAGCTGGATATTCAAGGACTTAGATGTGTTGCTGTCATTTACGTTGTCTTGTTTCATTTATGGCCAAGGACCTTTAAAAATGGTTATCTCGGAGTTGACATGTAGGTTTTGCACTTAAAATAAATAGCCATACATGATCGCCTGGCATGTGTGCCAGATTTAAAGAAAATCTGAACACTTCTGATGTCTAACACAAAGGATTTATTTTGCAGATTCTTTGTCATCTCTGGCTACCTGATGCATCACATCCTCAGCTCAAAAGAGTTCTCGTCGCATGCAGTCGCGAAATTTTACTTCCGCCGCATCCGACGCATTGCCCCGCCGTACATTGTTCTTCTGACTTTGACAGTTGTAGTGGCCAACGTCCTCTTTTCGACACAAGAATTCTCTAAAGTTTTGGATGAATTATTAGCGGCTGCAACCTTCACCTCCAACATTTTTAAGCTTCCCCCGCAAGGGTATTTCGCAATCAACAATGAGTACCCTTTGTTTCTGCATACATGGTCGTTGTCTGTCGAGTTTCAGTTCTACTTGATTGTCCCGTTCATCTACTTGGTGTATTGCCGGCTACGGGAAATGCAAAAGCGTGTAGCGATCGGATTTTTGGTGTGTCTGGCTGCGCTTAGCTTTGCGTATCAAGTGGCAAATGGAAGTCGTAAGTTAATCACGGTTTTCTCAGAGGTCCCAGACGTTAATGTTGTATCTTCACGTGTAGTTGTGAAGGTATGTAGTCAGCCAGATGTAGGGTAACAAATATAGATAGGTTTATTACAGAATAGTAATAACAAAACGTAGCGTAACACCAAACATTCACTGAATAATATGTATCAACCGAGATCCCTTTTCGTCTAGGCTTCGAGAAGCTTCGAATGAAACGGAATGCCAATAACGTAGTCGTAGGTTTCGTCTCGGGACTCAACAGTTAATTTAAGGCCGAATTAGCCTAATTACAACAAAACAACAACTCTATAACAAAATTCTGTTGGGAAATTATGAGTACGATTTCGCTGCATCAATTGCGCCGCTGAAGTCAAAAGAAATTTGATTTTTCCGCGACACGATTCATTTTCTCGGCGTCGATTTTGATGCAACATATTCCCTATTATTTTCCCGAGAGACTAATATTGAGGATATTAAAATTTTATATAAAGTGCATGGTCGTTTTGTCGCGCCCCGTACCGTGCATAAAAACCCTCAACCTTGCACCGTGCGTTGAAATATCGCTCCGACAGAAACAATTTTTAGCTAACGATAAGTCGCAGCGTCGGTGCGAATTTCCACTGTGCAAAGGTATAGAAAGAAGTTCAAAATGCACTGTGATCCGTTGTCATTATTTTACCGAGAGGTTGGTAGGGCGTTGTGAACAGGCAATTTTTATATATTTCCAGGCAGAACTAACATCGCGCACATGAGTCTGCTCTCCCGCATCTGGCAGTTCCTTTCTGGGTTCCTGGCCAACGCGTTGAAGTCAACGGACAAAATGGAAACTTATGCGGAGTTGCCAACTGACGAGCTAGGTGCTGCTCCTTCAGCGATTAGCCGTAAAAAAGAAGACCAGTCACAAAGAATTATCAAGACTATTTTGGCGATCACACTGCTCTACCAACTCCTCTATCCGCTGACTCATTTGGTCTGGCTCAATCGACTGATTTGCACATCCATCGCCGCCGCTTTTATTTATCTAAAGAGCGGATCATGGCTAGAACAACGCTCCCTTGTTTTTGTTGGCGACATTTCCTACTCGTTGTACTTGATCCACTGGCCAGTCATCATATTTTGGAAGTTTATAGGACTATGGGAAGTCACAGGCCCTACAGTGCAGGGTGAGTAGCCTCAAAGAGTTTGCGTAGAAAAAGATCAATTTCAGATGGGTTGATCATATTGCAAGGCTCCATGTTTCTCAGCTACCTCTTCGAAACCGGTTTTAAGAAACTCTTAGCCTCTGTGGACAGCTGGATTCGGCTTATCAATCTTCTGCTCCTTCTCAATATTCTGCTCATCTCATCCGCCGCTGTAATGTATCTGAGGGTGCCAGAGAGCAGCCGCGACAAAGTTAACGGGTCCAGCAGCGGCCTAAACATTACTGTTATGGACCAAACGTTGCAATTCTACGAGAACCGACACAAAATGAGCCTCAACCTCAGCCGTGACAAAGTAATAACCTATAATAGTCAAGTCCAACAATTTATCAATGATTTTATACACGAATGCAATTTGAAATTGAGAAGGCAGGATCACCCACCAGAGTTTTCGCACTCTCTGGTTTCTTGCCAAATCGAGGTACGTGAAGTGAATAAATGCCTGCAGTGTGACTACTACGCCTTTCCAAAAGTCCGTCGACTTTTTTCAGTTCAGACGCAGCGGCACTGTGCTCATTATTTTGCCGATAGATTGAAATGAGCGTATCGCTAAGCAAGATTTATCACATGCGTTTTGCAGGGCACCGGAACAAAAGAAATCGTAATTATCGGGAACAGTTTTGCGCGCGACCTCTTCTATGGTGTTTGGCCGCTAATGAAACACAATTTCAAGCGCCTTTCGATGTACTGTTTATCGTGCGCAATTCCATACCTAATTAACAAGCAGACTGGTAAACGGAGACACGACTTCATCGGGCTGATAAAGCGCTGGGATAGGCCGATTGACATCTTGATTGTCAGACATTCGTAGGTATAAGTTTTGCTTTTGTAATATCATTTATTTTTACAGATACTACCAATTCTTGCCAAACGTAAAGAACCTAGCATGCAAAATATCTGATGTAAGTTTGACGACGCTTAAAAAATTACGCCAAACCACGTTTTAAAAATTTTGAAAACAGGCCGGGCCTAAATTTCATCAGACCGAGCTCAGGGCCTCGAGGTGCACACGGTAGCCATGTCTGTCTGTGCGAAACAAATGTGCACCTTGCACTGTGCAATTTGTTGCGTTTTGTACCATGCAATAAGCCTTTCAAGGTCACTCGCATCCCGACTTTTTTGCACAGTGCAGGTGGCCGAAATCACTCCAACGACTTTTGCGAAGGACGATTTATTTTTCGCCCGATTTCTTGCAAATGTGGCTCATATCTGTGACATTGTCGCACAGCTGTGACAACGAAAAAGCCGTCCATTCTTTTCTCCAACCCATTTTAAAAGATTTCTGATGAATCAAGCGGCGACTTTTTGTAGCAAAATCTTCTTTTCAGCCCAAGTACCTCACGAACAAGATGCCATCCGAAATGCAATCGTTTTACGAAGAACTCAGTCCACTTGCCAAGCACATTGTTATCGGGTACGCGGATCATGAGAGCAATATGCAAATTCAAAAGCTGTCCAGTGCTTTAATGAGAAATCGTCTGGATCATTTCAACTTTAATTATACAGTGAGCCCCCTGACTTCCTTACGATACGTGTCAGAAATTTAAACGTAATCTACATCCTCTTCAGGCAAGTCGACAGATCGCTTCAAGTGTAAACAAGGTAATTGGATCTGTACAGTGCACCAATTGCATCAAAGTCGATTACATGAAAGGTCTTTGTGACTTTACAACAGACACATGTTACGGTGCAACAAAGGACGGGATTATGATTTGGTTAGATCCCGCACATGTAACCATCTACGGGGCTCTCTTAGAAGCCGATGTATTAGTTGACACATTGCATAAACAAAATTTACTGTGCTATGCCTATATGTATTTGATTTTTTTCTGCGGCATCGGTAAGGTGTGTCATCCGGAGGAGAAACAAGGAACGTCAAAAGAGGAGTTCGGTGACTGGAATAGACCCTTCGCTATCGGTTTTTTACACTTCGCCTTGATTTCGCAGAGAAGACAGAGAAAGGAAGCGCAAAACGAACTCTCTCGCCCCAAAAATTCCCCATTTCTTCTCCGTTTTTTTGTGGATTTTTGGCGAATTGACAATCCATTCACCCTTTTAGCTTATCTCAGTTTGGCGTGCAAGGTCCTCGATTGGTTTTGCCAAGTGCAAGGTCCTCAATTGGTTTGTAGCGCATGCCGACTTCAGCTTTGAAGCTGGGCGCGGCCATGATTCGGTCCGAACAGTGCACCTGACGAATTGTGCACCTGGTCTTCTCCTGCATTCTCTTGTTCGCATCCAATAGTCCTTTCTTGGTCGACTTCTTGGGCTTGGAGATCTTCCTTTTATTCTGGCAGGCTTGTCGAGGGCATTGCAATGCCCCGCCACACAGGGCACACTTCGCCATGGCTTGGCTTCTTGCCGCTTTTTGGGCCTTTATATAGGCTTTTTGGATCGAAATTTGCATATTCGATCCTGTGTCTTTGACTTTTTTGTCTTTGACCTTTTCCCTTTCTTCGTTCATTGCTAATGAACTCTATCCGATTCAACCAGTTGTTATCCTCCTTCCACCGTAGGCGAGGCGTTTGGGAGGATGTACTGCCCGTTTAACCCTTCCTGGGGATGGCCAGGTAAGATTCCGACTCTTCTTTCTCTAGTCGGGCTTGTACTGTTCCCTTGAGCTGGTTGTAGTGGAAGTTCTCTTCCCCCTTCATTCTCCAACTCAGACTCATTTTGACGGTTTCCTTCTGCGTTTTCTCCACCTCCTTCTCCTCCTCCTCCACCGTATCCTAGAGAAATAAGCGGTGGATCCTGTGGAGAGGTAGAAGGCATCAAAATTCGGTGACGCAGTTGGTCCAAATGCTTTTTCGCTTTTTTCAGCGTTTGCCTCTTATAAAAAGCAGGCTCAAAGGGGGGTCTGTCCTAGAAATTGACCCCCACTTTTTTTTGTCTTAACTGATGACATGTAGGATGCTAAAGAACTTGGTGAATTTTTTTCGAAAAATTCGTCTTCATGACCGAGATATGACGTATTTATTGAATTTCGCATAATGTAATATATTGTACTGATTTATCGCCGAAATATCTCAGAACTGAGTATATATACGTTATTGGCCATGCTGAACAACTTTGTAATTGACCCGAAGTTTGTCAGGTTACTGTAACATACCGTAACGCCAATGCTCAGTCAAAAAATCTCGATTTTCTCGATTTTTTTCAATAATTTTCTCGGAATTTTTTTCATTTTTGGAATCAGCATCAAATTCTGCATCGGAAAGGCTATATGCGCATCTCCAGATAGGTGTACAAAAATGTCGTGGCGCAACCGGTAGTGGGTCGGACTACCATTTCAAAAGGTCCCGGGTTTGAATCCGGGTGGAAGCAAAAATGCTCAAACGCGCTGGAAATTGTCCCAAAACAGTTGTAATGTATTGGAACTGTGATAAATAATAAATAATAATTAACATTTTCCCCTAAAAAGGCTAAATTTTGGATTTTACAAAATTTTTGAAAATCATGATTTTTGTGGGCCCAAATCTGCCGAAGAAATGAAAATTTTTTGTTAGCGATTTTTTTGTTTAGAAACAACACAGGGCACATAGAAAGACTATTCCTCAGAGGATTTCGCTCTATTTTGCCCAAAACACTAAAAAGTTGCACTTTTTTGTTTTAATCGGAGAGCCCAGCCAATGTTGGATTTTTTGAGCCTAAAACGAAAAAAATCAAATGAGCCAGTTTCGAGATAGAAAATCTCTTCATTTTGCGAAATATTTCGCCTTTCCTCTGACTTCATCCAAAAAAACCGTCATTGAGACGGATTTTTGGACACTTTCATAAGCGGGAACAGAATGCCAACTTTTGTGTTGGAAGAGAACCCTTTGAGCGCAAAATCTTGACGTCCGCCGATTAAGATGATTCGCAAGTTTTCCACATGCGAGGGGCCGCAGGCCCCGAGCCTTTTGTAAAATTACAAAACAAAATAAAAAGCAAGAGTTAAAACACCAAGTAAAAGTTCCAGAAATAGGGGGGGGGCCGAAGGGACCCCCTTATTTCTGGTTTCTTCCTAATTTGCCGTCCCTCAAATTAAAACCCCTTGAAAGCACTGATAAAGCGAAGAGAAATATTACATTGTATTTCCTCGCATTAAAAATCTGCCGACGAATTTGGCTGTAATTTCGCTTTCAACGGCAGCGTAACGGCGTAGCGAGGGAGAAAACGCGACCTACTAACCCGCACTTTACCGTCTTCCGGTTTGAATAAGATGCCGTAGATATAATAATTCATGCGTATTCCGGCAGATGGTGATGTCAACTTCAAGCCTTTCGCACACGCACAATCAGATTGAGATTAAAAATTCCGACTTTTCGCGGAAATTTTATCCACGCTTTTAGCGAAGACAATCATTTCATGTTTATCTCGGCTCTCTGGGGAACATTTTCCTCTAACGCGATTGTTGGGAGCTTGTCGGAAATTTAAGTTTTTTGAAAGGATTATTTAAATTTGTGGCGGATTTCATTAAAATCTGAGCGTCGAACTTGGGGACTTCCTCTGTAAGCCGCAAAGTGCTGCAAAACGCGTTTTAAGAAGCAGTAAACAGAAGCGAAACATGTTTTCGAGAACTCTACTACCTCGGACCCGCAATCTGAATCTGCGGACGGTACTGCTCGTAATTGTTGCATGCTTCGTTGCCTATCGATTTCTAGGCGTCGGCGCCAAAAGTTCAGAGAAAGGGTCTGGGATCCTAACCCGAGACATCACCCTCAACCGTGATGAGTACGGAAGTAAGTTTTCAACAAGTCTTCTACTCAAAATCTATGAGAGTAAGGAACGGATAGTTTTCAGAAAAGAACGTCCACATTGTTGTGATACAAGCCGACTTAAAGCAGTCCCGACAATACGCTCTGCCACAGGCAACACTGCGGTGCTACAGCGCCTTCCACAACTACACGTTGGCGGCGATAAATTTCGCGGAACATGTGGAATATGCGGAGAAATGTCCGGGAGAAATTGTAAGCCACCTATGTTTTATGAGTTTGAACACACGATGAAAATTATGTGGATTCGTCGCGTCCTGAAATTTTCATTGCAGGAAATTGTCACATTTTGCCAACTTTCGACCTAAAAATCTCGGTTGTTTCTGCAAAGCGCGGGCTAGGAATCACGCATATGCCTTAGAACAAAATAATCTAAATTTGTGCCTAGTTTCATCAGAAACCGGGGAATGTCTTCCCCGGCACTAATAGCTTTTATTTTTGGAAAATATTTGTTGAATGTCAGGCACGTATGTCAAAAAACCATACAGTTAAAATTTTCACGGGAGCCGGGAGCCGGAGCCGCAAACTTGGCCTCGGCTCCGGCTCTGGGAGCTGTTATAAAAGCCGAATTTCTTCCAGTTTGTCTTCCGTCGGCACTGCGCACTCTCCCATTACATGGAAAATCATCCCGAGGCGGAATGGCTGCTCTTCCTGGACGCTGACATAGGTGTTGTAAACCCGAACCATTTGATAGAAGAGTACCTCAAACATGAGAGTGACCTCACGTTTTATACTCGAGCCTTCAACTACGAAGTGATGGCTGGAGTCTATATTGTCAAGAATAATAATTTTTCAAGACAATTTTTGATGAAATGGAGTAGGTATGAAGTCCTCCAGCCGAAAGCCGTCCCCGGAAGCGATAATGGAGCAATTCATGTGAGCCATTTAAAAAAGAATTGTTTTTTAGCCGTTATAGACGTGTGTATGCTCATTATTTTCCCCTGATAAACCAAAGCAAAGCACGTTCAAAATGGTTGTTTTTCAGAAAGTCCTCCTTGACGAGTTTGCTTCGAAGGCTTCAAAATCGGAGGCATCGGTTTGCCAGCACCTCTGGGAGAAGTCGAAGAAAATAACGGATATTTTCGTCTTCGAATCCTGCGTCCGCTCGATCCTGGGCTTCCGAAGTCGGCTGGAAAGCGCGGAAGGAAGCGCCACGATTCTCTTCAACCATGGAGATTATTTGGCGAGGGATGGCTGGATGAGTGGGAATGCATGGAGCGATCAGGACTTCCTTTTCCATGGATGGCAAGAAAAGTGAGTCTCTGAGCAAGGTCATTGCCCAAGTTGTACACGGCCAAAAGACATTTGCTATTAGCCTGTCGGGAAAATAATGAGTACTGTGTCGCATCGGAAATCGTATCGCCGTTGAGAAAAACAAATTGTATCGTGGCAAAATCGGCGATTGGCGTAGCGATATTGGCACATTATTTTCCCGACAGACTGATAGCATCTTTATAAAATGCATGGACACAAATGTCCATGCACTTTATGAAAATTCCAGTAGATCCCCTAAGGAAGCCAAGGGAGTTTTTAAGCCAATTTTATTCCGCATTACTGACTTGCAGACGTCGCAATCGGCTCCATGTTTTCGCAGGATGGAAGTCACCGTTTGCAGTCGAAAGATTTCCGACCGACAAATGCCTGGAAAAAGATGCCGGAAAATTTTGGGCTTACCATGAGAATATGTATCGAACTGGAGACCACGTACCGAACATACTAACTGATCTGACAAACGCTGGCTATATTGAACACCTCCGACGGTTGGAAGAGGTGGCAAAACAGCGGGTAGAGCTATTCAAAAACCATCTCGATTAGAGAATTTATTGACATGTGTAGTACATAAAGTATCACAATCACGTGTGGTTTATTGCACTTCTTGCGTATAAAGGGAAGTTTCTTACGATTATCTATAACCTATTTGGATTGGTTTAACAAATGCTTGTAGTTACATTTCGTTGATAAATAAGAGTTTTACGTCAATAAACGCTTAATTTTTTACCTTTCAAAGGTGTGTAAATACGATTTTGGCCGAGGGGTTAGGAGAAGTCTTCCACTGTTATTTCGACGACGTCCTAACTGCTAGTAGGGATTCAGCAACTCATCTTCAGGACCTCGAAAAGCTATTCCAGAACCCCGCGCAGCAAACTTAAAACTTAAGCCTATGAAATGCCAATTTTTTGTGACGAGTTTGAATTTTTGGGTCATTGTTTGACCCCTCAGGGTATAAAAAAAATAATAAGAAAGTCAGTGACATGTTAGCGACTCCAGTTCCAAAAAACCTAAAAGAATTGGAGCGGGCCATTGGTTTTTTCAATTTTTATCGAAAATTCGTACAAAATTTCTCGGATATCATCAATCCAATGCGTACGGCTCTAAAAAACACGAGACGAGTCAATAAGTAACCGGAGACAAACAATAAATCAAGCTTTTACAACGATCAAAGCCCTCTGAATAATCAATTTTTATGTTGTTTTATGGCCACGCCAGAATGTAAAAAAAACTGGTCAAGGACACGCTAGAACAGCTGAGGTGAAAGCTTCTAGCCGCTATACTCACCGGACACCGCACTTTCAGATTAACACTCGCTTCAACCAATGAGACCCGACCTGAGGCAACAACGTTTCGCTGAATACAAAAATGTCAAAAATTGGTCCGATGACTGAATTCGTTTTCACTGATGGTATAATAATTAAATAAACTTTAATGTAATATTTTTTGTTTTGATGAAGATTGTCGACCCAAGAAAACGGCGGAGTCATACTTTTAGAACTAATAAAGTATAGATATAAGAATTATGTAATTTGCCGTTTTCCCTGGTTACCCTGTGTAGACTTCATCTCCGAATCCCAAACGCAGGGAGTCTCGACATGTTTTGCGGAGATATTCAGAAGGCTTGCTTCATTAAAAAAGATAAAATCAGGATATTGAAAGATTAGATGTCGTTAAATTCAAAAAACGACCTGAGGATCTAATTGGAAGATATTTGTAGACGACTTCTGCGCAATTTTAAGGGAATGGAGCTGGATATTCAAGGACTTAGATGTGTTGCTGTCATTTACGTTGTCTTGTTTCATTTATGGCCAAGGACCTTTAAAAATGGTTATCTCGGAGTTGACATGTAGGTTTTGCACTTAAAATAAATAGCCATAGATGACCGTCTGGCATGTGTGCCAAATTTAAAGAAAATCTGAACATTCATGATGCCTAACCCAAACGATTTATTTTGCAGATTCTTTGTCATCTCCGGCTACCTTATGCATCACATCCTCAGCTCAAAAGAGCTCTCGTCGCACGCAGTCGCGAAATTTTACTTCCGCCGCATCCGACGCATTGCCCCGCCGTACATTGTTCTTCTGACTTTGACAGTTGTAGCGGCCAACGTCGTCTTTTCGATACTAGAATTCTCTAAAGTTTTGGATGAATTACTAGCGGCTGCAACCTTCACCTCCAACATTTTTAAGCTTCCCGCGCAAGGGTATTTCGCAATCAACAATGAGTACCCTTTGTTTCTGCATACATGGTCGTTGTCTGTCGAGTTTCAGTTCTACTTGATTGTTCCATTCATCTACTTGGTGTATTGCCGGCTACGGGCAATACAAAGGCATGTAGCGATCGGATTTTTGGTTTGCCTGGCTGCGCTTAGCTTTGCGTATCAAGTGGCAAATGGAAGTCGTAGGTTAATCACGGTTTTCTCAGAGGTTTTTTTAATTTTCTCAGAGGTCCCAGACGTTAATTTAAGGCCGAATTAGCCTAATTACAACAAAACAACTCTATAACGAAAGTCTGTTGGGAAATTATGAGTACGATTTCGCTTCATCAATTGCGCCGCTGAAGTCAAAAGAAATTTGGTTTTTCTGCGACACATTTCATTTTCTCGGCGGCGATTTTGATGCAACTTAGTCCCCATTATTTTCCCGAGAGACTAATATCGAGAATATTAAAATTTTACCAAAAAATTCTTTTTTCCAAGTCCCGAAGCGAAAATATTAAACGGTATCGTTGACCCGAAGTGTCGTTGACCCGAGTTGTCGTTGACCCGAGTAGTCGCGACCCGAGTTGTCCCTGACCCGAAATGTCGTAGCGCCGTTTTGTCGCGCCCCGTACCGTGCATAAATACCCTCAATCTTGCACCGTGCGTTGAAATATCGCTCCGACAGAAACAATTTTTGGCTAACGATAAGTCGCAGCGTCGGTGCGAATTTCCGCAGTGCAAAGGTATAGAAAGAAGTTCAAAATGCACTGTGATCCGTTGTCATTATTTTACCGAGAGGTTGGAAGAGCGTTGTGAACAGGCAATTTTTATATATTTTCAGGCAGTACTAACATCGCGCACATGAGTCTGCTCTCCCGCATCTGGCAGTTCCTTTTTGGGTTCCTGGCCAACGCATTGAAGTCAACGGACAAAATGGAAACTTATGCGGAGTTGCCAACTGACGAGCTAGGTGCTGCTCCTTCAGCGATTAGCCGTAAAAAAGAAGACCACTCACAAAGAGTTGTCAAGACCATTTTGGCGGTCACATTGCCCTTCCGCGAGAAAGGTGCTCCTTCAGCGATTAGACATCAAAAAGAAGACCAGTCACAAAGAATTATCAAGACTATTTTGGCGATCACACTGCTCTACCAACTCCTCTATCCGCTGACTCATTTGGTATGGCTCAATCGACTGATTTGCATATCCACCGCCGCCGCTTTTATTTGTCTAAAGAGCGGATCATGGCTAGAACAACGCTCCCTTGTTTTTGTCGGCGACATTTCCTACTCGTTGTACTTGATCCACTGGCCAGTCATCATATTTTGGAAGTTTATGGGACTATGGGAAGTCACAGGCCCTACAGTGCAGGGTGAGTAGCCTCAAAGAGTTTGCAAATAAAAAAGATCAATTTCAGATGGGTTGATCATATTGCAAGGCTCCATGTTTCTCAGCTACCTCTTCGAAACCGGTTTTAAGAAACTCTTAGCCTCTGTGGACGGCTGGATTCGGCTTACCAAACTTCTCCTCCTCCTCAATATTCTGCTCATCTCGTCCGCCGCTGTAATGTATCTGAGGGTGCCAGAGAGCAGCCGCGACAAAGTTAACGGGTCCAGCAGCGGCCTAAACATGACTGTTATGGACCAAACGTTGCAATTCTACGAGAACCGACACAAAATGAGCCTCAACCTCAGCCGTGACAAAGTAATAACCTATAATAGTCAAGTCCAACAATTTATCAATGATTTTATACACGAATGCAATTTGAAATTGAGAAGGCAGGATCACCCACCAGAGTTTTCGCGCTCTCTGATTTCTTGCCAAATCGAGGTACGTGAAGTGAATAAATGCCTGCAGTGTGACTACTACGCCTTTCCAAAAGTCCGTCAACTTAATGTCGCAAGCTTTTCACTGTGCGGAAAGCACTCTATCTTTTGCAGTACAATTCTCCGGCGCATTTTATTATAGTATCAGTCTGTCGGGAAAATAACGAGCACTCTCTCACATTGAAAATCGCATTGCCGCCGATAAAATTAATTGTGTTACGACAAAATCAAATTGCTTTTAACTTCAGACGCAGCGACACTGTGCTCATTATTTTCCCGATAGATTTAAAAAAAGGTTAAACAAAATTTATCACATGCGTTTTGCAGGGCACCGGAACAAAAGAAATCGTAATTATCGGGAACAGTTTTGCGCGCGACCTCTTCTACGGTGTTTGGCCGCTAATGAAACACAATTTCAAGCGCCTTTCGATGTACTGTTTATCGTGCGCAATTCCATACGCAATCGACAAGCAGACTGGTCAACGAAGGCACGACTTCATCGGGCTGATAAAGCGCTGGGATAGGCCGATTGACATCTTGATTGTCAGACATTCGTAGGTATAACTTTTGCTTTTGTAATAGCATTTATTTTTACAGATACTACCAATTCTTGCCAAACCGAAAGAACCCAGCATGCAAAAAAATTGATGTAAGTTTGACGACGCTTAAAAAATTACGCCAAACCACTGGGCCACGTTTTAAAAATGTTTACGGGCCGGGCCTAAATTTCATCAGACCGAGCTCAGGGCCTCGAGGTGCACACGGTAGCCATGTCTGTCTGTGCGAAACAAATGTGCACCTTGCACTGTGTAAGAGATTTCTGATGAATCAAGCGGCGATTTTTTGTAGCAAAATCTTCTTTTCAGCGCAAGTACCTCACGAACAAGATGCCATCCGAAATGCAATCGTTTTACGAAGAACTCAGTCCACTTGTCAAGCACATTGTTATCGGGTACGCGGATCATGAGAGCAATATGCAAATTCAAAAGCTGTCCAGTGCTTTAATGAGAAATCGTCTGGATCATTTCAACTTTAATTATACTGTAAGTCCCCTGACTTCCTTACGATAGGTGTCAGAAATTTAAACGTAATTTACATCCTCTTCAGGCAAGTCGACAGATCGCTTCAAGTGTAAACAAGGTAATTGGATCTGTACAGTGCACCAATTGCATCAAAGTCGATTACATGAAAGGTCTTTGTGACTTTACAACAGACACATGTTACGGTGCAACAAAGGACGGGATTATGATTTGGTTAGATCCCGCACATGTAACCATCTACGGGGCTCTCTTAGAAGCCGATGTATTAGTTGACACATTGCATAAACAAAATTTACTGTGATATGCCTATATGTATTTCATTTTTTTCTGCGACATCGATAAGGTGTGTCATCCGGAGGAGAAACAAGGCACGTCAAAAGAGGAGTCCGGTGACTGGAATAGACCCTTGGCTATCGGTTTTTTACACTTCGCCTTGATTTCGCAGAGAAGACAGAGAAAGGAAGCGCAAAACTAACTCTCTCGCCCCAAAAATTCCCCATTTCTTCCCCGACAAAGAGTTTTTTGTGTCTTTTTTTGGCGAATTGACAATCCATTCACCGTTTTAGCTTATCTGAGTTTGGCGTGCAAGGTCCTTGATTGGTTTGTCAAATGTGGCTAATGGAAAAGCGCATGCCGACTTCAGCTTTGAAGCTGGGCCCGGCCATGATTCGGTGCACCTGACGAATTGTGCACCCGGCTGAACAGCGCACCAGGGTGAATCGTGCACCTGGGCGAACAGTGCTCCTGACATTTTCTTTTTTGAACAGTGCACCTTGATCAAAGAATCAATGTACCATATACGTATTAATAGTATCAGCCTGTCGGGAAAATATAAGAATAATGTCGATGCTCCAAGCGCGTCGCTGAAGCGACATAAAATTTGGTTTTGTCGCGACACAATTCATTTTCCCCGCGGCGATGCGATTTTCGATGCGACAGACCGCTCACTATTTTTCCGACAAATTAAAAGTTTCGGACAATGATGCGGTATTTTTAAACTAAAAAATCTGTACCGTGCGCGACGTCGCTGGAGTGATTTCGGCGGCAGCACAGAGCAAAAAGCATCAGGGTGACATCCAAAAAAAACAAGGTGCAAAAAGCCGAAAATTGCACAGTCCAAAGCGATTTTTTTCTCATAGTGCACGTTTCAAATTCTCTTTTATGCACTACGTATGTATATGCACTATACCCTTCTTTCCGCTGAAAAAAACTCAACCTTCCTCAACCGTGCTGAAATTGACCATCCCTTTGTGAATCGAAGCCGGATCAAAGATGTCTGACAAGAGCATCGCGGTCTTTCCAGCATTGCTGACAAATACCAGAGTACAAACGTGCATATGGCACTTTGCTTCGCCGCGACGACGTGGAAAGATTTTTTAATAAGTAACGACAAGACTTGTTTTAATTCGACGACTGCGATAACGACGGACTTCCGAAAAGTCAAACTTTATCCAATTTGATCTAATCTTTCAATTAAGTCTTGTTTCTCAATGTCTAATTATTTTTTAAGATTGTCATTGCCTAAAACGTATATTACTCCGTCATATTCACTTGCTTTGTAGTCGTTTTTTACGACTATTTGCCAAAACTCGTTTTCTAACGGTGATGAGCAGAAAGGTAGATTTGCACCAAAAAATAGTTACCATCACCTTGCGACAGCGGTCGGTTGGACCTTAAGCGAGAACATTTCTTGGACCGCGTCCCGACTGTTCGGGTCGACGACAGTTCGGGTCAACACATGCTCGATCGGTACGGGCAGGTGAATACCCAAAAAAGGTTGCAGGAAGTGCCTACGAGGCCTGTCAAAGCCGTTGGATGGTCGGCGCAGCCTCGCCGAAGGCTCGGCTCGGCGGAATTTTGTTTTTGCGCGGTGTCATAAACAAATTCTTGACAGTGCTAGCCCTTCCGGAACGACTAGCGCTTTGCGCAGCCTACATCATCCAGTAACCGTTTTTTTTAGCGCGTAGCCTCTAACCTCACGTCGCGCGTTCCCATTAAATTAATTTCGATACTGCGATTGGAAGTCGTATGTATGAGTTGATTTCAGGCAATGCGCGGTGACATCCAAGGACTGCGTTGCATTGCAATTGTTGCAGTGCTCATCTTCCATTTATGGCCACAGACTCTCAAAAACGGCTACCTTGGCGTTGATATGTGAGTTTAGGTCGTATTAACTTCGCACCGGTTGCACATATACATACAACACTATCATAAGCGCTGCTTCAGGTTTTTCGTGATCAGCGGATTCCTAATGCACGCTGTGCTCGAAAAGAAGGACACAAGTCCGCAAACAATGCTCGACTTCTACTTCCGACGAATCCGAAGGATTTGGCCCACCTACTACTTTATTTTAACAGTTACAATCCTCGCAGTTCCGTTCTTTTTCGTCGCAACTGATTACAAAACGATCCTCAACGAGCTGTTGGGCGCCGCGACTTTTACATCCAATATTTTCAACTTGCCAGATCATGGGTATTTCGCTGCAAACAACAACTTCCCATTGTTTTTGCACACCTGGTCGTTGTCTGTGGAAATGCAATTCTACCTCCTGGTGCCGCTCATCTTCTACATCTATCGATGGTGCACCAAGTCGCAGACGCAATGGTTGTTTATTGGGACCCTTACGGCAGCAAGTCTGTTGCATCAATTAGTGAACATTAATGGTACGTTTATCAACCATTTGCTACGACAGTGACGGACCTGATGCAGTGGCAGAAAACATGCCATTTTGCATACGGGAAGTACCAAAAAATGTGGCAAAATGCCGCCCTTTCCAATTAAAGACACCCGGTTTTCCCTCACAAAAAGGGCAAATAAAGAAGTCCATGCACTTTATGAAAATGCTAATAGCAGCGGCAGAAACTACATTTTAGCTTGAACTTTTTCTAACGCTTGTCGCCAACGCACAGTGGAACCTTTCCTTGGCGCACCCTGCAAATCTGTGCACGGTGCTGAGCGCGAAAAATGTCAATACATTTTATGAAAACACCGTTAAGATTTTGCTTTCTTCCTTTATCGAACTTTCAAATCAACTTGAAATTTTATCCTTATTTTTAGACGCAAACAAGTCCCACATGGCCTTCTTTGGCCGAGTTTGGCAATTCATGGTCGGATTCATAATATTCACCCACTCTCCGTTAAGTCCACTCAAACCCACGGAGAAATCGGAAAATGATCGCTCAACAGTAAGAAAGTCTATTAAATACTGCCTTACAATGCTCTTGTTGCTCCAACTCATTTTCTCAACGGCCGGTCATCACTTTACCGACCGCATTCTTTGCACCCTCACGATGGCGGCGGTTATATATTTTCGTGAAGAGTCTGTGTTGGATCATAAAATGTTGCAGCAGATTGGCGACATCTCATACTCGCTCTATTTGACGCATTGGCCGATTATAATATGCACAAAGTATATTACGTTGAGTTGGACTGAGGGAGCGCCTTTTAGAGGTAAGCGGAACATAGCCAATTCACCGGTATCCGTATTACAATTTATCGTAATGCTTTCGACAAAAAAATAAAAATAAGAAAAAGTGGATTGGACTTTCTATCAGTCTGCCGGGAAAATAATGAGTGCAATATCCATGCGCCGATCGCTGAAATGAAAAGAAGTTAGATTCTGTCGCGACGCAATTCATTTTCTCGGCGGCAATACGATTTCGATGCGACAGGGTGCTCGTTATTCTTCCAACAGTCTGATAAATCATTGCGGTCGGTTTTAGTAAGTTCGCAATGGCTTTTGCACCGTGCAAAACAGTCAGGGTGCGAGTGACAGACCAAGAAAGGTTATTGCGCGGTGCAAAGTGAACCTTTGTTTTCGCACAGTGCATGTCACCGAAATCACTCCAGCGACTTTGCGGACGTCTGTCCGGAAAATAGCGAGCATCGAAAATCGCATTGTCGCCGAGAAAATGAATCTTGTAGTGGCAAAATAAAATTGCTTTTCACTTTAGCGACGCGATTGGTGCAGAGACATTGCGCTCATTGTTTTCCCGACAGTTTAAGTTTATGCTTATCTTCGCCGTTCCAGATGGCGTCTTTTGCATTTCCATGGCCCTTCTTTCTGCTTTCGTCATCGAAAGTGTGTTCAAAAAGCTGACCGCTTGCATCGACAGTTTCTTCGCCCTCTCAGCCTGCCTGCTGATCATCTTTACCGTTTTTGTTGCTGCCGCATTCAATGTGATGGCACGGATTGAGAACCCAACTGAGCCCTTTGCAAAGCAACTCGACTTCGCCAATCAGACTCGTGCATTCTTCCACAGTCCGGCCAAACCAAACATGACTGAGGCGGAGCTGCTGGCCTTCAATGAGGAGAGCGGCCCCTATTTTAGTCTTGAACTGGGGAAAAAATTCCAAAACGCAAAAGGCAGATTCAGTCTGTCCAACGAGTATTGGGAGGGAAAATATTATGGGAGTTTCGAGGTGAGAACGGAACTTGGGAAAAGCACCGCCTTCTTTTCAGGGAGATGGCAATAAAAATATCCTAATAATTGGGAACAGCATCTCTAGAGACGTCTTTTACGGACTGCTCGGCGAATGGAAGGACGTCTACAAACGACTGACTTTATATTTTGTAAACACCGTAGTGCCATTCCAAAATGTCCCTGGCAGCGACACGCCCAAGCACGACTTTCTTGGGTTTCTGGACCAATTTGAGCATCCAATCGATATTCTGATCGTGAGAAATACGTAAGAGTTTTGAATGTGTCCGTCGGAAAAATAGTGAGCGCAATGTAGATGCGCCAATTGCGTCGCTGAAGTGAAAAGCAATTTGATCTCGCCGCGACAAATTCGTTCTCTCGGCGGCGTTTTTCCATGCGATAGAGTGCTCATTATTTTCCCGACATGCCGATAAACCACATCGCTTCCAGGTACTACACTTTGAAGCCGGACTATATTCAAGGCCCTATGTACAAGGAAATGCAGAATTTCTATAGCAAACTCGACAAATACGCGGCGGAAGCCGTGATTATGGACTCGGCGGAGATGACAAGCAAGCTGGACATGGCAAAGTACAAAAAGATTGTGGCAAGTAAACAAAGCCCGGATGTCTTCAACCTCAGCTACGAAGTAGGAGAAATTTCCTATTAAAAGTCTATCGGGCAAATAGTGAGCTCATAAATGCTGCGCCGAGTTCAAAATGCACTATGCGAAAGCAAAAAATGTCCATGCACTTTATGAAAATGCTAATAGCAGCGACGGACCTAATCCAGTGGAAAAAAACGTACCATTTGCTCCGAAAAATGTAGCAAAATGCCTCCCTCACCAACTAAAAAGCTCCGTTTTGAAGGGCGCTCTTTCCCTCACAAAAAGAGCAAAAAAAAGTCCATGCACTTTGCGAAAATACTAACAGCAGCGACGGAAACTACAACAAATTTTCCTAAATCATACGTTATTTGCAGGAGCTCCGGAAATCGAAGCAGATGCTAAATCAAGTGATCTCGTCCGTAAAATGCCAAAAATGTATCCAAGTCGATCTGACAAGAGCATTCTGCGACCATCTGGTGGACACTTGTTATGTTGTGAAGCCGAGTGGTTTGCTGTTGTTCCGCAATTTCGTTCACGCAAGTTATCTGGGATGCCTTCACATTGGTCGCCATCTCCGAGATGAGCTGCAGCTGCGACGGTTGATATAAATTATTTATGTCAGTTATACATGTACAATTTGCAAATAAAAAATAGGAATTTGATGTTTTTTCGGCCTCTTTACCTGTCGCAGCCAGGAAAGGGAAGTATTCCAAGCGCAACGCTCAGGTTTTGATGAAGCTTCTCGCGCAGCTTTAGAAAAATTTTTCTGAGCACACTTCTAGCTCCTTTAGGGAAACGGCCGAGAACCGAAATACGACATTTTTTTGTGAAATAGGAGAGTCAGGATTACAATGAGGACCTAACGACCACATCTCGACCTTGAGACAAAGAGGAAATGGCTCACCAAGGCTGGAGGGGGTATCTGTCGAATACATAAACCCAATTTCGAGCTCTAGGAAAGCGCTAGGGCAAGATTTTTACCATTTTGGGCAGCTCATCAAAAGCGGATTAACGCGTTGAATCCTCAAATGCAACGAAGCATTCAACGGAAAAAAATGTATTAACCTGTACTCAGGTATGGGACGTCGATTACAATGATGCGATTGCTAGGCCCCAATGATAAAAGCCTGTATGTATTTGACTTTTTTCTGCGGCCTGAGGTGTGTTGTCCGGAGGAGAAACAAGGCACGTCAAACTGAGGAATCCGGTAACCGGAATAGACGCTTTGCAATCGGATTTTTACACTTCGTCCTGATCTCTCAATGACTACAGAGAAAGGCGCGCAAAAGCGTACTCTATCGCCCGAAAGATCCCCCATTTCTTCCACCTGCCGGGAGGCAGCTATTGGCCATGCCCGTTGGATTTTTTACCAGTCTGTTGAGAAAGAATAGTGAGCACAATGCTACTGCTCCGAACAAGAAGCTGAATTGAGAAATCAATTTGTTTACAACTCTGGAGATCCTTCGGTGGTAAAATCGCAGCACAGTTTTTGTCGTTAGTGCCTTGGGGCTGAAGATGTGATGCATAAGAAAGCCGGAGATCACACACAAAGGGCTGAAGTGACTAAAGAACTTGCCCACCGGCACTCATTTTTTTGATAAAGTGGGAAGAAGAGATCAGTGACACAACCGACACATCAACTCCCAGAAAGCCGGAAGCGAAATTTTTTGGCCACAGATGGAATAAAACGACGGAAACGACCACTACACATCTTAGGCCTTGAATGTCCACAGACATTTGCTGAAAGACTCTGTTTGCAAATGCACGAGAACTTTTGCACAATCAATTATTAGGTTTAGAAGTATGACTTTGTCGTTTTTTGCGGCTCATAATTTAAACCAAAACAAAAAACTTTACACTAAAGCTTAGAAATTGTATCTCAACCTGTGAAAACCGCGAAATAAAAAAACGACAAAGTCATACTTCTAGACCTAATAAGATTGCTTCAATTAAACGCAGGACAATGCAGAAAACATTTAACTTTGTCGGAGCTGGTTTAAAAAAGTTTTTGGCATTATCAAGATGTAAACTGAACTCGAGATCTTTTTAAAACACGTTTTGGCGCCGCGACACTTGCGGGCAACAAATTCGAAGGCAGCTGTGACATTTGTGGCCAGTTTGCGAAATTTTTGCCCAGGCGCGGACACAGAAACATGGCAATTCTGCCGGAACTTTTGGAAACCAGCCGGCACTTCTCGCAAGCGTCTCAGCTGGTCGCAAATGGTTGCCTGCAAGTTATTGGAGCCAAGTGCCGGCTCCGGAGCCGTGACAATCTCTGTGTGCAACCTGGTTGCCAGAAAAATTGTTGCCCGCAAATATTCTACCCGCAAATTGTTTTCCGTGTCTCGGCGGCAAAACGTGTTTGAAAAAGATTTAAAGTTAGATGCTTGCTGAATTATCGGGCGTTCGATTACATCAACAAATTCGTTGTGCAGGAATTCTCCTGCATCTGCAAACAAATTCTTTCAGCAAATGTTTGTGGACATCCAAGGCCTAAGATGTGTAGCAGTCGTTGCCGTCGTTTTATTCCACATGTGGCCAAAGAACTTCGCATCCGGCTTTCTGGGAGTTGATGTGTAAGTTGAGTCCTCACTGGTCTCCTTCCACCGCGTTATAAACAAAATGAGGGCCACAGGACAACCTTTTTAGCCCCTTTAGCCTTCGTATTTTAGATTCTTTGTGATCTCCGGCTTCCTTATGCATCACATCCTCAGCTCCAAGGCACTAACGACACACACTGCTCTGCAATTTTATCACCGAAGGATCTCCAGAATTGTCCCGGCCTATCTATTTACAATATTAATGACTGCTCTTGCCACACTCTTCGTGTACACTCCAACGGAGTTCAAAAAGATTCTAACCGAGTTGTTGGCGGCCTCTACCTTCTCCTCCAACATTTTTGGCCTCACAAAAGTGGACTATTTCAATACCAATGCGCAGTATCGGCCCTTCCTACATACGTGGTCGCTTTCCGCGGAGCTGCAGTTTTATATCCTAGTTCCACTTCTATTCGCGGCGTATCAGTTGATCAAAAGGGCTAACAGGAACGCGGGAGTTTTGTTTTTGTGTCTTATTATGGTGGCCAGTTTTGTGTTCCAGTCAATTCTCGCAAGCGGTAAGTGTTTGTTATTCCACAGTGGGAGAGATATTAGTATTTTTTTTGAATGTCCAAAAAATATCCCTATGGAAATGTTGATAACAAGCACAGTGGAACTTTCTGTACAACAAATCTCAAGGGCCAAAAAATTTGATAATTATAGGCAGTCTTAGTTGTAGAGAGGCTCATTTGGCGTCATTCTGCGGAAACTTTTATCAGTCTGTCGGGAAAATGATGTGGATTTATCACATCAAAATCTCTCTTCGCAGTCGTGTACCAAATCTCTAGCGGAATGCCATCGCAAGGCGCTTCCGAGACGTTACTTTAATCCACATTATTTTCCCGACAAACTGATGTGTGGAAAATATAACGACAATACTTCTTGAAATCGCGCTTTTAGACCCCAACCTTATCCACATGCACGTCCTCTCTCGGATCTGGCAATTTCTCATTGGGTTTGTAGTGAACATTGCCCGACCTATGACCCCAGATTCCATCAAACATTTGCACACTGATCTGAAACCAACCCCCACAAGGGGAAGCAAGTATTGTCTCAATCGCAAAAATCTCCTGGCCTTGTTCCTGGCCATGCAGTTGTTAACAAAAATGACGTCATTATTATGGCTGGACCGTCTTATTTGCACACTCACTACAGGCCTTTTTATCTTCTTGAAAGGGAGCTGCATTTTTGAATGCTCTCCAATGGTATTCATCGGCGACATTTCCTACTCAATATATTTGCTGCATTGGCCAATGATTACGATTTATAAGTTGGTTTATGTGAAGTTGGCCGAAACTCCGACAGTTTCAGGTAATTCAACGATTTATTCCGTTCTGTGGGGTTTCCCTCCGCGATTCTTTAATCATACGCGTTAGCTTTCAGATGGCTTCATGCTCATTCAAGTATGCATATTTCTCAGCGTGTTCTTCGAGGATTTCTTCAAAAAGCTTGCATCGCATTGCTCGTCGTTTCGTCGCTTGGCGACTGCCTGCTTGGCCCTATATTTGGGTCTTGCAATCGCATCAATACTTCTGATTCGCTCTGCACAAACCATTCCAAAGATCAGGGTGGAAAACTCTAATGCCGAGAAGATCCTCTTGTCAGCGCTGGAAGTCTTTGAAACCCGTCATAACGTCAACTTGACACGGCAACAAATCTTCGAATTCAATCAGAAAATTCATGACTTCTCATTGCTGTTCTACAACAAGAACCACTTGTTTAATCGGACGTCAACAAAGCCGTCCAAAATCTACCATCAAATTGAGGTAAGTGCCGTTCCAGGATTTGCGGTTAGTCGACGTTTGCGGCAGAAATGAGGACGCGTCCTGAAGACGAAGCTTGTTAGCCAAGACTGGGCATAGACCTAACAATAAGCAACCTAACAAGGGAATATTCTGAAACTCCTCAGGTGTTTGGGAAAAATGACTAGTACAGGTGTATAAAGCAGGTCAAGTTTGGTATAAAGAGCCATTTTCCAGCTGCGGAATAAGCCCGGCCAACGAGAAAAATTGACCGAAGGTTCCACAAAAATTTCCTCTTTCTCTTCCCTCGGAAAAGATGAGCGGTGTCCAGTGGTTCGGTTGGCCGAGTGGATAAAGCGTCCGCTCGGTACGGGAAAACAGGAAGGCAAGCCTAAAAAAATAAAAGCAAAACCACGCCAACTTCAGCAAGCACCATCAAGCTTAAACAAGCCTGCAGAAAGCCCAATCAAGTCTAAGCAAGAATAAAAGTGTCCAAGTAAACGTTAAGCAAGCCTAGGGGACCCCAGTAAGTCCAAAGAAGCCTAAACAAGCATCGCCCATTCAACCGTAAGCAAGATTAAGGAACCCCAGCAATCCCAAACAAGCCTAACAATTGTGAGAAAGCCAAACCAATGTAGCCGACCTTAAACTCGCTGCCCGCAGGTATTGACCAGGAAAGCTCCAGACAGCCCGCTTTTAGCCGCGTTTAAAGCCTATTAGTAGGAAAAACAACACAAAATTGTGCCATAAATTTCCAAATTCGCTTTTCCAGGGGTCAGGAAATTTGGAGATTGTTCTGATTGGAAACAGTTTGGCCGGCGACCTCTACTTTGGTATGTGGGCCAAGATGAGGAACCGTTTCAAACGGCTTACCCTGTATTTCTCGGCTGGGATACTGCCCTTTAGGGCTGATGAAGAGGGCGATCATTCCGCCGACTTTCTCGACTTTCTTTCCAATTTTGACCGACCAATCGACTTGCTGATTGTGAGAAACGCGTAGGTTTATTATTCTTAGCTTATCTACTATATGCATACAGTAAACCCAAATGATCTCTTATACAGACAACCTTGTTTTTCAGCCACAACCGGGTCCGATATGAGCAAAGTTACGTCCAAAATAAAATGACCAAGGACATGAATTTATTCTACAGTAATCTGAACACGCTTGGACCCAAGAACATTGTCCTTGGCATGGCTGAATATGAAAGCTTCTTTCATTATCAGCAATTTCAGCAGACCTACCTGAAGAACGGCGACTTCAGTGACCTCAATTACTCGTTGAAGGTGGACACTTTAAACTTAAGCCAAAAAACGCGATAATGAAACTAAAACGGGTTTATTTCAGAAAGCAGAAAAGGACAACATTGCACTGGACAGAGCGATAACTGCTATAAATTGCACCAACTGCCACTTCGTCGACTTCTTCTCTCGACTTTGCAATCCATTGAAAGACATTTGCGCGGTCGTCGAGGAATCGGGGATAATCAATTACAAAGACACGCGGCATTCATCGTTATTTGGATCGTTCTATTTTGCCGAGCAATTACAACATGAATTACAGAGAATGAACTTAATAAAATAAAGATTTTGCAATTGTGTCACCGCGGTTTGCTCAACGATTTAGTGCCAACGTTTTTTTGCGGCTTGCATTGTGCGAAAAGCAAAAAATCCACTGTGCGTTGGCGACAAGCGTGGAAAAAATCCGCTCGAAACGGGCAAAAAACTAGCCAAAAAATCTTTCTCTCCGGCCGCACTTCGCGTTTCGTGTACTCTCTCGACAGCAAGGATCGTTCAACAAAGCGCGCTATGTCAGATTCCACGGAACCTGGAGTTATCCACGATCGCGATGTGTCTACTCGATGGAATTTATGGAGAGAGAGAGAGAGAGAGATGTCCCCAGTGTCAACTGTTTCCCCAGTTGTTTTTCCCCGATGATCGAGAATGTTCGATGGAGAGATCCCGAAGCGGAGAGCATGAATCACGACACCGTAACCTTCTCTGAAGTTTTATCCCATACTTTGATCAGTGTTGTTGTTGTAGTTGTCGAGTAGGTTGTTGTTGTGAAGGGTAGTTGTGTTGTAGAGTTGTGTTGTGTAGAGTATTGTTTTATTGTATTGTTTACTTTTGTTTGATAAATCATTTATTCGAGTTGATATCATTTAATTCTCGTGTCTGTTTACAAGGGGAACGAATACAATCGATTACCCGACATCCACATCCGCAACCTTCCACTTGGAAGGCCAAGTATTTCCAGGTAGAAGGTGCTGAAGATAGTCGATTGAAGAGACCACCGCAAGACCACTAGCCATATCGTCGTTTTCTTTTCTATCCGAAGGTGGAACCGGACACCCTAGAAGTTTCAGGAATTGATACGTCGGAATGTGCGCAAAATTTAAAGAAAATCTGAGTGTCGCACTTGGGGTATTTCCTTTGTTGCCTAGGTAAAACATAGAACGTGCATATGGTATTCTTGCTCTGGTCAACACAAAATCAATCGGTACGAGGCACAGCAACCCAAAATAGAACAAAAATGTCTCCCACCCACTTTCGAATTTCGTCCAACCGAAGTGTCAAAATTTACAAAAGAAATAATTCCGAGAAAAATTTTTTCGGTCGGAAAACCACACGAAAAATTCATATTTGACATTTCGTTTGAATTCAACCGATACGAGGTGGGCGAAGCGCCGGAACGAGGTGGGAGACTCCCTGGGTTGCCGTGCTAGGTCTGGGAAGACCCTTCGATTATCGGCAGACGCTCGGCGATCGCTCGGCTGTCGTGGGCCCGAAAAGTCGTTGCGCCGTATATAGCTTCACTTTGTAAAAAAATTTCCTGACGATTAACGACAACTTTTAATTTCTCGTTTTAATTCAACAACTGCGGCGGCTTCTAGATTATAGATAACGAGGGACTTCGGCGAAATAATCAAAATTCATCGAATTCAATCAATTGCGAAGTAAGTCTTGTTTCTCGATGTCTAAAAATTCTTTAACATTTACATTGCCTAAAACGCATATTTCTCGTTTCATATTCCTTTGCTTTATCGGCGTTTTTTACTATGCGCTTTGCCAAAACGCATTGTCTGGCGATTTTAAAGGTCGGTTTGTAACACCACTTCCTGTAAGGAAAACTCCCAAAATTTCAGAGGAAATAAAGATTGTTGAAATGAAGAATGGAAGATATCTCAACGAGTCATGCGACATCGAATTTGGGAAGCCATTGGAAAGCGCTCTCCTGAAATACATCAACTCTTCGGCTGTATTCGAATGCGAACCGAAGCGAATAGTCCAAACGGCACTCCGAGAGGGTCTCCTCGATATCCGAGAACCGGCGTTTAGCGAGTTGGGAGAGTGGAGCTATAGGTAAGATGCGATTTACTATGGTCTTTTACTGCTCGGCACAAAAAGTTTTGAGAGTTTGCGCAGTCGGTTTTAATGCGACACAATTCACTTTCTCTGCGGCGATGCGATTTTCGCTGCGACACAGTCCCTATTAAATATTTTCCTGACCGACTGATAGCAGGAGTTATTTTATTGTTTTCAGATGCATTAAGCCTATCAGCATGGCTGGCATTTCCGCTGAAGAGTGGACAAGAATTGTGAAGCCCAAAGGAACTGAGATTCCCTGTGATGTGGTCGAAGTTAAAGCGGAATCAATGGGATTGCGAACCTACGGATACGTCCACGTTCAAGTTGTCAAACAGTAAGCTCAACAATCGAACTTTATGAAAACTCTATCATTCTGTCGGGAAAATAATGAGCACTCTGTCGCTGCGCCAATCAAGTCGCTTAAGTGAAAAGTAACTTGATTTTGCCACGACACAATTCGTTTTTTCGGCGGCAATACAATTTTTGATGCAACAGAACTCTCTCTATTTTCCCGACAGGCTGTAAGTAAGTCGGAGGGAACTGGAGTAGCTGCAAGATTTCAGAAACAGCCAGAGAAAGAGTTCGAAAGAAGCCCCGAGCGTTCACATCATCCTTCTGGATACAGTCTCCTTCCCCAATTACATGCGGTCGATGACAAAGACTCGACAAGTCTTAACGGAGAATTTAGAAGCAGTTTCCTTCCCCTTCTTGAACAAAGTCGCCATCGGAAGCACTCCCAACGCCATGGCACTTCTTTTTGGTAAAAATTCCTTCAGCGCGCTGCTTTAGGCCGCATCTGCAGGAAATGTAGATATCACTGTGTCGGGGAAATAATGAGCATAATGTCGCCGTGCCAATCGCGTCGCTAAAGTGAAGAGCAATTCAGATTTTCCAAAAATGCATTTTCTGCGATTATTTTCGGTCCGACAGACTGCTGATTATTTTCCCGACCGACTGGTATGATAGCACGACTTTCATTGTTACGTTCCAGGACTTCAACCGGTCGATGTTGAGGAGACTGTGTGGGGACCCGGTATACCCAAACCAAATGTCGTCAGACCGTTCCTGCTTTCCAAGTTCAAGCAGCGCAACTATCGCACTTTGTTGGCCGAAGACGACGCATACATCTACGGATGTAGGCGAGAGTGTTCTGCAACTCAGGAGCTACCCGACCACGGGCTAAAGTGAGTAAAGATAAGAAAGTTGGAGACTTTATCCGAGTTCGCATAACTGCATGCCGGATTCGGCGAAGAAAGCCCGATTTAATCGGAGAAGCGATGAACTAGGCTGATATGAAATCATCGTTCTTATAAATTCTCGTATTGTTGAAAACGCCCAAAAAATGCGAAAATTTCCCCACCAATTTTAGTGCCTACGGACGAAGAAGCGGGTTTTACGATGTGTCGCGGCCAGATCTCTACTACTTCGACCACGCCAACAGTCGGCAAACGTTCAGTGAGCATTTTGACGGCTTCTGCACCCGCAAGCATAAACCTTTGCTGGAAGGAGTCAACGACTTCATAAACCTTTACCAAGATGACGCTCAATTTTCGATTACTTGGATTACGCATTTAGCACACGAACACCATAACGCGCTATTTGAGGTCGACAGCGAGTTTGCCGACTTTTTCAAGCGCAACCGCGAAAATGTAAAGCGAAAAAACTCTGATATCAAGTGTGTTTTCAGTTCGACAACTCGTTCGTATTTTTTATGGCCGACCACGGACCAAAACACGGGGTAATCCGCGATGTAATCGCTGGTTTTGTTGAGGACAATAACCCAATGTTAACAGTGATTGTGCCAAAACATCTCCGAAAGAATCACGCGGCGCACGAGGTCATTCGCTACAATGCCAGACAATTGGTCACCCATCATGATGTCTATGCAACATTTATCGACATCTTGGAGGTCGGTATCCGAAGGAAACGGTCGTTTGCCCTGGCGCAGATCCCAACAGAGGGCACCAAAAAAAAGTTTTGCGACATTTTGTCTTTCAAGCCGCAAAAGCAAGATTCAAATTGTCGCCATTAACAATGGCTGCCTTTCAGAACTTCCAAACCACTTCAACCCCTTACCAATATAACCCAGCAACTCACAGCACCGATCTCGGCTCATCCTTAATACGGAGCCTTCCCCAACCCAGGAACTGCCACTCCCTGCGAATCCCATTCCTGTACTGTATGTGCAAAAAGACGGTAAAACGAGAGCGGAACACAGCGGTTGGCAGGAAAATTGCGCAACTCGCCATTGACTCCATGAACAACTACATTGTCCAAAACAACCTGACAAACTATTGCATGCCAGTCAGTCTTCATAATAATAGTGAAATCGAAGTGGCCGAGTATAATATTCGAGGGGTTAATGGAGAGAAACTCGTCCATGTGCTGTTCACCACATTCCCGGCGGATGTAAGGTTCTCGACGGAGGGTAGTGTAAGTTTTGAAGTAAACATGGCGGTATGTTTGCATTACTATCAGTCTGTTGGGAAAATAGTGAGCACTCTGTCGCCTCAAAAAACGTGGGCGGGAAACATTTTTCGTATATTTCGGGTTGCCGTGTGTTGCGACTTTTCAAACGGCGACGAGTTCAAGATTCTTTGGTCCATTTACAGGGGGGCCTGATCGAGTGGCAAAAAACGTAGCATTTTGCATCCAGAAAGCATCAAAAAATATGGCAAAATACCTCCCTCGCCAAGTGAAAAAAACTCAGTTTTCAAAAACGCGCCCGATCTTATTGTGCGAAAAAAGGGCGCGCGCTTCAAAACGAAGTTTTTTCACTTGGAGAGGGAAGCATTTTGCCACATTTTTGATACTTCCCGGATGCCAAATGGTACGTTTTTTGCCACTGGATATGTAGTCGTCTCGACTTGCCCGGAAACCGGGCTGCCCCGAGAACGACTACCTACAAATTCACTGTTAAATATGTTCTTTCAGATCGACGGCGACAAAGTGGCGCTAATCGATCAAAACTATTTCCGCGTTACAAAATACCCTGAGGCCGAGATTGCTTATCGGCGTGAAAACGGTCTGCCCCCAAACTACAAGCATTTTTGCTATTTCAAAGGCCTTTATCAGAGTTTGTTAAACTAACGACTTGCCGCACGAACATCTCAAAACTCATCGAATTCTAGTAAAATCAATCCCAAAGCCGAATCTTTTGCTGATGTGATTATTTATTTATCATGTACAGTTGCTTTGTTACAACATATTTTTTATGATCTTTTTTTGTATTTTGCACAAATATTGTTTGATGATACAGGGCGGACCTGTTCCAGTGGCAAAAAACGTCCCGTTTGGTATCCAGGAAGTATCAAAAAAGTAGCAAAATACCTCCCTCTCCAACTAAAAAAACTCCGGTTTGAAGGGCTTCCTCACAAAAAGTGGGTGCGCTTTAGAAACCGGAGTTTTTTAGTTGGAGAGGGAGGGATTTTGCTACATTTTTTGATACTTCCCGGATGCAAAATGGAGCGTTTTTGCCGCTGCAACAGAGCCGCCACTGTATACAATAAAAAACAGGATTAAAACTAAATTCAGAAGAGACTACGAATAAATAAACGGTCCTAACGCGAGAACTGCGCCTTATACTGGAAACACTTCGATATAAACTAGGATCTAACAACATAAACCTTCATTACACTACAAAATAAAGTCGGCCAAATAAAAAAATTGGGCCCAAATCAGTCGATTATATTATCCATTCCTTGTTTACATGTTGTCGCACCAGTCAAAGAGGTTCTGGCTGTCCATGTCGATGTCGTTCAGGTAGGGGGTGCTCTCTTCCTGGGCGGGGTAAATCTCCAGTTCGGAGCAGAGCTCGTCGAGGAAGTCGCTTTGGACCAGATCGTCAAAGGCCGGCAGGCCCGCGAAGCCCTCCTTTTTGTCTTGGAATTCAAGGCTTGGAGTCTGGAATTCTTGGGGCTGTTCGTAGCCCGCCTCAAAGCTGGAATTGAGGTCGCCGATCTTGCCCGACTCGTAGCTGGGGCTGTTCTCGTAGCTGGTGCAGGGCTGGAAGTCAAAGTCGGCGGCGGGCACGCGGCCAAATTCATCAAACTCAGCAGCGTGCTGAGCATCATCCGCGTAGACCTCGACGTAGTGGCCGACCGCGCCCTCGAACGGCTCCGGGACCATTTCCTCGTGGCGGGCGGCCGTCGCCGGGAGTCGAGCCGACCGATCGTCCTGTTCCGCGGCAGGGACATCCGGAGTTCAGCAGACTCAACAGACGGGACAATCGGGCGGCTCGGCTCGGGGCTTTGGCTGGCCGACAGGGAATAGTGGGAGGACTCGGAGAGGGCTTGGTTGGGGCCGTTGTCGTAGTACACGACCGGCTGATACCCAGTGCTGGAGTTGGTGGAGGAGACGGGCGACAGGGCAGAGGTGGAGCTGCTGGCGTACGCGCTGTCCGGGCTGGCGGGCAAGTCCAGCTCGGTGCTGGCCGAGCTGTAGCTGCTGCGTTGGCCGCTCAATCGAGCCACTTGCGCCTTGAGTTTGGCGTTCTCGTTGCGGAGCTTCTTGTTCTCGGCGGCAAGTTGTCGGAGGACGTCTTCCATTTGTTTCCCTTGCTCCTTCTTGCGATCTCGGGCATTCTGCGCGGCTTCGCGGTTCTTCATTTTGCGGCGGTTCAGCTTCTCCTCTGGCGTCAAATGAGTGAGACGTTCTCGGCGACGGGGCTGATTGTTGGTTTTCTGCGGCTTCAGGAGGACATCCGGGTCTTCGAGGATCTTCTCGACTGGCAACGGAGCTTTGGTTTGCCGCTAAAATTAATTAATTTTTATTTCCAATACACCTAAAAGGCAAGAAAAAAAACTGTAAAAAAGCAACAAAAATCTCTAAAAATTCCAAAAAATTCTCTTGCTACACTTACAGCAGGGTTAACTCGAACCGGAGCGACCAAAGTGGCAGGCACCAAAGTTTGGTTTTGGATCAAATACAGCTTGGCCATGTTGACAGCTGTGTGTGTGATTATGTGAATATGATATTACTGGACCAGCCAGTTGATTATCGGATAAAATATGATAGGTTAAGGATAGGAAATGTACAGTATCTGAAATAAATTTGGATTAGATGGACATGGTGAATATAATTGTTTATCACGCGGTTAATATCGGATATCACGGATGAATTTATCGGTAAAAATTCTCATAATTAAACCAACTTATCGTGGTAAACGAAAGATTTTACCAGGAATTAGAGGAAGACAGACAAATGAGCAAAAACTATGTTATACTAGAGCGTAAAGGTTCGGAAAGCAAAAAATCAATGGAAATCCAAAGTTTCAATCGACTTTAAATAACTAAATCCAAATTTAGTTCCCTCACAGAGTCCTTGAAGCATTATAAGCCGCATCGAAGAGAATTACCATATTTTTTATCATTTTTTGCAGATTATATTAGACATGACCACCTAATCCTAAAACTGCGCCCGAAACTAAACAAAAAGATTAAAGTTGAGGGAAATTCGATCCTCTGAATTTATAACAACCCAAAAGGATTAAACCAAACCGTATGATACAGTTGAATAAACAACTCCCTTCCTAGAATAATATTATACTTCGACCTTCCGTTTCCCGAACGATCGTAACATTCCCGTTCCGTGGGGGCTAATTCCGGAAACCAGAGCGATTCCCGAGAAAAACAATCAAACACACGCATAAAAAGGAGGCCCTCAAATTGATAATGATGCAATCGGGCGCACCCTACAATAACGGACCGCAACTCATTAGAATTTCAATCTGGAAATTAATTCCAGCTCGATGAAAAAATGGAAAGGGAAATGAATACAAAGGAATGGTGAATTTACATGGAATCAATCGAAATTTCCATAAAACTCCACAAGAAAAAAAGAAATAAAAGATGAGGAAAGACTTGACACAATTGGGTCAACTGTCGCACTTTTCGAAGAGTTTGCTAAAATTCTTATTTTAGCCGACCAATAATGGTCAAAAAAATCTAGACAAGCGAGAAGAATTATTTTACGATGAAATCAAAGGCTTTAACACAGAGAATTTCGCAAAACCACTCGTCGTATGTGGCTGCGCCCTCAACTGGCCTTCGAATACGAACGAAAAAAGAGAGCGGACCTTTCGAAATCGGACCTTCGCCACGTCGACTTATAGAAAGCGCCCAAAGGAGAGAGAAAAACAGCAGGACGAATGTGGGTTATGCGGAGGATTCTTCGCGGATGACGAAGAAATTTCTGGAAAAATTAAGAAAAAAGAGCCGGAGTGCAAAACTTGCGTATTTTGTGGAAAAAATATATTTTAATGTTAGCTCTGTCTCGCAAGCTTTATTTATTTATTATAATAAATAAATAAAATTGAGCTGCATACGACAGCAAGAAGCGAATAAATTGTAAAAAAATTGATGGTCATGGTGAATATATAAGTCATCGATTTTTTTTGTAAATTCCAAGAAAATCATGATGATTCATATCCTACAAACAATTTGTTATGCCCGTTGGCCTACAAAAATCATATCGATCAAAGGTGCAAGCAACTTTCCGGAAAACTCCATTTATCAGGGCATTATCAACTCCGGCTATAAAAAGATAAGCCCCAAAAAAGTAAATTACCCAAAAGTTTTCATTGATAGCGATATGACGTCAACGCTCCTATTAGCCATTAGAAGGTTGACGACGTCACGCCCCTACGGCTTTTATAGGTGCTCTAGCTGCGAAAAGTCTTGCAACAGCCGAAAATTTCATTGTGAAAAATTCCAAGTGGAACTGACGAAATTTCTGGAAACCGTCATAAAAAGCCCCCTTTTCCATCCCTCGTTCTCTCCACATCCATTTTTTGCTTATTCAAACAAACAAGAGAGAGAAGCGAGAAATTTCTCGTGTCGTTCGCTGATTGGCTGAAATCCGAAAGCGAGAAAAAAGGCCGAAAGAAGAGGGCGCAAAAGAAAAAATTTGCGAGAAATAGAAAGCTGATGGGGTGCTCTGAATCGCTATAATAAAGTATATACGCACAAGGCACTCGCCGCGGCAGAGAGACAATCTTTTGTAATATAACAAGCATATCGAGGTGAGCTGGGAGAGGCCCGCGGAGAAGCGAATTAACTCCAAAAAACGCGATTTCCCCAGACCAAAGAGGGCCGACGGTTGTGGTAAGGCCGGGAGAAAAGCATTCGTCTTCGGTTTATTAACCCAAGTTTGAGGTTAGTGACTGTTTCGGCTCTGAATTTCAGTGGCTGATGCACTAAATTTTGGACCGCCTTTCCCTGAAATATGGGGGAGGCATATAACTAACCTACTGGTGACTATGCGGATAGGGCATGCCCAAGGAGACAAGAAGCAAAATAAGTTAGATCTTTCGTCAAAATCCAAGAAAATCTACAGAAAGTGCCACTTGAACTGATTGCTGATGCCAATTTTGAGCAAAACTCATCCTTTCTCGTGAAAACTTTCAAAGTATCCTCTTCTACAAGTCCGTTGTAAAGCCACTGGAGTAATTTTTTCTTCAGTGTAATGAGCAAGCTGTTCTTTTGGCACAGTGTATGTCGCGAAAATCACTTCAACGACTTTGCGAACATACTTGTAAAGTCACGCAGACATTGACAAAAATCTTGCTCAAAGTTGCATGCCCTTATCATATAAAAACCAAGTGAATAACAAGCTTTAATTACGACCCCTGGCCCACCCAAGGCTATTCACGCAGAGAAAATTTAGATTTAGTCTCGAGAGAATGTAATCAGTCGGAAAATAAGGAAAAAACAGAACGCTAAGAAGTCGTCTTTGACTTTGGTCGAGCTGCGAAATTTGAAGTCTTTGGCCAGTCAACGAATGAAATGATTTGGTAAGTCTTTCCAGGAATTCGCACATGTTCTTAGAAAAAAAGATTCACTCTGGGTGTCGTACATACATACTTATGACCCTTCACTAGTGAAGAGTTTGTTGTTGGAGCAACGTTTAGCTTGCTCAGAGACCTTTGAACCACCCGTTATTTTCAACAAGACCCGCTAAATTCAATTTCCTTTACGCAAAAGCTTTATGATCGGGTTATGGGACGAAACGTGGGGTATTATGGCATTCAAGGTAAGCATGGCTGCAAACCGGGCCAGCCCGGCCCGGCCCGGCCCGGGCCGCAGGCCCGGGCTTAAATCTCCAAGCCCGGCCCGGGCCCGGGCTTGGGAAATTTGGAAAGCCCGGCCCGGTTCGGCCCGGAAAATTTTATACTAGGTTGGAAAGAAAGAAAGCGGGAAATGAAAGGAAAATTATGACAAATTTTTGCAAGATGTAAAGAAAAATTTAGCAAAACCTATGTACATAAGGTCACTTTACGTTCGCTATCAGCATTGTGTTCGAAAAAATGAAAAATCCTATCGAAAAAGCTTATTTTTTCCTTTTTTCCGGGCAAAACTCAAATTTCAAAAAAAACCGGGCCGGCCCGGGCCGGGCCGGGCCTGAAAATCGAAGCCCGGAGCCGGGCCGAGAAATTAGCCGGCCCGGCCCGGGCCGGAAAATTTTGCAAAGCCCGGCCCGGAGCCATGCCTAATTCAAGGCGCAGAAAACAGATAAAACATCTTTAATTTCCGTAGTCATCTCTTTTGCCTTGAGGTTTTTGACGTTGGCCGCTTTATCAATGCTCAATTTTGAAGAGGGATTTTCTGGATTTTTTCCACGAGAAAATCGGAAATCCTCCACATTTTTCTGCATGCTCTAGAGAGTGGCCATATACAGCCGTCATTTAAACGACTGGCACATATGTCATCATGACACATTTTCCGGATCGTTTTCCCAAGAATATCTCTTGTCAAGACGTCATATTTCTTATTTTTAATTTGCTCTTCATGTTGTATAAGGTTGATCCTCGAAGCTCCAGAGGACTCTGTTAATCCGGCGTCTCGAGATTAAATTTAGGTGGTTTCTTGGTTGATTAGTCGGTACAAAAATGGCTGCTGTCGGGGATGGAATAGCACAGACGCCGGATTTGAAGTTTTATTAAAGCTGTGCTACTGTACACATAATCCATCTGGAAAGTCGCCGGAGTGATGACAAAAATTTTGTGTGTTTGTCACAGCAATGTCACTACTCGCAAAAAGTGCAGTTTTTAGGGGCACACAATGCAGTCTTTCTCAACTCCAATATTGGGTAGCTGCACGGGGAACACGAAACTTGTACTATACGGGGCGAAAAAAGGCTGAAAAAAATCGACGCACTTTTTGGAACGACTAGTAGGCGCACTGTTCGGTTTTTCTTTTTGCACATTGCGGAAAGCTTGCGACAAAAAGTCTACGCAGTTTCGGGAAAACGTAGTATCTGTAGAATTTGTTGCTTTATAGATCGGAAGAGCAGTTTACTTTTACATTTCAAGATTATTCGGTTTGTTTGTGAAATTCGCAGCTTCAAAAATCTTCTCTCCCTAAGGATTTTATCAAGTGGCATAATATTTTCGTTCTATAAACTGCTTATAAATATTATGTATCAAACGTTCATTTTTTTGTCTGGACCCAAGAAAAGGTCACTGTTTCAGTGTATGGAAGATTATTTTCAAACTTATTTATCTAGGAATATTTTACCCTGAATTTTTTATTTCATTCGTTTTACCATGTCTTTCTAATATACTTTGCTACTTTTACCTATCTGTATGTACAATTACTTTTTTGCACGCGGATGTCATTATAAACTCCCTGAGGGGTTTAAAAATTCGTCAAACTTGAATGGAAGCCGTTAAAAATTCATGAAGAGGACTCTGAGTACAAAAAAGAAGTCGATAATCCTCGCCTTTAGAACTTTTTGTGTCCCAAGTACTACTCTTTCGACTTTGACGAGTACTGTTAGTACTCAGCTTTCGGACGTACTGTATGCCCTGCGATGGCGCAAAATGCCTTTTTGGCTTGTTTTAGGCAAAACTGAATGCAAAAAATTTCATTTTTTGGGGCTTTCGGATGACAATTTAAAGGTGACAGGGTGAGCTGAGTCTGTCGGTAAAAAGAAAAACGATGCGATTTTGTATGCGACAGAGCGCCCATTGTTTTCCCGACAGACTGATGCTTATTTGCCCCGTTTATTCTTCAGCTGTCAAAACAATAATTACCAGAAATTTGGTGGTAATCTGATCCCAACAGACAGATATTTGTTATTTGGGAGGATGATATCTGAGATTCCCCAGGGGCATTTTGCAATTCATCATTCCTTACTTTGCTTGTGCAGTCTTGGCAATCTAAATTTAGGGTACACCTTGCGGCAATAAGTCCTGAGAATTTTTCGTGCGCTACGCCAAAAATCAGACCCCTAACTTTCCCGACGGACTATCAGTCTATCGGGAAAATAACGGCGGAACGGCGGTTGACCTTATTTGACGATGATTATTTTATGAGTAACGCTTGCAGCTCGAAATCCCAGGGGTTTGAAAGCAAGCTTACATTTAGTATTTCGCCGGAATAATTAGCGATTCTGAGCGCGGCAATGGAACCGTTCAACCGAATTTCTTAATTCCATTGACGTCCTGAAAAACATTTTCAAATTTCTTGGCAAATAAACAAATAGCGCCGCAATGTTTTGAAGTCCGAATTCGGTCAAGCTGTTGTTGAATTGGGCCCATAATGGAGCCGAAATTTTGCAAAGAACGGCTGAAAAGGTTGTACTTTTCTTGCCTGTCTCTTCCATAGTATCTGGTCCGCAAAGGTCGTTGAATAAGCGGGACAACAAAGCGCAAGCCACGGCTTTCGATAATTAGTTTATAGACCAGATTAATCAGCCGTGTTTTCTTAAAAGGGGAGCAACTCCAAGAGCGACGCTCATATTTTGATGGAATTTAGCACTAGTTTAGAGAATTTTCTTCTACGTGCGAGACTCCTAGCTCTCGTTTTGTTGAACCGACCGAGATTTTTGGGTCAAAAGTTGGCGAAAAGAAGGCTAGGAGAAGGCTTATAATATGTTTGTTTGTAGGAATAATAAGACTGACTTGGTTCTAGGATATCTGTCACCTATTCTGAGGTATTCTAGTAAAATCCAATCAATAATATCTTGATAAAAGTTACGAATCTTAGTTTTTTGCACCAAATTTTGGTTTTTATATGTTACGATAAGCTAGGGTACAGAAAAACAACGTTAGTAAAAGATAAAAATAGACAAAGTGGAAATGTTCCAAGCCTTTGCCAAGTCGCCGCCGAGCCTTCGCCGAGCGTCCGCCGATTATCCAAAGGCTTGGCCAGGCCTTGTGAGCTCTTTGAACAACCTTTTTTTGGGTATCCACCCTGCCGTACGCCCCATGTCGATCGATTTAATGTTAACCCGAACGAACTGTCGTCTACCCGAAAAGTCGGAACGCACCGATTTTCGGGGCAAACATGCTCCGACTTCAAGAGGTTGTAGCCGCCTCAGTTCGCACAATAAAATTTTGCTATTTCATACAGAAAGATTTACTTCGCTTACAAACACATGTTCCAAAAACAAAGTCTCTGCGCTCCCTCCGCCGAAAGTTATAGCCTCCGACTTTCCTTCAAGTGTTTTTGTATGCTATCCTGTACAACTTTCGCTCTTGTTAGCCCGACTCTTTGTTTTTCGATGCGTTTTCTTCGACAAATATGTTCATCCGATGACGTTACTTCCTCAATACAATCTATTTATCATCGCACCTCCACACAACGGTTGTTTTCTTGGCCACCGATGTTCAAAACATCACAGTGATGTTTGTTGGGTAACCGACATTTCGTGACATTACTGCCGATGAGGCCGGAGAGCTTGCGGCGCTAAGTACTTTACAATTTTATGGGCTGGAAACTTCTTGGAAGTGCTTTTTAGGCTGTTAAAGGGCTTAAAATTAGGGAATTTTGAAGTTATTGCGCGTTTTGTTTCAAAATTTGAATAAAAAAAATGTTGCTGTAGCTTTCTTATTCTGCCGGGAAAATAATGAGCTTTATGTCGTGCCAATCACGTCGATGAAGAGAAAATCAGTTTGATTTTGTCGCGAAGACAATTCATTTTCTCGACGGCGATGCGATGTTTGGTGCGACAGATGGCTCATTATTTTCCCGACGGACTGATGCTACAGTGAGGGACGGGATCCAATGGCAAAAAACGACTTATTTTGCATCCCGGAAGGGACCAAAATGTCTCCAAACCCTTCCCTTCTCTAAACTAAAAAACCCCGATTTGAAGAGCCCGCCTTGAAGGAAAGGGCGCGCTTTTCAAAGCGGAGTTTTTTAGATTAGAGACGGGAAGGGTTTGGAGTCATTTTGGCCCCTTCCGGGATGCAAAAGGAGACGTTTTTTGCCATTGGATCAGGTCCCTCACTGTAGTATAAACTTGTTGCAATTTTTTCTTTCATGTGAGATAGCAATATACATTTATAAGGGCTTTCAACTGAATTACCCGTGAATGAAATAAAAAAAGGCGCTTTTATGGCGAGTTTCTAAAAATGTAACTCCCAACATGTTTCGCGGCTAATCCGGCTGATTAACGTGGGATTAGGTGCATTTTTTGCAACTCTAATTTTAGAAAGGCCTAAGACTGCAGAAGCGGGAGCTTGCAGGATAAATTAGGATTGTCTTAGGAGCTTTGGAAGTATTTAGACAGGTTTTATTGCATCGCGGTTGGCTGTACGAACGAGAGTACACTTTACTTCAGACGTTTTTTCTGAAAACCAAAAGGCTTTTTTCCTCGCACATTTCGTTTCCTAAGCCGTAGAAAACGCGATTCAAAAGTAGCTGAACTGGACCTTTAAGGAAGTGCGTAACGCCTTCCACTGGCCCTTAATCCTCTATAGCCCACACTTTGCCCATCAATAGGTATGAAAGACCATTTGGAGGAGCAGAAATTACCGTAACGTGACGTTGCTTCCTTGAAAGCATTGTATATGGAAATGGCTCTCCATTCGAACGTCTTTCTCAGCCTTGCATCCGGTAAATACGCTTTTCCTGTTTAGAGATCATTCTTAGAGGTTACTTTACAAAGTCTTGGGCCGTTATATAATGTTTAGGTTATATATAGCACAAAACTTGTGTAAATCATGTCTGTCCAGAAAATGCGTCAGGATGACCCCCATTAAAAAAGAACCAGTGGTATAAAAAACGGTCGTATATGTCTAGTAGTAGCCACAGGAGTACCCACAAAAAAAGTAAGTTCGTATCTTTCCCTATGCGAGATTTGGATGACGGATTTTCTGGATTCTTTTGGATTTTTCCCCCGGCTAAAAGTTTTGCAGTGCCAGAAATTTTTTGACATGCTTCATGGGGTACTTCTACCCATATTCAGCCGTTCTTTGTACCACCGACCCTTTTTAAATGGGTGTCATCATGACAGATTTTCTGGACACAAAGGTTTATAAGCCTAGAGCCTTTGATATACAGAGATGCCTTTTTTTCCAATTAGTCTACTGTACATTTGGCCTTGTTTTCCACGCATAAATTGTTTTTACAAAGAAGAAATCGTATTAAAACATTTAATTACACATTCAGCGTCAATCGTGCCTTCGGCCCTTTACAATTCACAATTACTTTGGCATTCCAACCTGTAGATTTCTGCATGCCGTGTTTTTTAAAATAACGCGGGCTTGAATTACTGCGTAAAAGGGGCAGGATGGAATTTCAGGCCTTCTAAAGGCTTGAATTTGGCCTTTCAACGCCATACGATGACTTGCTAGAGGTTGAAAGATTTTTTTTTGAGATTTTTCACTTTGTATTTTGCTTAATTCTGCCGTTAGTAGAACGTTTTAATAACCTCAAATAAGAATGCCGTTCTCCAAAACTACAGTAGGCCATTTGCAGAGAGATCCACGAGATGTCCCGCTTACTGGTTGGGTTGTTGGCGGTGCTTGTGTTTGTTGCGACGTCGGAAGCGTTGATCACGTACAACTGGCAGCAGCCCGTCCATCTGGAGCAGTTCTTCAAGCATCGCCCCGAATATCAGACCAATCTCGAAAAGGTGGGCGAAAACGCATCGCACGGGCGACGCAGTCATTTTCGCGGCCTAAATTCCGAGTGCAAACGTAAATATAATTCTGTAGGGAAAATAAAGGGCACAATGTCGCTGCGCCCGTCATGTCGCTGAAATGAAAAGCAATTTGATTTTGCCACCCCACAATTCACTTTCTCAGCGGCGATGCGTTTTCTAACATAAGCAACAAGTAATCCTCAACTAACTTGCGCCTTAAAGAAATGGCTTTCACTTTGATATCTGGTGTATTTTCAGAAAACGGCCGAACTTTTGAATTCAGTCGACACCCCCGAAGACTTCATCGACGAGAATCGAACACACGACCGGGAGACGGCTCGGGAGATCCTGCGAAAGAACGCGGATCCCAGGCAATTCTATGGCAATTATTTCCCTTGGACTATGATTTGAACGTTGACAAAGTTGCGATCTGCTAAGCATTTTTATCTTCATCACCTTGGTGGAAAGAAATGCTAAATTATCAGTCTGTCGGGAAAATAATGGGCACTCTGTCGAATCAAAAAAAATGAACTGTGTCGCAACAAAATCAAATTGCTTTTTACTTCAGCGACACGATCGGCGCAGCGACATTGTGCTCTATTATTTTCCCGACAGACTGGTAGAATCATTTCCTCAAAAGATCAAAAGTTCGTTGCGTTTATGTTTGATGACAAATTATTCAACTGTTACTGTTTCCGTCTCCTCCGCGTGTTTTGAATTACAAACTCGATCTCCATTTGCCTGCTATGTTTGCCGTTTATAGTCGATTTTACATTTGAATAATTTATATTTCCCTCTTTTGATGTCATAATATAAAAACATAGTACTTGTTGTGTATAAACAAAGTAAAATATAATATGTTAGGATCATCTTTATCGATCGTAGCCACTAATGTTTGGCAGACCAAAGAAGTTCAGATTACCCGTAGATTTATTTTCATACCCTAAATTTCAAAAAATCTCAACGACTCAGAACGGCTTTGTTGTTCTTTAACAAATTTTCGGTGAAGTTTCGATCGCATGTTTTTCTATGGTTCCAAAATTCAGTGATATTTGTGTAAGTCTTGACCACTTTGTTCGTCCTCACGTATTGGCAAATCTTGCAGAACTGATCCTTCGTATTTACGACGCGTCGTTCATAGTCGTATTTCCACATCAAATGCTCGGCGTAGGCTTCGTCATTCGTCAACAGGAATTTGATGTAGTTGGCAAAACTCTTGAGACTGCTGAAATTGAATGGCATGAAATTTTTTTTGTGGAGCCCATGAAAGTACATTTTTTTGGCATTCAAACTCGAAATTTCGCTTTTTTCAGTGACAATTTTCTTTGCGGCAACGAACTTGCTGGTGACAAAATTTTATGTTGTCTCCCCAGAATACTTACGCAAAGTCATCCATTGCAATGAAAGACCTTGGAGGTGCGTTCCGATAGTACTCCTTCTTGAAAACAATGGGCACAAGATCATTGAATCTGTAGAACTTCTCGGTGACATAATCCAAGCAGATGGAATTTTCGAGCGACAAATAGAACCTGTATTTTTCCGAATTCTCCTTGAAACAGTATTCGTCGCACGACCGGTTGCCGCATTTGCCGTACAGATCAATATCCAGATATCTGAAATTTTTATTATTGACAAGTTTAAGTAATGTCAGGCGAATGTCGCTACGCCGATTGCGTCGCTGAAGTGAAAAGCAATTTGGTTTTCTCGCGACACAATTCATTTTCTCGGCGGTGATACGATTTTCGATGCTCATTATCTTTCTGTCAGACTTTAAGAAATCTGCAAAAAACTTGAATGTCGTTGAAATCACTCCAGCGACTTTGCAAACGGAGTAGTTTACTTGCTGACAATGCCTACTTTTGGAGTTCTGCAATGACATCTTCCCTTTGGCTTGATGTGATACATCGAGAGAAGACTTTGAAGACTCCTTTGCTCTTCTTCTGCTTTATCTCACGCAAAAGCTTTTTGTAATATTCTGCTCTCTAAAAAACAGCTAGAAAGTAGAGCCTTTAAATTATCAATTAGTATTTTCTTAAAGTGCATGGACATTTTCCTACATCGATTTCCTGCGATTTTGCTTGAAAATAGCCGTACGGATAGGGAATGTCCGAGTGCATCATAAAGGTGGATGTGGCGTTGAAGAAATTGTCCTTTAGGCTGTGCGTTCCCACTCTGGTTGGGGGCTCTCTTTCGTACATGATGAATGTTTGATTTGTGCTGTATCTTGTGGGGTACGTTGAGTTGTAGTGAACTGAAAGACCTTTATACTGAAGACGTCTTGAGTTTATGCTGCTAACCAACCGCTTCGAAAGTTTTCGACTTCTTTACAAGTAAATTCCGCCACTTACAAAGGTAGAATGGGAAGAAGAGGACTCCGTGCGAGGTGTTGAAGGTGCCACGGTCCATTGTGAACTCACACGTTGTGCCACAAACCTTGTGAACGGCTTCCAAAAAGCCGGTCTGATTGGGTGCTGAATTCCGTGGAGTCCACAGCAATATCCTCGTCTTCTCCAATTCTATAGTGTGGTTTGCGATTTTCACATCATTTTCAGAAACCTGAAATCATTTCGAAGGTAGAAAAATGCGTCGCGACTTTTCTTTCGAGTAAGCACAACATTGATTTTTCCTATTTTTCTCGCTCGGTGAGCGGTCGGCTTTTCCTGGCCACCTATGCCGTTTCGGGCGCAAAGGATTCTGCCTGGGCCAGTAGCCAACAATCAAAAGGATTTCATGGCACTAGCAATCAACGTAAGGTCAATTCGGAGCGAGTGCCAAATGGAGCAATTCGAAAAATCGCTGGAAAAGCTAAGACGCGAGGAAGGAAGATGGGATCAACGGCTGATGGAATGGAAGCCGCTCTACAAATTGCCACTTCGACGCTCCAGACTCAGACGGACCGACTATTTTCGAAAACACCATGGCCTACGATGGAGTGACCTTATACTGACTAGACAATGGAATCCCGACTGATACAATCCATGATTTTACATGTAATTAATGTGAATAAATTCTTGAAAGCGCAAAATTAATCGTCATCGATTATAGGTTGCCTTATTGTTAACTTACAATATAAGACTGTTGAACCAAAAACAGAGTAACTGCCGCAATTGCCAGGAAAACAACAATCCGTATGTTCGTCTTGAAACATGACATCTCGGAAAGCGTCTTTTGCTTCCAGAATTCATAGCGCTGGAAACTTATCTTTTAATTTTAATTTCGCGTTTAGATGGTAGATAACGCAGCGCAGTTTAACCGCTTCTCGTTTCAAGTTATTATTTAGTGCACTTTGCGAAAAAAGTTTGAAGAAAAAATTCATGGAATGCCGGAAAATTGCATCGAAAGTCGTGTCTCCGCCGAGAAAATGGATTGCGTCGCGGCAAAATCAATATGCTTTTCACTTCAGCGACGCGGTTGGCACGGCGACATTTTGCTCATTATTTCCCCGACAAACTGAGAATTGTGTACAACACATTTATCAACAATTTATTATCCAGGATGATAATGGTTAAGCTCAACAAAAGTGGCGTTAACAAGTTTGGACGCCCGATTTCGATACTCCACCAACGGTTTCATCTGCTCTTCAGTCAAGACTTTCTTATAAAATTCGCGCGTACTGTTCCATACGCCATCATCGTATATGTCTGGCTTGATGTGCGCATCATCGTACTGGTCCAGGTCGGCGCTCGCAATAATCTGCGGCGTCCAGTCCGACCTTCGATCCAGCCTTTTTTGGGCTCTATGAGTTGTGACGAGCTTTGCGTAATCCTTATTTCGTTGCGTCATTCTGCCGAATTGAAGGCCGAATACTGCTTGATCAAGGAACCACATATAGCTCTTGTCATGGGGGCGGTCAAAGAGTTCGTTGTCAAACACCGCGTTCGTTTTTGCTTCGATGTATGGACCATCCGCAATATCTTCTGGGTGAATATCTGAAAAATGAATCTCATTATTGGCCGTAGTGATATTAGTATCTTCATAAAGCGCTCGGCATTTGTCTTAAAATATTACCCATCACTTCCTTCCACCATTTGACTGTCATAGCAATGGTTCCCATCGGGTACTGGGGGAATCTCTCCTTCTTCCATATGACGTCGGCACAACAATGAGGGTTGAAGAAGGCAATTTCTTTCCCTTCAGCTGGTTTCGGGACATGATCCTTCAACCTGAGCGGGAAATAGTCAACATCGGAGGTCATCAAGATGGTACTGTTGTCTAGATTCTGCTGAACAAAGTCTGTGGCTGCGGCATAGTTTCGAATATTTTGCGCAAAGTTGTTGGACTTCAGTTTTTGGTTTTTGAGGAAGATTAAGACGGCCTGAAAGCATAGGTTAAACTCTCCAGAGCGGGCAGCAAGCGCCTTCTTCAATAATATCTCATTTGTGGATACAGTGCTCAAAGTGCGACGCTCAGATTCTGATGAAACTTGGCGCACATTTAGAGCAATGTTTTCTATGACATATACAAGACTGCTAGCTCTTTACAGGCTCATCAATCGCAAACGGCTCCGTACCCCCAATCTCTGCAGCTGACTGACCGCTTCTTTCGTCGCATTACTCTTCCGATATTCCTCCTCCGTTCCGCAGAGCATCACAATCGACGTGAGGTTCATATTCAGCCAAAACTGCACGGCAAAAGGTGCTGAGAGCAGGTAATGCAGATTTGTGTCCGATGACATGACAACGTATATACTCGCGGCGTCTTTTCCTCCCTCAATTTGGGCCTTCGTTGCGGGTTGGAACAGAAATTTGTGAGCCAAATACAGTGCTACCGCCGCTATGCAAACCATAAACGTCCTGAGCAGAAGACGATGGGCATTCCTAAACTGTTCCAATAGTACGTAGCTGACCAAAACTGCCTCCCTTCCCCTACCATTTTTTCCTTCGCACCCTTGCCTGGGGGTATGAGCATAATGTCGCTTCGAAAATCGCATCGCCGCCGAGAAAATGAATTCTCAAAATCATGCTGCTTTTCACTTCAGCGACGCGATTGGCGCAGCGACATTACACTCGCAATTTTCCCGACAAACTGCTACATGACGCTGTAATAAGATTTTCTTACCTTAAAATGTCCGTGGCAACCTTCCGTGCTTCTGATGACGCCAGCAAGGGTTCATCGGAACTAAATTCCGGTGGTATTGTGATCATTGACTTGGAGAACACCGTGCGACCCAGAGCCATCAGTCTGCCTGGAAAATAGCGTGGATTTGTCGAGAAATCTCTAGTCGCAAGCGCGCACCGAATCACCAGCCGTCGTAGAGCGATGATGGGCGATTCCGGAGACTCCACATTACTTTTCCGGCAGACTGATATCTAAGCCGAATCCGCCGGAAATAACACCGCAAGAGAGTGAAGTCAAGATGACGTTTCTAATTCAAGTTTTTTGAAACGTCATATGTATTATGTTCCCGTCAGGGACGATAAGAGATACGATGAGAGATTAAGAAATTAAGAGTAAAAGTGGTAATCAAAGACTCAAGAAGAGGCAGTTTTTGTGGTACTACATATTTTTGAAAGCAAAAACCTAAAGAGGAGTAAAATTCGCATAATGGAGAATATGTTGGATATTCACAGTATCCTTCGTAGTAATGTTCCGCGGCGCAAAATTACTCAGCGGAATAAAGTCGGAGCCGTCCTAATTTTCATTCTTTTTATTGTGCTTTGCAGTTGGAATGTGAGTCAAAATGAGCTTGTTTATCGACAGACTGCAATTATAAGCTTACCCCAGCTGTGTATTTCCCGTTTTTAGTCTCCGTTTTCCCGCAACAGATCAACGATTCGAAATCCGGCAACAAAGATATTGATGTGGACTCCTCGTGGACTAGGAGGCGGTGAGCTTGGTTATCTGCGCGGGGTAAATCGCATGTGTGGCCACAAGTGCTACGTGACCATGGACAGGAGAGCGCTGTCAACCGCTGACGCGGTGATATTCTTCCCCTTCTATATGAGTAAGTGCACTTTTATGAAGTCTTTTAGGAAGCTCTCACTTCAGCGATCGGCGGAGCGACATTATTCATTATTTTCCCGACAGACTGATAGGAGTCTAAAAGACGAATTTTCAGGGAATTTCAGCGCTATTTATCCGACACGAACAAACCCTGATCAGTATTTTGTATTTTGGGAACACGAAACGCCGGTCCGATATCCGGAAAAGAATGTAACGTAAGTTTTTTTGGCCACAACTTCCCAAAGCTGAGCCAAAGGAGGCATTGCGCCCCGATATCAATGTCTGCCGGAAAAATAATGAGCACAAAGCCATGCCTAATCTATGATATACTAGAGGGCAATACGCAGAAATTAGAGGACAGAGTGAGAAAAATTCAATGACATCGATTTGGTCGTCCTGTCCGATGCCACAGAGTGCTCATTGTTTTCCCGACAGACTGATCAGTGCGTCAAAAAGCCTTGGTATGATTGGCACCTTAATTGAGAACTTTCCAGATTCCCAAAAAACTACTTCAACGCCACAGCTACTTACAGCCTCTCAGCTGACATCCCAATACCCTACGGGACCTACGAACCGATAGCACGGAATATGACGGTAAAACCTTTCGTCTGATATCGGTTTGTCGGGAAAATAATAAGCACGCATCGAAAATAAAAAGAACCTCATTTTGCTTTGTTGTGCTCATTATTTTTCCGACGGATTAATATCTTATGACAACGTTTTAGAAAGAAGAATACTATGAGCATCTACTGGAGGAGATTGGAAGGAAGACGCGAGGAGTTTATGCGGTCTATTCTCACTGCGAAACGGAAAGTGGCAGAGAGCATGTCATACGGAATCTACAAAAGTAAGCATTCTGACATACGATAAAACCCATGGTGCTTCGGAATCTTTTGATTTTTTCGTATCGCCTTTCAACACTTTTTGATGAGGTCTTGTGTTCATAAAGCTCTCCACCTCGCTTTGCTATTAGTTCGTCGGGGAAATAATGTGGATTCATCACGCCATGGAATCGCTCATCGCTTTGCGACGGCTAACCGTGGCTAGGGATTTGTTGTGCGCTGCGAAAAGTCCACATTATTTTCCCGACAGACTAATAAAATCTGAAACACCCCCATTTTCAGGTACATCAACGTTGATGTCTACGGACAGTGCCGAGGAGGAATTGCTTGCGACCGGGAATGCTACAACAGAAATAAGGAGAACTACCGCTTCTATCTTTCCTTTGAAAACTCCGTGTGCAATGACTACGCCTCGGAAAAGTTCTTCAACTTCAACACGCTGATCCCCATTGTTTTGAAACGGGAGTACTACAAACGCCATCCTCAACACTCGTTTATTGCTGTGGATGACTTTGGGTGAGTGCCATAAAGTTGTCGTATGTACAAGGCGACCAGAAAGCCATCATATAATCTTTATTTAGAAGCCTGAAAGAGCTTGCCGACTACTTGAATCTCCTCTCCATGGACGACAAAAAATACGCAGAGTATTTGACGTGGACGTACGACAAGCGACGAAAGCCGAGAGGACGACACATCATGCTGTGCGACGTCTGCGATTATGTCAGTAAGCGTCCGGCACGGAAGATATACTCGGATATTGACGACTTTGTCGATCTAGGACGCAGTTGCGACTTGAATTTTAAGCGAGACGTCATTGAAGGTCGTATTCTTCAATGATTTGAAAGAAAATCTACTTTGTGATGTTGAATTAGATCTCGGATGATAAGAATAACGGTTTTTTGTTGTCATACAGCTCGCTTTTTTTGAATTTTTTTTCCAATAAACGGTTTTTAATTTTGGCGCAATGTTCTATCTTAAAACTTTGAAACTCTAATTTCGCAAAAATCAGCATTCATTTCGAGGAGATTGAAGATTACGCGGCATTTCTCTGTCTGACCCTAGCATCATGAGAAATGACGCCTTTTTTCAGCCAAATTTTTTGCTGTTTCTGGGCAAATCCACATTATTTTCCCGACAGAATGATAAATATTGGCCTGGCGAAAGGCTAGCCCGACATATCTTTATTATTTTCAAGCAGCCTTTTCGTATGATCTCGATCGCATGTTTTTGTGCTGTTCCAAAAGCTTTGAATATTCTTATAGGACTTCGGACTTCGGTTTCTTGCAACATATTGACAAATTGTGCAGAACTGATCTCCTGTTCCGGTATGACGCTTTTCGTAGTCGTACTTCCACATTAAATACTCAGCGTAGGCTTCGTCGTCGGTCATCAAGTATTTGATAAAGCTGGCGAAACTCTTGAAACTCCTAAAAATGCAGGTTGTACGGTCTGTCGTGTGTGCAAGATTCAAACAACCTCTAGTCATCCCACTTGGAATATATCCCCTGTTAACTTCACGGTATTCAAAGCCACTTACGCAAAGTCGTCCAGAGCGATAAACGATTTTGGTGGGAGGTTTCGGTAGTCGTCTTTTTTCAAAACAATTGGCACAAGTTCATGGAATTGGTAGAACTTTTCGGTTATGTAATCAAGACATACCGAGTTCTCAAAGGCCAAATAGAATCGGTAACTTTTCATCTTTTCCTTGTAACAGTCATTATCGCACGACCGGTTGACACATTTGCCGAACAGATCAATATCAAGGTACCTGAAAATGTCTTGTTGTCAAAAAAAGCAAAGAGAAAATTGAGCTTTGACTGGCGAATTTTCGGAAGGACTAGAGTGGCGGACCTGATCCAGTGGCAAAGAAGGTACCATTTTGCATCCGGGAAGTATCAAAAAATGTGACGAAATACCTCACTCTCCAAGTGAAAAAAATCTGCATTTCAAAAGCGCGTCCGCTTTTTTGTGGGAGAAAGGGTGCCCTTCAAAACGATGATTTTTTTAGTTGGAGAGCGAGGCTTTTAGCCAGAGATTGCCACGGTCAAAATTTCGGCTCCGGCTCCGACTCTTAGCTCCCAGAGCCGGAGCCGAGGCCAAATTTGCAGCTCCGGCTCTTGGCTCCGTGCAAAATTTAAAAAGGCTTCCGGCTCCGAATCCCGGCTCCTATGCAAAACGTTTTTTAAAAATTTTTTTCCAAAAATAAAAGTTATTAGTGCCAGAGATCATACAGCCAACGTTTTTGCAGTCAAGTCACATCCTCCGCAGTGTTTTTGCAAGCAATTTGGTTTAACAAGATAACGAAATTTTTACTTTTCTGACCACTGGGAAGCCTGGCTCCGACTTTGGGCTCGGGAGCCGGAGCCGACCCCAAAATTTCCGGCTCCGGCTCTGGCTCCCGGCTCGGAGCCGGAGCCGCTCAGAGCCGGAGCCTCCGGAGCCGTGGCAATCTCTGCTTTTAGCCACATTTTTTGATACTTCCCGGATGCAAAATGGTACCTTTTTGTCACTGGATCTGCTTCGTCACTATAGCATATATCAAACAGACCCTTACTTTTGAAGCTCCGCAATGACGTCCTCCCGACGACTCGCGGTTTGGCAGTGAGAGAAGACCTTGAAGATCCCGTGTTTCTTGTCCTCTTTGATCTTGCGCAACAGATCAGCATGGTACTGTGATCTCTAAAAAATGAGTGATAAAAACGCTTCTTTGTGGCCTCTCTCCTGCAAGAAAAGGAACGTACAGTAATGTCTCGAGTTATCTCCTGCAAATAGCCGTACGGATACGGGATGTCCGAATGCATCATGAACGTAGCAGTCGCATTGAAGTAGTCGTTTGGCAAGCTGAAGTAATGCGATATAATATCAGTCTGTCGGGGAAATAATGGCACTCTATCGCATCGTTGAAAAAGCAACTTTGAACTTCCCGTGATAATTGATTGTACGTGATGATCACGGCGAAGAGGAGATTGGGTAGTCTGAAGACGAGATCGAGCGGTCAAAAGAGATAGTTTATTCGTCAAAGACGAGAAAGGAATGAGACAAAAGTGTATTCTTGTGGCTTTTATAGCCAAATCCATTGTGCAAATTTGGCACTATCGCCAACAACATAATTAATTTTCTCGGTAGCAATGCGATTTTGGGTGCGACAGAGTGCTCATTATTTTCCCGACAGATTAAGTTTTTATCTTACTGACTGCCGGGCACCCTCGTTGGCGGCTCTCTTTCGTACATAATGAGGGTTTGTTTTGGACTGTGTCTCTTCGGATAGGTGGTATTGTAATGTCCTAAAAATATTTTGCTGGTAAAGTGAAATTTCTCGCACTTTGCGGGCGCGACCGAGATATTGAACGGCCTGTTAAACTTACGCATATAAAAGGGGAAGAACATCACTCCGTCCGAAGAGTTGTACTTTCCACGGTCCATGGTGAATTCGCAGGTGCTTCCACACTTTGTGTGGACATCTTCTAAAAAGCCGGGGTCGTACCATCTATTCCGAGGGGTCCAAAGCAATATTCGTGTTTTGTTGACAGCCGTCGCAGAGATGTTTGCAATCTTCTTGAGCTTCTAAATCAGACCAACTAAAATTTTGTCATCCTGTCGGGAAAGTATTGCTGTTTTCATTAAGTGCATCGTTACAGCCGAAGAGGCCTCCTGGCCTGGCAGAGCCTTTGGCCGAAGAGGCCTCCAAAATGAAGAGACCCTAAAAAGAGCTCCCTCTACTCTCGGGAAAAATAAAAAAAAATTTAAAATGAAGGGTGACAAGTTATACGATCAAAAAACTCTTGAAAATTTTAAAAATAGGGTGTGACGTCTTATTCGATGAAAAAAATTTAAAATGAAAACATACTGTGATGTCATTATTTTTTTCATCGTATGGCGTGTCACCCTTTATTTCGAAAAACTTTTTCTTAATTTTTTCGAAAAAGGGGCCTCCTTGACCATTTTAGGGGGCTTCTTCGGCCGAGTGGCATCCTTCATTATGGCCTCTTTGGGCTCAATCTAAGTGCGGACATAAAAAGCCGTTTGCACAGTGCACATGTCTGCGCGAAAACCGCGGCGACGTTGTTAAAAAAAAGCGTGTGTCGCGGCGATATTTTGATACGCGGTGTGAAAACAAAAAAAAAAAAACTGAAATTTACGGTGCAAAATGAGTCATTTTATGCATGGTGCATTTTTTTTGATGCAAAAGAGTGCCCATTATTTTCCCGACAGATGAATAAAATACCTACAAAAATCGGTGGTGTAGGCATATAGCAATATAGATAGACTGTGACAACGAGCGCTGTGAAAAGTAGTCCAAAAGCGTTGAGATACCTGCTTTCAGACATGAGTAGCCGTCATTCGAAATAAGCAGACCTTTCAATTAATGAAATTTTGTTTCTTCAAGCAAACTCGTTGTTTAGATTAAGCATAAGATACCCCGATTAAAAGTTTACGAAAATTGGAACTCATTCAGTTAAAGCGAGATAAACGAGCCTCCGAATTTAACCCAAAGAATTTTTGGTCATTGACCAACATCCACGACTTCCGCCTACACGGTTATGCGCGACTTGATTTCAAATTGAGAAATCTTATCGTTGAAATGCCGAAACATTCGCGGAAAGCCCGTTTGCAAATCCGGCCAAAGAATTAAGTTTCCAAGGCAGAAGCAATTGCAATAACAAAGAAGGAATGCGATGCGAACGTTTGTAAATGTGAGAAAACAAAAGTTCACTTTGTATTGTGCAATTTGTTGCTTTTCGCACCGTGCAATAGGCTCTTTTAGGCCATCGCTTCGCATTCTGACTTTTTTTCACAGTGAAAACACCAAGAGTCACTCCAGCGACTTTATGACGGACTATTGGCATTTTTACAAAGTGCCTGAACTTTTGCCGCAATTCGCACACTCACCTTTTTTTGGATTTGCACTGTCACGACTTCGCATGCGAATTTGCATATTCCCACGGAATGACCGACAAATTGGTATAAAAGGAAGAGAAATCGCCAATTATTATTATTATTTCGTTTCTGTCTTTTCCCGGTTGTATGTTGTTTGGAGCAATAAACCGTCGTATTTCTACTGTTGTTTATTATTGATTTGTCTATGTCAACTCTTGTGTTTGTGGAGTCAATTATTGTGAGTTCATTGAAGTTGTTTCCTGAGTTTAGTTAGTCGTTTGCCTAAGTTTGTGTAGTCGTTTGTTTGTATAGTATTGTTTGGGCTTGGGATCCTAAATCAGAACTAGAACAGGGACCCTTTATACACGTGCTCTCACTGAACTCGTGACAGCACTGTGCGTTTGAAATACCGCTGCGACGTATGGTTTTTTCACCTGCGCCGCTGCGGCATAGTCACTTACAGTGAGGGACCTGATCCAATGGCAAAAAACGTCTCCTTTTGCATCCCGGAAGGGGCCAAAACGACTCCAAACCCTTCCCTTCTCTAAGCTAAAAAAATCCGCTTTGAAAAGCGCTCCCTTTCCTTCAAGGCGGGCTCTTCAAATCGGGGTTTTTTAGCTTAGAGAAGGGAAGGTTTTGGAGACGTTTTGGTCCCTTCCGGGATGCAAAATGAGTCGTTTTTTCCCATTGGATCCCGTCCCTCACTGTAGGTGATTTTCGCGACACGCACAGCCCGAAAACAAAATTTCAAACTTTTTTGCACCGTGCAGTTTCTTGCTTTTTGCATCGTGCAAAAGGCTTTTTCGGACTCTCACTTGCACCCTGACATCCACACAGTGCACGCTACACCCCCTGACAGGACCACAACAGTTGAGCAATCTCAAACAGCCTCCGGCATCTAATTTGTGCTTCACAAACAGCAAAAATGTTGGAGCGCTCAGGGTTTTTTCAAAAATTGCAGAAGTTACGAAAGCCAGTTAGTTCCTTGTTCCGTTCGGAATGCAGATGCACTTGTTTGCCACATCAGAAACTGTATGAACCGTCTTCTGCAAACTCATTTTCCAGCACAACAGTCTAACTTTTATTCAAATTAACAATAGCGTTATTCCTATAGTTCATGTCGCAAACCTTGTTTGCATTCGAATATTCTCCAATTTCCTTGTAAACCTTTTTCGCCGGCCTTTGCAGGACATACTCACAGACATCACACATCATTTGATGTCGTGATCGTGGTTTCCGCTGTAGATCATAGCTCCACAAAAGATGCTGCGCGTACAGCGCATCGTCGGTCATGAGACGAGCCAAGTATGTCGACAACTCATGGATACTTCTGCAAACATACAAAGAACATATGGTCCAAGGAAAACAACGTACGGGAAATCGTCCAACGCAATGAAGGATTTGGGTGGCGAATTCGGATAGTATTCCCTTTTCAAGACGATCGGGACCAACGAATTGAAGTTGAAGAACTTCTCGGACGCGTAGTCCTCGCAGGCCGTGTTCTCAAACGCCAAATAGAAGCGGTATTCGAGGCTGTTGCGCTTGTAACAAGCCTTGTCGCAGGGCTTTCCGCCGCAACGACCAAACACATCCACTTGCATGTTCCTGAAACCTTGTTAAGTCTTTTTTTCGAGGTCTTCTTGCGAGACAAACAGCTACTAAAAATTGCCGAAATTTTTGCAGATTAATGTCGGCTGCTCCTATCAGCCTGTCGGGAAAATAATGAGCGAAAATCACTTCTATAAGAATTGCACCGCAGCAAAATCGAATTTCTTTTCACTTCAGCGACGGTATTTTTACAGCGACATTGTTATCAGTATTTTCCCGAAAGTCTGATACAGTGGCGGATCTGATCCAGTGACAAAAAAGCATATCATTTTGCATCAGGGAAGTATCAAAAATGAAGCAAAATGCCTCCCTCTCCAAGTGAAAAATTCCAATTTCAAAAGCGCGCCTGCTATTTTTGTAAGGGAAAGGGAGTCTTTTAGTTGCAGAAAGAGGCATTTTGCTACATTTTTTGACGCTCCCGGGATGCAAATTGATAGATTTTTGGAACAGGTCCACTGTTGAATCATTTCCTCTTCTGAACCCTCTGTTATTGCAAACGGCCTTACCTCTGCAGGTCCTGAATAATAAACTCGCGTCCACTGGGCGTGTCACAATGCGAAAACACTGCGTAAACTCCTTTTATCTTCCTTGCGATCTGTCGTCTGAGATCGAGGTAAAATTCCGCTTTCTAAAAGCAAATAAAACATGAATGTGGTGCTATCCCGTTCATTAAGTCCATGCACGGCAATCTGCCCGGGCCTTTTGCATGTCCGGGCCCAAAGCCCGCCCGATGAAACGTAGGCCCGGCCGGTCCATTCCCAAATTTCCAAAGCCGAGTGTGGCCCGGTTTCCACGTCTGGTAAAGTCTTGGAGGAATCTTTGTCGTTATGTGCAGAAAAATTCAGGAAGGCCTATTGAACGGTGCAAAATGCAAGAAATTGGACGGCGAAAATTTTTTTTTCCCAAGTTCGTGTCGCAGGCGGAAAAATAGTTTTGTTTTCGCAAAGTGCACATCGCCAAGATCACTCCAGCCACTTTGCGAAAGGGACTTCAGGCTGTCGGAAAATAGTGAGAACTGTTGTGGATCCTCAAACCCCATTGAAATTAGTATAAACCAACTCATATAAAAGAAACGTCTCGTCACCAATTACAGAACATTTTATCTCACTGTCAGTTGCTCTTTCTTTGTGTGCGGTCTCAATAAACCTTATTCCAAAACCGGTGTCTATTCTAAGAGCGGTGGTCCAAGCGCCCCCTCTACCTCTCTACGCCTGAACTACACCACAAGCACATTGTCGCATTGAAAATCGCACCGCCGCCGAGAAAATGAATTGTGTCGCCACAAAATCAACTTGCTTTTTACTTCAACGACGCAATTGGCCTAGCGACATTGCGCTCACTATTTTCCCGACAGAATGATACTAGCTTAGAGCTTACCGTCATATTCCGCTCAATTTTCTCGTAAGTTCCATACGGAATTGGAATATCCGCACTTGTCATGTACGTCGCAGTCGCGTTAAAGTAGTTTCTCGGCAGCCTATAATCACAAAAAATCTTTCGGGCTTTGCAAACCCACGTTATGTTTCTAATTTCATATTGCACTGGCGTTTCGAGCTCCCAAAATACAAAGAGTTGATTGGGGTTTTGGCGGGCGGGGTATGAGGCGCTGAAATTTCCTAAGATGCATGTCAGCTACCGCAACCTTCCTTACTCATAAACATAGGGTAGAAAACCCCGCATCCGCATTTGCAAAGGTATTTCGATCCATCGTTATATAACATTTGTTGCCGCAAGTTCTCTCAACCGCTTTTACGTAATACGCAGAGTCGTTCAGCAAGCCGCGTGGCGTCCACATTAAGATATGAGCTCTTGAGTTTTTGGGAGAGATTTTCCATGGTTCAGAAGACTTAATGATAGCCTGAAAGTCAACGGTTTTTTTTTGATCTGGAAAATAAATCAATTCCCTGAAAATTGCTCTGAAAACATAAAAAATTAAGACAACGGGAGTGCTGGATGCGCTGCTATCAAATTTTGGCAGAAATCTAGTTGATTTTTTAACGAAAAATGCGATTTTTTGTCTTGTTCTATGCATTCGAACGAGACGTTTTGGTCGAAAATTTGTTATTTACCCCAATTTACGTGTGGCATAGAGCCCGTGCCCAAGATCTGAAGGAAACCTTCGAAGATACTCCTTACCGTGCTACTTAGTTTCAAAACTCCGCATAGCACTGCCCACAAGACAAAAACATTGATTCCGGCCATAAAATCTCGACTTCTCCATTTTAGTTTCATAAACATGAGATTCGACGACAAAGAGAGCTTTTCCAAAAAGATTCTGGAGCTTTTTGGTTCGATTAAGGAGATCCGGTGTTATCAAGATTCAAATTAATTTCTTGAATCTAAAATCTTTGCAGACTAGCGGGTTTCGAAAAACTTTTGGAAAATAATTACAAGTTTTTTGCCGCAAAGTTTGGTCTTTTATGTATGTGTTATTATACAACAACTCTGGGTAACGAAGACTAACGTTACTAACTAAAATCTTCCTCGGAGTCTCCGCAGAGCCAAGCGTCCCCCGACCATCCAACGGCTTTGCCAGACCTCGCAAGCTTTGTTTAATGTATCCACCGACCCTATCAATGAACGCCTACCGGAAGTTCGAAAAACCCCAAGTTCGACAACCAAAAGTTCGAATGCCGCAAGTTCGAATACTAGAAATTCGAAAAACCTCAAATTAGAAAAACTAAAAGATCAAAAACCGGAAGTTCAAAATATAAAAATATAAAAAATGCATTCGAACTTGCGGCATTCGAACTATTGGTTTTCGAACTTGGGGTTTTTCGAACTTGCGGTAGGCGTTCCCGACAAAGGAGACCCACCGCAAGATCGAATCCGCAAGTTCGAATGACTAAAGTTCGAACGACCTCCAGTTGTTATGAAGAAAGCAAAGTCCACCACACAAAGCCACGAATCCCGAGAAAGACACAGTTGGATTGGCGTCATGACGAATCTTGATCAGGTCGACATGAAGAACAGCGCGTCCGTTGTCGGTCAACCAACCTCCATCGTAGAGGATGAATGAATGATTGAAGAGGAAGTGTATTTTGCAAAATAATTATATGCAAATTATAATTTAAATATTAATTAACTTTTTTTTTCATTTTCGAACTTTAGTCATTCGAACTTTAGGTTATTCAAAGTTACGGTCATTCGAACTTTAGGCATTCGAACTTGCGGATTCGAACTTGCGGTGTGTCTCCCTATCAATCGATTTTGTGATGAAGTCAGAAACAAACAAGTGAGTACCTAAATGATCGATTTCTATTAAAACAGAACCACTGTCGCCTGAGGCGACATTTACAAAATGGATTTGAAACACCATTTTGAAAAACCAAGGATTGCCGGAGGAAAAGTCGGGATGCGGATTTTTTGTCGCGAGGCAATTCGTTTTCTTGGGATGAAAATTTCAATGCGACAGAGTGCTCTTTATTTTCCCGACAGATTGATACTAATATAGTATTTACTCTGCATTCATTTGCAATTGGAATATTTGCTACGGTAGACAAATTGGACGGAATTTTATTTTTCTATTCATTGAGATATCTTTCGGCTCTCCTCCTTCGCTTCAGCCAGTTGCGAATTTGCTCCAACACGGGCATCTTGAACCGGAAATTCGATTTCGCATTTTCTTTCTGAAAATAGGCGTTTTTAGAGGAAATATGACAACCCTCACCTCTAACATCCTGAGCAAGAAGACTGGCGTTGCCTTCTCATTGCTACTCACGGCGGCTTCGAGAAAATTGACCAATTCGAAGTCCAGTCGAGTTTGTTTTGTGTAAAGTTCGTGTTGATGGGTTGTTGTTGACTTGAAGAGAAACACCTCTTCCGTTTGGGAGTCATAATCAACTCGGAGGCTCATCTGGCAGCTTTTTTGACGGCAACTAAAATTTGAGAGAAGAGTACAGAAAACTTCGTATTTCACAATTTATGCCAAAACGGAGTTTTTTATATTTATACTTTACTACGACCGAAAAGAATGAAAACCACGAAAGCTATGGCCGAAATCAAAGATACCTAAGAAATAACGTCCTCTATTTCGCTGCGACGACCCGCCATTATTTTCCCGACATTCTGATATTGTTCCCAGCGGTTCAAAAAAGCGGACTTTGGGTAGTGTAAAGTTGCCACAAAAAAATCCAGCGCGGACTTATTAAAGTCTTGGCGAAATTTTTTTTCTCTTACTGCTCTCCGCGTTTCCGGTACTCTCTGGGCCGCAAAGATCGTTGAACATTTCGGCTAGGCCTGGAAAGCGCGAGCCAAGCTTTATGGATTTGATATGCGTCTCATGCCCGAAGTATACGCAAATTTTTAAAAAAAAATCAGGTCGTTGGACATGGGGTCCCTGTTGCCAAGTTAGCGCGGTAAAAATGACTTTTTGAGAACCGGCTTACTTGTAAAATTCCCGACGAGTTCCGCACTTTGTTTCATGGATTGTCCCGGCCGCCCATAGACTCCTCTCCGGGCTGAACCACCGGAAAAAGTCGGCAAAATTCGGAAATTTTCTGTCCAATTCGTACGCTTTGTTCTTTGAGCGACGCTTCTTCGGCCGGCTGTTTCCATTCTGCAGCTCGCAATCAGGCGCTTGCGTAACGCTCGAGCTGCAGCTTGCGCTCGATTCTTCGGATTGCTGCCGCTGATTGCGGCAGTAATTTAGACGGATTTGCTGAAACACAGGTTCGTATAGGACCTTCGGAGGAAACTTCAGAACAAAACAGACTTTTGAAGTGTTCTTATTGTTGGAATGGAAGTACCAGTCTGTCGGGAAAATAATGAGCATTCTGTCGCCGTGAAATTCGCATCAAAAATGAATTGTATCGTGGCAAAATCAAATTGCTTTTCACTTCAGCGACGGAATCGGCGCAGGGTCATTGTGCTCATTATTTTACCGTCAGACTGATAATTTCTATTTTCATAAAGTACATGGACACTTTTTTGCTTTTTGCACAATGTATTTTGAACTTTTTCCGCCGCTTGTCGCCAACACACAGCGGATGTTTCCCTTTGCGCACCGCCCGTCAAACAAAGGAGTCCGGTGACCGGAATAGTTTCTTACATTCCGTCTTGAATTCACAGAGAAGACAGAGAAAAGACGCGCAAAAACGTACTCTCTCGTCCTAAAAGCTCCCCATTTCTTCCCCGACAAAAAGTTTTTTCGCGTCTTCTTTTGGCGTTTTTCCAATCAATTCACCTGACCGTGAGCGCCGCAAAAGGATACTTCCCCTGTCAGTTTGACGTGCCCGTGCAAGCCTCGAAAAAGCGTTTGGAGTGGGCAAATTTTCAAGCGAAACCGCGTCAACGCAGTTGGACGAAGCTTGCATCGCGATGTGGGGTACGAAAATCAAAAAAAATTTTTAAATGCTGGTTACAACACGGATTTATTTTGTACAGCGCCCCGACACATCCATTTTAAAAAGATACTAGCCATTTCGAGAATTGTATGGAGAACTCACCTTTTTCCAGGAAATCGCTCCATCCGTGCAAGACTCAACATTCTGTTGGGGATCCCCAAACATTTTTTGCTAAACTCCGCGAGAGTCGGCGAATAAATATCTTTCGGCGAAACCCAAAGATTTCAACGCAAGATACACATCATCAAAGACATAAAATGTACTCTGCCCTCGAAACTTTGAGGTATTTCAAATAGTATTTTTACGTTTTTTTTTTGTATTTTACTACGTAAAAAAATTATTTAAAATGCCGCGGGCCAGAGGAGTGCGCATCAGGCACCACTATTTTTGTCATCGCCTGGTACGGGGAAAACGTTTCGCGTTCAACCGCCATTGCGAAAGCAGAGGCACAAACTTCAATCAAGATAACCTGCGGCAGATACAAACGGATAGTCATCGCAGAGTGCCTCCGAGGAGGAATTTTCGCCGTTACTACGTGAGATATTGGAAATTAAGCCAGTTGGACCCAGTGTTGGCTTCCTGAAGCCGGCATCGGTGGGTCAAATGAGGCCGAGGCAGAGTCAATTCTTTCCACATAAGGGAACTGCTCAAAGTGCGATTCTCATGTTGCAATGAGACTCCTGCGGCAATGGGATAATTCGAAAAAAGCATTTTTTTATCGTCCATCTGGCACAAGAAAGGCGAGGTGCACAATGCAATTTTGTTTCTTTGCACTACCTCGCGCGCGATTCCCCTTTTTTCGAGCGACAATTCAAGCCGATGTACGATTACGCGGAGTGAGAGCTCAAGAGTCAAGTGATTATTCAGTGGAAAGGAGGTGGAACACCACGTAGAAAAGTGCAATAAATTTGAATAATTGAAGACAGTTCTTTGTGGGAGAATCCCCAAATCTCGGTCGACACGGTCCAATTTGACAACCCCAATCTCTCATACATTTAGTGCAAAATTTGCATGAATGAGTGAAAGCTCGATTTTCATGCAAACTTTGCACTAAATGTAAGAGAGATTGGGGTTCTCAAATTGTTCCACAGTCCAGAAGATAATCTACTTCTTCGTTTCAAAAGTTTCTGATGTGATTTTGTAAAGCATACCTTTGTAAAGCATATTAATTTTAGTTTCTCCACTTTTTGCTTTGTAATCAAGAGGATACGAAAAAAATTGCTGCTCTCCAAATCGTCGAACTTCCAACATTTCAACGAATGCTGTTATCATGTAAATCTTGTGACAGTCAAAACCCATTCCTCAGCGAATTCTGCTGATTTTGCAGATAAACGGGTTTTTTCAACATACGTCGAATTACTAGGCGCTCCCGGAAAATTCACAGAATAGTTTGCGAATCATCTTAATCGGCGGAACTTGATTGCTTCGTGTATATTTTCATAAGATGCGTAGATCCCGAGCACTATTTGCCAAACTTGCCCCAGCTTTCAAATGTGCAAAAAGAAATATTTGACGCATCATTACAGCATGTGGAATTTGTTGGTTACAGGCAATGAATGGCGTTTCCATGTTGTTGTGAACGTTTCAATGTATGCCTGAACTACTGATCGATTTCATACTCGTGGGGGATCGCCCATTTTTGGAGATTGACCTGACCCTTAGACTTATTACCCGTATTAACAAACAAAACTCTTTCTTTTAAAAAGCTTCGATCCCGTTTAAGCAAATTATGCATATAGTCCCTGTCACATGACGTTGTATTCGGACACAATTTTGGCTTTCTCGGTGCCGAAACATATTCACAGATGTCGCAAAATACGGTGTGAACCGATTGAGTTTGCCGTCGGTAGTGCTATCGCCAAAGCAGATGTTCGGCGTAGGCTTCGTCGTTCTCGTTTAGATACTTGATGTAGGTTGCAAAGGACTTCAGGCTTCTAAAAATGTGCATTTTAACGGGCATATCAGTCTGTCGGGAAAATAATGAGCACTCTGTCGCATTGAAAATCGCAACGCCGCCGAGAAAATAAAATGTGTTTCGGCAAAAATCAAATTGCTTTTTGCTTCAGCGCCGTGATTGGTGTGGCAACGTTGTGCTCATAATTTCCCCGACAGACTTATGGATAGACAATATACTGTATCAATTTATCTACGTTTTAGCTCATGCTTTACAGGAGTAGCTATTGCAAGATTTTTGACAAATTTTTGTCGAATCATTGGTCCGGCCGAAGGGAAGAAGGCTAGAACCGTTTATGGAGAAGCCCGCAAAAACGAATAACTTTTTCACCGACCAAACGCGCTGCTTCGACAAACAACCAGCTCAAGTTGTGCATAGATCTTCGAAAGAATCTACCTATCACTGTCGGTCTTTCGTTTTCTTTTTTTTTAATATCAGTCTGTCCAGAAAATAATGTGAATTCGTCGCACTTTGGAATCGCACTTTTGGATATCACCGCCTTGCGACACCTAGCCGCGGCTGGAGATTTGGTGCGCTACTGCGGCAAGACTAGATATTTTTCTTCGACAAAACCACATTATTTCTAAGACAGACTTAAATAGATTTGTGCCAGGTTTCACTAAAGTCTGAGTGTCTCATTTCAAACACTTTGAATCGAAACTTATCAAAGGAACGTTTTCAATTTGGGAAACGTCTCCCCCAGAATACTTACTCAAAATCATCCAACGCAATGAACGACTTTGGTGGCAGATTCCGATAGTGTTCCTTCTTAAAAACAATGTGTACCAGATCGTTGAATTGGTAGAACTTTTCCGTCACATAATCTTGACAGACCGAGTTTTAAAAGACGATTTCTGAGTCAGTGAATCAGCCGCCAGTTAGGCATGGACATAGGAAAAAATCAAATTTGAGTTTTTTGCATCAAAATGACTGTTGGTAGGTGCTAAACAAAAGCGAACAATATTTTTTCCTAAAACTTTCAACAAGGTACCATTTTTTACAATTTACTGTTTTAGAAGTAATCGCCTCCAGCTGTCGTATCTTACCTTACTGTGCGATGATTTGATGGTTACTGAAGTTTTTGACTCTTGCGGTGACGATGGAATCATTATTTTTCTGATCTTCCTACTGTAACATACCGTAATACCGTATCGGCCGCTAAAAAACGGCCGTAAAATCTTTGTTTCTGAAAACCCACAGCTGATTTTTTGATATGTTAATCAGCGTAAAATTCTGCTCTAGACGCAATCAAAAAAAGTTCAAAAAAGTGAATGACAAATTTCGTGGTATAGTGGTTAGTGGTCGGGACTACCAATCCAGCCTCCCAGGTTCGATTCCGGGTGGGTGCAAATCACGAAAAAATACTAGAAATCGACTTTAATGGAACAATCAAAGCTATTTGATTGATTCTAAGTGATTTTGGACAATAACGGCACCTTTATGGGAGCCTAAAACGGATTTTTTAAAATTTTTGAGGCTTAATACGTGAAAAATAAAACGGCTTCAAACCGGCTGAAATTGATACCACTTACTCTAGGGCTAATTATAAGACACTTTCCCGTTAACTTTTTTTGGGATCTTACTGTATCGTGGATTACTGTAACATAAAACTTATTCTCCTAAACCGCGGTTTACTTCAGAATTCTCGCACAAATTTTTTAGTTTTTTAGTTAGATATTTTAATAAGAAAACAAAGATCCACTCTTGATGTATAAATCAAAATTTCCCCCCGTCTCCAATGTGTGTCGACGTTATCAACAACTGGTGAAACTGCGTGAGATTACTCAGGTGTTTCAAGTCGTACCGCCATATAAAAAAAATTTCTACGCAAACCAAGCCTTTCTTAATCATTTTAAGCGTAATGGTGGGGATACGAGCTCTCTGTGCTATGTGGTATACAAAAAAATGGAAACGCGTTTCATGTTACAGTAATCCACGATACAGTAAGATCCCAAAAAAAGTTAACGGGAAAGTGTCTTATAATTAGCCCTAGAGTAAGTGGTATCAATTTCAGCCGGTTTGAAGCCGTTTTATTTTTCACGTATTAAGCCTCAAAAATTTTAAAAAATCCGTTTTAGGCTCCCATAAAGGTGCCGTTATTGTCCAAAATCACTTAGAATCAATCAAATAGCTTTGATTGTTCCATTAAAGTCGATTTCTAGTATTTTTTCGTGATTTGCACCCACCCGGAATCGAACCTGGGAGGCTGGATTGGTAGTCCCGACCACTAACCACTATACCACGAAATTTGTCATTCACTTTTTTGAACTTTTTTTGATTGCGTCTAGAGCAGAATTTTACGCTGATTAACATATCAAAAAATCAGCTGTGGGTTTTCAGAAACAAAGAATTTACGGCCGTTTTTTAGCGGCCGATACGGTATTACGGTATGTTACAGTAGGAAAACCAGAAAAATAATGATTCCATCATCACCGCAAGAGTCAAAAACTTCAATAACCATCAAATCATCGCACAGTAAGGTAAGATACGACAGCTGGAGGCGATTACTTCTAAAACAGTAAATTGTAAAAAAATATACCTTGATGAAGGTTTTGGAAAAAAATATCGTTCGCTTTTGCTTAGCACCTTCCAACAGTCATTTTAATGCAAAAAACTCAAAATCGATTTTTTCCTATGTCCACGGCTGACGCACTGACTCAGAAATCGTCTTTTAAATAAAATCGGCATTTCTTCTTGTTCTCGGAGAAGCACTTGTGATCGCACGTCAGATTCCCGCATTTTCCGTACAAATCAATGTCAGGGTAGCTGAAAAATGAAAAAAATATTAGTCGGTCGGGAAAATAATGAGCACAATGTCGCTGCGCCAATTGTGTCGCTGGAGTGAAAAGAAATTGATTTCCCCGCGTTTATTTTCTTTGCGGCGATGGGATTTTCGATGCAACAGAGTGCTTTATTTTACCGACGGACTAATGACAGCTTTGCAATAGAGCTGGGCAAAATTGAGACGGATAACAACGTAAAAGTCCCAGAAAATCCTACTTTTGCAGCTTCACAGTGATCTTTTCCCTTCCGCTGATTGTGTCGCAATGAGAGAGAACAATGTATTCGATCCCTTTGATCCCTTTGTATAGATCCCTTTTGTTTTAGTCCTCTTAATTTCTCGCAGAAGGTTCTTGTAGAAGTGAGGCCGCTGAAAAAAGACAAAAAAACAGTGTAAAGTTTCCAAATGTCATGACTGACATCAACCGTTCTTTTTTCCGGACGGTAAATTTTATTAAATCTCCCAAAATTAAAGAGCCGGTTTTAAAAATCTTTTGGATATCGAAAATCCTTTTCTGGTTACGTTAAGTAATGCAGTGCAACCCGACAACAGCAAACTCCCGTTAAGCAAAAAACTTCATCCACGCTGTTGTGCAACAAAGGCACAAAAATTCCTGTGCTCTCGGATCTCGGAAGAGGCAACCCAAAGAATATTGTAGAACAAAGATGTCTCCCGCCGATTGAGTTTCGTCCAAAGGAAGCGTCGCGACATGGCGATATCAACAAAAAATAAAAGAATTCCTAAAAATAAAAATAGAAAATATTTTTCGGTCTAAAAACCTCGCGAGAGATTCTCATTTTGTTCGAATTCAACCGGTAATGGGTGGGCGACTAACCGTGATGAAGAAGCCTCTTCTAAACCTGTTGCATTGCCTTCGCAACGTCGAGGGAAGTAGACGAGGTTTCTGGTGCCCCATCTAGACCACGATGGTTTGGTATACGCATTAACCAATGGTGCAACAGCTGATAGAAAGGGAATTCTCCGATACGTCTGTGCCTACTGCCGTGCCGTGAACGACAAAAACCGAAGGAATAAAGAAGATGTCACGCATTCGCTTCCATCGTTCGCTTCACCGTTAAAGTAGATATAAACTTAACAAATGAGAGAACGCTATGCGGTCTCAATCAGGAAGCATGTAAAATTCAAGAGACTTTTGCAAATGACCGCCTACCGGAAGTTCGAAAAACCCCAAGTTCGACAACCAAAAGTTCGAATGCCGCAAGTTCGAATGCCGCAAGTTCGAATACTAGAAGTTCGAAAAACCTCAAATTAGAAAAACCAAAAGATCGAAAACCGGAAGTTCGAAATATGAAAATATAAAAAATGCAGAATGAAAAAAAGAATTAAAACAGAAAAATAGATTTTGTTTATAAAATAGGATAATTTTAACTTAAAGTCTTTGCGATCTCATTCAAAAAAGACGGAACATCGAACTCGGAAAAACGGGTTACCAAATTACCAATGAAGCAATATGAAGGAAGCAATATCCACCACACAAAGCCACGAATCCCGAGAACGACACAGTTGGATTGGCTCCGTGACGAATCTTGATCAGCTCGACACCACCAACCTCCATCGTAGAGAATGAATGAATGATTGAAGAGGAAGTGTATTTTGCAAAATAATTATATGCAAATTATAATTTAAATATTAATTAACTTTTTTTCATTTTTGAACTTTAGTCATTCGAACTTTAGGTTATTCAAAGTTACGGTCATTCGAACATTAGGTAGTTCGAACTGGAGGTCGTTCGAACTTTAGTCATTCGAACTTTAGGCATTCGAACTTGCGGATTCGAACTTGCGGTATGTCTCCTTTGCGAATGCCATGACATTTTTAGCAACACAACGTAAAAATGGCTACCTGAACTTTATGTAATGTATTTGATATACCAAGACTATCTGAACTTTATGTATTCGATATATCAAGTTCGACCTTCACGTTTTTGGTATATAAGAAGGGTGCGTTATATTATTCCAAAAAGTTTCAAACTTACTTCATTTTTAGCCTACATGAAATTTTTGTTTTTTTTTAATCTAGGCAAAAAAAAATTATTTTTTTTTGGCATAGGTGGTTTTTTTTCATGTGGGCAAAAAAAAAATAATTTTTTTTTGGCATAGGTGGTTTTTTTTCATGTGGGCGAATTTTTTTTTTTTTGCATAGGTGGTTTTTTTTTTCATACGTCAGTCTGTCGGGAAAGCAACGGCGGATCGTCGCGCCTCGGAATCGCCCATCATCACTTTGCGACGGCGAAGTTTGTGATCTCAGAAATTGGAAAGATGAAGAAATGGAAGTAGGCTAAAACCGAGATTTTGGCCTAGTTCATGCAGTCGGTGAAGATGTAGGCCAAAACCGAGATTTTGGCCTAGTTCATGCAGTCGGTGAAGTCGGTGAAGATGTAGGCCAAAACCGAGATTTTGGCCTAGTTCATGCAGTCGGTGAAGATGTAGGCCAAACCGAGATTTTGGGTTTTGGCCCAGTTGATTAAATCGAAGTTGATTAAATCGAACTAGGCCAAAACCATGATTTTCGCCTACTTCCTACCCGCTTGGATGAACTAAGCCAAATCCACGTTTCCGCCCAGATCATAGAAAATCCTAAAACAGGTGGAGTTATATATCCAAAAATTCGCAAAATTTTTCTGATTCAGAATATGTAAAAATTTGTTGCCTAATTTTGGTTTGAAAGGGTGAAAAATTCCTCAAACCTTTTCTCGCAACACCATGAAAATCCCTTTTTGACCAAGTTTTTACCAATAAGAAAATAAAAATTCAAAGGATAAATGTGTCTTGCCCACAGCAATTTCGCGTCACGGCACGAAAATAATTATTTGGCATTCTGTTCAAGAGGCGTCCTTTTACCAAATCAAACGCTTGAAAAAACATTGCGAAATCAACAACTTGTTTACCAATAGGACGGTCAAAAAGGGATTTTCATGGTGTTGCGAGAAAAGCTTTGAGGAATTTTTGACCCTTACAAACCAAAATTAGGCAGTTAATTTTTACATATTCTGAATCAGAAAAATTTTGCGAATTTTTGGATATATAACTCCACCTGTTTTACGATTTTCTATGATCTGGGCGGAAACGTGGATTTGGCTTAGTTCATCCAAGCGGGCAGGAAGTAGGCGAAAATCATGGTTTTGGCCTAGTTCGATTTAATCAACTTCCATTTAATCAACTAGGCCAAAACCATGATTTCCGCCTAGTTCCTGACCGCTTGCATGAACTAGGCCAAATCTCGGTTTGGCCTACATCTTCACCGACTGCATGAACTAGGCCAAAATCTCGGTTTTAGCCTACTTCCATTTCTTCATCTTTCCAATTTCTGAGATCACAAACTTCGCCGTCGCAAAGCGATGATGGGCGATTCCGAGGCGCGACGATCCGCCGTTATTTTCCCGACAGACTGATATGCCAAAAAAAAAAAAAAAATTCGCCCACATGAAAAGAAACCACCTATGCCAAAAAAAAAAAAATTTTTTTTCGCCCACATGAAAAAAAACCACCTATGCCAAAAAAAAAAATTTTTTTTTTCGCCCACATGAAATTTTTTCACCTAGGCAGACCAGATTTTGAAGTAGGCCACAAAATTTCATGTAGGCTAAAAATGAAGTAAGTTTGAAACTTTTTGGAATAATATAACGCACCCTTCTTATATCATGACCGTTGACTTCAAAACCAAGGACCCTCCGGAAATGGACTTGACCCTTGCCATTGTAGCGGTAGAGGCTATGCGTAAATATCGCTAAAATGTTGGACTCTACTATATAACAAAGCACGCGCTCGGCCTTCACACATCACTGTCTGGGGCTAGCTTCTTGCCAACATTGAACATGAGCTGGCTTCCCGTAACTCTTTTGTCAACATTTGTTCTGCTTTCTTCATCGTAAGCAGCGACAAGCTTGATCCCATACTCAAGCCCTTTTCTAGGCTCTTCTTGCCAGAGATACCCTCCGACGATGAAGGTGAGTTGTTCGTGGTCATTGTTGTCGGCAAAAGCTCGATATACGAATATCCCGACCATGCGGACGCTTGTCACACCTACCAGGTCTTGAAGTCGCGTGGAATCCAAGAGACCATATCATCTTGCTCATGGACAATGTGGTCGTCAACAATCCGAAGTAAGTGCGACGGGCAGCGGTGTTGCTCCCGGAGGCACAACGCTAACAGTCGGCCGTTTTAGAAACCCATACCCTGGAAAGCTCTACAACCATCCAAGCCTGACGTACAACGTCTATCTCGGATGCGTGATCGACTACAACACGACTTTTACCCCCGAAACCCTCAAAAACGTGCTTATCGGCAACGATACCACTGGCGGGCCAGTGTTGAAGACGTCGGAGAAGGACCGAATTTTCTTCTACTTCACCGACCATGGAAGTGATGGCGTGATGTTCCTCCCGGATCATGAGGTCTTTACGACTGCGGACATGGACGACGCGTTGAGACAGATGACGGAAAAGAAAATGTACAAGGAAATGCTATTCTACATTGATTGTTGTTATGCCGGCAGCATCTTTGAGAAGGTGATACCAAAGTACGAAAACATCTTGGTAATCACGTCATCGTCACCTCACCAACCCGCTGCAAATACGTATTGCATCAATGACACGGGGATTTGCTTGGGTGCCGAGTTCTCAGTGGCTTGGTTGGAATACGATGACACAAACAGCACAAGCGAGCATACGCTGAGAGATCAATTGGAGGTATTGAAAAAACGCACGACTTACAGCAATGTAAGCGTGTATGGCGACGTCAGCATTCTTGACCGAAAGATCAGCGTCTTCCAAGGAGTGCAGCTGCCGTCGACTCCAGTGGTGAAAATGGATGTGAGCCATTTTTTTGTACACTAATCGAGTATTAACAACTGCTTGTGTCTAAATAGTAAACTATAGGATGTCCACTACGAGTATGAGACTGTCACAAAACCTGAAATGGCAACGTGGAGAGTTGGAAAGATGCTGGAGAGGGCCATTGAAGCTGGTGATCAGCAAGAGGTCGCACGCCTTCAAAGCGAACTCGTGAAACTCCAAAACACACCTTGGCCAGGCGTAAAGAAAGCGTCCAAGAATCTTTAGTGAAACTTGTTTTGTCAACTCTGACTTTCTTTCTGTTTTGAATAAAGAGAACAGCATGCTCCTACTCTTGACTACAACGCAACGAACGTTACCCCCGAAACCTTCAAAACGTGCTTATCGGCAACAACAACCACAACTTGTTCAGCATCATAATGAATCAACCATGTATTAGATCACATTTATTCGCCTGAGATAGCTGATAAAATCATCGGCCATGAAAAAAGAGCCAAACGCGGAAACATGCATATAGTCCCAGTAGATCATCACTCCGTTCTCCAAAACAGCATTGCATTTGTCGGTGATGCTGTTGCAGAAGGTCCGACTAAAATCGTATATGCTACATTTGTCGCATTTCAACGTGCTTATCACCTTGTCAAGGGGCAAGTTGCGTTCGCGAGCCTTCTGAAGAGAATATTTATTTGTCGATGTTCGCTTTACCTTGTATGAAAAATTGAATTTCGAAGTGTCCTCGTTGGCTCTCTGCGCCTTTTGCAGTATTTCCGCGTTGTAATCGCGGTTGGCCTTGTACTCTGTATACCCCGTGATTATCTTTTTAACGGGCAGCAAGCTGAGCTGATCGAAAAAGTACTGCATGTCGGTCCGCATATGATTTTTGATGTAATTCTTGTCATCGACGATTCTATGCGTCCTGCAATGGAAACCGCTGCAGATGCACTCACAAGGGAAGTAGCCCCAAGTGTGACACTCAGACTTTGACGACTGCTCTCCTTACCAATTTGCGCAAATTGCTGTCCGCGGTTTCATCCACTAAACTCCGCCGGGCGCCTACCAAAAATACAGTCGAAAAAATGGGCGTCGCACTTGGGACACACTTGCTTCGGAAAACCCTTACGCATATCGAATAACCAGAAGATCTATGGGACGGCCAAAGTTCTTGACAATGTTCAAAAAATGTCTCGAATGATCGCCCTCATAATCTTGCTGGAAAGGAACTGTTGCGGCGGTAAGCACAAGGGTCAAACGTTTGTAATGGCTACGAAATCTTGGCCACAACCCGTAATACAAGTCGGCAATTATGCTGTTGCCAATCAAAAGGACTTCTAGATCACCTGTTCCCTAAAAGTTTATATTTATCATCAATTCAACTATCAGTCTGTCGAGAAAACAATGAGCACATTGTTGCTGAGCCGATCTGGTCGCTGAAGTGAAAGCAATTCGATCTTGCCGCAATGCAATAAGCTTTGCGTTTTTCGATGCGACAGAGTGTTTGTTATTTTGCCGGCAGACTGATAGCTGGATTTACCTCAACCTGGTGCGAAATTTTTATCGCCTTCGTTTCGTTGTTCTTCACTCTATGCCCAGAGGCAAAATGAAAGCAGAAGTCGTGGAGTCGGCCATTATAATCAGCCAACTGTGTGTTTGTCATGTTGAGTTGGTCCATGTGTTCATAGTCGAAGAGGCGACTCATCAGGAACTCCTCATGTTTCGTTATATTATCTGTATAGTGTTCGTGGGGCGCGGATACTTGAGGCTGCTGGACGTTGCTGTTGAAGGAAATAGTTGCCGCCAAGCACATGTACAACGCGACGATAAGCAGAAACAGCTTTGCTTTACAGTTTATTGATGGATTTAATTTTTTAAAAGAGCTTTCTACCAAAACACTTAGCAGAAAGCATGCTTGAAGAATGAGGATTCCATCTGAAAAGGCAGAAAGATATTGTCGATGAGTCAATCGTAGACATGACCCGGGCCGGGCCGGCCCGTGCCGGACCGGGGCTGGGCCGAAATTTCGGTCAATTTCGGTCTGCGAGCCAAGATTTTCGGCCCGGCCCGTCAGCCTGAAGGGTTCCGGCCGGCCCGGCTCGTTTCAAATTTCAGTTGGCCCAGCCCGTTTCAAATTTACTTCGGCCCGGCCCGGGCCGGCCCATTGAAACAATAGTCTTCCCAAGTATAATACCTAATTCAATACGCCAAATAAATTCCTTACCGTGAATCGAGGTTGTGCTACTGTTAGCTGTATACTTAAAGAAAACCAACGCGGGCCAGTGTACCAAATACAGCGAGTACGAAATGTTGCCAACGTATACGAACACTTGATTCTCCAAAAAACTTTTTCCGCCTGTTGCAAGCAATACGCCAGCCGTGACCGTCGCCGCTAGTCGATGGATCCACACGAAATTTGAGACGCGAATTTGCAACAAAATAATTAGCAGAGCGCAGAAGAGTGTTTTGAGGTTGCTGCCGTGTTCCGAGCAAGGGGAATGGATTGACAAGGCCGACAAGTCGTGTTTTTCGCCTATTTTATCCGAAGAAATTTTCGAATATTGTGGCGGAGCCTTCTTCTTGAAGTAATGGACAATAAATCCAATGCAGAATTGCCATACTCGGCACAGTGTGTTCATGTGGACCACGTTTAGATCTAGAATGTTACGAAATCATGTATCAATTGCAGCAAAAGGCGAAAGGTCTTCTGTTATCAGTTTGCAAGGATAATAATGAGCATTCTGTCGCAACGAAACTCGCATTGCCTCCGAGAAAATTAATTGTGTCAAGGCAGAATCGAAAAATTTTGAACCTGAAGTCTTTTTAAGGGTACACTAGGGAGTGCTTGTAGGGGCATTTACAGCCGTTTTTAATACACTGCCGCGTTTTAAACGGGTGTCATCGTGACACATTTTCGGGACTAGGCTAGGCGCCGCAATTCGCGCCCTGTGATTTCACAGATTTGACAAATTTTTTGTTACCAAAATTTTTTTTATCTATTTTTTGTTCTCCTGGCTTTTAATTATGATTACGACTGTATTTTACAGCCTTCGCGTGTTTTTTGCTACTTGCGGGGAGTCTGCGATGTTTTGCATCGTGGATTTTTGTTGATTTTTTGCTTGACTAGCAGTTGTTTTTTTATAGATCTTGCGCTAGCATTGGCTATTTTGACATTCCAAAAAAAATCAATATGATCAAATAGACGGTTTCGTCTTCAGAACTAGCTGAATTCAACCAATAACTCTTAAAAATACCTAGTAAAATATACGAAAATATCTGAACTTGCAGTTCAGTAAAAATTTCCCATTTCGCAAAAATGTGTCCTTTCTCCCCTCTGGTCGAATTTAGTCAAAAGGTAACTTTGACTAAATCCACAGGGTTCGGACAGACTAGGCGCACAGTGCGCAAACCAAAAGAGCAAAATGCAAAGTTGGGCGTTTTTGTGCACAGCGCAGACCGCGACAATATTTCCATGCACTTTATGGAAATACCAATAGATTTCCGCAATAAAAAGTTACAAGCACTAAAACTATGTTAACTCCAACATTGGCTGAGCGCTTGCAACAAAAAGCTGCACGCTCCAATTGCCGTCAAGACGGCTGTTCCGGCACGTGGCTACACTTCGATACAAAGTGCGAAATTGCGGGTTCTTGTGCACAGTGCAGACCGCGACAAAATTTCCATGCACTTTACAGAAATACCAATAGATTTCCATAATAAAAAAATGCACTAAACATATGTTAACACCAACCTGTGCTGACCGCTTGCAACAAAAAGCTGCACGCTCCAATTGCCGTCAAAACGGCTGTTCCCGCACGTGGCTTCCAACTGTCCGCCTTTTTGCACAAGAAATACAACAACGGCACAAACAGATAAAACTGTAGCTCCACCGACAACGACCATGTATGCAGAAAAACAGGATACTGATTATTCGTGTCAAAGTAGCCATGTTTCGGAAGGTTGAAGATGTTTGAGGCGAATAAAGCCGCCGTAAGCGATTCGGTCACAGTTTTTTGGATGTATTGATAGTCAAAAATATGTAGAGCCCAAGCTGTTGTGCATGTCACGATGAACAAATATGTCGGGACAATCCGTTTAACCCTTCGGAAATAAAAATTTTGAATCGACTCGGCCGAAAAAGCGGCCGAATCCATCAACATATGCATTAAAAATCCAGAAATCACGAAGAATCTGAAACGGTATGCCAAAGAAATATATACTAGTATTTTCATAAAGTACGTACACATTTTTCGCCTTTTTTTGCAAGCTGAATCACTTACACGTCCACTCCAAGATATCCCGCCGGAAAGTGCTGAGGCCACACATGAAAACAGAGGACATAAAATATGGCAACACTGCGGAGTCCTTGAATGTCCAAAAACATATCCCAACAATTCCAATTAATTTTAACTGCAGCGAATCCGTGCTTTTTATACATTCGGTGTTTAACTTCTATTTATCAGCTCATTGAATCACCGGAGGAAGTTATCTTGGAAGTTCATCATATTAAATTATCCAAATTAAACATCTTGCGAGAAAGATGAAAAACACCGGACGTTTTATTTGACGTATTTATCTGGTTCTGCAGGATGACGTGTTTCCTGAAGGCAGAAGTCGAGTTTTCTGCTGTTGCTAATTTTTTCAAGGTCCGCTGACTTTTTGATGACCAATGCACGTCAAGAAAAAAGAGAAGAAAAACGGCCCCAGTGGCACCAAAACCATTTTTTTGGCATTTTTTAGACTGTGAAAATTCTTTTTCTGTCAAAATGTTTGCAATGTTTTGACATAAAGACATGCAGTAAATCGCAAGATATTGATATTAATAGAAGGTTTGAGAGTTTCTTAAGGTAATATTAGGTTGTCCCATAAATTGTGTCCCTCTTCGAGAGGGGCAAAATCAAACGTCTATAAAAAACGTAAGCACCAGCCAAATTTTGCAGTGTTACTACCATTTTGTAGCTGTGATCTCAGGCTTTCGTTTAATGTATCGCATGCCATATTTGGAAGAAATTACAGTAATTTAGCGCCAATTCAAAGTTGTGGAAAAAAGGTAGATTCGTGCCATCAACTTGTGTGAGCAAAAACAGGGTGCTCAGGTTTCAGAAGCTACACGAAATATCAACACCATGTTCAGCCAGTGTGCTGTGAGTCCGGTAACGGTGAAACGATGGTTTTAAAAAATTCGACCTGGCCGCGAGGACCCCTGAGACAAAGTGCGTCCATTCAGCTTTGCGAATTTACCCTGAGGTCATTGGTAGACAAAAATCTTGAAATCAACATTCGACGCCTTTCTGGGATCGTGGTGGTGTCATAATTCTCAACGGTTAACAGTTCGATGCCGATAGTTTCAAGAAAAAGCTCGACAAAAATGTAAGATTTCTCTTTTTGTGCCCAGTTTAGGGATGAATCGCCACGTGGTGTTGTGTGAGACATCCTAGCGGACGTTGTAAAGAAGAAATCGGGAAATTTTATAGTCGAAAAATGCACTTGTCGGTTCATTATTGCATCATTTTGCAGGAACTGATGGAGAAATGCAAGAAAGGACTGGAGAAAGCGCGAGAAAAGCCGAACCAGGAGAAGCAGATGAAGATAAAGTTAGCTGAGAGCAGGAGGAACATCGCAAGACAGCCATCTGAAGTTGAAGTCCTCAAGAATCAACTTGTTCAACTTACGCAAGAAGTGACGCAGTTGCGTCTACGATCGTCTGAAGTTGAAGTCCTCAAGAATCAACTTGTTCAACTTACACAGGAAATGACGCAGTTGCGTCTGCAGAACAGTTGGAGAAGAAGTTGGATAAGGCCGAAAGGGCGTTGGCTTTCAGCTCGCCCAGGAAGAGGAAGAAGATAGACGAGCTAGGCGTGAAACAGAAGGCTGAAAGAATCGCCAGATTGGAAAAACATATTGGAGAAAGCATGGAGATACGGCCGAAGACCCCTGAAAATGACGTCGAGGTGGCCCTCTTCATAAAAAATGCCTACCGGTTGACGGAATTTCAGTACAAGGGGCTACAGAAGTTCGCGGTCAACTGGTCTCCCCTTCACCACGTCAAACAACGGGAGAAGGATCTCATAGAGGCAGCTGGTGGGTTGGACACCACGGAAGCTTCGGTGGGATGGACCAATCCGGCAATGGCATTTGGACTGTATGTTCAACGTCTGGTGGAAACGGCCTGGTCTACCAGGATGCCTGACGCTGTGGATGTCGTGATCGTGGCCGATGGTGGAGGAGATGGAGCCGCGAACATGGTCAAAATGGGTCTGTTCATACCCACTGGAGTCCCAGCTCCTCAGAGCCCCTTCAATGTGCTTCTGCTGAGCGCGTACACGGGTAAGGAAAGTCGGGAGAACTTGATCACATTCTGTGAGAAAGGCCTCGACTTCCTGAACCGTTTGTGCAAGGACAAGAAGTTTGCGGTTGCCGGCCGCCGAAATGCATGCCGGGTCTTGCTTTGCAGTGATTTGAAGGTGGTACCTCTCATCCTGGGTATAAAGGCGGCTGGAGCAACCCAATTCTGTCTCAACTGTACCGTGGAGCGTGCAGAGCACAAGAGGGCGATGACGACGGACGCTGGGAAGAGGACTTACAGAGATCCTCTGGTAAGTCTTCTGCAGGAAGATGTAGTGTGTCCCCCACTACATTGCCTCCAGGGGTTGACAAACTCATTGGCAGAGGAGATGAAGAAGGACAACCCGGATGAATGGAAGGCCGTGTGCGATGACCTGAACATTGCACTCTCCCATCTATCCAAATTGATGCTGAACGGCAGAGATGGGAGAAGACTGGTCAAGAGCTTAGCTGAAAATGGCAACCCACAATTTGCCATATTCAGCGACGTTTTTTCATCTTTGGACAGGATTTATGAATGGGCAACAATTGATGTCCATGGTCAAGATAACTTCACGAAGGCTGGCATTGAACGGGACATTCTTCTGCTGTCAAACGCGTGGAGACACAGTGGACTTCGTGCGATAAACAAGTTGCACCTCCTTGAAGCCCACGTTGCCGACTTCGTCACATTACATGGTTCGTGGGGGCTATACGGAGAACAAGGCCTGGAAAGCTTGCACCACATTGGCAACGTCGCGTCAGCTCGATGTTTCGGAAAGAATTCCGAAGTCAAGGCCAAGTTCTTCAAATCCCAATTTTTTCGATGCTTTCGCGCCGTTATCACACATAAATTGTTTTTTATTCGAATTTTGGAATCATTGTTCCTTTTTATTTGTAGAGGTTTCAGCGTATAAAACGTCAAAAACATTTTCGCGCGAATTTCTCTATTTCCACTTTTTCCGTGGCGTGCGGAGGAGCATGAAAGGGTCGACCGTCCACCGAGCTTGAGAGTCCAATTGAATGAATGTGAGCCACCGTTCAGAGCGAAGTCGAGCGGTCGGAACGGATTGCCACGCAAAGCGGTTGGTCATGGAGAACTCGGGGTATCGGTCGGGACCAGCTTGACTTGACGAACCATCGGGGTGCCGATGGTCCTAATGTCTCTCATCTACGTATAAATTAATGTTTATCGCGGTTTAATCACGTCTCTGCAGGTTGAGAGTTCCGCAACAACACGAACGTTACCCCCGAAACCTTCAAAACGTGCTTATCGGCAACAACAATCACAACGATTCTTAATAAGCTATTGTTTGCTCATCATCAGAATGAATCAACCATGTGTTAGATCACATTTATTCGCCTGAGATAGCTGATAAAATCATCGGCCATAAAAAACGAGCCAAACGCGGAAACATGCATATAGTCCCAGTAGATTATCACGCCGTTCTCTAAAACAACACTGCATTTGTCGGTGATGCTGTTGCAGAAGGTCCGACTAAAATCGTATATGCTACATTTGTCGCATTTCAACGTGCTCATCACCTTGTCAAGGGGCAAGTTGCGTTCGCGAGCCTTCTGAAGAAAATATTTATTTGTCGATGTTCGCTTTACCTTGTATGAAAAATTGAATTTCGAAGTGTCCTCGTTGGCTCTCTGCGCCTTTTGCAGCATTTCCACGGTGTAATCGCGGTCGGCCTTGTACTCTGTATACCCCGTGATTATTTTTTTAACGGGCAGCAAGCTGAGCTGATCGAAAAAGTATTGCATGTCGGTCCTCATCTGATTTTCGATGTAATTCTTGTCATCGACGATTCTATGCGTCCTGCAATGGAAACCGCTGCAAATGCACTCACGGGGGAAGTAGCCCCAAGTGTGACACTCAGACTTTGACGGCTTTGCAGATGGAAAATTTAAGGAAAAACGACTGCTCTCCTTACCAATTTGCGCAAATTGCTGTCCGCAGTTTCATCTACTGAAATCCGTCGGGCAGCCTACCAAAAATACAGTAGCAAAAATGGGCGTCGCACTTGGGACACACTTGCTTCGGAAAACCCTTACGCATATCGAATAACCAGAAGATCTATGGGACGGCCAAAGTTCTTGACAATGTTCAAAAAATGCCTTGAATGATCGCCATCAAAATCTTGCTGGAAAGGAACTGTTGCGGCGGTATACACAAGGGTCAAACGTTTGTAATGGCTACGAAACCTTGGCCACAACCCGTAATACAAGTCGGAACTTATGCTGTTGCCAATCAAAAGGACTTCTAGATCACCTGTTCCCTTAAAGTTTATATTTATCATCAATTCAACTATCAGTCTGTCGAGAAAACAATGAGCACATTGTTGCTGAGCCGACCTGGTCGCTGAAGTGAAAGCAATTTGATCTTGCCGCAATGCAATTAACTTTGCGTTTTTCGATGCGACAGAGTGTTCGTAATTTTGCCGGCAGACAAATAGCTGGATTTACCTCAACCTGGTGCGAAATTTTTAACGCCTTCGTTTCGTTGTTCTTCACTGCATGCCCATAGCCAAAATGAAGCCAGAAGTCGTGGAGTCGGCCATTATAATCAGCCAACTGTGTGTTTGTCATGTTGAGTTGGTCCATGTGTTCATAGTCGAAGACACGACTCATCAAGAACTCCTCGGGTTTCGTTATATTATCTGTATAGTTTTCGTGGGGCGCGGAAACTTGAGGCTGCTGGACGTTGCTGTTGAAGGAAATAGTTGCCGCCAAGCACATGTACAACGCGACGATAAGCAGAAACAGCTTTGCTTTACAGTTTATTGATTGATTTAATTTTTTAAAGGAGCTTTCTACCAAAACACTTAGCAGAAAGCATGCTTGAAGAATGAGGATTCCATCTGAAAAGGCAGAAAGATATTGTCGATCAGTCAATCGTAGACATGACCCGGGCCGGCCCGTGCCGGACCGGGGCTGGGCCGAAATTTCGGTCAATTTCGGCCCGGCCCGAAATATATAGTTGCAATCCGGGCAGGCCTGACCGCTGCCGCCCGCGGGTCTAGACTTTCGGCCCAGCCCGGCCCGTAATAGACATAGCTCGTTGGCCGTCTCGTCGGTCTGAAGGGTTCCGGCCAGCCCGGCTCGTTTCAAATTTACTTCGGCCCGGCCCGGGCCGGCCCATTGAAACAAAAGTCTCCCCAAGTCTAACCCCCTCAATTTTTTCTGTCATCATGTAAATGGATAAATACCGTGCTCCGTAACTAAAAAAAACAAAAATACCTTTAAAAAGCCAATTGTGTCTTGACATTGCGCTTATTTTCATTAGCAAACCCAATTTTCTGAATTTTAACTAGTCCGAGCGAGTATCCATTTCCTCTCCGGCGATGCGATTTTTGAAGCGACAGCGCTGGTCTTATTTTCCCGACAGACTGATATTTACTATGTATTCCAGTATAATACCTAATTCAATACGCCAAATAAATTCCTTACCGCGAATCGAGATTGTGCTACTGTTAGCTGTATACTTGAAAAAAACCAATGCTGGCCAGTGTACCAAATACAGCGAGTACGAGATGTTGCCAACATATACGAACAATTGATTCTCCAAAAAACTTTTTCCGCCTGTTGCAAGCAATACGCCAGCCGTGACCGTCGCCGCTAGTCGATGGATCCACACGAAATTTGAGACGCGAATTTGCAACAAAATAATTAGCAGAGCGCAGAAGACTGTTTTGAGGTTGCTGCCGTGTTCCGAGCAAGGGGAATGGATTGACAAGGCCGACAAGTCGTGTTTTTCGCCTATTTTATCCGAAGAAATTTTCGAATATTGTGGCGGAGCCTTCTTCTTGAAGTAATGGACAATAAATCCAATGCAGAATTGCCATACTCGGCACAGTGTGTTCATGTGGGCCACGTTCAGATCTAGAATGTTACGAAATCATGTATCAATTGCAGCAAAAGACGAAAGGTCTTCTGTTATCAGTCTGCATGGAAATACATTTCGATACAAAGTGCGAAATTGTGGGTTCTTGTGCACAGTGCAGACCGCGACAAAATTTCCGTGCACTTTACAGAAATACCAATAGATTTCCATAATAAAAAATTGCCCTAAATTTATGTTAACACCAACCTGTGCTGACCGCTTGCAACAAAAAGCTGCACGCTCCAATTGCCGTCAAGACGGCTGTTCCGGCACGTGGCTTCCAACTGTCCGCCTTTTTGCACAAGAAATACAACAACGGCACAAACAGATAAAACTGTAGCTCCACCGACAACGACCAAGTATGCAGAAAAACAGGATACTGATTATTCGTGTCAAAGTAGCCGTGTTTCGGAAGGTTGAAGATGTTTGAGGCAAATAAAGCCGCGGTGAGCGATTCGGTCACAGTTTTTTGGATGTATTGATAGTCAAAGATATGTAGAGCCCAAGCTGTTGTGCATGTCACAATGAACAAATATGTGGGCACAATCCGTTTGACCCTTCGGAAATAAAAATTTTGAATCGACTCGGCCGAAAAAGCGGCCGAATCCATCAACATGTGCATTAAAAATCCAGAAATCACGAAGAATCTGAAACGGTATGCCAAAGAAATATATACTAGTATTTTCATAAAGTACGTACACATTTTTCGCCTTTTTTTGCAAGCTGAATCACTTACACGTCCACTCCAAGATATCCCGCTGGAAAGTGCTGAGGCCACACATGAAAACAGAGGACATAAAATATGGCAACACAGCGGAGTCCTTGAATGTCCAAAAACATATCCCAACAATTCCAATTAATTTCAACTGCGGCGAATCCGTGCTTTTTATACACTTGGTGTTGCTCTTTATCAGCTCATTGAATCAGCTGAGGAAGTTATCTTGGAAGTTTATCATATTATCCAAACTAAAAATCTTGCGAGACAGATGAAAAACACCAGATGTTTTATTTTCCATATTGATCTGCTTCTGCAAGATAATATGCTTCCTGAGGGCAGAAGTCAACTTTTCTGCTGTTGCTAATTTTTTCAAGGTCCCCTGACTTTTTGCTGACAAATGCACGTCAAGAAAAAAGAGAAGAAAAACGGCTAACATACAGTAATCTGAGAAACTTGGTTTCCAAAAAATTGAATGCTGAATCACCAAAAACGTATATACAGAATTTCGGGTCATTACCTCTTTTTATGATGCCATAAGACATAAAATTCCAAAAAGGACACACTTACGCAAATTTATACCTTCCGGGCAGATTTTGGGGGAAATATTTTGAGCGTTTGTGTTAAACAAGTGCCTACAGTCATCTTGAACCAAAAGATTCAAAATCTGTCGGAAAATCAAGGGTTGCCGTGGGCCGGGTCTTGAGCATCCTATGGCCGGAGCTCGGCTGTTATTTACTTGATAAAAGTAGATCACGCCTGCGTGGAAGCCCCGCCTATAGTAGTATGTCCTCATATAGCAACTTGTTGCGAAAGTTTCACCAACTTTTTTCCATCCTAAATTGAACGATCCAAAGACTCAAAACGACGTCCGCCGAAATCTGATGTCTACGCCGCGCCTCCGCGGATGTGCGTAAAATCGAAAATTTGAAAAAGCACACAGTAAAATCCACGGAGGTGTAACGTAAACTTAATTTTGGCCGTTGTAACAGCGTATCCGCCATGTAAAACAAATGATTTTAAAAAAGGCCCCAAATGTCTCCGCCGAGAACTGGCCTCTCCGCCGACGAAAAATTTTTTTACTGTATACAAAACCTCCCAAATTCTATTTTTAGAAACAAGGAGAATTTCCGCGATAACTCCCAAGAGCTCAAAGATATTCGCAAAAAGTTTCTTTTTTTTTGGATTTGATCTACTTTTATCAAGTAAATAACAGCCGAGCTCCGGCTGTTATTTACTTGAAATTACCCCCGAAACCTTCAAAACGTGCTTATCGGCAACAACGATCACAACGGTTCGTAATAAGCTATTGTTTGCTCATCATCAGAATGAATCAACCATGTACTAGATCACATTTATTCGCCTGAGATAGCTGATAAAATCATCGGCCATAAAAAACGAGCCGAACGCGGAAACATGCATATAGTCCCAGTAGATTATCACGCCGTTCTCTAAAACAGCACTGCATTTGTCGGTGATGCTGTTGCAGAAGGTCCGACTAAAATCGTATATGCTACATTTGTCGCATTTCAACGTGCTTATCACCTTGTCAAGGGGCAAGTTGCGTTCGCGAGCCTTCTGAAGAAAATATTTATTTGTCGATGTTCGCTTTACCTTGTATGAAAAATTGAATTTCGAAGTGTCCTCGTTGGCTCTCTGCGCCTTTTGCAGCATTTCCACGGTGTAATCGCGGTCGGCCTTGTACTCTGTATACCCCGTGATTATTTTTTTAACGGGCAGCAAGCTGAGCTGATCGAAAAAGTACTGCATGTCGGTCCTCATCTGATTTTCGATGTAATTCTTGTCATCGACGATTCTAAGCGTCCTGCAATGGAAGCCATTGAAGATGCACTCACAAGGGAAGTTGCCCCAAGTGTGACACTCAGACTTTGACGACTGTGCAGATGGAAATTTTAAGGAAGAACGTGGCGTCGCACTTGCCTGCTCTCCTTGCCAATTTGCGCAAATTGCTGCCCGTGGTTTCATCCACTAAACTCCGCCGGGCAGCCTACCAAAAATACAGCCGAAAAAATGGGCGTCGCACTTGGGACATACTTGCTTCGGAAAACCCTTACGCATATCGAATAACCAAAAGATCTATGGGACGGCCAAAATTCTTGACAATGTTCAAAAAATGTCTCGAATGATCGCCGTCAAAATCTTGCTGGAAAGGAACTGTTGCGACGGTAAACACAAGGGTCAAGCGTTTGTAATGGCTACGAAATCTTGGCCACAACCCGTAATACAAGTCTAAACTTATGCTGTTGCCAATCAAAAGGACTTCTAGATCACCTGTTCCCTAAAAGTTTATATTTATCATCAATTCAAGTATCAGTCTGTCGGGAAAACAATGAGCACATTGTTGCTGAGCCGATCTGGGCGCTGAAGTGAAAGCAATTCGGTCTTGCCGCAATGCAATTAACTTTGCGTTTTTTGATGCGACACAATGTTCGTTATTTTGCCGGCATACTGATAGCTGGATTTACCTCAACCTGGTGCGAAATTTTTAACGCCTTCGTTTCGTCGTTCTTCACTGCATGCCCATAGGCAAAATGATACCAGAAGTCGTAGAGTCGGCCATTATAATCAGCCAACTGTGTGTTTGTCATGTTGAGTTGGTCCATGTGTTCATAGTCGAAGAGGCGACTCATCAGGAACTCCTCGTGTTTCGTTATATTATCTGTCCCGTTTTTGAGAGCCGCGGAAACTTGAGGCTGCTGGATGTTGCTGTTGAAGGAAATAGTTGCCGCCAAGCACATGTACAACGCGACGATAAGCAGAAACAGCTTTACTTTGCAGTTTATTGATTGATTTAATTTTTTAAAGGAGCTTTCTACCAAAACACTTAGCAGAAAGCATGCTTGAAGAATGAGGATTCCATCTGAAAAAGCAGAAAGATATTGCCGATCAGTCAATCGTAGACATGGCCCGGACCGGGCCGGCTCGTGCCGGGCCGGGGGCTGGGCCGAAATTTCGGTCCGTCGGCAGGATTTCAGATCGGCCGGCCCGCCGCACCATCTCCAGCCCCTCGGCCGGTCGGCGTTTCGGCCCGGCCCGGAATATATATGTAGTTTCAATCCTGAATCTCGAAGCAAAAATTGGGTTTGCTAATGAAAATAAAACGCAATGCCAAGTAGAGGTGGCAATCGGGCCTGAGCAGATCTAAAAAAGCCCCGGGCAGGCCTGACCGCTTCGGCACGCGGGCGAGCCAAGATTTTCGGCCCGGCCCGTCGGCCTGAAGGGTTCCGGCCGGCCCGGCTCGTTTCAAATTTCAGTTGGCCCAGCCCGTTTCAAATTTACTTTGGCCCGGCCCGGGCCGGCCCAGTGAGACAAAAGTCTGCCCAAGTCTAACCTTATACCTAATTTTTTTTTGACATTACGCTTATTTTCATTAGCAAACCCAATTTTCGCTTAGAGATTCTGGATTTTAACTATTCCGGTTTTTGAAGCGATTATTTTCCCGACAGACCGATATTTACAATAGGTCTGTTACAGTATAATACCTAATTCAATACGCCAAATAAATTCCTTACCGCGAATCGAGATTGTGCTACTGTTAGCTGTATACTTGAAGAAAACCAACGCGGGCCAGTGTACCAAATACAACGAGTACGAGATGTTGCCAACATATACGAACAATTGATTCTCCAAAAAACTTTTTCCGTCTGTTGCAAGCAAAACGCCAGCCGTGGCCGTCGCTGCGAGTCGATGGATCCACACGAAATTTGAGACGCGAATTTGCAACAAAATAATTAGCAGAGTGCAGAAGAGTGTTTTGACGTTGCGGCCGTGTTCCGAGCAAGGGGAATGAATTGACAAGGCCGACAAGTTGTGTTTTTCGCCTATTTTATCCGAAGAAATTTTTGAATATTGTGGCGGAGCCTTCTTCTTGAAGTAATGGACAATAAATCCAATGCAGAATTGCCATACTCGGCACAGTGTGTTCATGTGGACCACGTTTAGATCTAGAATTTTATGAAATCATGTATCAGTGGCAAACAAAGACGAAAGGTCTTCTGTTATCAGTCTGCAAGGATAATAATGAGCATTCTGTCGCAACGAAACTCGCATTGCCTCCGAGAAAATGAATTGTGTCAAGGCAGAATCGAATCATTCTTCTTTTCAGCAACGCGATTGGCGCAGCGCGGTTGTGTTCATTATTTTCCCGCTAGACTGATATCAGTATTTTCATATATCGGAGGTGCATTTCAGCGCGCAAGTCTGTCCAGACCCTTCGGATTTAGTCCAAAGTTAACTTTTTAAGTTTTGAACCTGGAGTCTTTTTAAGGGTACACTAGGGAGTGCTTTTAGGCATTTACAACCGTTTTTAATACACTGCCGCACATCAAACTGAGGAGTCCGGTGACCGGAAAAGACTCTTCGCTATTGGTTTTTTACACTTCGTCTGATTTCGCAGAGAAAGAGGGAAAAAAGACACGCAAAAGCGTACTCTCTCGCCCCGAAAGTTCCCCATTTCTTCCCCGACAAAACGTTTTTTCGCGTCTTTTTTTGCAAATTACCAATTCATTCACCGGACTGTTTTCACTTATCTCAGTTTGATTTTTTATAGATCTTGCGCTAGCATTGGCTATTTTGACATCCTAAAGCAAACTTAGGATGTCAAAAATAAATCAATATGATCAAATAGACGGTTTCGTCTTCAGAACTAGCTGACTTCAACCGATAACTCTTAAAAATACCTAGTAAAATATACGAAAATACCTGAACTGGCAGTTCTGTAAAAATTTCCCTTCTTAGAGCAAAAATGTGTCCTTTCTCCCCCCTGGGCGAATTTAGTCAAAAGTTGAGTTGGGGGTTTTTGTGCACAGCGCAGACCGCGACAAAATTTCCATGCACTTTATGAAAATACCAATAGATTTCCGCAATAAAAAATTACAAGCACTAAAAGTATGTTAACTCTAACCTTGGCTGAGCACTTGCAACAAAAAGCTGCACGCTCCAATTGCCGTCAAGACGGCTGTTCCGGCACGTGGCTTCCAACTGTCCGCCTTTTTGCACAAGAAATACAACAACGGGACAAACAGGTAAAACTGCAGCTCCACCGACAACGACCAAGTATGCAGAAAAACAGGATACTGATTATTCGTGTCAAAGTAGCCGTGTTTCGGAAGGTTGAAGATGTTTGAGGCAAATAAAGCCGCGGTGAGCGATTCGGTCACAGTTTTTTGGATGTATTGATAGTCAAAGATATGTAGAGCCCAAGCTGTTGTGCATGTCACAATGAACAAATATGTGGGCACAATCCGTTTGACCCTTCGGAAATAAAAATTTTGAATCGACTCGGCCGAAAAAGCGGCCGAATCCATCAACATGTGCATTAAAAATCCAGAAATCACGAAGAATCTGAAACGGTATGCCAAAGAAATATTGCCTTTTTTGCAAACTGAAAAACTTACAGGTCCACTCCAAGATATCCCGCTGGAAAGTGGTGCGGCCACACATGGAAACAGATAACATAAAATATGGCAACACAGCGGAGTCCTTGAATGTCCAAAAACATATCCCAACAATTCCAATTAATTTCAACTGCGGCGAAATACTTTTCATGAAATTTGTGTTGCTCTTTATCAGCTCATTGAATCAGTGGAGGAAGTTATCTTGGAAGTTTATCATATTATCCAAACTAAAAATCTTGCGAGACAGATGAAAAACACCATATGTTTTATTTTCCGTATTTATCTGCTTCTGCAAGATAACGTGTTTAATTAAGGAAAAAGTCGCCTTTTCCTGCTGTGGCTAATTTTCTAGAGGTGTGCGGGCCGATTAATGCCAAAACTTTCATGATTCCTGCTTCTACGGCTAGCGGGCAATACAGGATCTTACAAAAAAAAGGTGAAGGAAAGTCGGAGGCTATATCTTCCGGCGGAGGCGGCGCAGGGACTTCGCTTTTGGAATATGCATTTTTAAGCGGCATTAATTTTGGTCTGTGAAACAACAAGATTTTAAAGTGCAAACTGAGGTCAATGCGGCCTTCTGAAATAGGGGCATTTCTACCCAGAAAAAGGTCCATTTTAAAAATAGAGAATATTTGGGGATGCCGGTTGTACCCCAAAATTATAGAATGTCATGCCCTCTACGTTAGAAATAGGCAGGAAGCTCTATGTGCCAAAATCTGCAAGAGAGCGCAACATTAAAGTTTGTTGGAAGCTTGCTGGGTAAAAAAACATGCGCAGCTCGCCGATGCCACGTTTGGGCTCGGCTTCCGAGTTGCTCCCTATTCTTTTCAGCTGCCTTTCAGCTAATTTTCAGTCAGCGCATTGGTCCTTGCATAGCCACTGTCTGAAGGAACAAGCATGATTTTTTTGTCGACCGGTAAAGCGAAGCTTATACGTAGAAGTGAGCGAAAAAGCTGGTAGAGCTAGGCATGACTCTTTTATGCCCTTAACCGCCTCAAACATAATTGATAAATCAATCAACAGACAAAAAAGAATTTGACAAAAAGCAAACATGATTTTTTTATTACTTTAATCCACGCAGTTATTTAATTATTCGGAGAGATTTACAGAATATTTGGAGGTATTACGGCTTACAGAATCCACATGTTGATGGGCACTCCTCCGCGAGCAGGGTTCTATAGCTCTAAAATTATACAATTGCATACAAAATACGGTATGATGAAAAAGATAAACCACCCTTTTTCACCTACCGGCTCATTGCAAACCTTGACATGCTGACGACAATTATCATTGGAGTCCTTGCAACACCAGGGACTCTGGTAATCGCTGGTCATCGCACCAGATACCACGACCAGGATGAAGAAAAGACCCCACCCAAACAACCGCATCCCGGAGAGACTACAGACCTCGGATCCACTGGCTTATAATAGGCATGGACTTTAAAAAACATGGTAACGAATCTTACCATTTTCATGTTTTTTATAATTTGGCTTTTTGCAAAAATCACGTTGCTTAGAAGAGAGCCCGAGCTCAGATTTTTGTCGGATGAGAGGATTGGTCCTTATTTTGATCCCTACAAACCTCATAGTTCATTCGACGAACCCATCAGGAGCTTTTCAAACCATGTCCTCGATGACGTCATTGTCTGTCAGGAAAGTAATGAGCAATCCGTCGCATCCAAAATCGCATAACCGCCGAGAAAGTGAATTGTGTTGCTGCAAAACGACATGGGACTTACGATTTTTGCGACAATCAAAAAAACAGAAATTGCACAGTGCAAAATATTTCGAAAAGGGGAACAGGAAACTTGTACTGTGCGGTCCGAAAAACAGGCGGAGAAGGGTCTACGCACTTTCTGGAACGACTAGTAGGTACTAATACGTTTGTAAGGCCGCTGGAGTGATTTCGGGGGTATGCATCATGTCAAGATGTGAGCGGCAGCCCGAAAAAGCCTATTGCAGACACCAAGAAAAGGCACAGTGCAAAGTGAAATTTTGTTTTCGCATGGTGGATGCCGCGAAACTTACTTCAGCGATTTGCGAACGGACTAATACATACTTTTAGCATTTTGAAATAGTGCATGGACATTTGTCGCGGCCCGCACCGTGCACACAACCCTCTATTTTTTGCACTGTGCATTTGAAATGTCGCTGCGACATAAGCTTTTTCCAACTGCGCAGCCGCGCTTTATGCACAGTGCAAACGGTTTTTTTAGGTGCGCAAAGGGAAAAATGTACTGTGCGTTGGCGACAAGTGTGGAAAATCGAAAAAATGTCCCCGCATCATGAAAATACTAGTCGTTGCAGAAAGTGTCTAGATTTATGCATGTTCAATAATAATAAAAGACATACCCTTGTTGAAGTGCGAAAAACAGCTAAAAAGATTGTTTTCCCAGCTTACCCCCCAAACATGGCGTTCCATACGATCACGTTTGCGTCAGACAACCTACATTCCTAGCCTTTTTTCTCCTACAACATGCTTACAACTTGTTTGAATAAATGTTTTCTGTCAACATTGACCGAACATCACGTATTTAAACCGCCGGATAGAATGTCTGTGTTCTGTGCGGCATGCGGTTGTTTGGGTGGGGTCTGTTCTTCATCCTGGTCGTGGTATCTGATGCGATGACCAGCGATTACCAGAGTCCTTGGTGTTGCAAGGATACCAATGATAAGTGCCGTGAGCATACCAAGGTTTGCGGTGTGGCGGTAAGAAAATATTTACTTTGTCTTCTATTCACTTTTATTATTTTAGAGCTACAAAACCATGCTGACGGAGGAATGCCCATCAACATGTGGATTCTGTAGGTGAATTGCTCCAAACGTTCTGTAATGTAGACCTCTCCGAGTAATGAAATAACTGCGTGGATTAAGATAATAAAAAAACGAGTCAAGCTTTTGTTCAATGTTTGTTTGTATTTTCCTCGGTTTCCATAAAAACTTTGAGGCCGTTTGCAGCCGCCAAAATCGGGTTGGAGCAAGGGAGAAATCGTACTGAAGCTTTTAAGATTGGTGTGATGACCAAAAAAGCGATCAAAAGTCTCCACCGAACAGAGTATGTTCCGCGTCGGCGGACAAAAAACCTTTTTTAGGCAAAAAACCGCCCATATTCTTCTTTATAATGCAAAAAGACTTTTTTGGATATCTTGCCTGAGAAATTGACAAAAACTTTCCGCGGAATTTCTCTGGACACCCTGTACAATAATTTTTGTTGTCTTACGGAAAGAAAGGCATTACTTATTGGACACATAATACATACAATTGATCTATCATCTAAACTTGCTCCGCCGAAATACAATCACCAAGCACAGAAAGCAACCAATTTATAGAGCTCCTCTCTACTAAACTGTATCGACCACCGACGGCTTTTATAAACGTGCCGACAGGGAAAGTACCACAAGTGCGACGCTCAGATTTTTTAAAATTTTGTACACACGTCGGCCATAAACTATGTATTATTTTAATATCAATTACTGAAAATTTTATCTCGCGCTTTGCAAGCGCCGCCGAGATTTGAACGATCTTTGCGGAGAGCGGTCCGAGTCACAGACAAAAACACTTTCAGAATGTTAAACAGCCTTTAAAAAAACTTGCGGCATAAATGCTGTTATTTCAGTTTTTTGTTCCGGATATCGCAAGTTTCCTGTTAAATTGCATGCTTCTTTTGTGACGAGACCTTAATCTCTTAATGGGAATTTAAAATGTTACGTTTGGTATATAATGCCACTACCCGCCGCCTCTTCATAATTTTGAAAAAGCGTTGCATTCACAACGATGTGGTTGTCCTTTCTGTTCGTGGTGTGTCTTGCCTCAATTGTCTCGTCGTAAGTGGAACGTTTTGCCGATCAGATAGCGTTCAGATCCGTGAGTCCAAACTTTTTCCAACACCCCGAAGACAGTGGCAAGATACACGCTGTGATAGCGGCCGGATCCCTCGGCATGTGGAATTATCGCCATCAGGCAGCCGCCTGTCATGCATACCATGTCTTAAGAAACCATGGGGTTGCGGAAGAAAACATCATCTTGATGATGCCCGATGATGTTGCTAATCATAAGAAGTAAGCGTCGCCTACCGAAAGCCACCTCTTTTTGTAGCAACCCGGCCCCCGGCAAGCTCTACCACAACCCCGCCCGTGATACTGACGTGTACAAAGGGTGCAAGGTTGATTATCGCGGAGCGGACGTAAACCCCACCACGTTTATGAACGTCTTGACCGGGAACGACGTTGGAGAGGGACCGGTGCTGAACAGCACAAAGAAGGACAAGGTGTTTGTGTATTTTGTAGATCATGGTGACCACGGAACGTTAGGCTTTCAGTTCAACGCCACTAATTTCGAAGTTCTCACCGTGCAAGACCTGAACAACACCCTGTCCGAGATGACGCGGAAAGGCATGTACAAAGAACTGGTGTTCTACGTGGAAGCTTGTTTCTCCGGAAGCATGTTTCAGCCTATCGCGTCAAACTTTGAGAATCTGTACGCCGTCACTTCCACCAACGAGGCGGAATTCGCTTTTGGCGATTACTGTGTCGCCGATTGGGACTTGTGCCTTGGCGACGAGTTCTCTGTCGCTTGGATGGAATACTCCGACGCCCACGATCTTCGGCACACCACCCTACAAGAGCAGTTCGCCGCTGTGAAAGCTCGAACCTATTGCAGCCATGTTCAGCAGTTTGGGAACTTGAAGATTTCTGGCGAGAACATTGGCGACTTTCAAGGCCTAGCAGACGCCGCCGAGGTTATAACGTCGGTAAGTTTATATATTCATGTTAGGTACGATCTAGGGTGTTCGATTGAAGCTAGCCTGCTTTCGTTTTTTACAAAAATATCATGTTGCTTAGTTCAATGACAGTCACCTCTGCGATAGTGCTGATCCTATCCTCTTTCAAATGCAATTGAAACTCACAATGTTGGAAAAAAGCAGCGATGCTGAAGAATTGGCACAACTGAGAGCAGAGATCGCCGACTACATGGCTTATCAACAATCAACTGAAAGCGAGCTTAACAGCTTCATCGACAAAGTTGCCACCACAGGAGAATTGAGAGCCTTAGTAACGAGGCCTTTACCGATTGTCAACTTGGAGTGCCATCACAAGGTTGTCAACTACTTCAGCCAAAACTGTGGTAGTATCGGCATGGTATGCTATAGTCTTGAATTTTACCGGCCTTAAATTTTTAGAGTTCACGCCGGCTTCTCTTTAAGATTGTCAACTTGTGCTATGCAATGAGTTCGGATGAGATTATTGAACATATGGCTGACCATTGGCAAGTACAGCGTGACACTTATCCTTACTAACGGATCTATTAACGGTCAACTTTCTCATTAATCTTTGTCGCGGCTTCAAGTTTTGAATAAACACTGTTCAACCACCAAAATGCATACCACTGTTTATAAACACCTGTAAAACCCGCATCCAATATTCTTTAGCTAGTCAACACCAGAAAAAAGATTTTAACCAACTGTCCACCTCTACCGTCGCTGCAACCCCGATCTTTCTCCTTGTACTGGTGGGTCGACAATCATGGTTGGATAACCCGGCGACACTCTAGATTCTCCACGAACGAACGACTGCCCAAAGCCTTCACCAAAGGACGACCAAGCTTCAAATCTTCGACGTTCAGCTTCCATTAGGGCAGGGGTGAAAACGTGATAGTCTGAAAAGAGAAAAATTGAGAAAAATAATGTTCTGCGGAAAATTGGACGTAAACAACGTCAAGAAATTATCGATAAGCCAAAATAATTTCCAACAAGGAACAAGAATCGTCCAAACTCTCACCAAGCCGACATTTTCGTGGCGCACGGCGCACGTCAAACTGAGGGGTCCGGTCCCACAGAAAAAATCATTTATTATTCAAATTTGATTGGACTTTCGTACGTGGGATTTCCCTATATAAGGGCCGCTTTTCACTCAATAAATCACTTGAACTTGAGCTTCTCGTCTTATCGTTTGGTTGTCTCCCCGGGCCTCTCGACAACCCACACGCAGTGGCGAAAAATTATTCGAACTCAGGCTCAGATACAGGACGCGCCTGCTCCCTCTGGCTGAGCTTTGCAGTTAAGTCAGAGCTGAAGTGGGTGAGGCAGTCAGGCAGTCTAGTAGCGGCATTCGTTCAACTTATGGAGGGTCTTTTTGCAAATAAATTACCTAAAAGTGCAAATATTTGAAAAATAATGCAAACTTAACGTAAAAATTACATTTTTAACGTATCAGTCTGTGAGGCGGAACGACCGAACTTCGAGCCCGAATTCCCACGGAAATCATCATTTATTTTTCAAAATTGGTTTTACTTTCCTACACGGGATTTCCCTATATACATAAGGGCGTCTTTTCACTTAAAACACGATTTTTGAGTCACTGCGTCAGCCAGTAGTGGGGCCCGGTCTTAGGAAAAAATCGATTTTGAGATTTTTGGCTTAAAATAGTCGGTAGCACTTGTGGAAGAAAAGCTAAAAATATTTTTGCCCAATTTTGCCCGGAAGGCATATTTTTTTACAAAATACGTTTTTACACTTCAAAGCCTCTGGAGGCCGATGTGATCCGACCACAGAGATCAAACTTGGCATACAGGGGTTTTTGACACCCAGGAATCTGAAAATCGTAGCATTTTTACCGTCAGATTACTGTAACATGGTCATACTGTAATCCGGTCGATAAAAATCGACGATAACTTCTTTAGATCAAAAATGCCACAGGATTTTATTGCAGATTCGGAATCAGCATAAAATTCTGCTTCGGATACATGTAAAATATGTTCAAAATTCCGTGGCCCAACCTCTGTAGTATAGTGGTTGTGCGCCAGGATTATCAATCTGGCGACCCAGGTTCGATTCCCGGTGGCTGCAAATGGCATAAAATGGACTATAAAAGGGCGGAAACTTGGAAAAAAGGGAAAATAAATTACAGAAAATTAATTTTATGCTACTTAGGACCAGTTTAAAAGTTTTTGCAAGAATTCCGCATAAATTACGGTTTTTATGGAAAACGCCTCACAGCATTCGTAAGATCGCCCCAAATGGCAACTAAAGAGCTGTGGTGAATCTACATAACGCTTGCTATCCAATGTTCATCATATCCGCCGAGGAATGCAATAAAAAACAAAATAAAACAGTTATTTAATTTTCAGATGGAAGCACGCATGTTACAGTCCCGTAGGTTAGCCTATGTTCCTTACCAACTGAGTATTCATGTAGATTTATCATTAGAGCGTCCACGCGCTCCGTTTTTCGTGGGATACGCAAGACGGCCTAAGTTTTACAAGCTGTGTGATCCCGGTGCTGTTAGGGAATCTTATATGACTTTTTGTGAATCTTATATGACTTTTTGGTCAAATATTGTTCCGTTCGATAAACCTCGGCCGCAGCTCGCCTTCTTAAAATCCCGAATTTGAAAGAAAACCCAGGATATCCCAAAAATTTAACGAAATAAGCAGAAATGGACGTATTTCGTAGTAGGAAGCCTCAGTAACTTCTTCTGTAAATTTTAACCAGATTGCTCCACTTTCCGGCAAGCTATAAGGCGTTTTCCATAAAAACCGTAATTTATGCGGAATTCTTGCAAAAACTTTTAAACTGGTCCTAAGTAGCATAAAATTAATTTTCTGTAATTTATTTTCCCTTTTTTCCAAGTTTCCGCCCTTTTATAGTCCATTTTCTGCCATTTGCAGCCATCGGGAATCGAACCTGGGTCGCCAGATTGATAATCCTGGCGCACAACCACTATACTATAGAGGTTGGGCCACGGAATTTTGAACATATTTTACATGTATCCAAAGCAGAATTTTACGTTGATTCCGAATCTGCAATAAAATCCTGTGGCATTTTTGATCTAAAGAAGTTACGGTCGATTTTTATCGACCGGATTACAGTATGACCATGTTACAGTAATCTGACGGTAAAAATGCTACGATTTTCAGATTCCTGGGTGTCAAAAACCCCTGTATGCCAAGTTTGATCTCTGTGGTCGGATCACATCGGCCTCCAGAGGCTTTGAAGTGTAAAAACGTATTTTGTAAAAAAATATGCCTTCCGGGCAAAATTGGGCAAAAATATTTTTAGCTTTTCTTCCACAAGTGCTACCGACTATTTTAAGCCAAAAATCTCAAAATCGATTTTTTCCTAAGACCACCGCTGGTGCCCTGACTCAAAAATCGTGTTTTAATAAATCACGTGAACTCAAGCTTCTCGTCTTATCGTGTGGTTGTCTCCCCGGCCTCTCGACAACCCACACGCAGTGGCGAACAATGATTCGAACTCAGGCCCGCATGCAGGTCGCGCCTGTTTCATCTGGCTGAGCTTTGAAATACCTTTCTGTAGGAAGAGTACGGCCGGACGTGCCAACGACGACGAACACCGGAATTGCCGACGTGGACAAATGGAAGCGAAGAATCAGGTGGCCGGAACGCAAGTCCAGCGAGCGGTCGGTTGTCGACGAGGAGTTTTTGGAGGAAGAAACTCACGCATCGGTTGTGAGGTTTTTGGTGTTTGTGATCTTGGTGTATGTCAGTTTAGTGTTTGTAGTTTCGGAGGATAAACATTAAATTCGTGATACTTGTTCGGGATTTATTGTAAGGGTCAAAATCGAAGACTGTCCGAACCTCCCTCCGACGCTAGGAATAGGCGCAAGCGTCTTACAAACTTGAACAGGAATAGAACACAAACGCCGTATCAGAATTTTAAACAGCGGTTTAAAAAACTTGCGGCATAAATATTGCTATTTATGCTTTTTGTTCCGGAAATTCCAAATTTCCGGTTAAACTGTATTCTTTTGACGAGACCTTAATCTCCAAATGAGATTTTAAAATGTTACGTTTGGTATATAATGTAACTACCCGCCGTCTCTTCATAATTTTGGAAAGGCCTTGCCTTCACAACGATGTGGTTGTCCTTTCTGTTCGTGGTGTGTTTTGCCTCAATCGTCTCGTCGTAAGTGGAACGTTTTGCCGACCAGACCGCGTTCAGGTCCGTGAGTCCAAACTTTTTCCAACACCCCGAAGACGGTGGCAAGATACACGCGGTAATAGCGGCCGGTTCCCTTGGCATCGGGAATTACCGCCATCAGGCGGACGCGTGCCATGCATACCATGTCTTAAGAAAACATGGGGTTGAGGAGGAAAACATAATCTTGATGATGGCCGATGATGTTGCCAATGACAAAAAGTAAGCGTCGCATCCGAAATCACTTCTGTTCGTAGAAACCCAACCCCCGGCAAGCTCTACAACAATCCCGCCCGTGATACGGACGTGTACGAAGGGTGCAAGGTCGATTATCGTGGAGCGGACGTGAATCCCACCACGTTTATGAACGTCTTGACTGGGAACGACGTTGGAGAGGGACCGGTGCTGAACAGCACCGAGAAGGACAAGGTGTTTGTGTATTTTGTGGACCATGGTGAAGACGGAGTGTTAGTCTTTCAGTCCAACGACACTGACAACGTTCTCTCCGTGCAAGACTTGAACGACACATTGTCCGAGATGACGCGGAAAGGCATGTACAAAGAACTGGTGTTCTACGTGGAAGCTTGTCTCTCCGGAAGCATGTTTCAGCCTATCGCGAAGAACTTTGAGAATCTGTACGCCATCACCGCCGCGAACGGAGAGGAATCCTCTTATCCCGATTACTACGTCGACGATTGGAACATCTACCTTGGCGACGAATTCTCCGTCGCTTGGATGGAATACTCCGACGCCCACGATCTTCGGCACACCACCCTACAAGAGCAGTTTGCCGCTGTGAAAGCTCGAACCTATTGCAGCCATGTTCAGCAGTTTGGGAACTTGGAGATTGCTGGCGAGGACATTGGCGACTTCCAAGGCCAAGCCGACGCCGCCGAGGTTATAACGGCGGTAAGTTTATATATTCATGTACGATCGAGGGTGTCGGGGCTAGCTTGCTTTCGGTTTTTTTACGGTACTATATTATGTTGCTTAGTTCAACGACAGCCACATGTGCAATCGTACAGATCCAACCCTCCTTCAAATGCAAATGAAACTCACAAGGCTGGAAAAAAACAGCGATTCAGAAGAATTGGCACAACTAAGAGCAGAGATCGCCGACTACATGGCTTATCAACAATCAACTGAAAACGAACTTAACAGCTTCATCGACAAAGTTGCCACCACGGAAGGATTGAGGGCCCTAGTCACCAGGCCTTTACCGATCGTCAACTTGGAGTGTCATCACAAGGTGGTCAACTACTTCAGCCAAAACTGTCGCAGTATCACAAAGGTACGCTATGGGGTCTTGAATTTTACTGACCTTATATTTTTAGAGTCCACGCGGGCTTCTCTTTAAGATTGTCAACTTGTGCTATGCAATGAGTTCGGATGAGATTATTGAACATATGGCTGACCATTGGCAAGTGCAACGTGACCCTTTTCCTTACTAATGGGTCGATTAATGGTCACATTTCCAATTAATCATTGCAACTGCTTAAAGTTTTGAATAAACACTAAATATTCGACATCCTTTGAGGTTACTTGGCAGTCGGAGAAAACCACCAATATTCATTCCACTGTTTATAAAAACCTATGAAACCCGTATCCTGCAGAGGCAACATATCAATGCCAGTGCTCACCCTTTGCAAGTTCAGGCGCGATATCTAACGAACTTTGCGACCGGAAGAGCAAGCACGTGAACCACGAGCCGCGTCATTAGTGGAGTCTGTTGTCAAAACTAAGGATTTTCATACTCCACACTCTCCCTGTTTTTTTGCTCAGTCATTCTAGTGTGTCAACAAGACAGAAAACTTAATTAACCTGGTTATAGTCCGTGCTATTAGATTTACTATTGTATTACTCCCAAAAAATGTCATATAGTATAGTATTATCCTGGCCGCCATGTCATACTTTTCATACTTCAGTCTCGCTCTTCACCACATTTTTTAATGTTATGTCATATCGCAGCGCTTATGTCGCATTCACTTGCATTCATGGGGCCATCTCATGTTTTTTGTGCCTGTCGGTGATTTGGATGTCAGCGAAGATTCAGAAACAAAGAATCGGAAATGAATACAGCACTGTGATTGGGTTCAACGCCATCTTGGACTTACTATTCACTGTAGTCTTTATGGTTGTGATGCAGGTAAGGCGACATCATATAATTCGTCAGTCTGTCGGGAAATTAATGTGGACTCCTCTGGCCTTGGAACACCCATTATCGCTTTGCGACGGCTAGCCGCGGCCGGGGATTTGGTGCGCAGCTGTGCCGGGGCTTGGCGTTTTGCTACGACAAATCCACATTATTTTCGCGACAGACCAATAATCCATTATTTCTTGCCAGGCACCACATCTGAAAGGGAACTACAGCTTTTTCGTGATCAAAAACCCCCTTCTTCGCGGACTACCGTATTGGCTGTCGTGTGCCGTACTTGCTCTCTGCGTTATCCCCATGTTTTCGATACCTGCACTGTCGGCTACTCATTTTTGGTATCGCTACAACACTATGGTCAAGAGCAATTCCGTGTCGGTTGGACAATACGTAAAACGGTACATGGTATTTGTTGTGTGGTTGGGACTTCACAGTGTTCTCCTGGGATACTACGGATACCAAGTTGGTGATATGAAAGGTCTTGTGGAGAGAGTTGCAGCGTATCGAGAGGATACGCCAAGCTATATGATCTTTGATGAGGTTAGCTCTAGTGTAATATGATATACTTTAGTCGTCTCGTTTTTACAGAACGATCCGTTAACTGTGCCGGTGCTGTTGAATGCACAGTCAATGTTTCTTGTCGAGTATGCATTGATTATCTTTTGCGGAGTCAAAATAATCAAAACCATGAAGAAAAATCGAACCGAGGTGACGCAACGAACGCTTAGTGGTCAAAAATATGTGATTAGAGTCATGTTTTTGCAGGTAAATAAGTATGACTACAATACGCCAGTTTTAATGATAGGCCATCTATCCGTTGATTACGTATTTCGCCCCCATCACATTTGTCACGATGACTTCGATCCTGCAGGTAGACGGAGGCTCTCTCGGCTACGTGGGCTATTGTTTCTTGCAGACCCTGCCGACCTTGAATAGCCTGTCTACGTTACGTTTGATTCCCTCGTATCGCAAGAGATTATTGATGGGAAAAGAGTCGGGTTTGTTCAAGAAAGCGGAGGGTGCGACAGCAACTCAAGAGATTAGTACGGTCAAGAGGAAGGTCGTAACGTGAGGGCCTCATTTTCAGCAGACTTGGTCGGCTACATCTGTAAATCTGTTTCTTGGCAGCTTAATGAATCTTGATAATCGAAGATTTCGCATAAATGTACTAGGCACTAAAAATAAATTTATATGTGCTTGGCAGATGTAACCATCAAGCGTTCCAAAATTTCTCTTTATCAGCCACTGAGAATTCAGAGCCGAAACATGAGCTAACCTCAAACTTGGGTTAATAAACCGAAGAAACCCCCCTTTCCTTGAAGCTTTGATCACTCCTCTCGTTTCTTTTCGAATGGAGAACCGCACTTTTTTGGAGGCAATTGGTTTCTCTAGCGCTCTCCCATCTTTCGCAGTGAGAGCGCAGTCTCTCACCCCGCCCTCTTTTTCCTCGACTCTATCGCTGAATATAATGTCTTGTTTGTGCGTGACAACTAGTCTGTCGAAAGCAGTGGAATACGTGCTAAACCAAGAAGTCGGCATGAAACCTACCGCACACTGACCTTGTTCATTTTGTTCATGTGCCCGGCAGATATAATCGCCAAGCGTTCCAAAATTTCTCTTTATCAGCCACTGAGAATTCAGAGCCGAAACATGAGCTAACCTCAAACTTGGGTTAATAAACCGAGGAAGTCTCCCTTCGTTGGGGCTCTCCTTATTCCCATCGTTTCTTTTCGAATGAGGAACTCCGTCTTTTGGGAGTCAATTGGTTTCTCTGACGCTCTCTTCTCGCATAGCTTTACGCCGTCGGATGCGCTGTTTTTCTGTATGTCTCTTATAAAGTGCAATCTCTCATTTGTGTGTAGGATCCGAAACACACAATGATCGCAGAGACAATGGGATCATGAGGGAAGAAGAAAGATCACAGAATATATGCTATTTTTTACGCTTCATGGAAGATACAGATCTCTGCAAAACGATTTCAGCTGCAGAGAAATGCTTTCTCGATCAAGAAAAACTGAGCCCTCGTATTTTACCAAAAATAAGCTTTTTTACCCCTTTTCAAAAGTTCATTGTAAAGAACATTTTCAACTTTTTTTTTATCGAATAAAACCGTTTATGATGAAAATCTCGTGTTGTTTTACATGTGCTCGGCGAATGTAATCGCCAAGCGTTCCAAAATTTCTCTTTATCAGCCACTGAGAATTCAGAGCCGAAACATGAGCTAACCTCAAACTTGGGTTAATAAACCGAAGAATTTCTCTGCCATTCGCAATTCCAGCACCCTCCCCTTCGCTTTTCTTCTGGGGAACAGCGTTTTTTCGGAGTTAATTCGCTGCTCTCGGGCCCTCTTGTTATCTGTGCATCCACAAGAAGTCTTTTCCCTGCGCTGTTTTTCTCTGCGCCCCCAAATAGAAAGGTGCACTCTGCGAGTGAAAATCGAACGCCTAGTATTCGTTGCGTATAATTATGTAGATAACAGGAGGGTTTAGAGAAAGAGGCAGGTCAAAAAATATCGGGGAAGAAGGAAAACCTCCAGAGAGAAGAATTATCTCCTCTAATGGCCTCTTTCCCAGACGGAAGTTGCGACTGCAAGTTTAGAAAAGCCGAGTAGAAAATACTTTCCTCGGTTTATTAACCCAAGTTTGAGGTTAGCTCATGTTTCGGCTCTGAATTCTCAGTGGCTGATAAAGAGAAATTTTGGAACGCTTGGCGGTTACATCTGCCGAGCACATATAAAACCGGAAAATACTTTAGAGTTCTCTTTTGTTATACAGAGAACCCTAATTGATACGGAGAATTTCTTTTCCTAGTCTACTCCCAAAATGCTAGTGAGTTTAGACAAGACATTATATGTGTATGCAATTGCTTTTCAAACTCCTAAACAAAGCAGACTTGCAGAGAAATTTAGAGCGACGACTGATTATCCGTTTTATCAGAGGAAAAGAGAGAGCGCCAGAGAAACCAATTGACTCCCAAAAGAAGCAGTGTCCCATTCGAAAAGAAACGAGAGAAACAAATCAAGCTTCAACGAAGGGAGGATTCTTCGGTTTATTAACCCAAGTTTGAGGTTAGCTCATGTTTCGGCTCTGAATTCTCAGTGGCTGACAAAGAGAAATTTTGGAACGCTTGGCGATTGCATCCGCTGGGCATATAAATATAAAACAGGAGCAAGAAAATTTTCTGAAAGTTTCTGTATCTGAACGTTCTACAGAAAAAAGTTGACCGAAGCCAAAAAAGGTACCAACTACAAATAATTGGAATAAAAGATGAGGTAAATGTAAAAATTTTTGCTGTCGCACAAAACGTAGACACCCAGATGACCTGCCTTCGCAAAAAAATTGGGCAAGATATGCCCCTGATTTCGGAGCAATCCTTGGTCGACTAGCGGTGTATCCCTCAAATATCTGATCGAATAGACTACAAAGCCAAAATTCGTTGTTTACATGATCTTATAATCAATCCCCCTTTTCGTAAGAATGATTTGTAGCTTCAAACCCTTAAAAACTTTCATGGTGAATATTGTCATGTATAACATGCTGACGTTATGGCACACTGTGAATACCAACTTTTTTACCCGGTAAGTCATAGATTAGATGCAAAAGAGCATGAATGGTAAAGAAAACCCGCAATTCCTACAATCGCAATTGTTTTCAGTTAAAAAAACGCCTGTTTTAAACCCAAATTTTCAAATCGCATCAACTTTTTTGGATATTTCCTTTATGGACCAATGCTAATAGAACCTCCAAATCAGATTTCTCGATTTAAGTAAAAAATTTTTGTATCTGATGTGCAATACACCCACCTTCTTGTATATACGTATACCTGACCAACTCTGACGTCCAAAAAACAAAATTAATCGCAAAATTACAAAAATAACCTGTACAAATTTCGTCCTCTGTATTATAATTTGGACAGCTGCATGGTTTCCGTCAATCGTCACGCAAAAAATATTACACAAGATTTGTCTGCGTGATCTGAAAGTGTATTTAAACCGGGGATCATTCGGGATATTCATCACATTCATCGGTTTAATCAAGCATGTTGGGAAGCGTCAAATTGGTCTGCTTGTTGGTTGTTGTTGGTGTCTCGGCGGAGCCATGGGCAAACAAGATGGTCGGGAATACCAAGTTGATCGACATGTTCAGCTACAGAGCGCTTTGTGAGTTTCTTAAAAAAGATCCGTATCTCAAGGATGCGAGAATATTTGCTTCTGACCTCAGCGACGCGATTGGCGCAACGACATTGCGCTCATTATTTTCCCGACAAACTGACATCTTATTGTTAGTTTGCCGTCTTTAGATGCAACCTCTTGAAAAAACGCTCTTATGCCACTTTTCAATTCCAGTCATGATGCCCCAATCGGTCAAGAACACTCTCAAGCAATTCACCCTCAAGGACGTGCAAGATCTCAAGAAGGTTGTTCAGCAACTTCCTCAAGCTACCAGCCTCCCAGCAGCCCTTCAGCTCGTCGAAACGAACAGTCCAAAGGTCCATCAGCAAATCAAGAGCTACATACAAACCGCTCAAGAGAAATTCGTGGCCAAGAAGAAGGAGCTGAGCCCCGATGCCATCAAGTTCTTTGATGATGTAAGTTTATTGTTTCTTATAACAAATATTATAAAATATATGATATTTACCCTGCCGAACCGCCATCCTTTCAGCTCGAAAATGTCATGGCTGACTCGATGAAGAAGAGTGCCAAAATTATCGCCAACATCAACCCCAAGACCAAGGCCAGCATCCTCAAAGCCTTCCCTCATCTTGAAGAGGCCTTGAACACCCCCGCCGCCAAGAACGCTCTGCAAGACGCTCGTGTTGCCTTGGCTGTTTAAACCCTTTCATTTAACCGGTTCCAACGTTTATTTTGCATTTTATACTCGGCCGTTATAAAGCATACCGCTTCTGTTGCAAAGATTTACTGCAAAGCTTACAAACCACTCTCAGATTCATTTTTTACGCGACGATGTGATGTCTGATGCTACAGAGTGCTCATTATTTTCTCGACAGACAGATACACAAAAATCGGGCCTAGCGACTCCAGAATACTTGAGAATGCGATTTGCAGGAGCACCCAAGAGACTTTATACATATTTGTTGACAAGAGAGTACGGTAGAAATAAAGCTGCAGTTTAATGTTTGTGAATTGGTAAGAAAGTACAATATTAGAAAGTTTCATCAAGATCCGAGTGTCGTGTACATCGAGTACTCCTCCCCTTGATAAGTTTGTCGGGAAAATAATGAGCGCTCCGTCGTCGAAAATCGGATCACCACAGAGAGAACATATAAGTTCTGTCACGGAAAAATCAAGTTGCTTTTCACTTCAGCGAAGAGATCGGCGTAGCGACATCGCGCACGTTACTTTCCCGACAGACGGATAAAAAACAAGCATATTTTGACTCACGTTCCAACTGAAGAGCACAATTAGAAGAATGAAAATCACCACGGTCACAAATTTGCTCCGCTGAGTAATTTTTCGCCGCGAGACACTCGTGCTCGTGAGGATACTATGAATATCCAACATATTCTCGTTTCCGCGAATTTTATTCCGCTTTAAGCCCTTAAACAGAATTTCCGGGTTCATTGAAGCTACCCACCCACCTACATGCTTATTAAAATTGAAAGGTCCAGCGAGCACCACGCTAGTCGAGTCTTTACTATTTACGTCCACAAACATGTATTTAATTACAGACCCGCGTCTGTTATTAATTGCTTTTCGTCGATAATAAAATCTCAAGAGTTTCCACGGACTCACTTCAAGCTTAACTTGTTTCTTACATTTCTGTCGAACGTCCAAATGCAACCCTAGCATCGTACACTTCAACATCTGACCATGGAGTGCTCTGTCGCGGAGTTTCAAGCCACGCAAGTTTGGGAGGTGCACAACGTCGTACTCGCTTTTAATGAGGTGATCGTGATCGTTATGGCCATGGTGGCTCATTTGTTTCTCGCGGTGGCCGTAAAGAGAACCGTGCTGTTGAATCGGGTGACCAAAGTCTTGACGATTCATCAAGGCGTCGGAATGATGGGGTACATGCCAACAAGGTAAGCTGATGTCTAGAGAAACGTATCAGTTTGTCGGGAAAATAATGTGGAGCAAAGTGTCACGTCTCTGATGTAAGGCGCGACGAATCCACATTATTTTCCCGACAGGTTCATAATTTTATTGTTTTTGAGGTCTTTGGTGGTGGATTAAGGGAGAAAGCGAAGAGCTTCGGATATAACAGGGGAAGTACTCCAAGTGCGACGCTTAAATTTTGATGAAACTTGGTACAGGTTTAATTTAATCCTTTCCTTGTAAGCAACAAACTCTTTTCAGAATCCTCATCCTTTACTATCGCGTCACCGACCCAGGTATGCTGAACACTCCTCTCATGGAAACCCTAGCCCATATCCACGACCTATCACTGCACTCCCACTATGCTAGTGTGTTTGTGAACGTCCTGGCCATCTCCATGTACAGTCGTTGGCCCAGCCTAGGAGAGGGATTCAAATCGTTGCTGTTTTTGGCATCAATCATATCGTTCTCCTGGATCCTGCCGCACTATTCCATGATGTGGGATATATGTAAGGAAGTACAAGGCTTTTCAAAAAGTTTTTGCCGCGCCGTGCGTGCAGCCCGCGCAGAACGGATACGAACGCGCTGCGCCAATTCATGGCGTGTTAGCGCTGCAAACGCTGCAATTTTCGGCATTTCGTACCTTGAAAAAGTTTTTTTTTGCGCTGTCGCTCACACCTTGTCTTTTTTTGTACAGTATATCTACATGTCGCAAAAATAACTCCAGCGGTTTTGCGAATGGACTATTATCAGTCCCTCGGGAAAATAATGGGCGCTCTTTCGCTTCCAAAATCGCGTACTCGCCGAGAAAACCAACCGTATAAGGGCAAATTGCTTTTCAATTCAGCGACGCGATCGACGCAACGGCATTGTGCTCATTATTTTCCCGACAGACTGGTATTCATAAATCACATTAGCAACCTGCCAGGAAGATAGTCACGAGTCGACGCAGAAAAATCGGGCACCAAATCTACATTTGCGGCTTGCCGTTGCAAAGCCACGCGATTCCAAGGCGCGATGACCCGCCATTATTTTCCCGACATACTGATCGTATCACTTTCTTTGCAGACTTTCAGATGTACGTCTTTTATCAACTGGTATTAATATGGAGTATGTTCACGTTGAGGTGGCAATTGAGGTCCAGCGCGGCCGAGTATAAAGTCAAATTCTTGGGGGACCTGAAAAGCAAGGAGAAGGTGAGCTTTGACCGTGTATACTGACTTCAGTCTGCAGGCCAGTGTGAACATACGCAGTATCCGGCTACTCTCCAAAATTACGGTGTTCACGTCAGTGCGACTTGCCGGGGCAATGGTTGCGATGTTTTTTGTGTTTCGTGTGCTACCTAACAAGTAAGTATTGTGACCATTCTCTATGTCTGTCTTGCTGTTAATCATACGACTACAAACAGCAAAAGTTTCCTTTCCAGGTGTTTGTACCGTGCGGCCTTAATTACAGCTCAAGTGCATGACATCTTCTTCGAACTGGTCGAGTTTATAATTCCAGTGTACTTGTTCAGTACGGAAAGGCAACTACGTGATGTCTTACGGTATGTGCGAAAGGACCAACACAAAACTAAATACCAAAGACAAAAGGTCCTGTTGATTTGTTACGGCCCGGAAAAAATGACTTGTTACTGTTGAAATGTTGACTTTCAATTATGTACAATGTATAATACTTTTTGCAGCTGTGTTGAAAGCGCAATTGAATTATATAGAAATTAGCTTTGTGTCAGCTGAAAACATTTTTTTGACAGATCAGGAACTGTCAATTATAGGGTGTTGGCGGGGCAAGTTCAAAAACCAATAATAATTGAATTGGCCAAGAAATTGTCGCAATTCTGGTTGCTCTAAACATAGCCCTTCCAGACAAAAAAAGGCAAATTTTCGAAGTCCCTCTAGTTGAACATGTATCAGCGGGACAACCTCGATATATGAGAGAATCACAGCGGAAAACGCCCAAGATCACTTTTATTTTCTCCAACTTCTTTCAGATGCCGAGGCAACGACACAACGACCACCATTAACGTCTTGGGCAACATTTTGATGATGGGCAACAGCGCCGATGACTATTTCCAACAACTCGAGGCGCAATGGACGAGGAAGCGGGGATTTTCAGCCCTCAAACAGTCAATACGACCGTGCAAGCTTTTCCCATCGGCGTGCAGGCTTCTCTCGGAGAAGAGGAAGCTTAACAATGATTGGTTTTGATGTTATTCAACTTTTATCGGTCTGTCGGGAGAATAACGAACACTTTGTCGCATCAAAAAAGTGTCGCAACGAAGTTGAGCCCATTATGTTCCCGGCAGACTGACATTTATTGCCCTGCAATGTTGTAATATACTATGTAAATACATATAGATGCGTTTATTACAGTATTACTCCTTCTATGATGCCTTTATTACATTTTTAGTACGAGAATGTCACCGATTACTGAATAGCCTTATGGTTTAGGGGTGGTTCCGACGCCGGGGATGGTGCCGTTCTGGATCAGGGGGAGGATCTTTTGTCCGGCGGGGGTCTGGAGGAGATCGGCCACTTCGGGGAAGACCTGCTTGAGGTTGTCCTTCACTTCGGGTTTGATTTCTTGGATGATCTTCTGGATCTTCTGGAGCGACTCCTTGCTGACTCCACCGATCTGAAAACAAGGTTTTTTCGAGTTATTCAGAAGATGAAAGAATATTTAGCCTCCTTTTTACTCCATTATATCAAGATGGAGACCTCACAAATTATGGCTTACCTCAGCGAAGAACTGAAGGGATTCTGGAGAAAGCTTGGCCTTCTTTTGCTCGAAAAGCTCCTTCAGCTTCTGTCCGACCTTCTGCAAGATCTCGAGAATCTTGGGGCTCTTCTCCTTCAACAGCTCCTCAACCTTCTTTGGGTCAGTGATTTGAGGGAGCTGTTGGATGACCTCCTTCAATCCATCGACTTCCTTCAATTGAACCTGATCCAACAAGTTTACCAGAGGCTTGGGGAGAGCTCCTGAAGGTTATTTAGTTTTGCGAATGGCTAACAAGGGAAGTACTCCAAGTGCGACGCTTGCGTTTTGATGAAATTTGGAACAGATTTAGGTTAATCTTTTTCGAGAAATATGCAAGACTTTCAGCCCAGATTTTTAGATCGAATGTCGGCAAAGATGTCACGCAATACTGGTAAAATTACGGTCAAAATAGGGTTTTCTCAACCGTTCTAGGCGTTGCGCTTACTCTAATGATCTATGTAAAAGCGGCGCACTTGGAGGCCTTCTCTTCGTGGCTCCTTTTATCAGTCTGTCGGGAAAATAATGAGCACAATGTCGCTGAAGTGAAAAGCCATTTGATTATGGCGCGACACAATTGATTTTCGCGGCGGCGATGCGTTTTTCGATACGACAGAATGCTCACTATTTTCCCGACAGACTGATAAACTGAACACTAAAATGCGAGCATATATTACCTTGAACTTGAGGGGCCAACAAGTTCAACAAGGTCGGCTTCTTCGGGCCTGGGCTGGGTGTGTGCTGAAGGTGAGCCTGGATGGCCACAACCACTAACGCCGCCAACACAATGAAACGAAGAGAAGACATTTCCAACCGAAATATGATGCATTTACATCAATCCTCCCGCTTTTATACTCACATCGAACAATTGACAAAGACGCCTGGTCAAACAGGTAGAAAGACTCGTTAACGTCACGGAAACGCCGTGTAGACAATCGACCACAGCGGTGAACATGTTGACTCAGCCGGAAGGTAGTTCCATTTTGTTGGATGCGTCTGGACACACCGAGTTCAGGTCAGATTTCGTCAGAGTTGAGGAGCTGGAAGCGAATCAATCGAACCAAGTACCGATGGGCAAGTTTGCGGAGCTGCGCATACAATTTGGAGAGTAGCATTGAACATGACATTGAAAGACCCGCAAAATCTGTAGGCTTAGGCTGATTATTGAAAGCCCCATTGTTCTTTTGGACAATTCGAATAACACGGGTTGCGGAACAGTGATTCACGATTGTTTTCCGCACTACATACAAAGGAAACATTCATACAAAGGTACAAACATTCAGTCCAAAATTTTCTCTAATATTTCTCCAAATTTTATTGGCTACACTTGCGGGCAGCCACTTTGTGGACCGCCGATATTTACCGATTAGAGTTATACGATCTTTCTCCCGTAATCTACTTACAGGGGAAGTACTCCAAGTGCGACGCTCAGACATTCTTTAAATTTTGCACATACGTCGGGTATGGACTATTAAATATCAATTCCTGAAAGTTTTAGCTCGCGCTTTGCGGGCGCCGCCGAGATATTGAACGATTTTTGCCGCCGAGAGAGCACGCTGAACGTGGAGAGCGGTCAGAGAGGAAAGCGCTTTTTGGCCATAACTTTGGCAGTTTCGTCCAGAAAAAATTGATTTTTTGTGGAAACATTACCATTTACGGTAGAAACAGATACGAAACTTTTCGTGCCGAAGTTCGACAAAAATTGTCAAATTTTCGCCGACTTTCGATCTAAAAATCTCGGTAGTTTCTGCAAAGCGCGAGCTAGGATTCTCGCATATTTCTTAGAAAAAATTATTCTAAATTTGTGCCAAGTTTCATCCAAATCTGAGCGTCGCACTTGGAGTACTTCCCCTGTTAGTACGATGGAAATTTTGCGTAGTTCCCTGGTACTGATAAACCACGAAACTGTTGAATTCATCCAACTTTTTTAAACTTATAGGAGTTTGCTTTCAAATAATCGTATCGAAAATCGCATCGCCACCGAGAAAATAAATTGTGTCGCGACAAAATCAAATTGTTCCTCATTTCAGCGACGCGATTGGCGCAGCAACATTGTGTTCATTTTTTTCCCGACAAACTGATATTTGACAATAAAATTTACACTTTTTAATCATTTCTAATTTACAATTTAGCCTTGTTTTTTACATATTCAGTCTTTTCCAGTGCCTGTACAATATCGCTCTCCATGTTTTTGGGCTCAAATTTCGGACCATAAACATCAATAATATCGCCTTGTCGGTTGATCAGGAATTTTGTGAAGTTCCATTTGACATCCGTCAAGTTGACCTTTTCCTTCAAAAACTTCCACAACGGATGAGCATTTGGGCCGTTTACGTCGATTTTTTCATAAAAATCGGGGTTGAAATTGTACTTGTAGCTGACGTTGTGTTTGACTTTGATTGCCGGCAGTGGCTCCTATAAATCAAGATTAAAAGGCAGAGAAATTTGTAAAATACGAATAGCATAAAAGTTTGTAAAATACGATCAGAATTAAGTGTTCAATTTACCTGATTTTTAAACTGATTACAAGGAAATACGGCGATATCCAGCCCTCTGTTCTTGTATTTTTGATTCAACTCGCTGAGTTGTTCGTAGTTTGCCTTAGTGAGGCCGCATTCGGATGCCACGTTGACCACGATCAGCACTTTTCCACTGAAAAAACTTCTTCTTGGTCATGTTTTTCTCCTTGGAGAACGGTCGGTTTTTCCTGTCCACCTATGCTGTTACAAGAACAAACGGCTTTGCTTGTTAGAGTAGCTATTCATCGTAATGGATTTCAAGTCCCTACTGTCAATTTCAGTTCAGTCGGAAACGAAGGTAAATCGAAGCGATTTGAGAAATTATATTTGGAAATTGCCGCGTTGCGAATGGAAAGGACATCGACAGACATGGCAAAACGGACCGGACCCGGGCCCTTTTTCTATTTTTTTTTTTTTGTACTATTAGTCTGTCGGGAAAATAACGGCGGATCATCGCGCCTTGGAATCGCCCATCATCGCTTTGCAACGGCAAGGCGCGGCTGGGGTTTTGGTGCGCGACTGCGACGAGGCGAGACATTTTGATGCGACGACCCGCCGTTTTTTTCCTGACAGGCTAATATTCGTTCCGGAAAGTTGTCAGTCCTATTTTTGACGTTTGCACTTTGCGAAAATGGTCAGGGTGCAAGCAGCCAAGAAAAACCTATTTCACGATTCAAAAATTAAGAAATTGCACAGCTCAAAGAAAAGTTTTATTTTCTCACGATGCGTGTCGCCGACTTCGGTCCGGAGACTTTCTGGAAAACCCAATAAAGAGCTTCGCCTGGTACAGTAGCTGTTCATATAGATTTCAAGTTCCTACTGTCAATGTTAGAGCATTCCGAAGCTAGGGCAGATTGAAATATTTAGTTCCGGAAATGTTTGGAAAAGGCTGTGACCCCAACACATATATAATCAATAATGTGGATTTTTCGCAGCGAAATCTCTCGCCTCGTCGCAGTCCCGCACCAAATCTCCAACTAGCCGTTTCAAAGCAATAATCTGCGATTTCAATGCGCGATGATTTCACATTATTTTCCCGACGGACTGATATATGTTATATTTAATAAATGTTTAAAGTGCGAGGTTCCGTAAGCCAGCGCCCAAAGAAAGAGTGTTCCCGCTGCGGGACCCAACACGGCAGATCTCTCTTGCCAGAAAATAAAAAAATTGTTTTTTTGTTGTACAAAATGGATCAAACAAGGTGAAAGATGGATGGAGATCAGTGAAGAAGGTATGTTTTATTGTGTTTTCTGATTTAGAGCAGCTCGACAAAGATTTTTACGAAATCTGGTCCAAGATTTTTTTGTGTTTTGAGCGATTTTACGCAGTTTTTGACATAACGAAGCATGAAAATAGGTGTAGTTTCCCAAAGAACCGTCCAGGAGCGCTGGTGATTGACTTTTGGTCAAGTTAGAGGCAAAACCTTCACCAAACTGCCTAGTATAATATAATTTTTTTTTCCAGGAATTCGAATCCAGATGCAGCCAGACGGCTAGACTTTACCACGAGGACTCGTTGAAGCCAGAAGAATGCTCGATATCGTCCAAAGTCAATGCTGCTTTGACCTTCCAACTTTTTCCGGGGCTGATGTCGCATCAAAAAGGTGAGAGTTTTGCTCTGCTTTCACGTTTTAGGCCTGGATGTCTTTGCTCCTTGAGCAAGGCAATGGGGTTTCTTCGCAATTATGCCATCTGGAATGCGGTTGCTTCGTCTTGCGCCACATCAGACCCAATATTCCAGTGTAATACAATTTTTTCAGGGGTACCAGCTCATTCAGTACCATGTCGGCAGCCCGGTCCGGAGGACTTAGCAGCCCACTCTTACAGATTCAACAACAGCCAGATCAATGGTATTATACTTTATACGAATATCAAAATATTTATTGCTATTTTTACAATAAATTGATTATGTTTTCCAGTGTTTGTCCTCTGCGAGACCTTCTTTATCGTCCATATAACGTCCCACATGTTTCGCATAGTCCAAACTTCGCGGTCGGGGGAGTGATCGCCTAAAAAAATTGTATTACACTGGATATATTAGGTCTGCTGTGACGCAAGATGAAACAACCGCATTCCAGATAGCATCATTGCGAAGCAACACCCATTGCCTTGCTCAAGGAGCAAACACATCCGGAAAAAGTTGGAAGGTCAAAGCAGCATTGACTTTGGACGATATCGAGCATTCTTCTGGCTTCAACGAGTCCTCGTGGTAAAGTCTAGCCGTCTGGCTGCATCTGGATTCGAATTCCTGGAAAAAAAAATTATATTATACTAGGCAGTTTGGTGAAGGTTTTGCCTCTAACTTGACCAAAAGTCAATAACCAGCGCTCCTGGACGGTTCTTTGGGAAACTACACCTATTTTCATGCTTCGTTATGTCAAAAATTGCGTAAAATCGCTCAAAACACAAAAAAATCTTGGACCAGATTTCGTAAAAATTTTTGTCGAGCTGCTCTAAATCAGAAAACACAATAAAACATACCTTCTTCACTGATCTCCATCCATCTTTCACATTGTTTGATCCATTTTGTACAACAAAAAAACAATTTTTTTATTTTCTGGCAAGAGAGATCTGCCGTGTTGGGTCCCGCAGCGGGAACACTCTTTCTTTGGGCGCTGGCTTACGGAACCTCGCACTTTAACAAGACAATTTGGAGTATCTTTTGAAGTGGACTATCAAAAAATCGAAAGTAAAAGTTGTTGTGTAAAAACCTTTTTTCCCCGAAAACGCTCAAACAAGAAGTCGACAATCTAAAGACTTACATGTATTTTGTAAATTCAACCTTCTGTCCAATTGTATCTTCGGCGGAGAAGTTGTACACACTCATTTTTCAATCCGGAAGATTTGTTTTTCAGTTTGTTGATATGGAATATGTAGGAAAAATAAATTGCCCGAACAAGCAACCTTTTTGTTAAGTAAATCGAAGCGGTTCGAGAAGACAGCTAATCACAAAAATTGTAGTGTTCACGCAATCAAACAAAAAACAAAAATTTACACTTGAATAGTCGCATTTTTTATTGGCAGTATCTGGCATTGGTTACGGTAAAAAGTTAGTTTACTTGTTGTTAGGAAACAGATGGCACTCTGTTTTGAAGGGAGCAATATTTGGAATGTACAGCTTTTTGTAGGGGGAAAAATAAGAAATAAAATTATTGGTTAAGTTCAAGGATGACTCAATCCTTCAAATCGAACGGTTTCCTCTTGGAGATGTCTGCAATTGAATATAAAGATCAACGGAAATCGTAATTATCTCTCTGTCTGGAAAATAATGAGCGTAATGCCGCTGCGCCGATCGCATCGCGGAAGTGAAAAAAAATTTGATTCTGTCATTCATTTTCTCGGCGGCTATGCGATTTTCAAACTGATCGCTCAGTATTTTCCCGACAGACTGATCAAAACCACAAACTAATCTTTAAAAAATTGGCGTCGAAAGTCCGAATCTTCTCTTCCTTTGCATTAATTCACAAAGCAGTCTGTCGGGAAAATAATGAGTGTAGTGTCACTGCGACAATCGAATCGCTAATAAAATGAATCTGTCGCGGCAAGATCAAATTTTAGGACTATTGGAGGTCTAGGATTAGATTTTGAGACAAGGTTGAGAAAGAGGGGACCAATTATCAGTCTGTGCGGGCACAATAACGCTTCGAAAACCGAAGATGCAATTTTCGAAGCGACATTGTCCTCATGATTTTCCCGACAGACTGACAGTACCCAAAAATGCATCTAATATTTCCGAACTGTAATACTTTCTCTTTCTTACCTTGTATTTTTCGAAACTCTTCGGGCGCTGCCCTCAGCAGCAAATTCTTCTCCTTGAGGCTCAATTTTTTATATTCATCGATGGACTCGTTGATCTCTTTTCTTGACGGCATGGAAAACGCCGCCTTCAGTAGCTGAAAATCGAAATCGCAAAGGGCAAAAATATTTCTTCGTTATATCAGCCTGTCGGGAAAATAATGTGCACAATGTCACGTCTAAAATCACATGAAAATCAAATTGTTTTTCACCTCAACAACGCAGCGACATTGTGCCCATTATTTCCCCGACAGACTATTTATTGAACTTACCGTAATCAAAAACCTTGACATTCCTTTGCTCAGTTGCAAGTTTTGGAACGTTTCTCCATTCAACATCAAATATTTATTCATCGTTGCTGGCCGCTGGAATTCGACAATATCACTGGAGTCAATATCCAAATTCTCATAGATTTTCTTGGACTGATGGACTTTTCGGAGATTTTCTGAAATTTTCGTAGATTCCGTGTGTTCGTAGGTGGAGACCTACGTTCATAAGTGGGCATCAGGATCTCCACAAACTTGTCTCCTTTGTGCTTGAGCTCATATTCGGTGGTTTCAATGGCCGCGATGACAGAAGAAACGAAAAAAGTGCCGGCCAAAACCAAGTTGAGAAGAGTCATTTTCTGCCTGGAATTTGGCAATTTTTCAGGGATAATTAAAGGCATAGATCGTTGAAAACAGCTACAAAAGAGCGTTTATGTGGTTTGGAATTATTCTGACAAAGAATCGAAAAAATGATTTTTTCCATAAGCGTGTCGCCGATTTCAGTCCGGCGACTTTCCGGATGAACCAGTAGTACTTTATAGGTCATATCAGCCTGTCGGAAAAATAACGGCGGATTGTCGCACCAAATTTCTCGCCTCAACGCTATTGCGAACCAGACTGATAAATCGAAGAAAAAAGTGATTTTTTGTAGGAAAAAATCCCCACTGGTCTTTTTCCCATACCAAGTCGCCCGACTGAAATCGGCGGCATGCACTGTGCGAAAACAAAAGTTCACTTTGCACTGGGCAATTTCTTGTTTTTTGCACCGTGCAATAGAAATTTTGCGCTGTCGCTCGCACCCTGAATTTTTGCACAGTGCAAACGCCAAAAATCAAGTGACTTTTAGAACGGACTAGTAAGTTGCTGGAATCAAAAACTCCCTCAAACTCTCTAAAAGTGCAATAAACAAGCCTTGTCGAAAAACTCCAACTCCCGCTTTCGCCTCAAAAACCCACACGCATGAGTTCAACAACCCACAACTACATTCTGTCGCCATTCCTTATCAAAATATCCCCCGACCGCCGAACCTCAGCCATTTTTCGTAAATCATTTTCGGATCGGACTGGTTTGTGTTCATGGTCATTTCCGCTGATTAGGAAAGGATCATTCACAGCTTTTCACGCGCCGGCGTTTTTCTGATCCGAGAAAAAACACAAGCTGGGGATGTTGCTTTCGGCGGAAATGACCGGCGGAAATGACCGGCTAATTGGTTGATTTTAATTTCGTATTACGTCTGGAATGTCGGAAATTGCATGTGGAGGAAGTGAGCTAACAGGAAGGGGAACACAAATTTAATCGATTTTCCCGTGGAAGGTGTCGTCTGAAAGCGATCCCCGACATTCGTCATCGATTTTATTTGATGATCAAAAATAAGGGAAACTAAAATAAAAATGGAGAAGAAAGGAAACATGTTTTGCATATAATCCGTTCGTAAAGTTGCTAGAATTGACGAGGCCATTTTTTTTCAAAAAATCCACATTATTTTCCCGACAGACTGACAGCAAATACTAGTCCGTTCGCAAAGTCGCTGGAGTGATTTTAGGCGACGTGCACTGTGCAAAAAAAGTCAAGGTGCGAGCGACAGCCCAAAAAGCTTATTGCACCGTGCAAAAAGAAAGAAATTGCACAGTGCAAAGTAAACTTTTGTTTTGCAACGGTTGCAATTTGGTGAGGGTCAGTTTGTACACCTTGGAAAACGGAATGCCAAGTTTTGTGTTGAGCGAAAAATTTTGACGTGTCTTGTCAGATTCCACGGAACCTGGAGTTATCCACGATGCGTCAGCTCGATGGAATTTATGGAGAGAGAGATGTCCCCCGTGTCAACTGTTTCCCCAGCTGTCTTTCCCCGATGTTCGAGAATGTTCGATGGAGGGATCCCGAAGCGAAGCGCCTGAATCACGGCACCGTAACCTTCTCTCAGGTTTTATCCCATATTGATTAAGTATTGGGTAAAGTTGGAAGTTGACGCCGTTGTTGTTGAGTTGTGTGTTTTTTTTTGTATAGAGGTGTTATTCTAAATTTATTGTAATTGTTTACCTTTCTTGAAAAATGTGTTTGTTCGAGTCAATTATCATTTATTTTTGTGTTGATCCAAAGGGATACGAATAACATCGATTACCTGCTTTCCACATCAGCAACCTTCCACTTGGAAGGCCAAGTAGTTTCAGGTACAGAAGTTGTTGAAGGTAATTGCCTGCAGAAACCACCGCAAGACCACCAGCCATCTCGTTATTTCTTTTCGTATTTCAGTCTAGTCGAAGGTGGAATCGGACCGCTTACTCCCGCGAAACTCCACAGCTTTCGGTCTCTGATAGTGGGACTGAAAACGAAATCTGGACTTTTTACGCGCAGGGTGCAAGTTGTACGTTCTGATTTCTGATACGTAGTCTATCGGCGAGCCTTTTCTCTTCCCGTATTTGCGAATTTGCACAGTTCATGTGGCTCTCGTCCGTGTTAGGAGTCCGCAGTGGAATGTTTCATTTCGGCTGGCAAGGGCGGGCTGCAGTGAGTCGATTAAAACCCGAAGTACATTCAATATCATCCGTGTGCCGTTTGACTTTTCGCAATTATTTTACATAGTGTTTTGTGTGCGCTCTGGCATTTAAATTATTCTTTGGACTATTTTGTTGGGGGTTTTTAAAGTAGACAGGGCTTTTGAGGGTAGAAAAGCATGTTTTTGGACTGTTTCCGGAAATGTCTTGCAAAGAAAGTGAGAAGAGTTGAGATTACAACCTCCTGAAGTTCACGCATGATTTTGAACTTGTCTTCGTCAAAAAGTATTGAGAATTTAGTTCTGGAAAAACGGCATTTTTAATACCTCTTGCGGCTAAAAATCCTGGGAATTTTCTGCTTCTCCTCACCGTGCATTTTGTGCGATTTTTTGCACAATAATTCATATTTCGTAGTGACAACTCATTTCTTGGGGGTGCGACAGATTTTGGGGGACCACGAGACCTCTTAGGATGTCTTGAGTCATTTCAATGGCTCTCCGCAAACCGGGAGTTAAGATTTTGAAAGTTTGTCCTTGCAGTTTTAAAACTAAAAAATGGTCTAATCGGAAATCGTGTAGTTTTGGGAAAACTGCTGTTGAATACAACGCAACTTCTTATTCAATTTATAAACTTCCTCCAATTTTTTAACCTCTTTAGCGTTATTGACAACGTTCGTAAAATGATTATTGCCTCAACAATATTTTGTTCCCAGGGAAAACAGTAATTCGTACACGGTTTGTAGTCTTGTCTGTGGAGTACGAAACCCCGAAATAAAAGTGCATTGACCATCGAGCTTTGTAGCATTTTTAATGCTAAAACGTATCACTTAACAAAAGAAAACACGGCCCACGTCAAACTGAGGAGTCCGTTGACCGGAATAGACTCTTCGCGATCGGTTTTTTATACTTCGTCTTGATTTCGCAGAGAAGGCAGAGAAAAGACGCGCAAAAACGCACTCTCTCGCCTCAAAAATTCCCCATTTCTTCGTCGACACACCGTTTTTTCGCGTCTTTTTTTGGCAAATTGCCAATCCACTCACCGGACTGTTTTAGCTTATCTCAGTTTGACGTGCGGCCTTCAGGTAGTCCTCCTCGCCTCTCGTCCCGTCGCGTTTGTTTGCCCATACACTCCCACCGTCGCGGCTTGGACTTATTGCTCCACCCGGTTGATTATCAATCATCTCTTGCGGGCAATGAGGAAAGAAGATTGAGAAGCATTTGTGGCTCCAAGCGGCATGTCGGATGTGGCGACGACCGAAGCGATAGTGCCAGATAAGAAGCGGCGGCGAAGACGAGGGCGCTACGGTAAGAGGGGGTGCTTAGGGATTTTGAGGGTTTTGTGCCCACAAAAAGGACACGTCTTTGACAACCAAGCTTTTTACTGTCCAAAGGAAAAAAGACCTCAAACTTTGAGCAACGGCCTTTTCTCCTGGGGTTTTGAGGCATTTTGAGCTTTTTTTGGCCATAAAGATTTTTTGGAGCTAGGGTTTACTAAAATAAGCTGAAAGACGAATGCACTTGTCTTTGAGAACCATCTTCTTTACATTCCCTTAGGCAAAAATACGCTAAACTTGAGTATCAATGTCTTTTCCTCCTCTAAACTGCGAAAACATGAAAAAATCCAAATCTTTCCGCTAAAAAATCAATTTCAGACAGAATTATCGAAACATCGTTCCTCCGCCTCTACAGCAATGGCATCACATCGGTGTCAGCAACACTCCAAAAGGCGTACGAAAACTTTTTCAACTATGAATTTACCATAGTCAAACACTGCAACCCAAATGTCAATTTTAATGTCGTCAAGGTGAGCACAATGCATAAAATGTTTTCGCCCATTGTGCTCTGATGTTTGATACGTAGTTTTCGGCGTATCATCTGTGAACTTTTATTTTTTTCAGTACATTGCGCCGGAAAAGAAAAACTACACGGAAGCGTTGCGGATCTCGGTTCCGACGCTATACGAGGCGCTAACCAGCTGCGTGACGGGTCTGTCGTGTCCGGATACGGCGAAATATGTAAGTCACCGTGCGATGATTAGCACATAACGTTGACAAGTTGCAATATCGAGAGGATTTACGTTGCACGTCGAACTGAGTAATCTAAACGGTCCGGTGAACGGACTGGCGATTCGCCAAAAAATTTTTAAAAAACGCGAAAAAACTTTTCGTCGGGGAAGAAATGGGGAATTTTGGGGGCGAGAGAGTACGTTTTTGCGCGTCTTTTCTTTGACTTCTCTGTGAAATCAAGACGAAGTGTAAAAAACCCATAGCGAAGAGTCTACTCCGCTCACCGGACTCCTCAGTTTGACGTGCGTTGATCATGTTTTGTTTTAGGTAAATTTAATCCTAAAAAGCCAGTACGAAGTTCACACTATTCACACGTTTTCAATGACAAGCTCACTATGCTCGGATGGTGGCAATACTTACGTTATAATGCCGGGATATGCGGTTGACCTCAATGACTATGTGGATAAATGGTGGTTCGAAGGGATGACGCTGGAGCCAGCAGTGAAGGAGAGGTACATGGGGTAGGTAGTATATTTTTTGGATATAACTTTTCAAATTTGCGGCTAAAAAAGCTAAAGCCGGAACATAAATATGGTGCGCGTTCCGTTAGGTACTTAAGCCGAATTAAACGACCGTCCGATAAAATTCAAATCTCTGATTATTATGGACCTTAGGATTTCGGCGGCTTCGTCAAAGCGCCAGCTAAAAATGTAGTATATGTTAGAGACAGTGCTATTCCAAATCTGCATCCAGTTTCATTATGATCTGCTTGCCGCACTCTTAACATTTCTTCTGTCAGTTTGCCTATATTGTACCATTTTTTTTCTCAAAGACCACCAAGTACCGAGGATTGTGCAGGGCAACTCACAGTCCCGTACGACAAAACTTCACGATAAAAGAAAATTCAAGAGGTTACTAGAGTCGATTTTGGGCCAGAATGCCGTACTAGTCCATTCGTAAAATCGCTGGGCTGATCGCGGCACCTTGCACTGTGCGAAAACAGAGCTTCTCTTTGTACTGTGAAATTTGCTGCTTTTTGCACCGTGCTGGTTTTTTTCGCTTGTCGCTCGGACCCTGACGTTTCCAGGGCAATGCAAACGCCAAGATTCATTCCAGCGACTTTCCGGACGGACCAGTAATGGAATTCCGTTCAACAAAGCCACCTCCCCCCTGTAACCAATATATTTACTTTTTTTTTGTTTTAACCCATAGTACGAAGTTAACCCATTGTACAAAGTTGTCACTCGTGAAGCGCTTTTATTCCAAAATTTAATTCTTCGATCAAATAGCACCACAATTCGTACGTGATAAACGTCGGGAGGGATAGGCACATTTGCCCATTTTTGTGACGTATACGTTAATCAAAATTTTTATAGTTTTAGATAGGGGCTTTACTTTTCCCGTGAAGTTTACCCACGCAGCTGATAACAATCTTCGAACTGATTGCAATGAAACGAAAAAGCGTCTGATACAGAGGCTTTTTCGATCACTCAGAGTCGTCACTTTCTTAAGAACTTTCAATGTCATCACATTTTTTTGGGGACTATCCCTTTCATCATAGCAAAACTCATACAATGTTTGAGAATGCTCTTAATCAAAAAAAACCAACGTCAGTGTATAAACATGACAAAATTAAAAGTCGAAACGGGTGGCAAAGAAGGTTGCGATACTAACCTAGGATTATGGTACAAACCAGGGAATCATCTATCATCTGTCACTTAAAAAAATAATTATAAGATTTGCATTTTCATAAAGTGCACGGACATTCGTTTTCATAAAAAAATATATGCTAGTACAAGTATAATGCATGTCTGCTACAATGAACCTAAAGCTGCAAAAATATGCAACTTCGACGTTTGGGTTATTTGCAGACTGGTCAACACCTTCACAAACGGTCTCTTACGAATCACGAGGCGACTGACAAAGCTGAAGCTGGACAGGTCCGACACATCCGTCCTGATCTTGCTTTCTGTTTGCAAATTTGGTAAGCTTGAAACGGACAAAACAATGGGGTCTGAATTACCTTTTCTGGGGGGATGAAGTGGGAAACCCCTCAAATTTCTATTGCAAATCACAAATATTTTACTATTTATGTGGCATGTTTATAACTTTCAGCGGAAGAAGACGATGAGAAGTACGCCGATCTTCAAATGTACAAAGACCGTGTGATACGAGAATGGTCCCACAGCATGCAAAAGAAATACAAGGAGGACGCGTGCAGGCGGATGAGGGAGATCATGTTGTTGTACAATGAAATCACGGTAAGAAGACCCATATCGATCACTATTATACATAAATTTCATTTCAGGCATTCCGACTCGAGGCCGCCAACATTGACTTGCAATTCCAGGCACTGCGGGCGACTGGAGCTAAAGTAAGTTGGATACGATTGGGCGCTTCGCAGCTTGCGCCCTGGTTTCCCTGCAGACTGCGTATAAAAACAGGAAACAGCCCAAGCGCTAAACTAGGCCTAAGGCTAAGCCTAAACTAAGCCTAACCTTCCTAAGCCTGAGGCTAAGCCTAAGCATGATATTCCTTGCAACCGGAATTGTTCGGGCGCAAGCTGCAAAACCTTCGTTTCACTGGGACCAGAAAAAGGAAGTTTTACCATGTTATATTATTAACTTTGAATTTCTAGATTCCCCAGCATATTCCATGCATTCAAACCACCGATACGCAGGAAGAAGAGATCAAAGGCAACGAGTGAAATATAACATCAAGTTTTTTGCATCATATATGTATAAAAATTTATATTGTTGTACTGTAGATACTTACTAATTATTAAGCGACTGTTAAAAAATAAATTAATCTGTTTCTATCGATAATGCAATTCAAGACTTCTCATGTCGTGTAATCTCCAGCGACTTGGCAAACGGAATCGTCAAACCCGCCAAAATCGCTAAAAAGTGACACTTGACTCAAAATTAGTGAAACACTTGACGCAAAAGGATTTTTTCCAAAAATATTCCTTTTTTCGCTCGGCCGATCGGATTGGTGTTTTAGATTGAATTTCACTCGATTGAAAATATTTGTTTATAATGGTAAGTATTGATTTTACAGACCTCTTCTGACCTGAATTTGTCAAATTATATTATGCTTGACATTACAATCCATCCAAGTTAACCTAAATTATTTTCAGCTAGTCTTAGTCATAGGCGACTTTCATATTCCCCACAGAGTAGCACAACTGCCTGCTAAATTCAGAAAACTACTCGTTCCGAACAAAATGCAACATGTTTTGGCGACTGGAAACTTATGTACCCGAGCTACGATGGATTATCTGAAATCCTTGGCAAGTGACGTTCATGTGGTTCGTGGAGACTTTGACGATTGCTTAACCTTCCCGAATGACAAGATTATTACCCTGGGACAGTTCAGGATTGGGTTGATTCACGGACATCAGATTATTCCATGGGGAGACGCTGGAGTAAGTTTTGTTTTTATTTTTTGTTGGAATTTTAGGTATGAAGACGGAGGAGAAAAAAAATGAGGCACGGAAGTTAATATTTTTATAATAACGGGCGCTAGAGTGAAAGAAACGGGTTGTTTTATATTGTTTTAGGGTAAGAATTTAGTCTATGAAGTTTTGATCGGAAATTCAATAAAATTGGGAGGGAAATTTGACAAAAGGCTGTTTGGTAGCTGCTGTAGTTGATATTCTAGCTGTAGTAAACGCAAAATTCTAGCTAAATTCTAGAACAAGCTTATTTTTTGCGATTTTTATATTATCCATGGCTCTGGCAGAAAAAATATTGTTTCTTCGGAAGTTTTGATGCGATAAATTTCGAAATGCTTTTAAAATACGATCTAGGAGGTCATATTGATACTTGAAATAAAACTCATCAAGTTGAGGCAGTATTTGAGCTTACTTGTCCCTTTTTTTAGGCAACAGAACTCTTGGCCCGTCAAATGAATGTCGACATCCTCATTACCGGCCATTCTCATGCCTGTGAGATCAAGGAGAAGGATGGTGTCTTCTATGTGAACCCAGGATCCGCAACAGGAGCATACACACCAATGGCTGAAGAGTAAATTTAATTTTTTATATTAATACCTAAAGCAACATAAATTATTTTCATTTTCTCAATTTCAGAGAAGTTGTCCCCTCATTCGTACTTCTGGACATCCAACCCAACCTTGTTGTCGCATATTTGTATCGTTTAGTCAAGGATGAAGTGAAAGTTCAGCGGATCCAGTTCAAAAAGCCTTCGTAATTTCGAATTTTTTTCAATTTCAAAGTGGTATTACTATAATTTATTCAACGAGTATTTATTATTTGGTAATTTTATGTCCTATTTTTTAATTTAGAGAGATAATTGATAAATTTTTTCTTGAATTATACCAATTTTTTGATGTTGCCCTACTGGTTAGTTTAACCGTTATTTTATTTTTCAACTCGGTTGTGAATTGTGGTCAGTCAAGGGGCAGTTGCGTTGATAATCAAAGGAATGGTCTTCTGGGCCGCTGGAGTCTTCAGAAGCTCGGCGATTTCAGGGAAAGTGGCCTTCAAATTGTCCTTGACTTCAGTTTTCAACCCAAGAATAAGTTGGGTCGACTTTTGCAGAGACTCCTTGTTGATGTCAAGAAGCTAAAAGTAGGGTAGATTTGGTTACATGTAACCGCTGTAGCACGAAATTCTATGGCAAGCAAAGTAAGCTTACATCAGTGAAAAATTGAAGGGAATCTGGAGATAATTGGGCTTTCTTGTCCTGAAAAACTGCCTTGGTTTCCTGGAAGGTTTGCTTGGCAAATCCGAAAATAACTGGGGATTTTGATTGGAGGAGAGCTTCGAATTTGGAGAGGTCGGCGAGCTGAGGAAGTTGAAGAGCGATATCTTTGAGGCCAGAAAGTTCAGAGAGCGAAATCTGGGCCAGAAGATGCTTCCAAGGGTGCGGAATGAGGTCTAAAGTACTTTTGACGGCGAAAAATTTTGATTTTGAACTCCTTACCTTGAAGTTTTGGCCCCAATTGATCCAGCAGACTATCGCTTTCGGGTATAGACTTGAAATCAGCCTTTGTTCCAAAGGTCCATTTCTCAAAGCTTCCTGGGACGAAAGCTTGAATTTTTACGGTCAAAATAAAAATCAAAATGGTACAACGGACAGCAGAAGACATTCTGAGCTTGATGATATAACTTTTTTAACGGAAAAATTCTAGTTTCACATTCAAATTCACCAAGTTTGAGGTTTGAACATTTGATCAAACAAGCTTTTGAGATTTCAAACAAAAAAATTGAAATTCACATGGAAAACCAAATGAGCAATTTTTTGTCCGAACTTTATTTGAATAGCTGCAAGGAAAAAGTGTTGTAATTTGGAATTTGAAATTTCTCCAAATCCGAGTTCACAACGGAACAAGATTTTGGCCTCACATGATGACATGCCTGAATTTCGTTGTAGAACAAATATTTGCAATCTTCTGTAGTACATTTGACTCTAGGAGGAACAAAGAATGTTGAGCTTGTTTGAATATCTGATGCAATAATTTGTGCGCACAAATATGCGATATGGTATATAAGCTCACTGTAGATTTGAAAATCCATATCAGAGATCAAAATGTCTTCTGCTTTCCGTCGTATCGTTCTCGCATTGGCTTTGACCGTTAGCATTCAAGCTCATGGCCCACCTGGTATTCAAACCAAACCCGAAGGCGACAGTCTGCTGGAGCAGCTTAGCCCTAAACTTCAAGGTAAGAGGTTGTAAGTTGGTGATCTCGCTAAGTCATTTCGGAAAGATTAAATTGCCTTAGGCCTTCTTCCCGACCCTCTGAAGTCCCTCCTCGCCCAGATTCCCCTTCCTGAACTTTCTGGCCTCAAGGAGATCGCTCCTCAACTTCCTCAGCTCACCGAGTTCTCCAAGCTGGAAGAGCTTCTCCAATCTAAATCCCCAACGATCCTGTCGTTGGCGAAGCAGTTGTTCCAGCAAGCCAAGGACGCATTGGAAGCCAAGAAAGCCCAATTATCTCCAGACTCCCTTCAATTCTTCGCTGATGTAAGCTTGCTTTGTTTGACGTAGAATGCCGTCCCACAGCGCTTACATGCAACCAAATTAACCCTACTTTTAGCTTCTTGGCATCAACAAGGAGTCTCTGAAAAAGTACATCCAACTTATTCTTGGGCTGAAGCCTGAAGTCAAGGAAAATTTGAAGATCACTTTCCCTGAAATCGCCGAGCTTCTGAAGAGCCCAGCGGCTGACAAGAGCATTCCTTTGATTATCAATGCAACTTCTGCTTGAAGCTGGAGCTGGCCACCTGTTTACAGTAAAATTACGAGTTTGGTGTGGTGTCATTTTCGTAATAAAATCTTCATCCTGCGGTTTTTTATTAATGTCTGAATTGGCAAAAAAGTAAGGCTGTAGCGCAATGGACTTTCAAAGCCGGTAGTCATCGGTTTGAACTAATCGTTGCGACTTTATCGACCTTTACAATGCATTAAAATTCGATAGCTTAGGAAGCATTTAAAATTCGCTCTGTCGTTTCCAAATCTTACAGATTTATTTCCGAATTAAAATATTTATCGAGATGACTGTCAGTTTTAAGCTAGCTTGTCATTCGCCTCTGTGCCGTTACGTCACGGACGGCCGTGACTTCCTCGGCCTTTGTAACGTAACTTGAGGTTTTCCCGGTTAGTCTCCTTCGATACGAAGGCACCAACAAAAGCACAGACAAGTTGTTCAGCGTGGGCATGGTTTGCATGCAAGCGTAGCCAATGTATCCATTGTTATTGTTGTTATTTGGATCAAACATTGAGCCCATGATGATTGTCGACATGGGCGCAAAAAACGCGAGCATTGGGTAGACGGCCTGAAATTTGCAGCGGTAGGCACAAACATTAATTTCCAAGCATTATGGATGCCGTAACAGTACTGCTGTGGCGGACCTGATTCAGTGGCAAAAAACGTACCATTTTGCATCGGCGAAGTATCAAAAAATGTAGCAAAATACCTCCCTTTCCAAGTGAAAAAACTCCGACTTCAAAGGCGTCGTTTTGTGAGGTCTTGCACTGACCACGTCCTTCATGACGGAGTTTTTTGTTGTGGAAGGAGGCATTTTGCTACATTTTTTGATACTTCCCGGATGCAAAATAGTCCATTTTTTGCCACTGGATCAGGTTCGCCACTGTACCACCAGTCTGTCGGAAAATAATGAGCGCTCCGTCGCATCGAAGATAAATATGTTGCATCGCCGCGGAGAAAATGAATTGTGTTGCGGCAAGATCAAATCGCTTTCCTTTCAGCGACGCGATCGGCGAAGCGACATTGTGCTTATTATTTTCCCGACAGACTACTAAAATTTACCTGTAAGAACATGACACGGACGACATGTTTTTGAACCTTTAAAGTCTTTTCGTGTACGACATCGCGACGACTTTTCCTCATCGTTTTAATGATCCTGTAACCATAATATACTATCATTGCATATTGAACGAGGAACATTAGTTGCGCATTCAGTAGAATCGGCAGAAACAAGATGCTGTTCTGAATTGCAGAATATGTCGGGATAAAATTTGGATCTCAATAGCGCTTACCCTCTCAAATGCCATAAAGCTCGGCGTATCGTTGATATAAGCGGCGACGTTGGCCAACGACGCATTTGGACGTTCGGCCTCAAACTCGTAAAATACCGTGTATGCGGCGATTATTGCCAGCCATAAAACGAAAATCAAGTAGCGCTTTACATATTGCTTAATGGTAAATTGATGACTTTCGACCATGATATTGCAGCGATACCAAAAATGGACCGCAATATGGGCCGGAATGGAGAGCATGGCGCATACTATTACAATGTTTAAAGCGCAGGCGACCCAGTACGGTAGATTTCGAAGTAACGGATTCTCGATTATACCATACGCATAGGTGGAATCCATATACGGCGCCTGGAATATTCAGAGTGCTCCGGTTAGTGTAAAGGTTGTTGTTATACAGTGACGGACCTGATCCAGTGGCAAGAAACCTTACCATTTTGCATCCTGGAAGTATCAAAAAATGTAGCAAAATGCCTCCCTCTCCAAGTGAAAAAACTTCGTTTTGAAGGGAACCTTTTAAAATCGGATCTTTTCACTTGGAGAGGGAGGTATTTTGCTACATTTTTTGATACTTCCTGGATGCAAAATGGTACGTTTTTTGCCACTGGATCAGGTCTCCAACTGTTGTTATAAGCTTGGTCTGTTCGACTTACGCTCATAGTTATGGTGAACGACAAGGTGTAAAAAAGATCCAGCAATGCGTTGAAACCAATAACTGCGCTGTAATCGTTTTTATTCTTGCTTTTTCGCGATTTCGCCGATACACGTATGACTATTACACATAAAATAATAGATATCACTCCATGAACTGCCGAAAATAGTTGATAAATGAGTCGGAATGGCATCTGGGCTGCAAAAGTAGGCCAATAAAATGGTTTGAACCCCTCAACACTAAGGGGTCAGCTAAGTGTAACAACCTGGGATTAAATAGTAGCCGCTTGGGTATTTATAGCGAACGCTGAGAAAGGCTGGACTGGTTGCAAGTGTTCTCTTAAGACAAAAAAGCAGACTGAGAACAGACTTTGTTTGTTTTTTTATTTTCATGGGAAATTGTAATCTAATTTTGATGTGTTAACTCTACACAATTTTAACTCTTCAATGGCCGTGTACTTTTCCAACATTTACTCAGACGTCTTAAATGCAACATGCATACGTGAAAAATGAGTAAAACCGAATTGGATACGAGAAACAGTTAAAACTGCACGTAGCTGTAATACAGCGCCGGAAACCCGCTTCAAACCATAGAGCAGGGTTTCAATTCCCATTATGTTCCATGGTTCATGGGATAACTATCGTAACCTTTATTGTGTTCAGTCTAAGTCGTATTACAATATCAGTATGTCGGAAAGATAATGAGAACTGTGTCGCATCGAAAATCGCATTGCCGCTGGGAAAATTAATTGTGTCGCTGCGAATGTAATCTTTTTTTTTCTTTGCATCCCTCCTCTGACAAGAAAGGAGTTGCTTTATTTGGAGAGGTGGTACAGTAACGGACCTGATCCAGTGGCACAAAAGTACCATTTAGCATCCGTGAAGTATCAAAAAATATAGCAAAATTCCTCCCTCTTGAACTAACAGGGGAAGTACCCAAAGTGCGACGCTCAGATTTTGATGAAACTTGGCACAAATTTAGGATATTTTTTTCTAAAAAATATGCGAGAATCCTAGCTCGCGCTTTGCAGAAACAATTGAGATTTTTTGGTCGAAAGTTGGCGAAATTTTAACACTTTTTGTTGAATTTCGGCGCGAAAAGTTTTATACCTATTTCTATCATAGAGAGTAATGTTTCCACAAAAAATCAATTTTTTCCGCCCGAAACTGGCAAAGTTATGGCCAAAAAGTGTTTTTCTCTCTGACAGCTCTCCACGTTTAGCGTACTCTCTCGGCGGCAAAGATCGTTCAATATCTCGGCGGCGCTTGCAAAGCGCGAGTTAAAACTTTCAGGAATTGATATTTAACCTATGCCCGACGTGTGTGCAAAATTTAAAGAAAATCTGAGCGTCGCACTTGGGGTACTTCCCTTGTAAGAAACAAACTGTTCTGAAGGGCGCGCCATTTCCTTCACAAATAGAGCGGGTGCGCTTTTGAAATCGGAGTTTTTTTTTAACTTGGAGAGGGAGGTGTTTTGCTACATTTTTTCGTACTTACCGGATACAAAATGGTATATTGTTTGTCACTGGATCTGGTCCGCCACTGTAAGCATTCGTCCTGTTATACAGAAAGAAGGATACTTGCTCTTCCGGAAAGTTGCTGGAGTGATTTTTTACCTTCGCGCTGTGCGAGAAAAGTCAGGGACAAGCGACAGCCCAAAATGCCATTTGCACGGTGCAAAGAGCAAGAATTATTTCATAAAAATAATCCAGGGTTTATCGGCTCTTTCAAATAATTTTATTATTGCCTGCTGCCTTATTCATAGCATTTTTTAAAGCAGTTATGTAACTGCGCCAAGAAGGCAAAATACGGGGAGAAATGCAAAAAATAGGTTGTTTACTGAACTCTAGCACACCAAGTCTTGACGACGAATGTAAGAGATATGATACTGGAGAAAAACTTTTTTTTATTAAAGGCCAAAAGCAAACGACTAATTTTTATATCAGTTTGTCGGGAAAATAATGACCACAATGTCGCTGCGCTGATTCTGTCGCTGAAGCGAAAAGTAATTTTTTTTGTCTGCGGCGATGCGATTTTCGGTGCGACAGAGTGCTCATTATTTTCCCGACAGACTGATAATATTATATAAAAAAAACTATGTTGTTACAGAGTTACTGAGCTCTCAAAACGATTTCCCTTAAATTTCATACTATTGAGCGCTTCATTATGGATCCAGTTGTAGCGTCGTGTCGTCTTGAACGCTGCCTGCAACAAACAATGCTGTACAAAAATTCGCGGTGGGTTCTTATAACAAACAGGGAGAACAGGCCGTTGAAGGTTGGCAGCCATGAGAGCGGCATCATGATGAACAGGCCAAGGTTGCCGTTTCGAACTCGAAAGATCGTGAAGACTACGATTAATGATATTGGAGTGAACGAGCAGAGAAACGCGGTTACACCCTGGAAGAAAGCGTTATAATGGCCCGTACAGCTACTTTATTGTACTTTTTAATTTTACGGCCTATTACCTGGATTAGAATCACAACCGTAAACTGAAATTGCAGCTTCTTAGTGTTCTTGCTTGTCACTCCAACGGACCCATACACGACTCGAAGAATCCTGTACACATAATATACGGAGCACCAAAAGAAGATTGTAGTGATGACACCGACAAAGTAAAAATAATAAAACGCCTCTGGATAAGACTGAAAACAACGTCAGTTTGTCGGGAAAATAATGAGCCCTCTATCGCATCGAAAATCGCATCGCCGCCAAGAAAATGAATGGTATCGCGACAAAATCAAATTGCTTTTCGCTTCAGCGACCCGATCGGCGCTGCGACATTATGCTCATTATTTTCCCGACAGACTGAGAAGTTCACACAGTTTGGAATAAATAACGCCATCCTTGCAAAGGTGTCGTTATTCTACGCATTGCTGGGATAATCCGTGAAATTACAGCTTACCGTGTCCAATGCGTACGCATACGTTTGCTTTCCTTCGGTCGCCCAATATTTGTCGACCTTCGCTAGATAGTACTCGGGTGGGTTTTCTCGGGCCAAACTCAGCGGCCAGACGGAAATTCCACCGCAGATAAGAGAAGCGACTCCGGTTAAAAGTAAATTCCGCTGAAATAAATGACCGCCAACTCCGTGGTCAGTCAGTAGAGAATGGCGATAATGGTACTGCGCCAGCAAGATGTGTAGTCCCATACTGCAGACGAATGCGTGCACTGTATAGAACAGGGGGTATAGGTCGGGAGACACGAACTTCTCCAACCCCTTGGGGATCATTATCATGCAGCCATCGGCCACTAATAACTGCTAAAGAATAGCTCTTGAAATGAAGTTACTTTAGCTACTTACATGTTGTGTCATAAGTTCCACGAATGAAAAGAAGATATCGAAAATTGCCGCAGCCTGTATCATCCGCTCGAACTCCCGGGTGGATCGGCAAGTTGTGGTTCTGATGGCAAGAAGCAAGGTCAGGTTGACCAAAATACCCAGAGCACATCCGGTTGTGTCCCATACCCAATACACAACTTGGATATTCATGTGGTGCTAGGAAAACATTAGTTAGATGTGTCTTATATACTATGGAGCAATATTGTTAGAGAAAAATGAATGCTATATGGTTCAATCGCGGAGAGCAAAAGATTATACGAGCTTGAAAAACTGTTACTTCAAAACACGGACCCACCACGCATCGCGTATTAGTAGGGCTGCAAAATTGAAAGTAGTGCTGCTAATGACGACCGACGCTCTACCTACCTTTGCACGCTTAAGACGATTTAGCGATTATAAAGTACACTACTTTCCATCGATTAATGCATGCATGGGCTCCAATGACAAAACAAACTCATAAGGATTTTTTGCGGACCTAATTGCAAAACAAGGACAAGAGCCGATTATGAAGTTACGAGTTAATTTGTTTTGGGCAAGATATAAAATCTTTGTTCTTTTAATTGTACGGTAATCAAGTGCCATGTTTTTTTCGAACTTGCTCTTACCATTGTACCTTTCGGCTTCGGTGCGCCACTGGAAGAAATGCTAGCTTTGACGAATAGACCCAATCGTACAAAACTACCATCTAGGAAACATACAGCTTACAATAACCCCTGCGACAATGGTGATTTTAACAGAAGGGTATGTAGAATAAAGTAATAAGATCATGGCAAGTTGTTATAATAATGTTCTAACACGACCGCGGCCGGAAAACCCACGCGTCGCACAGCGGGCTTTGCATTTCTGGCATGCATATTTAATTTCAAATTAACAGCTCCAAAAGTAAAGAGATTTGCATAATCTTATTGTTCAATTTCTATAGTAATTAAATACAGTATGCTAGAAATTGACTGCTGGAATGTTGTGCATAAGCCTCTATTTCTTTTTAAGTTTTACTTGTAATTTTTCTGCACAAAAAAGCAGAAACCGGCTTTAAGGTAGGCATACTGACGACCGTTATAATATAATCCAACTTTTAGGAGCCAGCCATGTATGCCGAATCATGACAACCAACACAAGTTCCAACACCAAGTCGATTGCTGTTCCTAGGATAACCCATGGATGAAGTTCGTCGTGTATGGAAGAAACATCAATGAGAAGATTTGTTAATATCAACTACTTAATGTCTGCAGGGGCATTAGGTGCATCTACCGCTTCTAATAGCTTGACGTAGCCGTTGTGCTCATTTTGAAACTGCCCAGAAACAAACTATTATTTCATGCATTGACGATATTTTTTGATCACATGTGTATAACGAGAAGATTCCACACGTTTTTAGCGGGAAAAATTTATTCTGGCAGCCAAGACTTCTTACGTTTGATACGAACCGGATATTACCATAATACTCTTCCTTGAATGACATCCAATGAACTGAAAAATGAATTCTCGATACTTCTTGATAACCAGCAACGAGAAGAGCCCATTGGCGACCGGAAGCCATGCGAGTGGAATCATGGCGAGCAGCCCAAATCGCTCAAAACGAAACCGCAACAACGTTGTGACGGTGATGACAGTGAACGGGATGACGCTAAAGAGGAATGTATTCAGGCCCTGAAAAGTTTGTAGCCACTACTTTGCCGATTACCTGCAGAATAATAACGCGTGTAAATTGGTTCTGCATTGACCTTGTTTTATTGGTAATCGAGTACTCGTTTGTTTTTAAGAACCTCAACATCTTTAGTGCATAGTGCATTGCCAGTGAAAGGGAGAGACCACTGGTGACCGCCAGATAAATATAAAACAAAAATGGCACCCAATTGGCCTGAAAATTGCATAAACTTTTTCATTGTTTTGTTGACTTACAGTATTCACATTGTAGATGTAAGTATCCGGTCCCTCGGTGAACCAGTTCAACTCAAAAACGGCTCGTAATTCGTCATATGTGAAGGGCTGCCCGTAATTTAGTGTAAAACATGCAAAAACACTGCAGCTTGCCGAAGCCAAACATGCAATCCCAATGTTCCTCAGCAGTGTGTGCAGTGTTACGTTGTTGGGGCTAAAGCATTGGTTTCATTACTATTGATGGGTTTTTTCCGGAGAGGCATTTGACGAATAGGACACCTTGGCCAAAAGCTATCGGTTTTTTACACTTCGTCTTGATTTCATACAGAAGTCAGAGAAAAAGACGCGCAAAAACGTACCCTCTTACCCAAAATCCCCATTTCTTTCCCGACTAGTAACTTTTAGTCGCGACTAAAAGTTTTTTCGGGTCTTTTTTGGCGGATTGCCAAACTATTCACCGGACCGTTTGAGCCTATCCCTTGCCATATTATTTTTCTCAACCTTCACTATTCATCACAAGCTGCCCTGTTCGGATCCAACCCAACTGATCCGAGGTCATCGTTGCAACTTACTTTGTCAACAGCTGATATCGATACAAATACTGAACAGGTAAAATGAACGACCCGAATATGCTGAGGAATATGTGCGGAGCAAGAAAGACGGCTTTCAAGTCGTGGCTGAGGTAGCGCTCAACGCCTTTCGGCATCACAAACAGCATACCATCGGTGATCAAGAGCTCCTGAAATGGGCATGTATTTATGTAAGTAACAATTGTGATTTCCGATGAAAGTTTTCGGAAATCATAAACTGCGGCTGAAGCATTAGTGCAGGACTACGAAAAGGCGAGATATTTTACTGCTATGTACCAGTCGCGCCATAAAGTCCTGACACACTTTATCGCGGGTGTAGCGCGAAAGTTCACGTCGCTAGTGCAAAAACACGGAATTGCCGCGACGGGTGCGAAAGGAAAACAAAAGCGCACCGTGCAAATGTGTATGCGTTTCACTTCAGAAACACGATTAGCGCAGCGACATTGCGATCATTATTTTTCCGGCAAACTGATAAAAACAAACTTACATGTTGAACGCACACCTCAAACAAGCTAAAGCAAAAGTCGTAAATTGAGGAGATAAGCAGAATCCGCGACAAGGCCCGGATCTCCCCTTTTGCATTTTTATATACGACTACAAGGACGACCGCGTTTATGAACACGCCTGTTCCCGTGCCCGAAACAACGAATAACCGATAGAGGTCGTAGTTTGGCATCTGCAATGTACGAATGAGCCGTGCAGCCAACAGCGCAATTACCGGTGTTACAAAAGTCATGTAGGGGTTGAAAAGGCGTTTTCTGAGAGCTGCGGTAATCGGTAAACTAATTACGAGCTGGTGGCTGTTTACCATTGTTAGACGGGGTAAAGATTATAAAGATTATGCGGAATCTCGTCGATTGGGAAAAATGAATCAACTAACTATACAGGGTGCGCCAAAAATATTGGGACTCATATTTTTACTTGCCCTGCGGGCTGTAATGGTACAAGAGCAAAGTGGTCGCTTGTGCAAACGTGCAATGCTCCCAAGAATCTGTCTTCAAAGTTTCAGACAGAGTAGTCGTATACGACACCTGTTCTGCCATTATAAGCGCTCACAACTAAGGCCCCTGAGACACGGACCCCAAAATGGATAAAAATTGGAAACTCTAGTTTTACCGTTGCATGTTATGGCAGAAATTCACTTTATATGACAGAGTAGCGGTCGCTGTTTATACACTAAAAATGATTTTTACTTATAATGACGATTACATCTTTTACAGCCCGTCAAAGTCGGCCTAAAAACGCGCCCTTTACCAGAAAACTTCCGTAAGATCAAAGATTTTTATGTAGAAGTTTCGATGTAAGGTTCCCAGCGTATTAGGCATCCGAGATACTTTTATAAGGACAACGAGAGTCTGACTAGTCGTGTTTGAAAAATTATTTTTTTATCTTCTACCTCTGGGGGATGAAATAGTGACTACAGCGGTAGAATTTACTCTAAGGTTGCTCGTCAAGTGAGCTTGGACTGAAGATCGCCAAAAGTAATTCAGTTGTGTCAGCATGTATCCCGAGTACAGCGTTACGTCGATTTTTACGCTCAAGTACTTTTCAACATGTAGTAAACTGCGAAAATATATCAAGCTTCGAAGGGCCGTGCCTCCAATCCGCACCATAAAGTTTTTTCCATACAGAAACTGTCCCCTTGTAGGTGTAGATTTTCTTTTACAGTATGACGATTCCCTATGTACACACTCTATAACCACAAAATTTTAGAGCAACACGGGCGATACTGTGGTATTGAGATCGTTAAAAACATAAAAATCCGAACTTTCGGGATTTTTTTTTTGTTTTTTCGACCAGCGCCGCCAAATCGGTCGTCAACCATGATTACATACGTTGTTACGCAGTTAATAGCATGTGCTTTATACACAATAAATTTGAAGGATCTTACTTTCCCTTAGTGGAAATAATGGCCAAATTGATTTCCCGGTCATCCACTTGAAAAGAAGATTTTGGTCCCCCAAAAAATTTTGAATATTTTTTCAAGTTTGCAATAGGCCCCAACCCTGGCATTACCGTTGCCATATAGCAAGACTGTTACCCTTGCTAAAACGGCCAAAAGTTTTGATTCCAAGGCCAGCCGAAAAAAGCTACACGGAATTGATTTTTGTCCCAATATTTTTGGCGCACCCTGTAAGGGCATGGCCGGTTGAAAGAGACTCTGGGAGGATGCGCTAGCGATGTATGCTTTTGGTTTGCGACAAGGCAAAAAATGAGTTTTTTTCGCATACCGTTGATTACCTTGTCGATATTTTGCTGACTATAGCGTTGAATATCTAAGTGCTATATGCACTATATATCGCTTAAAATTATTCTTGGTCTTTACTGCTCTGCCAGCTGTATTTATTAAAGCGAGCACTTTAACATCTGACTGAATTTTCACTAACTCAATTTTGATGTCGAAACAGCCGTGTTTTGCAGCCTGACTCAAGCGTCGTCATGTCTCAATTTGAAGAAACGCACTCACTAATTACCGGCAAATTAAACACCACTTGTGCCCTGAAGAAGTGAAAGAAGCGCTGTTTATTGACTTATAAAAAAGAACGGACTAGTAAAATACAGTTTACTACACATTAATATTTTTCCTCATCATTTTTTGAATCCACCGTTTGGCCCGCTGACGGTGTGGTCTTGGACATTTCGGAAATAAGAGAGCGTCTACAGCACAGCGTCTGCAACAAGTAATTCCGATGTCGGCTGACCACAGTCAACGAAAACATCCCGTTGACGAAGGGAAGCCAGCACAGCGGCATCATCACCAGCATCCCGAGGACTGGCCAATCGCCGTGGAAGAGGACACCCATGCAGACAACGCTCAGTGGAATAAAGGCGAAGAGGAAGGTGTCGATGCCCTGGAAGTTGGAAATTGTAATTCTGTTTTACAGCAAGAATACTAGATTGCCGTCTCAGCGGACGGTGCAAACGAGCAAGGCAGCTGTGGTTATGTCGTGACCGTACAGTTTGTGCCCTCCGTTCTCTGCTCATTGTGTGTATTAGAAACAGGTAGCCGCGAGGGAGCAAAAGCACAGATTTTATCAAAAATTCAAACGCTGTGAGTACTTCCCTTGTCAACACAAAACTTTTAATTTATGGAAGGGAAGTGCAATAAAGTTCGCAAAAGGTTTGCGAACACGAACAACGTGGAAGGCTTGAGAGGTTCCCAAGAATTAGCATAAACCGACCGATCTTGATATACAGTGGCGGAAAATGGTACGTTTTTATCCAGTGGCAAAAAACGTACCATTTTGCATCCGGAAAGTAACAAAAAATGTTGCAAAACACCTCCCTCTCAAAGTGAAAATCCGATTTCAAAAACCCGCTCTTTTGTGAGGGTCCTTCAAAAGAAAGTGTTTTAGTTGAAGATCGAAGCATTTTGCTACATTTTATCTACTTCCCGAGTGGAAAACGGTTCGTTTTTTGCCACTGAATCAGGTCGTCACTATAAATATGTATAATGGACCGATCACCTTGAGGTCACTTTTTTTCCTCTCTCCCGAAAAAAGTATAATTTTAATCACGTGTCTAACTCTCTGGTTAGCTTCTCGGTTGTTCTCCAACTGGATCAAGACCCGTGAGTTCATTGTTTTTGTCACCAGTTTTCAGCTAGTATATGTTTATTAATATCTTATTAGCATCTACTAGTCGTGTATAATAGAATAGCGTTAGACGCCCTCAATTCTTGACCTAACAGTAGGTCTTCACAATTAACTGCACGTGACTCACGACTAAAACCTACTTGTATAATGATGACTCGAGTGAACTGCTGCTGCATTTTCCTGGTCCTCTTGCTGCTGGTGGTTGATGTGGAGTTCATGAAGCGAACGATTTTGTAGATGTAATAGAGTGAGGCGGTAAAGAAGATATTGGAGAACACGCCGGCAAAGTGAAAGTAAAGCGAAGACGCTTCGTCTGCCTAAAAATTTCGAATTTAAGTCGTAATTTTTCGTATTCACGGTTTAGAGTGGATCCCGTCGGGCCTTACCGTGTCCACCGCATACATGTACGTGCTGTTGCCTTCGGTCAGCCAAGCCGGGTCCACCTGTTCCATATAATATTCCGGAGGCAGTTGTCTTGAGTGGTAGAGACCGATTGTACCCGCGGTTGCGCATGCGCACGCAGCTAACGCGGCGACGATGAGACTGCGGACGAGTGTGTAGCCCGTGACTTTATTTGGACTGAAATTGAGTATATCAGTCTGTCGGGGAAATAGTGAGCTCTATCGCATCGAAAATTGCATCGCCGCGGAGAAAATTAATTGTTTTGTGACAAAATCAAGCAAACTTTACTTCAGCAACGCGATTGGCACAGTGGCATTGTGCTCATTATTTTCCCGACAGTCCGATATGAGTCTGGCGTGAACAGTAATGTGGAATTATATGCAAAATTTTTTGTCTCGTTGTAGCAGCGCTTCCAATCCACAGCTAGCCGTCGCGATTCCACCCCGCATGGAATCCACATAGTTTTCCCTACGGACTGATATTCACAGGAACAAACAAAGAATAGTACAAATTTTACTAACCTTGTGATTAGCATGTAGCGGTAGTAGTACTGTGCCGGAAGAATAAAACAGCCCATAGTGCATAGGAAAAGATGCGGAAAGAAGAACAGCGGATACAAGCCGTGGTCGAGGCATTTCTCTACTCCTTTCGGAATGACGAACATTATGCCATTCTTCAGGATGACTTGCTGAAACATAAAAATATAGGAAACTGAGATGGAAAACTGTTCGTTTTTTGCGAATTTATCCATAACTCAACAAATAGGTCTGTCGGGAAAATAATGTGAATTTGTCGCATCAAGTCCCCAGCCGCGGCAAGCTGTTGCAAAGCGATGATGGGCGATTCCAAGGCTCAACGAATCCACATTATTTTCCCGACAGACTGATGTTTATATACAAGGACCATTAAATATCAGTCTGTCGGGAAAACAATGAGCCCTCTGTCGCATCGAAAACCGCATGCCGCCGAAAAATTGAATTACGTCGCGGCAAAATCAAATTTCTTTTCACTTCAGCGACCCGATCGGCTCAGCGACATTATGCTTACTATTTTCCCGACAAACTGACATTAACACTTACATGTTGCTCCACAAATTCGCAGGCACTAAAAAGCGCATCGTACGTCGCCGTGGCCATCAGCATCCTTCCATAGGCACTTGTGGAGCTTGTTGTCGTCTTGTAGATCACAAACAACACCAGCAAATTGACCAAAACGCCGCTGGTGGAGCCCGCGGTATCGCTGATCCAATAGAAGAACTGTAGGTCAAGCATAGGGCACGAGAGAACAGGAAGACTGCGGCTCGGTCCCGTAATACCACTGCACTAATATTCCTGTTTATGCGTGTGTATTAGTGCAATAGGAACTTAAATCTAATCTGTTTTTCGTAACGCATTCTTAACCGGCCGCTGCAGCAATAATCTCGTTCTATCTAATAACTGCTTTACGGCAATTGTCAGACAACAACCCAATTGCACTTGGATTATTAGGTCAGGATCTTAGGCATTTCATTTTTGTGTCAAAGTACTAGGTTGTTTGGAAAGTCTCTACTTTCGAAACTCAACGGTTTCAATAGTACTTGTGAACAGTTCAGTCCATAAAGATCCACAGGGAAGTTTTAGAAGCGCGACGAAATTTTTATGAAAATTGCGAAAAAGGGGGACGAAGAGGAATATTTTTTTTTGGGTTGCCACAGAAATTATTTCTATGGTAAAGCGACCAAGGCAGATTGTGATAAATCTTAAAAGATCCGCGTTGGTCTCCTCTTGCCATATCAATTTCTTTGTAAAACCAAAAAGTCCGCCTTGATTCATTCTTTTTTTGGCAATCAAAAGAAATTATTCTGAAAAAGTCAGACTTGGTCTCCCTTTACCATATCATTTCTTTCTCAAGGTACCCTCTTCTTTCGGTGCCCTGTTCGCCCAGGCACCGCTCTTCGACCAGGTGCTCTCGTCGCCCAGGTACCCTCTGCACCCGGGTGCCCTCTTCGCCCGGGTACCATTTTCACCCAGGTACCCTCCTCGCCCTGGTGCCCTCTTTGCCCAATACCCTCTTCTTTAGGTGCCCCCTTCGCCCGGGTGCCCTCTTCGCCCAGGTACCATTTACGCAAAAGTACTCTTTTCGCCGGCTACCCTCTTCGCCCAGGTGCTCTCTTCGCCGGGGTACTATTTTCTCCCAGGTACCCTCTTTGCCAGGTACTCTCTTTTTTAGGTGTTTCTTCTAATCCCTTCTTCCTGATGCCCTCTTCGAATCAAATCCTTGAAACACCCCATACTAACACTAAGTCCAACTCTGTACATCCCATTTATTCACTCAGTAATATTTACAAGAATCAGTCCAATACAGACGATGTGGTGTTTCGGAAGGCCGATGCTGGGGTCCTTGAAGTCTTTGTTGGCTCGACTTTGATCGTAATTCGACAGCAAATGGAATCCAGCAAAAAGTATCGGTGCCGTTGTATCACGAAAAGCGACAACATCCCATTAGCGGTGGGCAGCCACGACAAGGGGATAATAACGAGTAAGCCGAGCATCTCCCAGTCACTGTGGCTCGTAATGCCCATGCTAACAATACTCAGCGGAATAAACGCGAATAGTAATGTGGCTATGCCCTAAAAAGGTGTTTTTGGTATATTTTATTGAGTTTTTATGGTAGATTCATAGGAATCACCGCCTTGCCTGAATAATGATGACCTTGGTGAACTGCTGCTGCATCTTCTTGGTCTTCTCGCTCCGAATATTGGAAGTGGCGTTCATATACTTGACTATTTTGTAGATAAAAAACACGGCGGCAATGAATGAAATGTTCGCGAAGGCTCCGGTCGTTTTGAAATGAAGATCCGATGCAAGGTCTGCCTGAAATCTCAAAAATCTCAAGGCCATTATAAGCTTATGCCATGAGCTTTGTTTCAAAAGAAAAATGGTCAAAGTGCGACGCTCAGATTTCGATGAAACTTGGCACAAATTTAGATTAATCCTTTGAAAGACGTATTCAAGATTCCTAGCTTCCACTTTGCAGAAAACGACGGGGATTTTTAGGCTGAAATTTGAAAAAAATGCGACGCTTTTTGGCGAACTTTGGCATGAAAATTATGTGTATTAATACCGCAAAAATGTAATGTTTCCACAAAAAAAGCAATTTCTTCCGAGCGAGGCAGTGAAAAATATGGCCAAAAAAGTGTTTTTTCCGACCGCTCTCCGCGTATTCTCCCGGCCGAAAAGATCGGTCAATATCTCGGTCGCGTCTGGAAAGCGCAAGCTAAAATTTTCTGGAATTGATCTGCAGCCTATTCCCAGAATGTACGTAAAATTAACAGAAAATCTGAACTTCGCATGTTGTATTATATCACCCTCTTGTCATTTGACTTACCGTATCAATCGCAATGAGATATGTATTCCTTCCTTCTGGCAACCAGTAATCCGGCATTTGTGACATGTAGTATTCTCTTCCTCGCTTCGCAGAATAACTTTCGCCGACTACTCCAAATCCTGCAGAGACAATGGCTGCAACCGCTGAGACAAAAATGGCTCTTAGTAAGGTGTAGCCATTCACTTTCGTGGCGCTGAAATTGGGTTATACTTGCTCGTTCGCAAAACCGCTGAAGTGATTTTTGGTGCAAGAAATCCAAATTAGTTTCCCGGCTGACCAATCTAGACCGTTCGGAAAGCCGCTAGAGTGATTTCAGCGACCTGAACAGTGCAAAAAATCAGAGTGCCGACCCAAAAAAGCCCATTGCACATGTCTTTCATAGAGGTTTCACAGTAACGATTTTTCAAAACTTACTCCAACAACAGCCTGTATCGATAAAAGTACTGAGCGGGCAGCATGAAGCAGCTCATGTTGCTAAGGCACAAATGAAAGAAGAGAAAGATGGGACACCATTCATGGCCAACATCTTTTTCCATTCCTCGCGGCACAATAATCAATGTTCCGTTGGTGAGCAGTAGCTGCTGAAAATGAAGTTTTATTTGTCGTAATGTCTGCGCACTTTCTTGTAAGGGCAATCGAAGAAGTTGATGATTGAACCTTGCGAAGGTAATGGCCAATAATTTAAGGTTTTATTGCGTTCTGAATGCAAAAAAATGGGGGTATTTATGTCAGCAAAGTAACAGTGACACTCGGCAACGCAGCTTCCGAAACAACAATGCAATTACAGGATTTTTATTGACAAGGCAGGTACCCCAAGTACGACGCCCAAATTTTCTTCACATTTTCCGTAAACGACTGGCACAGGCCCCATAAGAATCCATGAAAAAATACTAGCTTGTGCTTTGCGGGCACAGTCGAGATGTTCAACGATCTTTAGGGCCAAGAGAGCAACCAAAACTCAGAGAGTGATCGGAGAGAAAAACTTAAAAAATTGTCGTTTTTTATGAACTTTCAGCCTTAAAATCTCGGTTCTTTCTGCAAAGCGCAAGCTAGCAGTCTCGCAGATATTTTCGGAAAAATTAATTGGAAATTTGTGCCAATTTTCACCAACTTTCATGAAAGTCCTTGCACTTGAAATGCTCGAAATTCACAGAAATCCTTTAAAAAAGTTTCATACTGCAACATCGCTTGAGAAATGCACCATGCGAAAACTTCTTTAAAAAAATTCATAATACCACCCAAACTTACATGCTGCTGCAAGATCTCACAGAGGCTGTAGAGCGTATCATACACAGCCGACGCAATCAGCATTCTCCCATACGCACTTGTGGACTTTGTCGCGGTCTTGCGAATCACGAACAGCACCATCAGGTTGACAATGATCCCACAAGCGGAGCCGAGCACGTCGCTGATCCGGTAGCCGAATTGAAAAGTCAGCATTTTCAAGGTCTCTTTGTCGTGCAGAACACGGAAATGGAGTGTCACAAAACAGTCGTCCAAATTTAGAGGTCTATAAAAGTTGGTACGGAGAGGTAATTCAATACGTTTTATGAAACAACGCGCCCAAAAATTGAAAGGTTTAACGGAACTTGATTAGTTCGAATGACGGAAATTGCTAACAATGTTTTGTGACCCCGCAAACATGCCTTTTTTTTGAATGTAAAGGTCTAAATGGTAATTGGAATAAAGCCTTAAAAGATATTTCGTAAAGATATACGTGCTGTACTACTAATGTTTTCATAAAGTGCGTAGACTTTGCACTGTGCGTTTTTCTAGAATTTCTACACCTGCCGCCGCAATTTACGGTCTTGCCAGTAGCGACACTCATGGGTTCACAACATTGAGATAACTCTTCCTTTGTTAACAACAGTATAATAGCAAGGTCGCTGCGCCGATCGCCGGATTGCCGCGAAACACTCCATTCTCTCGGCGGTGATGCGATTTTCGATGCGACGGAGTGCTGATTATCTTCCTGATAGACTGATACTATACACCGCCCGTAAAGTCGCTGTGGTGATTTCGGAGACATGCACTGTTCGAAAAAACTGAGGGTGCCAGCGACATCCCAAAAGCTGATTTGTACCGTGCAAAGAAAAATTGCCTGTGCGTTATATCGCTCTGCAACTGCAAGCCGCGGCTGGGGATTTGGTGCGCGATAGCGGCGAGGCGAGACATTTTGGTGCGACGATCCGCCGTTATTTTTCCGACAGACTGATATTGCGCTCTCTCATAGTGCAGGTCACCGAAATCACTCCAGTACGGACCACTATCAGTCTGTCGAGGAAATAATGTGGAGTTGTAAATGCAACAAACGTCTCGCTTTGTCACAGTCGCCCACCAAGTCTCCAGGCGCGGTTAGCCGTCGCAATGCGATGGTGGGTGATTGCGAAGAACCCACAGTGAGAAATGCGGTACATTGCTCTACAGTAGGTCAAAAATTAAGGTTTCTGCTGCCTCGAGAAGCCACTGTTGGACATCGAAAAATATCAGCCTTAGGAAACTCTGTACAATGAACTTGCATTGAACGAAGTCTGTCTATAACAGACAATTTTTCGGGGTCCGAAAAGTAATTTTCAGAAGAAAATGAAGCTCCGACAAACAAATCGTTTCTATAACGAGTAACCTGTTATTTCTTGTAGTCCTATTGTTGTACAGGGATTACTGTATAGGGATTACTGTAAAAAAAAGGACCACAAAAAGACTGTACCGAAGTTACTAACAACGAATGAGAAAAAACCGAAGTTCATACTGCTCCTCCTGAAAGAACAGTACGGTCTGGACGCGGCCCAACGAATCAGCAAAGTCCATGGAGCGCGGTATTTACATACATACTTTTTAATTCTAATGCACTATTAGGAACCGCTGAACGTGGAATAAAGTTACCTCGTTCGCTAATTAAATATTAAATAATCATTGAAGGGCCATGTGTAGGAGTCAAACTGAATTTTGAAGGCAACACTGGGTTCCACATAACATACGAACAGTTCGTGCGCAAAACAGAACTCGGTTATTATTAGGTTTGTGACTTCACGGTTTTTGAAACGAAACGGTAGCGTTCCAAGTGCAACGTCTAAGATTCGCGGAGCGTTGAAAATTTTGCAGATGTGATCTAGCTTGGCCAGACAGCGATTGCTGACGAAAAATAGCGATAAAGTCGGGGGATTTTGCGTTTTTTTCAGCGCTAGGCTGATGCTGTGAAAGGTTATTTGCTGTGGAAACATTACCATATACGGTAGAAAGAACCCCAGAACTTATGATAGCAAAATTCGCAAAAAAGGATGTCACATTTTTTTCAACTTTTGACCTAAAAATCTTGGTCGTTTCTGCAAGCCTCGAGCCCTCCCTTCTCTATAACATACAAATACGATATGACAATGCTGTAATTTGATTTATTTGGTACCCGTTTCAAAATATTATATACAGACATCGATTTCACAACCATAATCAATCATAATGCAATAGTTAAATTTGCGCAGTAATTTCTTGAGTATTTGGTAAAACAATTAAAAAAGAACAGATCATGCGGACAAAAGCTTAGAATTGCGGTAGATGCAAGGAGAATGCGATAATGAAATTTACAAACATTATAGAGCTGATGAAAGTAACCGGTGAGCAGATCAAAGGGCGAACTCGGGAGAGGTAGCGTTTTTCTCGGGGTGTAGCTATGTTTAAAGCAAAATTTCAGCAAAATCTCGGTGGGAAATGCTCTGATAAGGCCAGAATTGTCGATACGATTTTTTTATCGACAGTTACAAAAAACGTAGGGGCCAAAAAGGTCCGCTGAGCAAAAAGGTCCGCAAAAAAATTGTTTTCTTACCGCGGTGGGATCTGGATGGGGGTCTGATCTATTGGTAAAAAACGTGCCATTTTGCATTCGAGAAGTATCAAAAATGTGGCAAAATACATACCTCCCTCTAAAAACTAAGAATACTCCGTTTTTAATGGCCCCTTTTTTCACAAAAAGAGGGGCGCGCTTTTGAAATCTGAGTTTTTTCACCTGAAGAGGGTGGTATTTTGCTGCATTTTTGATACTTCCCGGATGCAAAATGGCATGTTTTTTCCAATGGATCAGGTCCGCCACTGTAGAGCCTACTGAGTTAAGAAAACATTTTTTCGGACTTTTTCCGCCGATTTTCTTGTACCAACAACAAAAAAAAGTTTGCTAAATACAAGCTTTTGACCTCACTCGCCTCTAAACTCATCACTTCAACAAGAAACATCCTATGTTAGGTCCAAAATTTGAGCTTTTCCCAGCGAGATTCCCCTTAAATTCAGATGCTATCCCTTCCCGAGTCATCGTGATGCTCTTTGAACGGCACCGCCGTTATATGAATCGTACTCTCGTTGAGTCCCATCCGATTCTGCGCCGTGTTCAGACACACCCCCATTGAGGGCTTGTGCGGGTACTCCGAAGGCGACAATCGCAGCAAACTCTGATCATCCAGAATGGCGTGCTGTGGAATGATGGTAGTTGGCCGATGATAGGTCCCATTCTGGCCGCTATTTTGACTGGGCCCGCGAATAATTCGTTGCGCTCGCACACCGCCATGATAATGTCGCCAGGGCACATCGTAGCCCGAGTCGGAGGAGGAGGTGTTCTGTGTGGACGGGGAGCAACTAGAGGACTCGGAGCGTCGCACCGACCGCGCTAGCCGACGATTTATCCGACACATGATGAGGCAGGCGGCGAAGAGGGCCAGTGAGATCAGGGTGGAGACAATGCAGATGACACTGAGCAGAGTCGGAGAGATGTCTTGTTGCTCCTTGTCCTCGGCGATAATCGACTCGGCGTTGAAGATGCACCAAGGACAAGCGTTTTCGTGCACGCTGACATGGATCAGGGCACGGAAACAGTTGCCTTTCAAGTGGAGATGGTAGATCTTGCGGTCTCCTCCCTGAAAAATGATGGTTCAGTAAGTTGTAAGTGTATCATTTTTAAGGGCTCTAACATGATTTTTCAGCGAAAATAAGATTTTTCAATGCCTTCGTCATCAATATCAGTCTGTCGGATAAATAATAAGTATATCAGTCTGGCGGATAAATAATAAGTAAAAAATAATAGTCGCAACGCCAATCGAGGTGGCTGAAGTGAAAAACAAGTTGATTTTTGCCACGACACAATTCATTTTCTCAGCTGCGATGCGATTTCGCTGCGACAGAGTACTCATTATTTTCCTGACAGACTGATTCTTGACGATCTTTTTACTATTATAACATATTCTGGACCGCTTTTGACTTAAAATCTGGATATTTTCGATGCTTTCTCATTTTATATTGCAAAAATCAAGCTGCCCTTCCCTCCCCTCGCCTCCAGATTATGTCATTTAATCTGCAGAGTGCCATTATTCATGGCTTGAGAGGAGGGATTCGGTTGCGCAACGGCCCTGCTAACGCCATGGATATAATAGACTTGGGGTTCTTGGATTACATAATGCCCTAATTAAACATTCACACAAAAACTGCGGAGAATTGGGAGGCTAAAAATGAAGGGTAATAAAGAAGTTGGCAAAACTATAATATTGTATCAGTCTGTCGGGAAAATAATGAGCGAAACGTCGGATCGAAAATCGCGTCGCCGCCGAGAAAATGAATTGTCTTCGTGGCGTCGTCAAATTGCTTTTCATTTCAGAAAATGTGTCAGGACTTTATGTCGCGACTAGTATCAGCCTGTGGGGGAAAATAATGAGAATTCTGTCGATGCGCTAATCGAGGTCGCCGAATTGAAAACCAATCTGATTTTGTCACAACACAATCCATTTTCTTGGCGGCGATGCGATTTTCGCGTCGGCAGGGTGCTCATTATTTTCCCAACCGACTGACATTGCATTTTTTGCGGTAAAAATCTCGCTTATGTCCCTTGTGACTCAAGCTGGTTAATGATTCAAGTTTTTCGTATATAACTTAAAAATCATCTCAAGACCGCATTCTACTTACCCCATCCTCCGCGGGCACCATCAACTGCTCATTGGTGGAGTTGTCGCAGATCCGTACAAAGTTGAAGGCCGGATCAGTGCCGCTGATCTCCGCCGACACAATGATGTCGCTGAGGCGCACCGGCTCCAACGGATTGCTCACGATCCGATCCAAGATACCATCCTGCAATTAACGAGGCGTCAGATCGTAAAATTGGACAATAAAATTAGCGTTTGGGTCTTTGAGGGAGATGGTGATGAGAGAGATAAAGAAAAGGGTATGGAGATTCATATCTAGAGAAAGAGATGTTTGAAACTAGATGACTTTGAACTTCCATGGCTAATTTTGTTTTTGGCAAAAATTGACGGCATATGGCTAATGTAATTCTGTTTAGGAAATTGCGAAAAGTAATGAAATAAAAGTGTCACAAGATTGAAAAAGTAAGACATAAACAGTCAAGGCATTTTTGATGTATTTTCTGCTCAATGATCCCTGTCTTTTAATTCAAAACCCCAGAAATTTCTGAATGTTTGGAGGTTCATTTTGGTTTATAATTGACTTCAGGGATCTCTGTTCGTTACAGACACGATTTGTTTTATGACAATCCCTTGAAAGAAGTGGTCTTCAGATTTTTTAAGGCTTCTTGGAAAATGACTTTTTAATGATGCCAGAGGGCAATAGCTTAAAAATATACAATGAAAGATACACTCTGTACAACAAGCTTCCGTACAACGAAACCTGTCTATAACGAACTATGAGTCTGTCAGGAAAAATGCCGCTGCAAAATGTCTCCCTCATCGCAGTCGCACACCAAATCTCCAGCGATGACGGGCGATTCCGAGGCTCAACGAATCCACATTATTTTCCCGACAAACTAACATTACTATATAGTATTTTTACAAGAGAAATTAAATTTCCGGTACTATTCTCTTTTGTCATTATTTCACACCTAAACGTTGCCAAATTACCTTGGTCAAGGTCACACTCCCGAACAATGCAAAATTGCCGCCGTTAGACCGAACAATGGGCCCGGTATTGTTTCGAGGATTAACCCATGGACAATGCGGATTATACCGGTCAATTATTGAGGGAAGATGGTCTTTTACCTTCTTATAAAAATTTCTAGCGACAAAAAGTTAGCGTGGAATCTTCAAACAGTTTTGCAAGGCCTTTAAAAAAGTTGTTTCTTCCAATGAAGCCTCTGCCCAACGCACCCTCCATGCAACATACGATTTTGCTGGCCCCGAGGGGCAATTTTAGGCTAAAATGAACCCGCGTACAACAAAGCTCCTTTTTTAGTATTTTCATAAAGTGCATAGACATTTTTTCTCTTTTGATTTTACAGTCATTTTGAACTTTTTCCCACTTGTCGCCAACCCACAGTGTATTTTTCTTTTTTCAGCGACTCAGACTACTATCTTTTTATTGTTTTTTCGACATGTGCTGTTTCTTTTTACTACATACATACCTTCCCGTCCTCAAATATGTTTCTGTTTTTTCGCTCGAGATCCCTCCAAAAATTTGTCGAGATCAACAAGAAAAACATCTTTACAGCCGGCGCGGTCTCCCTTTCTTCCTTTAATCCACCCGCGATTCTGCCGCAAAAATCACTGGCTGTCCATCACTTTCGGGATTCAAATTACATAAAGAAACGAAAAGAGGGTTTTACGATTGATTCTAGCAGAAGAAATTGCGGGTTTAGTTCTAATAAAGGGGTGGAAATTAAGATGCAACTACAAAATAAAGCTATTCTTGGGTTTGGTGACACATTGCAATAAGAAATCTATAAAGGGAGGCCCTGACTGCAAAGATTTCCTTGAAATTTGGACTACCTGGTCCCGCTACGCTACACTTCAATTCCAGAGAATTTAAACTCGCGCGTTGCAGAAGCAGCCGCAATTTTCAACGATTTTTTTCAAGCCAAAGAGTCTGAAAAGCCAAACAAAAAATATTTCCGTCTGAAACATCAGTCTGTCGGGAAAGTAATGAGGACAATGTTGCTGATACAAAAAGTATTAAGTAATCCAGAAAGTTCGTTCGTTTTTTCACCGTTTTGTTTTACAAGGATTGTTTGTTCTTTGGCAATAATTTGATCACGGCGGCGAACGGGGTGTTCATTATTTTCCCGACAAACTGATATCACAACTTTGCGTCGAAGATTCAACGCGAACTTTCAATGCCTTCCGCAAAGTGCGAGCTAGTGGCTTGGCTTGCGTCTTCACAAGTTTTTACTCAAATTTTTCCCTCTTATCTATCAAATTCTATTCTACATTTCACACTTTGATAGCTCCTTTCATTATACACCAAATTGATCTCATTAGTTCCCAGCGCCCTTAAACATTGGTAATATTCTTAATAGTCCACTTAAATTAGCGTAAAGATCGAGTTATAAGAGACTCTTGCCGACAAAGCTCTCTTTAAGCGGCGCTAGTGCCAAGTTTGGCGGCGATTGCGCAACCGGAAACAGCGATGCGACATGTTAAGGGCTTTGATTTCCAGCCGAACAGAGGCGCACTGTTTACGGTCCAGCGGACAAAACACGAACGGAATTTGTATTAGGAGGCAGTGTAAGCCCGATGGATCAGAGATATGATGATTATTTGAGCGAAACTCGTTGGAAAAGAGGTCTGCATAGCAGAGCAGAGGTGTCGCCAAAAGTTGACGCTAATTGCGGTCGATATAGTCAGTTGTGCGACATGCCCTGCGAAAAACAAAAGTGTTACTTGCACTGTAAACATTGTCGCTTTTTCACCGTCCAATATTCCTTTTTGGGCTGTCGCTGGCACTCTGATTTTTTTCCAAAAATAACGGCCTTTTCTACCCAAAAATTACAGTGTTTTTACAGTCAAAAAATATCAAAATTTTTATCTTCTTACATAAAATAGCTATTTTCTTTACTATTACCCCCAATCAGCCTCATTACTCTAATGAATCCAACTAACGCATCCCCAAAACATCTCAAATCCGTTTGAACCCCCACAAATCCGGATCATTAGGGCCCGCTTTTCCTTTTACGGATTACAAACAAAACAAGGGTTTTTATTTTCCCTGCCGATCCTCAATTAATAAATCCGCAAAAAAGGAAAAACTGACTTCCACACAGTGGGGGATTCGCGTTACCTTTATAAGGCACAGTCGAGGACTTGTCGCCTTACAAGAGAGGCAATTATAAAACATCAAAAACTACCGCAAATTAGGGAAAAGTGGGGGAAATAGAGAGAGTTTAGGTCAATATAAAGTGGATGCTTGTGCAATGAAAGCTCTGTAGAATGAATTATAAAGCGTTAGTAGTATCAGTCTGTCGAAAAAAAAATGTGGTTCGTAGCGCTTTGAAATCGCTAGTTAGCCACTTTGCGACGGCTAACTGGAAGCTTTGTGACCTACTGCGACGAGGCAAGACATTGTGCGACAAACCCACCTTATTTTCCCAACATACTGATATGACTTATTGAAAACTTTTTGGCCAAAAATCGAAAAAAACTTTGACTTTGAAAATTTCAAAACTGAAATTCTGATAAGTTCAATGTTTGCCAAACTACAGTCAAATCCCCGCAAGATTTTTTAGAAACGATTTGTTTTAGAGGTACCTCAATAATCACTTCCGGTAGTTTATGCAAACACACGGTGAAACAGAAAATATTATTGTAGAGAGAGAAATTTAACGACAAAATGGTATTTTAGACCAGAAAAGATTTGATGAGATATCAATGGAGAAGACGAAGTTTGGCCAAGTTAAAATAAAAATTTAAAGACCAAAAATCATCATAAAATTTTTGCCAAAAATGGGCAAATTTTATCTTTTTTGAGGTCCTCGACTTGAAAAATCTTGATGAGTTTAACAAAAAAATGAAATGATTCAACAAAAAAATAAATTTTTTTCTAGCTGCAAGCAGAAACTTTGGGCCAAAAAATGATTTGCTGCCCGAAAACTTCCGTTTTAGTCGATTAAAATATCGTTCAATATCTCAGCTATAACTGCAAAACCTTAGCTAAGATTTTTAGTAATTAATACCAGCCCCATGTAGAGTATTTACGCCAAATCTCAAAAAGTTTCATTGGAAATAAATTTTTTCCAAAGTAAATAAAAAACGAACTCCATAAAGTCCCCCAATAAAAATAAAAAAGCGAAAAACTCATTCCAAATGTCTCGCCATTCCTCACTGATCATAACCATATGATAAATCACAATGCAAACAAGACCAAAACGCCAAAACCAAACACGAAACGCCATAAAATCCTCCCCCATTACCTGTGGAGTTGTGTTCAGCTTGAGGAGGGACGCCAGACTTGTTTGCGCGCCGGCTCGCAGCACCGTCTTGAGCTGCGGTTCGCGGCACAACTCGTTCATGAGACAGTTGGGCTGGAGTTGGAAGGACTTCAGCTCCATGACCAGCCAACGGACTCGGTAGCCGGTGATGGTGGGTATGAGAATCGAGAGGAATATGAGATGGTAGAAAAGAGTTGAGCAACTCATGACGCTGAGCTATGGAAATTGAGATTTTTGAAGGGTAGGCAGTCTATTTTGAACCTGCAAAAATTAGATTTGAATAAATGAAAATTTGCATAATTTTTGAAAATTTGCATAAATCACGAAACAATTTGCATAAATTCATTTAAAATTTTAAAAAATGATTTTCAAAGAAAGAACGTAAAAAATATAATTTTAAATAAAAAAAATATAAATATGCAAATTTTTTAAAATTTGAATATTCATGAAATTTGCATAAAATACAAAAACATGCCAAAGAAATTTAAAAAAAAATAATAATACTCGACGCGAAGAAACATTAAAAACTGCATAAAATAATCAAAAACACCAAAAAAAAATTTGAATATGCAAATTTTCAAAAATTTGAAAAATTGTGAAATTTGCATGAAATAGAAAAAAACATGCCATGGAAAATATATTTCGAAAAAAAATAAAACAAAAAATGTCAAAAACCCCAAAAAATAGTCAAATGCCCCAAAAAAATTTGAATATTCGGATTTTCGAATATAAATAAAAATCCATAAAATACTGAAAAATAAAGTAAAATACAAATAAATTCCCCATTAATCGCCGTTCGACTCCTTGTCCCGATCAAACTTTCGGTTTCCCCTCCGAAAACACTACAATAAGCTCCGCCCATTTGCCGTTCGCTCCAAAATCGCCGCTCTCTGCCGCCCTCTCAATTGCACGCGCTCTCTTCGAGCAGTCGAAATTATCGCTGGATTGGGAAGCATATGACGTAAAAGGTGTGGATATTGGATGAGGATTAAGATTGATTTTGTGATATTGAACATGTCAGGGGTATGTCAAATTATTTTTGCGTAAATTAAAAAAAAAATGGGTTTTAAATATTGGAAAACAGCTTGTTAGAGAGAGTAAACAGTCTTAGGAATGATCTAGGTTAGGAATTTGCTTTGAAAAGTTTGAAAATTGAGAGAAATCAAAGAATTTTTGCATATATCTCCTAAAAAAGCCGTAAAAACAAAAAATCTCAAAACCTTTCGATTTTAGCTAAATTGAACATGGCCTATAGACAACTATATCTTCTATACTTCTATGTGCTTATATGGAGAACAATTTTTTAGCCGTAGGATTCGTTAGACAGTTGAAATAACCATTTAAAATCCCCCAGTCCCCTTCAAAGCCCCAATTCTCATCAAAAATCCTAATTTTCTCCCCAAAAAATTGGATTAGCATCGAAACTTCGAACCTCTCCAACTCCTCCAACTCCATTCCGACTTCAAACTCCAGTTTAGCCCCTAAACTCCGCGATCCGAACTCATCCCTCGCCCAGAAATCACCCTCCGAAAAGACGGTCAGTGATCCCTCTAAATGGCGCGCAACCCCCGCGAACTCTCGCCATAACAAAAGAGAGGGCAGGGCGCAAAGCAGAGTTAACGCGCGTCACAATGTTTCGAATGGCATTGTAATGGGAGCTGCACGGAAGCCGGTATCGGTTATTGTAAGTTCAAAAGAGAGGGAAAACAGGGAGGGGGGCAAAAGTGAGAATCTTCTTTTTTTGTGATTATGGGCGTTTGGATGGGTCATGATTTATGGGAGAAATAATGACAATGGGGCAAAGCCGGAGGTGAGAATTGCAAAAGCGGAAAAGAAAAAGCATTATGAAAGCGTTTGAAATGTGAAATTTGAAAAAATTTTAATTGGGTCTTCAAAAATAAAAAAAAAATAAAAAAATATCAGTCTGTCGGGAAAATAATGAGCTGCGCCAATCGCGTCGCTGAAGTAAAAAGAAATTTGATTTTGCCGCGACACAGTTGATTTTCCTGACGGCGCTATATTTAGAGGGAAATTTGGAAAAAAAAGTGACAGTTTTTTTCGCAAATTTTAGCGTAAAAATCATCATGCCTTATTCTACTGTAGAATGTAATGCTTCCACAAAAAAATCAATTTGTTCCGCGTGAAACTAGCAAAGTTATGGCCAAAAAGCGTTTTTCTCTCTGACCGCTCTCCACGTTTAGCGTGCTCTCTTGGCGGCAAAGATCGTCGAATATCTCGGCGGCATTTGCAAAGCGCAAGCTAAATCTTTCAGGAATTGATACCTAGTCCATGCCCAACATGTGTGTAAAATTTAAAGAAATTCTGAACGTCGCACTTGGCTTCCCTTGTTAGCCAAAAACCCCCAAAAAATCATCTTTAAAAATCCATAAATCGGAAGATAAAATCCCAAAGCTACCCTCTAGACCACTCATCCCTACATCCCTGACCTCAAGTCCTCTTGCGAACACATAAGCCTTCGCAAGTGTCTTTCAGCTCCCATGTTTGATCAAGAATTCCGGTCGAGAAACGGATCTAATCCTTCCCATTGTGGAAGAGATACGACATGGCCTTGGCAAACACTCATAACTACGCAATGTGGTGGCAAACTCGCTAATATGGACTTCCTGCGGAGATGAACAAAGGGAAATGAACTTTCAGTCAACAGAAGATACCTGAAGATACCGTAAATTTGATTTGCAATGCCTTCCGTTCGAGGAGCAGCGTAAAAATTATCTTGCTGTGGGCTTGAGGCCTTTTATTGAGTTGATACAATCAAGGGATTGTTAATTGGATTGGATTGCGTATTTTGATGCAACGCAGATTTCATCGCAGATAACTTTCACATAGCCCGAATTCTAATAATCTCAGCAGCTGCATGACTTCAGGCCATGTTGCGTGATGTTTATGGCCGTTGAATTGCTAGATAAGCGAGTTTAGAGATCGGAATGTAATCGTAAACAAAGACATATTTCTAAGACCGTATAGACCTTGTATTCAATTTCAAATTTACAAAAGAAGGACAATACAAACATATATAGATATCTTATAAGATATATGTACTTCCAAGTGCTACGCTTAGATTTTCTTTAAATTCTGAGCAGACTTTGGTCATAGGCCACATAAAAATTGCTGAAAGTCTAAGCTCGCCCTTTGCAGACGCAGCCGAGATATTCAACAATCTTTAGAGTACGCAAAATGCGGAGAGCGCTCTAGAAAACTACTTTTTGGCCATACTTTTGCCAGCTTCGTGGGGAAAAAATTGATTTTTTGGGAAAAAATTACTCTCTACAGTAGAAATAGCCATGAAACTTTTCATGTCAAAATTTTAAAAAAACCTGTCACGTTTTTTCCAAATTTCTCTCTAAAAATATTGGTTATGATCATTATTATTATGTTTACAGATGTTTTGACGGAAGTCAATGTAAAATACGTTGCATTTAAATATTTCTTTTCATAATGTTTCGTCCGAGAGGATCGTTAAATATTGCAGCTTGCTTAGCAAACCGGTGGCTGAAATTTTTTGTGATGCATTTGCGGTACACCGAAATTGTCTTCACGAAAATTCAACAAATTATAAACGACAAAATCACTGTCGTTTAGAATTTGAAAAACAGAAAACAACTATCAACATATCCTAAAGAAAACAGACATCCAAAGCCAACATACCCAAATTTTCGCTCCATAAAAATTTGCGAATCTCGACTGTGCCCTTCGCTGAACGAATTAATAATCGATTACCCAATCGATCACACCTCGCTCCCGTCCATAACTCACTCTCGATCTTGATTAGCCCCCGCGTTATCGATGGCACACGTCAGCGCGAATCTCCCGGTTATGAGCATGCCATAAAACAATCAGAGAGGTCGAGTTAAGGCTAAGTCAACGGGATATCTTGGGCGGGAAAAGGTCGGTAGGGGAGAGGCATGGGAATTTAGAGGGTCAGATATTATTAGCAGAGATTAAAAATAATTTTTTTCAAATTATCAAAAATCCATACTAGTCCGTTCGTAGAGTCGCTGGAGTAATTTCTGGCGCTTGCACTGTGCAGAAAAAGTCAGAAGCGACAGCCAAAAGAGCCTATGGCACGGTGCCAAGTGCAAGGAATAAAGTTTTATCAGTCTGTAGGTAAAATAATGTGGATTTGTCGCGTCAAAATGTCTCGCCTCGTTGAAAAAAATGGTAAAACCGAGCATCAAGTCTCCAGCCTAGGCTTGCCGTCGCAAATTGATGATGGGCGATTCAACGAATCCACACTGTTTTTCCGACAGACTGATAAGAATTACTAGTCGCTGGTTGCGAGCCACAGCCCAAAAAATCCGATTGCACAGTGCAGAAATCAAAAAATTGCACAGTGCAAAGTGAACTTTTGTTTTCGCACAGTGCTTGTCGCTGGACTGATTTTTGGAGTTTGCACTGTGCAGAAACAATTAGGGTGCAAGCGACATCCCAAAAAAGCCTGTTGCACGTTGCAAAAAACAGCAAATTGCACAGTGCAAAGTGAACGTTTATTTTCGCACAGTGCTTGTCGCCGAAATCACTCTAGCGGCTTGGCGAACGGACTATCTGTATAATGAATCTTTAGGGACACAAGAAAAATGTATATGCTATAGAAGGGCTTCGTTGTACGGAGGTTCATTTTGAGGTAAAATTGATCTTCGGGACCTCTAAAACCGTTCGCCATAGAGAGTTTTAGTCGTCCAGAAGTTCGTCGTATAGAGCTGGCACTTTATTCGGTATCATAAAAATTACAGTAACACCTCTCGAAAACAAACTTTTTTACAACAAAGCCTCTCTATAGCAAACAATTTCAAGGGTCTCAAGAGGCAGTCTTGGGCAAAAACAAGCCTCTGCAGAACGAAACTCTTCTATAAAAACAATAATTTCAGCCCCATAACCTTTTCTTATACAAATTCCTAGCCCTACAGCCGTCAAAATGCGCAAAAAATAATTAGCATTATACCATAGGCCTTGTAATTTTTGCCTCCCTCTCTCCCCGAATCCGCATTAATAATTTTTGTGTTGAGCGCGGAGTTTATGAATTATTAATCGGCAAAAAAAATATTTGGAAAGGCAAAATGAAGGCCGAGTAAGGTCAACTCTCGCTTAACAATGACTTGAGAATGGTAATTTCGAGGCGAAAAATTGGGTGATAATGAGGGAACGAGGGCGAATACCAGCTGATTTGTCAAGGTGTTCTCGGGTTTTTG